CTATGCATATCTTTATGTTACATCTTTATGAATAACTAAGTGTACTTAGTTATTATTTATTAATGAAGTGTTTGATTACATTACAAATTTTACTTTGTTATTCAATTAATAATGTGTATTCGGAACTATGCAAGAATTGTGAAATTAAGCAAATAAAATTATTATAGTTTACTTTTATCAATATCAATGTAGATAACACCAAATTATGTCGGTACAATATCTTTATAATATTATTACCCGAATATTCCGAGTACTCAAACCATTGTGTGTTTATAACCTACTAGAATGTTTCTCACTCCCCAAAAACCAACGCCAATCAGTGGTTGGGAGTGAAAGGTGAATAACGATCCTCATGAATACCTTGGAATTCATGGAAGACGACATGTCCTATAGTTATTATCATAAAGATACGAAGTATTAATTTTAATTTGAACTTCGGGGCTATAAGTCGGCAGCCGATACATTACATGTCCGGTTAATAATTAATTAAACAATCAATTAATTAAGCATTCCCCTTTGTAGACTTTATTATGATTTTATATATAACTCGCGTAGTGTAAGTCAGCGCTTTCAGTCCGTAGACTATTAAAGCTTTTTAGGGACGCAGAACCTCTCCGCTAGCCAGAACCTACGAGTTGAGGCCCTTTAGAGGGTAGGGCCGCGCATGTTCATGCGTGCGTTAATTAAGGGAGAAGTATCGCCTACAGGCTATGGAGCTTTGGTGCTGACCGTGGAAAATCATGACTGAGTAGGACGTACGTAGGCCTAATATAATTATAGTTTGTGTCTTAGGACCATTTTGTTGGTTATTTAGGTCATCTAGCCGGCCGGAGACGAACGCGGCTCTGTTCTTAATATCATTAATATGGGATGTGAATGTCAGGCTGGAGTCGAATTGACTCCTAGATGTTTGAACTTTTTCTCCTAGGGGAGCGTTTGGCCATAAAGAGATATTTGACCCAGTGCCGGATTAACGACATAGCAAGAGTAGCAATTGCTACGGGCACCGCGAGAAAGGGGCCCCTGCATATTTAAACCCACTCATCTCTGACGGAGCGTAATTTTTTGAGTGAAACTTATTAAGTAAGTAAGAGTATTGAATTATTTCTTACCACTTTATGCTTAAGAACCCATTGTAGATCTAGGGCTGTTTGAAAGATTTAGCTACGGGTCCCGCTCTTGCTTAATCCGGCACTGGCTTATCTTTCTGAACTGTATATTCTCCTTTTGCGAAACCAATCACCGTGAAAAGCGCTAGATTGACGTGCGTGTCTTTTGGTATACTGCTAGAGTAGAGCGTGAAAAGCAAAGGGGAGAGACAGGGGTCTTGAGGAACGCCCGCCATAAGACGGTGGTTCGTGGAGAGGGTGTCATGTGTTCTTGGAGCGATTCGACAGGAAGGCTCGGATGGTGTGCACGAGCTTGTCCGTCACGTTGAGTGCGAACAACTTGCAAAGCAAGTCGTTATACCAGACCTTGCAGAATGCCTTTTCGGTTTACGCGAGTAATTTCTGCGATAGAGCACTTGGATGTCTTAATAGCACTATTAACCTACATACTACGACTAAAGTAATCTTCGGAAACCGTGAACGATATTTAAATTTATTAAAAGTTTTAACATTCTTATAGCTTGATTCTCTTCCGTTTCTTATACTTAATTACAATCCGATATGTCTATTATTTGCCTCTTATGATTGATGGCTGTCAAGGTCATAAGTGTCCGACAATGACACTTACCGATCAAGCGGTTAGTCATCGAAATTCTGTCATGGTCCAAGCAACGCGACCAAGCGTATTCGACAATATTAGACAATTTTAAAGCAAAGTTTGACCACCAATGAAGAAATAAGCTTTCTTAATGGCATTAGGGAAAGAAAAATTAAAAAAAGTGTACATTTGCAATAAATCATAACAATAGATCAGAACATGTTTTATGTATTATGTACTTACATAAATTGTTTTTATTTCTTATTGATTTTAATAATAACTAGTAAGAACAAAATTTAAAAGATAGGCGTAATTATAAAATTAATTTCATCATTTTGCCTATCTTTAAAAAGTAAGAACTGTCAACTTTTTTATTACTTTAAATTCTATTTATAAATATGGCTAAATATTTCTTCGTTTGTTTCTTTAGGATTTCTGTATCAAACATCCAATTGTGATGGAACCTTATTAAGTTGCTATGTTGGTAAGAATGAAAAAAAGTTTTTAAAGGATATATAACTACAATACTTTCTGCCAGTTAATGGCAGGTGATGATGACGATATGACTAGTCGACAATATTCCCGCGTGGGAGAAAAACTCTCCGATAGGACGCTAATATGCTCGGCCCTCGGCTATTCGGGTCCAACTACAAAGCCTTGTGTAGATCGCAGTGTCGCAGTGTCACAGTGGGGAGGGGGCACCGCATCCTCTTGATTTGCGACAGCAACTAACGATGTCGTCATTCTCAAGGGTTGACGGACTACAGACAGTTTTATTTTAAGAGCGTCTAAGTCCCTTTTCGAGAACCAACAGTTCTATTGAGACGTTCTGATAGACATCTATGGTCCATTCAATGCAAATGATTCGCAAAAGTCATCTTTGCGCATTATTGTCAAGCGATGCGTAAGTGATCGAGATCCGTGATGACATCTGTTTTGTATACAATAAGTTTCCTTCTAGATTTAAAACGTAATACATATGTTTCCAAGTTTTCATGTAATGATTGAAAACGATCAAAATAATTTAGTTGATAAAGCAACAAAGACAATTTTTTTCTTAACACTTGACAAAAACATTTATTTTCGCATGCTATTTCACATAATTATATTCCTCACTTCTTGCTATTTATGCTATCATAAATTACATCCTTACACAAGTGGCAACACATAAGCTCATGAAAAAAAGGAACAAGCTGTTCAATATGATTGCATTTTTGCAAAAAAAATCGTATTCCCTCGCTATATTAAGAGTTTAATTACGAAATACTGGACGGTAATGGATTAAATGGTGAGATATGGCCCAATTAAAAGGAAATTGGTACTAAAGGTCGTCGCAGGGCAAGATGAAACCCGTGTAAGTTATTATAGGAAGCTTCTCGCATGGACGTGTTTAAAAGCGAATCGGACGTTTTCAAAAACGTATAAATTCGAAGTTTATTGCCGTATGCATTATCAAATTTCTTGTTGTACCGTTTGGACGATTAGCATCATACCAGTTCGTCGTCCTATAAAACATATTTATGATTATGTCTAGGAGTTAAAACCAACCGGGTTAGATTTAAATTATAATGTAATAATTCAAGGTAATGTGTTGAGTGTTTAAAATAAATTATAGGTATCTCCAATTAAAGCTAGAGATATCTAAGGAACGATAAAGCTAAATAAAAATTTTAAAATTATGTTTAACCGTTTTAAAATGGTATAAGCATCCTAGATTTTCGCAGTAAAATAAACATAACGGTCATAGCCGAGCAGATAAGCAAACTGAAAGCAGTTCGAGGGGAGGTTCTCGAGTGGCAATCTCATACAGGCTGGAGTGAAAACTTTATCCATATTACGGGAAGATGGATACAGGTGGCTCAAACCCTTGTTCTGTGATGATTGATCATTGACGATAAAGTTTAGACAACTCACAATTACACTAACGTGTAGTTATTACATGTAGATGTTTGGCGGGAAATATATTTTATTCTCATCATCAAACAGTGTGTATTATAATTTAGTATCTAATCTTTTCACTATTTTTACGTGATTTAATTTGATTTAAAATAACGACCAAGTTCAATGTGAGTGTGAGAGAGTAGTAAGTAACATCTGGTATCATGTACAGATACATTCTAGACATTTCTGTTGCACTCAAAGTATTGCCTTTGCTTTCTATCCAAATATTTCTCGATACCAACAATGTAATAAAATTATGCCGTTGGTAATAAATTATTTTCGAGATGTTTTTCTCATTTTCGACTTTCCGGCTATCTTCCTCAATGAGCATGCTCATATTTTAATGAGGAGCCATAAATTTATAATTTTTATGTCTTTTCTAGTTTGTAATGCAAAATGAAAATATGTCCGATTTATTTGTAGTTAATGCCATTTACAGTTATGTTAATTTCTGCCGTGATAGCTCAGTGTCCGGGCGCTCGCCTTTAATTCAATATAATCGAGCAACCTGAGTTCGATTCCCGGTGCCGGCACCAATGAAGTTTTAACTTTAAGTGCTGACTTATCACGTGTTCCGCGGTGAAGGAAAACATCGTGAGGAAACCTGCATATTTTCGAAATAATAACAAAAAAAAATATTAAAATATGTAGAAAAAGTGCGAAAAGATTGTCGCCGTTATGGGAATCGAACCCACGTCTTCGGCATTCGCGGCCTGACGCTCTAGCCACTGAGCTAAACGGCTGATTGCCACACCGACGAAAATCTTAACGTATTCTTCTACATTGTTTTCTTAGCATTTAAAGCAATGCTTGGCGCCATCTATTGTTATATCCTTTCCAGCATACAAACAGCTAACCCTTTACAACACCTTTGCACTTAAGGTTAGCACTATAAACAATTTAAATTTTCAAAAAAAATATATTTCGAAAATATGTGAAGTCCGCAGTGGGGCCGCGTGGTGGACTATGCGCTGATACCCCCTGTGTAGAGGAGGCCTTTGCCCAGCAGTGGGACATGTATAGGCTGTTACTTTTTAATTTCTGTAGTTTCGTTTCCTTGGTACGATTGTGTACAAATAGGTAACTCTACTAAATACTTCAATAGTAATAGCAATAACAAAGTGGTATGTATTTATACATGTAGATAATATAATCGTTTATTTGGAATGATTATGACAACTTTTTGTTATATCTCCTACTCCTATTTATCTTTTGTTTTAGTTTATTATAATAGATATACGTCAAACAATCAGTTCATTACGAACATTTCTGTTTAAATTATTTTGCAATATAACTTTTACATTGCATTTTTTAGATGGTATTCATATTGTCACTTTCATATTGTTTTACAGATGGAGATCAGAAAGTATAAGCGTGGGGGCGCATCTTTCCTCACATACTGGATTTTCTTATTACAAGTGAGTTCTTAATTCAAATTCATTTTTTTATAAGTAAGTGTAATTACTTATTGATTGTTAAAATGCTACCAACGGATAGGGAAAAAAGGCCCTGAAATGAGAACAACCGGCGTCAGAAACTCAGCGGGACAATATTCGTGTCTTACGCTTTTATTGAAATCAGAAAAATTTTAATGAAAATTTTTCTGACGTTATGTTTGAAATTTATTGTTAAGTTGTCTAACTGGTGGTAGCAGGTGTGATTAATCACTGTAGTAACGTGATATTTATCTACTTTCAGATGTTAGGCAGCACTCGCCACGGTGCTGAAGGCCACGGCAGGCTTATGGACCCCCCCGCGCGCAACTCAATGTGGCGTTTCGGTTTCCCAAACCCCGTGAACTACAATGACAACGAACTGTTTTGCGGCGGATATGCTGGTCAGTTCCATTAAAATTGAATTATTCCCGCTCGAAAGACCTAATACTTTTTCTGTTACGAAAAACTTCTTTTACGTAATAAAAGTGGTATAGAGTGTAGAGATGAGGGGGATAACCTTATATGGAGATAGGTTGAAAGTATCCAGCGGTAGCAAAGGACAGTTCAATAACCCACCAGAATGGCACTAGAGTAGCAGAGGTGTGTTTTTTACATTGCTGATTTGGATTTGAGGCACTAGTAACCATTTTGAGGAACTAGTAGCTATTAATTCAACCCCATTGCCTAATACCTGCTGCTGAGGCACCAAATTTTACGCGTTTCGACAGGTAAATTTTTGCATAGCCATGGTGACCTTTACTCTACCCTCCATTAAAAGTAGGCTGTAATTGGTAGCTGATATTAGCAATATTTAACAGCCGATTCATAGTACTTTGTAATATTTTTAACTTAATAACACTAGAATGTATAATATACTGTAGTGATAGGTAGCAGCCTTCGCTGTTAAAAGAATGGGCAGGTACCACGACCTCACAGAAGTAGAAGTGTCATACTTCTGCGTTTCGTCTAGTGGTAACCGGCATTCTTTGTTGAAACTTGGCAACACATTTGTAACCCAATGGTGTTAAATAAGTTTCAAATGTCCTTGCGCTACGGTTATCAACAGGTTTTGCATAAAAAATATGAACAAAAAATATATATGAACGAAATTTCCTATTATAATGAAAACGTGCAAAAATTAAGATGTTGCGCATTTAAGTGTCAATACTTTTGTTTCATTTTCTTTTCAATAATTGTACATGTTTTAAGACTGTTTTCCTACTCCGCTCTTTATTCACTTTGTGCTATTGTCCGTTCTCAGAGTGTTAACCTCTCAGAGAATACAACTGGCGGAGGCCTTTGTTTGCTATTCATTACAACCAACCGAAACTAATAGAGCCTAGTTCATAATTGGAAGTTTATCGAACTCTCGTAGACACTAATTATTCATTATTACATTAAGACTACATTGTGTCTTAAAAAGTTGACATATCACATCTTTTAACACCGGATGTGCTTCACTTGATGATATTTGATCACCGCTCTGAAAATCTACCACGGTTTTGTTGTGTAATCAACCTTTCTTAATGACCTTGAGTCATTGAACGAACACGTGAACTGCTAGAGTTTAATTTCATTCACTTTACGCCGGTCTTCTTTGAGGCTACTCCATTAAAGCTCTTTCATGGATCAGAACAAGGATCTGCGGGGTTCTACCGCAGTGAATGGTTAGTATTCTGAAATTCTAATGCGATGGCAAATACTTGAAGTTTCGACTTTAAGTATCTCTGCGATTCGCCCGTTGGATGAGGTAATGATGAAAAATGTAATGAGGGTATTATCAGGCTCGTTATCAATCATTTTCGAACAAAACAATTGTAATTGTAATAAAAAATCATATTTTCTAATTCTACTTAGTCATCCTTGAACTCTTCGGATATCGGTTCTGAAAATGTTGAGGAGTCAGGGGGGAATAATATTGCTATTTTGCCGTTATAGCTTTTCCTTTAAAATATTGAAACGTCTACCATGCGCCGGAACTTTTCGTACAGTAATATTTTCTTAAATGTTAACGTGCATACATAAACTCTGCCTATTGAAGTCTTTAATGGAAACCGTTCGTTTGTATATGAGAAATAAATGCATGTGACGGATCCAAGTGACGGCGTGATCGTTCAGTCCAGTGGGACCAGAACGGCGGTCGGTGCGGGGTTTGCGGCGACGCGGTGCATCTCTCCGAGCCACGACCCCACGAGGCTGGCGGCATGTTCGGCAAGGGCATCATCACCAGGCACTACAGCGTCGGCCAGGTCAGCCAATAGGTTGCTCTTATAATATAGCATACTAGCTTTTCGCCCGCGGCTTTGCTCGCGTTGAAGCCCTTAAATAAATATCTTTCTTTAACCTTTCAACGCTTTACAATACTTTTTCCAATTAAAAAATACCCTATGTCCTTTCTCAGGCTCTAGACTACGAAATGTGTACGAAATTTCTTTTAAATCGGTTCAGTAGTTTTTGCGTGAAAGCGAGACAGACGGACAGAGTTAGTTTCGCATTTATTATTTTCCGATACCGGATTCTGATTGATTGTTCCTTGTACTGATGGTGATGATTTTTCCTGCCAAAAATTTATCAAGCTTTATCACCATGATGGCGAGCTATCACTATGGCACATTACAATACAATCTCCATAGCTATACTCTATACATGAAATACAGATAGGAAGGAAGGGCAAGCTGTGGTATAAAGACAGCAGTTGTCTAAAGTAAATGAAGTACCAATTTTCCGATACCGGATTCTGATTGATTGTTCCCTGTACTGATGGTGATGATTTTTCCTGCCAAAAATTTAATGGTACAAGTTTCTTTATCAAATATTTTTAAGCCATTTATCTCCAAAATTACATATGTTTAGGAAGGCGCGCTGAATGTTCCAGCGTGCCTTCCTACTCGGCCCCAGTTTCACGGCCAACGAACTCCCCCGAGTTCGCTGACCGGTGCCCAACAACAGTTATTTTTTTCAATTTGTTTCAAATACTAAACAGTTGCTTATTACAGGAGATAGAAGTCGAAATTGAACTCACGGCAAACCATCTTGGTACTTTCCTTATAAAACTGTGCCCCAACAACAATCCCAAGCAAGAAGCCACCCAAGAATGTTTCGACAGGTGATTAAATAAATACTGTTAACAAACTATATATAATTCTGTTTTATCGCGACATATGGTAATTGATAGATAAAAGAGAAATATCTTAAGATAAAATTTAATATTCAAAATTGGATTTATTACTTGGACTGATCGCTATCTTTTTTATATTTATTAATTAATATTTTTTATAGGTATTAGTATATGGTGTGACAGATATTATTTCTTTTAAATTTATTAGTATTTAATCAGATAAAATTAAATGACAAAAAGATCTTAAAAATTTTACACGTTTTATTTTCATTTTATACATAATTACAAATAAATATGTTTTTAAAGCTCAGTCCAAATAACTCAGAGCAATTTTAATCAAAGAAATGAACACTAGAGGGTATAATTCTTAATATGTACAAATTCATAACATTCGTTGCTTGAATCTAATATTTATATGAATGATTAATTAACCTTCCGAGTTTTTACATAACATATAAATTAGTCTATCATGTTTTTACATAACATATACATAAAGAAACGTAAATTTCAGGTACCCTCTGTACATATCGGGGACGCGCGAAGACAGGTTTCTAATCCCCCTGGACACCGCAAAGAAGGACATCTTCAGATACCGAGTGCGGTTGCCTCCCTACGTCACTTGCACCCAGTGCGTTCTACAGTGGACCTACCATACCGGTGAGGGAAGTCCCAAGTATCATTACGACATCATCGAGAACAAGATATCACCATATTTACATATACAGGGTGGCTTTTCTAAATGTTTCCGGTTTTTTTTACTAAATTCTAGACATAAATAATGTTATATAAAAATGATAAATATTTAAAATCACTTGTAAGTAATTAATTACATTCATTTGAATTTATCTCAAAGAGTGCGTCATTTATACGCAACTCATTTATTTTACGCGTGATCATTCATAACTAACACGCACACAAGTTCGTCCACAGTAAAATTTAGGTATTTATGAATGACTACCGCATTGTCAACACGTTCTGTTGTTTAGGGAATAGAAAGGCATTTTTTTTGTAAAATAAAACTTTGTTTTTCTTTCAATAAACGATTATACTACCGAGTCTGAACCTCCTGTGTAAATTTGGGCACTTCTCAAAAGATCTTCCTGTATATTTTATATTCTACGCTTGATCTTATTATGAGTAACTGAAAAAGCTACACTGTGCACCAGTTAGATAGGTGTGAAATCATATGGGAGATGTCTAAACCTAAGTAAGTTAGGTGAGAACATATATGAAATGCTTTTTTTCTTTAACAAGCCATTGCCAAAGAATGGAGCCTGGAAATATATCATATACATGAGGTCGGTGGCTTTGAAGTTTTATAAGATATGAATGAAAAATAAGAAGTAGGCAACTGTTGAGTTTCTTGCCGATCACTTCCCAACAGAAACTGCTTTCCGAACCGGTGGTACCTTACGAACCTATATATTATATAATTTTTTATGTAAAATTTGACGATTCATTCTTATGAGTCGCGTTCTTACGCGCAAGCGTCTATTTGAATAAATATATTTTTGATTTTGATTTTGATTTTGTGAGGGCAATGTCGCTTAACAGGCAACATGTGGGGTATCTGTCCGAACGGGACGGAGGCGGTCGGCTGCGGCCGGTCGGAGACCTTCCGGAACTGCGCTGACGTGAGCGTGGTCACCAGCACCGGAGGCCTGCCGCCAGCGTTCGCCAACGACCTGAGGAAGGACAACCCCTTCCTCCTGTACTACAGAGACTACCTCATGCCCCAAAATGTGTACCCGCTTGTGATCAGGTCAGTGGGATTACGAATGAAATATTTTTCATTCACATGAGTAATCGCGGTTGTGACCTGTTACGTTGTTTGTAAACTGGAATGTTAAATTTTTATAGATAGCTCTTTTGTACTTTTTTCTACAAATTTTAATGTTTAATCTTAAGTGCAGAAATTAGCACTATAAAAGTTTCAATGTATAAAAAGTAATGGCGACATCATCGTTTTACAACGATAATATGACTCGCACAGCGGCGACAAACTTTTGAACGACGTTTTGAAATACAGAAAATCATTGTAAATTTTTAAAGTTAATGTTTTATAATTTGTGTGTTTTGTATTGATCCTTATTGTTTTGAATGTTCTATCTATTATTTATGTATATACGTTTATTTATAATTATGTTTCAATATTTGTGGCAAACTAGATATTTTTATAGAATTTTTCACTTGGTGTTTTTTTTGATTATATGTCACTATCTTAATATGGTATATATTTATTATTTACGCTTCATATTTCAGAAATTTACAAAAGGATTACAAAATGGCACCGTTGCGTGTAATTAGGTAAAAGAAATAAGTAATTGAAATGCGATAAATATATTATTATATAACAAGAAATGTGCACGTGAATAATCAGTACTGTACCGTGAAAAACAATTCTTTTTCAGCAACGATATATCTGAGAGTTCGTCCGAGGAGGATTTAGGTCCGATCGTCATTAGGTATACATCTATTTATTCGGTGATTGACAGTGCTTGACCCCACGCACGTGGTGTTGGACGATTTTGTACATTCCGTATAACGTTGTGAATAATCCCAACCCCAAATTAATTTATATGTTAAAGCCCGCAATCGTTCCCTGTGTAGAAATGAGTTTGTGACTAACCTTGTCTACTCCACTGTATATTATCCTGGATAACATGTACAGATGGCTTGAAGTTTTGTGTTAACCTTTGTGAAATTGTTGTATAAAAACAGGAAGTCATGTAAATAAAACAAATTGTATAATATGAGGTGAATACGAAGTAAAGTTGTAGTAATGAATAACTAATAAATATAACTATAAGAATAGCTAGAAGAATTGTGGTTGAAAATCAGGTTTAAGTGGAATAAGTTAGGCGTTAGTAATAGGTTAGTCGAAAAAAAAACACCCAACCTGAATGATGAATAAGAAGCAAGATTAAACCAGTCTACTTATGATGTAGAAGTTGATTTGGAATTTTATGATAAGCCTTGGTAGTATTGTATATTATATATATCTTATGGTATTGTTCCAAATCGAGATTCAGTAAATATTTCGCAGGTTACCTGCGTACGGTATTTACTTACAAATGTAAATTTTATTCGATAGAGAATTGTCATTATCGAAATATTTAACACAACTTTTCATACAAACATGATATGTACATCGTATACAATTTTGTTACAAAAAATCATACCACATTGCATCGTGGCCCTGGAAGCTCCGAAATTTAGGGTGGTTAAACCAGACAATCGATATACATACAATAAAGTTAGTGACATCCACAAACAAGAAAACAAAACAAACAAAACTAAGTGCAAATAATTTCAAGCATTTTGTAAAAGCTTGAAAAACTTTAATGCAAAAAGGCCTACTACAATAAAAATATTTTTTCTAATTGATGATTAACGTCATTTTATTCATCGTTAAGTAAAAAATTGTGAAAAAAGCTAAACGCTAAAACCACAACTACAGTAACAACAACTAAACACAACTTTATTATGTTAAAACAGTAAAATTTATCTCTTTTTATTCAGTTCACTTTGTTACTTGAGCGAATGTTAAATAACAGCCTATGACAACTTAGTATATCATAACTTGTTCCACTGTTGGGTAAACCTACCTATACCTAGCCTTGGGCGCATCCGATCGTACTGGGGCAATGCGCTAAATCGGAATACAGAGTCAACTATCAAATACCAATGAAACAATAAATTTTGTTATGTTTTACGAAACTGTACATATTTATGATACTGCCATTAGAAATGGTGATTTAGGTCAGATTATAGTTAATTATCTGTCTATAAGTGTATCTAAAGTTGAATTTTCGCAACAATCGCAACATATCGTTTAATAAAACATTTAAAATTTCCAGAGACCAAGTATGCATCCCTTCAGAAGGATATCGAGTGATCCCTGGTATGCAGAACTGGTGCCAGACAAATTGCTTGCGGTACCCGCCCCATTGTCCATACTCACTCTGCCAATGCCCGTAAGTAACTGTCATGTAACAAAACAGACGTGATATTGATTATTCGAGGCGGATATCGATTGTAGAGATGTCTTTCTTGAAGATAATGGTTACATACCTTTTTCCAAAAATAGGTTAGAACGCACTAGTCCCACTGTGGTACTGGTGCGTTCTAATTATTTTCGGTGGGGCTCCCACAGATAAATAATAGATGGCGACACTGTGTAGCGCGCGCTTTTTCCATTTTTTTGTAAAACATTTTCACCCCAAAATGAATAGTACCTACATTCGCTCATTGCTTCATCGAAATGTCATGTTGGGAGCGAAGAGGATACACGCGAAAACGAGGCCTGTAGTTCTATAATTTTAGGTACTTAACTATTTATTAAAAATTAAATTCACAGGCAAGTCTGCGAAGGAATCGGCGAATTTGAGGGCCGCGAGGGCGCTGACGTTCACTGCATGGACCTTTGCATCGTTTACCCGCCTCGCTGTCCCAAAGACAGATGCCGTTGTTACTAGAAAATTAATTCCTTCTTTAAATATTACGGAAATTGTAAAATGTTTTCGTGTAAAAAAAAAATACAGCTGATTAAATTTGACCATAAAAGAATATCACTACAGACATTTTGTTCCGATTTTGAACAGAAGACATACCCAATCAACTTGAAATTGTTATACAAAAACATATACAAATATATTACATGTATGTATATTTATGTAAAAAAATAATTATTACAATATTCGATTTTATTGTTAAAGTCAGTTGTTATAATATTCAATCAATAACATTTAGGCATACATTTAATCAATATTCAAATTTAGTTAATTCCAATAAATTGGTAAAATAAAATAGAAAAAAATAAATAAATGTCCAATAAAGTATAGGTAGTTTTATCAAACAAAGCCTATTTTTATACATAGATTTCTAAATTACCTTAACACTTTATAGTATATTTTAAATAATATAGGCTGCAAAGAATTTTTTTAACTTTGTTCAAATACGTAAAATCCAATCTAAACTTATTACATTTAAGAAAGTGTATATAAAAGACTTGTTTTCTTAATTGATTTAAACTATTAATTCAAAGCGTTTTCAAATATATTTTTATTTAATACTGTACAGTTGTATATATTATTATTAATTGATTCTTTAAATTTTATTTTAAGTTAAAACGTCATACTCTTGAAGTTCTCTGTAAGTTTACGTCCTATGTTTGCCATAACAGAAAGAAGTGGTGCCAGATATAGTTTTAAATTTTTGTAAAATATATCATTTTCAGTAAATCTGCGTTTTAATTCTCTATCGGGATATTTTTAAGTGGACACTCATTTAAAAAAAAAAACATAGGAAGTCTCATGAGGAATGCCGACAGAATTGTAAACATAAAACAGTGTCAAAATTAAATAATATTTAATTCTATATATTTTACACATTATACATAAAGCTTATAGAAAGCTTTCGGGGACGATTACGCGAGTTCCATGATTCTTGTTCACAAGATATGTGAAATATCGATTTTTTTTACTTATTTAATATTTTTTTAAAACAAGAAATTTAAAGGTTAATTTATATACTAAAATAAAAAAATACTATTGGAGGCGCCGGGTATCGATCCCGGTACCTCTCGCATGCTAAGCGAGCGCTCTACCATCTGAGCTACGCCCCCTGATACTTCAACGATAAATTTAATCATTTCATACGCACCCAGCGCACTTGCGCATTGAGCACGTTTACTTTCACTTATACAGTGATCTTAATACTAATGCACGTAACAAAAGCACGTAACATGCTTTACATAGTTATTGAATTGAAAGTTATTTAAATTATTGTAATAAATTACAGATAAAACAGATAATAATTTTTTACTTACTGAATAATTACTTTGCTTTTGTTTCTAAAACGATTATATCATTATAGATAACAATTTGGCCTAAACAACCTAGATACCGGACCCTAAAATTAAAAAAATATAGGACAATTTAGTTGGCGGGAAAATTTCATTTAATTATAAATATGACTCTTTGTGACATGCCGAAAAAGAAAGCAATTGCCGATTGCAGTAGACATATTACGCAGGTATTTCTTTATCTTATTATCCACTACTATGTCTCCATTTGACATACAAAAGACACATTAAGTAGAATTTCTTTTTAAGAAATTTAAATAACAACTAACCTAACATAAATTTAAGTTTTCAAGAAAATATTCATGATAATTCAACCTAGTTTGTATTTTCACTGGGGACAAGCCAAAACCAAGGGCAGCCCCTTGGTTCTTGCTTGTTCTCAATGTAAGAAAAAAATAAAATAAAATTGGGTAGTTCTATTTCCGGTCGTTTGTTCAAAGTTCATAACAGTATAATGCTCACTGACATTTACACTCAATTTTAGATGAGAGCCATAAAAGCAAGATTGATAGAAATAAGTTTAAAGGTAGACAATTACATTTATAAACAAAAACCGTTAACTGAAATACAAGCAAAAGCGTTTTTGGATGAAATATCTTCTTATAAAATTCAATGCGAAGACGACATAGGATATCTTCAGGTAGGCACAGAAACCAGTAGGTATCATCATTATTTTATTATAAAAACATATTGACGCATTCACAAACAGGAGACATATTTTCTTTAAGTATTTCTCAGGATTCGCACACACATAATATATACAGGATGATTTGTTTAGACGAAGTACATAAATTGACAAAATCACATGTTAATTGAGCATTCCACAATTTAAAAAAATTATTTTATTTTGACAAAAAATAATCAGAAAAATATCAATTGCTATTGATAAGCGGTTTACTAATTATGCGTTCAATGAACAGTTTAAGTGCTCGTGGATAGGTTATTGTATTGCGACAGTAAGGTAGGAATTATAGGGTGTAATACATAATATTTCGAAAATTAAAAATAAATAATCTTTGAAAAAAAAAATGAGGTCAAAGCTACGTACCGTACCACATTCAGTTTAAAAATCAAACTCTGCATATGCTCTGTTAATATGTCCGTCGTCAATTAAATCACCCTGTATATATCTTCTTCATCTAGCTAGATGATTCGAGTTCTGCCGTTATGCGCAAATCAAAAACTGCTGGATAAATTTTAATTATCTCCTCTAAGTTTTACTTCTTAGACACCAGGACTTTGTTCAAAAAATATTGTGATAACATTTAACGTAAAGATATTAGTTTTAAGAAACTTTTATTTTTATAAGCACTCGCCAGATCTTACAATTTAGCTGGGACTTCTTGCACTTCTTCAATTTTTTAAAAATTCTATCTGTTGAAGCCGTGATAGCGTCCGGGCGCTCGCCTTTAATTACATTTGGTCGGGCAACCTGAGTTCGATCCCCGGTGCTATTATATATGAAATTGTTAATTTTTAGTGTTGAATTATCACGTGCTCGGCGGTGAAGGAAAACATCGTGAGGAAACCTGCATATTTTCGAAATAATAATAAAAAAACATTTCGAAAATATGTGAAGTCCGCCAATCCGCAGTGGGGTCGCGTGGTAGACTATGCCCTGATACCCTCTTTACAGAGGAGGCCTTTGCCCACTGGGACATTTATAGGCTGTTACTTTACTTTTTTTGAAAAAAAAAAGTAAAGTAACATTTTTTTAAATACTTTGTTTTCATTTAATAGAAAATTTACTCATTCGATTACTTCGATATGTTTGCAATGAAAGTTAGCATTTCCTTCGCCAAATTTCATCAAAAAGTACGCGTCATTGTAGTAATAGATCAATAAGTTGTTTTTGATCTGTTATTACAACAACTCGTACTCGACAACAAAAATATTTTCAGGTAATCGAGAAATTGACTAAATATATGAACATTATAATTTCAAATTACGCAAACAGTAATACTTGTGTAAATTTAAATAGCAAAATAATTAACGCTATAAGCAATACAGTACAACTTACTGCCACAAATGAAATTCCTAGCCTAGACCAAAATCCTATCTTGTCTGGTAATCATGAAAATCCGCAACATAATATTGACAAACAAAACGAAAGCCAGAATGATTTAGAATCTACTTTAAAAAGTGAAAGTCACGTGGAGTGTGGAAAAATAAAAGAAATACATAAAATCTCGGATGAAACAAATTTCAAAGAAACTATTATAGATTTCGACAAGTGTTCTACAACAAATTTGTCACAAAATTTTCCAAAAATCGTAAAGAATTGCGTTGATGTTGACAATAACAAAGAAGCTTATTCACTACAAGGCATAATTCCTGCACAAAAAGCTTATAAGGGAAATAAAAAAGTAAACGAAAGAGCACTAATAATTAATAAAAAAATACAAAATGAGAATGAAGTACAAACCAGTAACCCATTAAAAAATAATTACTGTTTCTTTATTTGTGTCGATGACGAATCTATTCAAAAAAACAACAATCTGTCTGAAAATGTGTCTGGAAATGAGCCGGATGTTAATATTGCCTTTAATACGTTTACCTTGAGTTCTAAAAAAATATCTAAAATTTTAATCAATGCACAAGATGTTCAAAATAGGCCGGTAAATAAGTCCGTTAAAGAAAAAACTTCAAAACAAAAGGTCAATAAAACTCGTGCCATAAACGTATCAGTTGATTCTAAAGGTGACGAAATAAATAAAAATGTAATTGAGTTCAAAACAGTTGATAACGATTTAAAAACGCAAAGTCAAGAATTAATGAAAACTAAGTCCAAGGGTGAAAAAAGAAAATCAAAATCGATAAGCACTTGTAAATTAAATAGCTTCGATGATATTTTCACTTCGAATAAACATAAAAATACTATTAAGAATGCGACAAAAAATACAAAAGGGGACAAAACAAAAACTTGTACCACTAAAATCAAGAAAAAGTCGAACGCAGAGATAAAAAAATCGGCAAATAAACGAAAAACGACACATGAGTGTAACATTTTGCAGAAACAAACAAAAACAGACCTTCATGAAAAAGCTATGAACGATCTATCTTGGTTTGAAAGCATTAAATTTGTGCGAGAAATCGACGAAAGAGAATATTTTAAGCTCATGCCTGGATTGGACGATGATTTCTGGCATAATCAAATTTTACCATATATTGACAAAAATGAGTTTATTATCTAAAGGTTTAAGAAAACACAGCATCGGATGAAATTATTTAATAAAGTACGAGTCAAAGTTTAACACATTAAGCATATAACAGGAATTATTAAAATTTAACACTCTGACAATGGAAGATACAACAAGGCTATATTTTTCAATATTTATTTATGGTTAGTAACTTACTAATGAAGAAATTGTAGGCCTGCAAATAAAAGACTCACAAAATATAAAATTTATTTTATGTAATAGATAGTTAATTTCTATGTATTAAAAATAATAAACACAATTGTAATTAGTAAATGCTAAATTTTAATTATAAACATAGTGATTTATTTTTATCTTTCCAATATTATATAATAACTAATTTATAAAACAAATGAATACAACTAATTCAGAAATTATAACGATAAAAATGCTAAAATCCCTGCATGACGTAACTAGCTTATTATTGATAATTAATGCACTAATTATGTATCTGTCTATGAACATTACGTCGTATTCAGAAACAAATTTCCGGCAACATTAATATTACTTTATTGAAACAGAGTGCTTCATATTTAACAATATAATTTTGTATTATAATAGGTATTAGAATCATTTCAATATGTACCGTTCTTGTGAAAATCACAGTGATTATTCATCACAGTAATTATCACAGTGATTAATAATATTACAATATTTATGATTATTATTATTAATATTTCAAACTTTAAACATCTAAAAAAGTTCCGTAATCGTTTTTAAGCATTTATGTTTTGATCATTACTCTGACCGATAACTTTTTAATTAAAATAGTTGTCGATTTCACCAGTAAATTGACGATATTTATTTGACTACAATAACACTTTTTACCGAAGGCGTAAGGTAAACTCAAAATAAAAGTAAAGTAAATTCAACTTGAACTTAACTTACTTTCATCTGTCTTCAGCCTCAACCCAAAACTCTCTGCTTCAGTTAAATCCTTATTTCAAAAATAATTAATGCCCACAACAAAAATATAATTGGCAGTAAACAAATTAAACTAAATGAACTGGTTTTTATAAATAAATAAGTGATAAACTCCTTAAAACTGTTAATCATAATACGCAAAAACGATGTTTTGACAAATTCAGCCAGTGCCGGATTAACCACGCAGCAAGTTTAGCAATTGCTACGGACCCCGCGCCGAAGGGGGCACCGCATATTTAAATCGACTCATGTCTACCTGAATCTTTATTTTTTGAGTGAATCTTATTAAATAAGTAGTATTGAATCGTTTTTTTACCAATTTATACATAAGAAACCATAGCAGATCAACAACTTTTAGAAAACTTGCTACGGGCCCGCGCTTGTTTAACCCGGCACTGGATGGAGCTTTAAATAACTAGAGACTAAATGCATACCTAACTTTTGTTCCATGATTTTTTTTAGTACGGGCATATAAAAAAAAACCTAAAGTTGTAGATCACGGATGCATTTGTTTTTCACTTTATAGTGTGAGCGTTAAAAAATAAAACAAAGTTTTATTTTTATAGGGGAAAAAAATTGTTATTTTCACAAAGGACATCGGCCTTTTACTTTAACTGATGATTTTGCTTTCAGCCCGTAGACTATTAGAGCTCCATCGAACGCCGAATTCATTCTTGGCTAGACAGAAACCGTGAGTTTGGTACAGCCCTACGTGTCGGGTAGGACCGCGGATATCCGCCATTTTATTGACTTCGACAAGACATTATCTTTCATCCTTGGTCGAACTAACTACACTCGTAAAATGCGAACGTTTCCGTAAAGTGCGTAAAGAGCGTAAAGTTTCACGCTTATTAATGAATTAAAAACAATAGTTACGTACCGTCGTTCATAAATATTTGTACGTAAAAAAAAAACTTTTTTTTTTCATTAAAAAAAAACTATATAATCATGATATATGCAGTGTAAATATATTCTTATATATAGATTTTTCATTCTAAAATAACAATGGAAGTATATAATACTGGAGGTACGAACTTTGCATACATATCACACGGTTCGTTTAAATCAACTAAACGCTAGCTAAGCGTACCAACTAACCGCATAGTTACAAAAAATCTAATTCTATGTACGGTCCAATGTTCGATTTTAGGATTGGACATCCAAATTTAAGTAATACATTATTCCTTTCATTCCGAAAGTTGTTTAAACGAAAAACATTATTATTTCGAGAGACATAAAACATTTTGTTGCAAATGAACTTTTCCATAATACTAGCAACACGCAAAATATTCTATTATATAGAAAAGCTATGGTATTCGACTACTAAATAGTAGTATAAATAGTCGATTACTAAATAAATCGCAGTTATTTCGTAGTACTGAGTTATATATGTTCACGTCATGAATGAATACATAATTATATTAGGTACCATATCTAAACATATGCTTTTCAAAATTTTAATCAATAGATAAATCATCTAACAAAATTTATTTTCTTATGTTTTAAAATTCATCTGCCTATAGTTGAACACGATTTGAACTAAATTCTATCGACAAATGCAAATGTGATATCTATAATTGCTTGCGCTTATTTCATAAAAAACAAAAATATTATATAAATATAGCTTTCAATTAAAACACGTGACCCATATTCCGAATATAACAGCATTATGACTTTAGAATTATAATGATTTGGAATTGCTAAAATACAGTCGATGACTTTTCAATAACAATTTAAAGAAAAGCTTGTTTTCATAGTAAGTACTCTCGATATTAATAATATAAAAATTTTGACAAATACAAGCGTTACAACATTCAATATGAATAAAATAACAACGTAATGAACACCGACGATATTATAAGAAATTCAAACATGATATTGCACGTATTACTAATTAGTACGAACTAGCGAAACACACACCGACTAGCACAATTTTCGAATTGAAATAACTTTAGAGATGGCATTTAAAAACTGAACTTCCCGCGCACCTTGAAGAAGCCGAGGCTGATCTTGTTATGGAGGAGCGAAGTCACACCGACGTAGCTTTGAATTACGATCGGGGAGTGATGTATGCAGCAGGAAGATGACGCCATTGACTCTATGGCCCTCTGCAGCTTCTGGGCGAACGTCTCCATGTCGTACATTGACCTATCTTCGACACTACCTTCTGTAAACGTCGTACATATTGATACAAATTAGAATAATTCGTGAGAAACAACAAATTTCGCTACAATTCTACTTGCAATGTATGGCTTCTAGTTTTTATGTACAAGTTCATGTCACTACTAAACTACGGAAATAAAATCTAGACGCGCGTATTTATAACATAATTCTAACCTCCCATCGGTTCCGATGAATACGGAGATTTTTTCATCCTTCCTGTGTCTGTAAGTTGTAATTTTTAAAAATGATAAAAGTTTTAGGCCCAGGACAAATTTTGTATGATGAACAATGGTAATGATTTAAATATACATTTTAAAATGTTGATTTCCGTGTTCCTATGTTTGAAATCATGATTTATATCAAACATAAATTTTGGCCCCATTTTATCAAAGCATCTTATACCTTATAATTCAAATGATGGCCATTGCCAGTATCGATTTAATATAGTCATTTTATTCGGACTAAGTTGTTCATTTGGCTAAATCTGGTAAATCGCAGATTGTGGTGTTCATTTTAGAATTCTTAACGTTATTTTACAGATAAAAAAGAAATCGAGTAGAAAACGATACCTTGCACGGGTGGTACCAATGTCTACGTTAGTTATCCATTAATAATCTGTGTTTTTTCTGTGCACATGATTATTTTTTTTTCTGATTTATAAAAATTAACATGGTGTAAATTATAAATATAGGTTTTTATGTAAACACACATATTATTTATCTTTGTTGTAATGTTACAACGATAACTAATGTCTCCTCTAATACTGCTGTCTTACCTTTGTGCCAGTAAATGGGATGTGAAGCGAATGTCAGGAAAGGAACGTCTTGACTAAATGGGTTCCAGGCGGTCTTCATGGAGAGCGGTTCACCCTTATTCCACATCAATCGGACTCCGCGTAGATTTCGCTCTCTGCAACATTAACATCATCTAAATTTCATTTATCACAATTCGATAAGAGATCTAGTCGATCATGACAAATTACGAAATAACCTACCTACACACGTATATAACACAATTTTGTTCATTGTGCTTAATAATAAATATTTATCACTTTAATAAAATTATTGTACGCATTTCAGCTGGTAGCTTACTTCAACTTTTTAATTTCGAGTGGGTGACCTTCCAAATTACTGATTTTTAACCAAATAAATATGTAAATTAAGAATGAAGATAAAAAAATCAAATATATACCGTGGCGTTATGTACAATTAATTAGTAGCGATGAATAAAAGTATTGATTGATCTATTAGATCCGTATATCACTGAAAAAATTTCATTGACCGTAAATCACATTCAAATTCGAGTCAACAGGTCACTAACCCCGACAGAAAAGCTATCACACCCATCGAATTTTATTGTTAATATCATACACACTATATTTTTGTCAATATTTTTATATGTCGTCTTAACGTAGGTATCGAAATACATGTAAATTGTTAAATATTTTTATACATGATGACATTTTAACTATTTTACTTTGCATATTTATAATACAAAATACTCCTTTTAGGCTGAATACAAATCAATTTTATCACAACAGTTATAGCTGGTTAAATATACATACAAACTTTATAGGTTTGCGAAACATGAGTTTTATTTATTTTTTATCGCTAATCTATGATATGCCATCAGCATACCCCTTGTTTCGGAGGAAATATATACGTAATGAATAATCACAATCTTACTTTGTATATTATTACTCTAGTAATATTATATAGTATAGGTATTAGTAATAGTATAGGGTTTCCCAGAACTCAACGACAAGCCGAAACGGGGTGACAGGATTGATTGTAACCATCATGAGAAAAATCAGAAAAAAAAATCTATCCCATGAATTTGGGAATTATGGGCATTTAAGAAAAACCTAGAAATTCGGTCAAACTGTAACCATTTTGTGTAACCTGTTATTGTGGTTAATTTTTATTACATTTGTTCACAGGGGGACACCCTGTATATTATTTCCTACAACCATTAATGCGTTTTGTTAACATATGACTTAAAAAAAGTGGCATGCAGTTAGTTTGAGCAATTCATTAGATAAAATAATAAAATAAAAAAATAAATAAATGATAAAATAATAGCTGCATTAAATGGTTGAAATAGCTGCACCAAATAAGAAAGCATAAAAAGCTTCACTAATGACTCGGTCTGAATGTATAAAGAAAAAATTCTACCGACAAATCTAGAGTGAATAGCGCTAAAATAATACAGGCGTCACAACGTATTTATGCGACTACAGCAACTCAAAGTACCTAGGTTCAAAATACTTGGGATCGAACACTTTTGCCTCCGCGTCGCCGCCGGTCGGACGTCTGCACAGACGATCTATGACGCAGTCTTTGACAACGGTTGTCACACCCGTTGCGATGCCATTTATGCGGCTGCGGTGTCACACAAATTGATATTAATTTATACTAATTATTTCACGCCCCATTTCGATATTCTATAAAATTTTCGATCAAGTAAATAATATAGCCTCTGATTTCACGCACAACACTACCTTTTTTTTTATATGTCATTGTCATAAATAATGGCATGAAAGTGTAATAAAAGTAAAATTTAAATTTATATTTGCATTGCTTTGCACAGTTGATGAAACCCAATCTGGGGTAGACTGGGCTTCGTACCCTGGAGGGTAAAGTTTGCCTTTAATATGTATAATAACATATTAAAATGAATCTCAATAATCATTTGGATGATATTTAATTATTGGTACAAATATGTATTTATGGATTAAAATATGTATGTCAATAATAAATCTTATGGTTGGTACAATAAAATATGTAGATACTACAAGATTTACACAACAAGTCATATATAGAAAGCCAGCCACACAGAAATTGTGAGGGAAGGCAAAATGACCGATAACTAGTGAAGAAAACATGGAAGTTGTGTCAATCATAAAATGCTAACAAGGTTTAAGTTTTGCCCCTAAGAACACAATTGGATTAATTTTAGTAGGTATTTAGTCCGACAAGTTGTACCTTATGAGTGAGATTTAGATAAAATATCTGACCATTTTTTTATTTCACAGGGTAGACCATATATTTGGATTTCACAGGGTAGATTTTACAATATATTTATATTGTATTTGAACTAGTAATACTAGATGGTAAGCTGAAACATCGCAACAATCTTCATAATTTCTCACCCAAAGAAATTGTCCATAATATAATAAATGTCCATAGTATAATTCCATAATTTAGTTAAAGAATTTAATTGAAATATTTCTATATTCAATCATTTATAACTTTTACTTACGGTACTAAGGAAGAGGGGGGATACACTAGCTCTCCTATAACTATAGTGTCCAAGTCATCTAAATATGTCTTTTTGAAATCTAACTGTTTCATAGCTATGAAATCATACTTTATTGTCATAACCAGCCTTGATGTAAGAAGGACAATTCTTTCTTTTTCATTATCCCATAGAGTTATTCTGAAAAATTAAAATAGAGCACTTGATATCTATTATCTATTTGATTTTGATTATCTATTTGTAATACAATTATAGAATATTATTTCTACTTCCTACATACTCTGTCAATAACCAAGATCCTAAATATTCTCCATCTTCTGGAAACAGAAGTGCTGTGATGCAATCTTGAATAGCATTTTCAACAACACCTTTACGGAAGGTGAAAAAGTCCTTTATATTTTCACTACTAAATGGCACATCGTAACGAGGATAGACAGTCCTCTCTGGCTCTTCATTTTCAGGTCTTGAATTGGTTGTTCCCTCTGTTCTGGCATCTGTAAGAAATTTTATGAATATATACCATAAATCAATGCAATATAAATTAAAACTCTGCTAATTACATCTAAACTTGGTAACACATGAACATCAAATTCATTAAGGACCATACAGTTATTTAAAGGAAAAAATAATTTAAAAAATAATGTTAAGTACACAGAAGATTACTTTTAGAAATATCTTATATTATATTTAATTATAAATGGAACAAATTTTATGATTTAAGTAATTCACGAACATTATTTATAAAATTTTGTCAATTATAATTTTGTTGTCCAAAATACAATTTAACTAAGTCTTCAACTCTATTTTGAAGTATCACTACATATTATAAAACAAAGTTGTCCCGCTGTCTGTCTGTCCCTAAGTATGCTTAGATCTTTAAAACTATGCAATGGATCTTGTTGTGATTTTTTTTGCTAGACAGTGATTCAAGAGGAAGGTTTATATGTATAATACATTATAGCTGCGCGAAGTTGTGACGGGTCACTAGTTTTGTATAAATTAGACATACTTAGTACAGAATAGTAGTTTAAGACAATTTCTCTTTGAAGTTAAGAATAAAATTGTGTATTAAAATAAACTTAATTTTAAAGAAACAAAGTAGCCAATGCCTCAGTTAAGGTTTAGATTATGTTTACTAACCAAATTAACTTTGTTATTGAAATACATGAAGTCATTTATACATAAATTAAACAAAAGTTGCATAATAAAACTTATAAATTCTTTTTTGCATATCTTAGGTTGACTGAAAGTCACTTTAGTTCTATTAAAAGTTTCAGTTGTATTAAAATTTAGCATTTTTGGAATTTTCAATTTAGTTTGAGTCATCTAGGAAAGCTAGTATTACTATATTGTTTTTATTACCATAAAACAATATAGAGGAATTTATCTTTAATTTACTTATAATGGTCACCCAATAAATATATGAATATTTCGAGCATTTTAGGCTTTTTTAATAAAGAGAAAAATATAAATAGTTTTTCTATGCATTTTATCGTATTTGAATTTGTTATCACTAATAGAAAAAGTGGATTTTATTACCTCTACCTGCAAATGAAGACGTGGATGATGAAAGCGAATCAGCCCCCGATAAAACCGACGAGTTTGCAATTAGCTCATTTTTGTTTCTATTGGATTCTGACGCGTTATCACGTCGATTGTCTGCATTAGTATTGTCCGTAGATAATTGTAACGTGCCCACTCGTAACTCTAAATCGTCTTCCAATAAATCACCCATAATGTTTATTTAATTCCGTTTTCTAACTATAGGTAATTTCACGTCTTGTATTTTTTTGCGCTATGCGTAAAGCGTAAATGTAAATAATCGACCGGCTGATAAATAAATGCGCTTCCGATTAAATTAAATGTCAAACACAGTGTTACCATTTTCGCAACTTTTTATCATTATTTAGGAGTGTAAATAAATATTTAGTGATCTTCAGCTTATTTGTTAGCTTGATTATTATATCCATAAGATAATAAATATTTAGGACACATTTTTACACGACTTTCTCTAGTCGCAAACTAACGAACGCTTATAGTATGGGTACTAGACCACTGATAAACACTTAAACATACTTTTCTTTTGTAAATAAATACATATTATACATATATAACTAGTAAATACATATTATATATAAACACCTAGACACTAGAGAAACCCTATGTTCATCACACAATATTTTTCCAGTAGTGTGGATCGAACCCATGCCCTCTGGTGCAGGAAGCAGGTACACTACCCACTATGCCATTCGGGACTATAATACATAGTATTCATCCATTTATAGATTTTCAAAAATGCTGTTAAAAAAATAAAACATTTTACCTATCGCTCTCTACCAAAATTACTTTTTGACCCCAAATTTACGACTATAAAAACATACCGTTTGACTTACTTTCTATCCTGGGATAGCTATCTATTTATATACTGGGATCTTTCGATCCTGCGCAGAGCTCCTAGAGTGGCTAGCCGGTAATCCATTGGGACATCCATATAGGTTTGTGCTGGGAAAGCTCAAGCCGTGTTGGGGCGATTGGTCAATACGCTTTTCCCGGCAGATAGGTCAAGTTCCTCAGTCCACCATATTAACGTCTGGGAGTGTAAGACAAAGATGTAAGTCTCCGTGCAGGATCTGGACTACATTTAGCCTCTTGAGAGCACGGACCACTGCTCCATGATATGACGGAGTACCAGGGCTAAGGATTGGTTCCGTTATGCCAAGTTCCCTACAGCCTGGAAGGAAGCTGAGATCCACGAGCTGGGATTTGAAATAGTGCCACATAATGGTGAGGCGTTATGGTTTCACAAATTGCCACACAGCAGTGAACCACCCGATAAATGCATTCAGGTTGGTGGAACTGAAGTTAGAGTGGAACGGTAACTGAAGTATCTGGGACTCCATTTGGAACATTTTAAACAACGCCTAGTCCCGGGGTGGAGAAGATGCCGTTTAACGGTGGTAACTCAGCTGTTGCACGAATGGGCAGGCTCGTCCGGGTAAGTACCACAGAAGACCGGCGTAAAGTGGAAGTATAATACTTTCTTGTTTCGTCTGGTGAGTGAGGTTGCCGGAGCCCAATTTTCAAAAGGCTGTCGACGCATCTGGAACCCTCTGGTGTAGCAGATGTCCATGGCGGTGGTATTCACTTAACATCAGGTGAACCGTCAGCACGCTTGGCAATTTTTCACATAAAAAAAATATTATGACGATCAGCCTAAAACTCTCTCTCTAACTCGAGAGGGGTGCTGATTTTGCAGGTTCTCAAAGTTTTGAAAGCCTAGAAATGTTCACTACTTTCCGAGTGGTTGTATAGAAGCGGGGTGGATACGCGAAAGGAGTGTAGTGAAGTTGCAATGGCAAAAAGCAATTTATTAAGAATTTTGTAATCTTTATTTATATTCAATTTTTTTTATTAATAACAAAGAGAAACTAACAGTCAATACGGTAATTCAAAATAGTTAAGTAATCATTTGTTTTTAATAGTTAAGTCTGAACTGCTTTTCTGATAGCGCATGTACAAATCCATTATCATAATAGATCTTGGAATTTCCAACTAACATGTTATCGTCATAGCATACATCCAGTGTCGGTCTAGGAATCAAATGAAATGAAATGAATATATGCAGATAAAAAGAAAAATGTTTCTATAAAAATATTTATATACTTTTTAAAGTATGCGCATTGTCTAAAGGCAATAAGTTTAAAACAGCTGTTTCGGCTACCACCATCATTTGAATTGTAATCGGTAACACTAGATATATTAAAGAAATAATAATTTCAAGCTAAATTTTATTCTGATAAACAACCAATGTTCCCATATCCAGACACAAGAGTCTTTGCGTTTTTAAATTAGTCTTTAGAACTTTACACACGATTTAAATACATCGTCCCAGCTAAAGCATGCTAATATGCCACTGATTATCAAAATTAAAAATGTGGTACATCTTTATTTTAAGAAATGTCCTTATTACGCACCTTTGTTCTTACAAGAAGAAAATGTGAGTAAGATTCTTGATTCATTTATGGGTAAATTTGGTGTTTCAATTACACACTGATTACGTTTGTTTTTACCGCACACCAGTCCTTGACCGAGTCAACTTCATGTCATGTCTTTACGGGCTTGTCAACCGGTGACACAATTCTGCTTATTTCACAGTCACCTCAATTTTAATTATTATTCATTGATATAGAACGCCGCGATGACCGAGGTGATGGGATGTCTAATTTGCACCGAAAGTGCATTCTTATGGTTAAGTTCCTAATATTTAAGTGACGAAAACTGAGATATTACGAATGCTTAAAATATTTAGGTTTGAAAATATTTGGTGTCCTTTGCGAATATATATCTACTACCTGTTCGGCGTTGTAGGAAAATATAATAAAAAATTTAATGTTGTCAATTCATATGTCGAGCCGTCGAGCACTTAACTGATAGTAATAAATCAATTTTTAACCCCTGGTCAAATGATGAAGAGACTGTACATTTACAGCTACTTTGTTTTCTTAATAAAACTTAATGTAGCTACAACATACTTAATGAAATTCTTCCAACATTCAGTTGCCGCAAAAGTCTATCTCTATATATAAAAATTTATCGGTAAATGTGTTGCTAAGCGCAAATCTCGAGAACAATTGAACCGATTTCGCTTATTCTTTTATTATAATATTCCTTGAAGTACGAGGATGGTTCTTACGGGGAGAGAAAAATTAAAAAAAATTGCCTGAAAAAGTCTAAAAAGAACGAATCTTTTGTATGGGAATATAGAAAAGTTTCCATATTCCCGTACAAAAGATTCGTAAAAATACTTAAAAATCAATTTGAACTTTAATACCATACCATAAAGTGTAAGTGTTAGTGAAGTGGTTCTGGGAAGGAAAAACAAGGTATAGGTAACACATTGCACCCGTGCGAAGCCGGGGTGGATCGCTAGTTTTTAATAAAAGATTCGTTTCGTATACAGTTTATTTTGAAATAAGGGTGTGAAAATTGGAAGTTGTTATTTGTGTTTTGTTCATCTTCTATCCTAATTTCACTATTAATAATGAACTCAATAATTATTACTTTAAATATTTTAGTACGCGTATATGCCCTTTAAAAAATATTCCTATAACTAATTTAAGTAACATCTAATTTCAGATCGATTTTAGTAAAAGAATTTCGTGCGCTCTTGCATTGTTATAATTATACTATATAATTATGATGATGATAATAAAAATAAACTTTCTAAAGACGATATTGAACAGACACGTCTCTTAACTAGATTTTACCTAAATAAAAAAGTTTTTCTTCATTTATCTACAAAAAATTATAATTTAAAGTTCATCTTAAGTGCAGAGACTAGCACCTAAAATAAAAATTCATCTCAACATATTCTACCTAATTTGTATATATTGCGTGTATAAAGATTTATATGCAGATTTATAATTACTTTTATATGTGTTGATATAGATTGCAGAACCGGAGTTATCCCACACTTTTCCTTTAACCTATTTGTTATTTATTTTAAATTGGAACAACATTCCGATGCGGTTCGCTGAAAACAGATAGTGAGTGAATTATAAATAATCATCGGACAAATCCTGTAGCCGTTGATAAATTTCACTTATCGGGAGCATTCAGATGGATGAATTTCCTGGCTTATGTAATTGCAGATATCATTTATAAATTAGCTCTCCGCAAACCGGGATTCAGTTCGGCTTGTGCTTTACAAGCTGACGAACGTGATCACAGTATACATAGTAAATGGGTAACTGGAAAAATTCACAATAATGTATTTGCACCAGACATTCATATTTCTGTGCGGAGTTTACATCTGTGGTGCTGGATATGGTACCTACGGCTACTATGGCCCTACGCCGTAAGTGTATATTTTTTATATAATTTATTCCTTTTTTTTGCAATTACTTAATGTTTCTATCATAAAGTTTGCGTTATATATTCGATGTATTTTAATTAATTTTAGAATTTTTAGAATTGATAAAAGTAGAAAGTCATTACCTACGCTTTATTAAAATGTGACATTTATTATTAAAACAGTTGAATGCTATCTCCGTTTAGAGTACCAAAGATCAAAAAGACGAGTTAATAAGTTCGAGTATGTGTATAATTTATCGAAATGTCTGCCGTCGTTTGTAGGTATGCTTAATGCCCTGGCTACTGAAACAATTGATTGTTTAAAGCTTAATTTCATTAAAATGGAACAGCATTAACCAATGCAAACAAAAACACAACTCCCTTTCATTCATCTCGAATATAATAAAGTTATGGAATCGAACCCACGTATTCAGCATTCGCGGCCTGACGCTTTAGCTAAACGGCTGATTGCCACACCGAGGAAAATCTTAACGTCTTTTATCTAAATTGTTTTTTAGCATTGCTTATGCTTGGCGCATCCATTGTTATATCCTTTCCTTATCCTTCAATATCGTTGGTAGAACGATAATTCGAACGAGTGATGTCGCCATTGATTTTTAGAGATTTAATTAATAACAAAACATTTTTTTTATTTTATTGATTTTCGTCAGTGTTCAAGTTTAGTGGCAGTAATCAAGTTTAGTGGCTAAAGCGTCAGGCCGCGAATGCAGAAGACGTGGGTTCGACTCCCACAGCGGCGACAATCTTTTCGTACTTTTTCTACAAATTTTAATACTGGAAGTCAAGATGAAATTTACAATTTTATTGATTTTGTACTTCTTTTATTGTATTTCGTTTACTTTATGTAAGAAAGCAGAGCGGTTAATTGATTACCGCCCCCCATGGACATGAATAATACCTGTGGATGGACACCTGGATTCCTATTACCTCAATCGCCCAACGAAATTTAAAACCATACCATAAAACTGCTATGAGCTCTCGTACTTTCAACAGAAGGCCGAATTTTTTTTATTTTCTTTATTTTTATGGGGTTTTTATCTATAAAGATAGGCCAACCCCACCGTAACTTATACAGATCACAACAACCTACGGAATACGAATCCTTAAAATTATAAATTTATTAAGCCGGGAATTACTGTTTGTTGATTAGAACAAGGCCGCATATACGTTTTATTGTTTCACTTTTGAGATTCGCCAATATATTAAATATAAGGCCATCATGTAATAAATTTACATTCAGATCTTTAAACAGCAGTTCCCCTTTATTTCGGTTACTTTCACAGTCCATCAGCATATGATACACATCTTCGATTTTATTGCATACCTCACATTAAGGTGAAGCGGCCTTTCCCAATAAGAAAGAAAATTTGCCGATGGATAGTCCCCAGAACGAAGTGTTAGTGCTAATTTAAGGACGAACTTGCAATAGAGAGAGCTTTTACAGTTAACCCAGTTAACATTGAATTGGCAAGTGCTTGAACCCTACATTGAATTGACCCTGAGGTTTGGTTGCTCGGGACAGGCACTTTTTTGATTTAATAAATAAAAAAATAACTGAGAGATCTGACTTGCTGGCGCAGTTGCAAACCTATTGGCAACATGTTTTGCTGACGCTGCCTTGATGGAATAAGGGCAAGAGAAATAAAGAAGAAGATATCTGAGAAATATGCGGTCCAATCCAGGCGTAGGCTCTAATGAAGTCAGAAATTGAAATATGAGTGATAATTTACCACACTATGCGGTAACTCTACGAAATGAGTGAAAAAAATTGTTATGGTTATGAGAAGGTGTCAGTTCGCACTAGGGTTGCCTTATGTCCTCTGTATTTTTCGTAGTACTTAGAAACTTGGACACTTCATGCATAGGCCGTTCCTTTACTTTTTTTTAAATTCACATGAAAACACTACTATTACTTGAAAAATATTAAAACACTATATAATTCACTTCCCACAGTCAATCGGATGTCGAGGCGCCGTCTTATGTCCCACCATACATAAGAAACAATGCACATGGCTTCTCCTACCCTCACAATTACCGCACGAAAAATGCATACTCCGGCACAAAAACGGCATATTCTGGCACGAAGACCGCATACATACCTAGGAAGACTGGGTACGCAGGGACTAAAACTCATTATGCGCCCGTTAATGGCTACAATGAGAATTCCTGGTCGCAGGAAAATGTGTAAGTTTATTTTGAAATTATTTATAACTCGAAGGGTTACAGGGGAATCTTCGAATATACTACTTGAGTTGTACGAAATGGGAGCTCGTAAAGAAATATGATGTTATATATTATATTTGTAATTTGGAAAATATACTTCATAGAAACTCTAGATAGTTAGGTTTTTGTGCGTAAGAGATGAGAAGAGGCACATGACAAGTTAATATTAAATCAAGACACTGGAAAACCCCAACACTACAGGGGAACAAGATCCGTTGCCAACTTAGATTAGAGGATTTATCCTCGAGTAAAGTGCAGTACGTAATACGTACTGTGAAATGTTCGAAATGCCATTTTAAAATTTATTGTGTTTACTCGACTCTGCCCCGTTAATGTGGCTGTTGGCTGTTGTAAAGTATTGTCGGGGACCTAAACATTAAATGTTGGAAATTGAATGAAAAATCTTAAGAACTAACAATATCGTTAAATAAGTAAGTTAAATAATAAACACTTCAAAAAATTTGTTAAAGACAAGTACAATGACATTTTAGTCCATAAAATTATCAAGATCACGATGTAACATAAAATAAAATTATATAAAATATTATTACACAAGTATTTGCTACATTAAATGATAAATAGTTTAACTAACTTACCATTTCACAGGCCTAACCAGCGGCCATTCATCAGCGGAGCCCAAGAAATGGGACGTAAGTAGTAATTTAAATAACATATTATTAGATTTATGAATCCACATAGGATATGTCACCAGCGCACATATCGCCGTCACGTCCCTCTGCTAGACGTAGGCATCCCACAAGGCACGCTATTGAGATGTGTTTCGTAGTAGAAACCATACTTATACTATGGAGACTATGATCCCCAAAAAACCCAGTGTATTTGTTTTTGTAGGTGACACAACGCTGAATGAAAGTGGAATGTAATTAATGTAATCTGCTTCTTATTCAGAAAATAGGAATCATTGGAGACAAGGCTTCATCTTCTACAAGAGACGACGACGATGTTCCATACAACAATTTTCTTGGCATTTATTTTATTAATACACCATTATTTTATTTCCTGAAAAAAGACAATGCATTATCGATGCATCAACATTAATTTTATAAATATAAGTAAATAGGTAGCTGCTCTTATCCTATTGGAGCGGATACCAGCTCGCTTTTTTCACCATCAAAAGCTTTTTTTACACACGTTACTAAGGAAGAACATAGCATATTTTATGTAAACTATATTGCGTTAATTTTTTTTATCATATCCCATGAATGTTTAGGTAAAGGTATTTTCAGAATAAAATTGCTATCGAATAGTGAATAGCACCCACGCAACGTTTGTATCTCAGCTTACAAGTTTAGTCCTATATAGCGTCAAAAATAAACTAACAATCAACAAGCATTATTGGCAGTTCATTATCTAACCGAACGGAAACTTGGGCAAATCTCTGGCCGGACGAATCAAACGCGAGTACAAGCCGATTTACACATTAATGCGACCTATTTAAACTTCAATGTCACTGATAATTTGCATTTAGTCATACGAACCCCGATAAAGGCTGCCTGTGGGTCATGGGTGGATATTAATAAAATCTTTATTCATGAATGCATTTTGTTCTAATTATCTGGATCAAATCGAAACAACATCAAAAATTATATGGCCGACGCTGTAGATACAATAGAAACACACAATACGAGTCAGTTACAACAGCAAAGACTAGCCTGTTGCCAGTGTTATAGGTTCCATAGGCTCACTGAAGTGCGCGTCATACTTCAGTGTTTCGTCTGGTGAAGTGACCGCAATCTACATTATTAAAAGGTGGCAACTCATCTGCATATGTACGGATGTTGTAAATATTTATTAGCGACGGTTATCAGTTAACATTAGGTGAATTGCCAGCTCGCTTGCCACATTCTGACATTAATAAAAACTGAGAGTGCCTCCCGGTACATCACTCATCATTCTTCATTTTATATAAGCTGATAGTTTGTCAGCACATGCTCCCAACACAGGTAAGAACGATGGACCATTATGGAGTTGTTGTTGTTTTTTGTTTGGCAACGGGTTGGAACTATCTTATGTCTGGCTAATGAGGAAACATCATGTACTTTACGGTGGTAGGGCCACGCAGCAGCCTTGGCTGTTGCACGAATAGTCAGGCTCGTCCGGGTAAGTATCACGACCTCACAGAAGACCGGTGTAAAGTGGAAGTATAATAATTTCGCGTTTCTTCTGGTGAGTGAGGTGACCAGAGCCCAATTTCCAAAAAGGTTATCAACGCATCTGCAACCCTCGGGTGTAGCAGATGTCCGTGGGCGGCGGTATTCACTTAACATCAGGTGAACCGTCTGCGCGTTTGGCAAATTTTCACATAAAAAAAACTGATTACCCAAGTATTATATATAAAAATGAGCTTTTATACTATAACGTAAGTAAAATTATAATTTCATGAACATTAAAGGTGTCTGGCAAGGGTTTGCCACTATGTAAAGTGTCTGGCAATGAATAAAGTGATTTTGAATATTCTGAAGCTAATACCAAAAAATCACACTTTATTTTTTGATGAAAGTAAATCAGTATTTTATTCACCTTTAGTACCGTTTCCTCCCAAAGCCCGGGTAACCCAAACTCCATAATGGTCCATCGTTCTTACCTGTGTTGGGGGCATGCGCTGACAAACTTTCAGCTTGTATAAAATGACGAGGGCCTGGCGTTCACGGGCTCTTAGACACAGGTCACTATCAGGCTGTGATACGTCCCTGTTGGAGGACTATTATTACAATATTATAGCTTTTATGTTTATTGATAATCAGATTGGACATAATGTTTCCCTGTTACACTTGCAGCAAAATGTGAGATAGAATGCAAGAACAACGGGATCTGCGTGGACACAAACACATGCAAGTGTCCTCCCAATTTCCACGGAACGTATTGCGAGTTCGAGAAGAAACCTTGCCTCGTGTATCCTCCGCTGCCGATGAACTCTATCAGAAAATGCTCCACTGAGTAAGTATTAGCGTAGGAATATTCGTTGCCCTATATTTGTCCTAAGGTTATTGGAACGTCCCGTGTGTGAAACTTGCAGCTTTTAGACTTTCTGTGCATTATTTATCCAGTTACATTATAAATATATATGATAATAAAGTCATTTAACCAATAATAACATAAAGTATGTTTCGATTGCGAGGCATATCGATGATTAAAAGCAATATTAAGCAAATGAAATATTTACTCATAATTCTTTTAAACATATTTTGAACTAATTAATTTAGAAATTTCAACCGTTGGGGCAAGTAAGCAACGAAAATATCTAGCAGACCCCATTTTTTAATGTGCATTTTTGTTTCTCGTAATTCGGTGAATGAACAAAACGGACATTATTTGAACGAGGGATCGACAAACGCATGTGCTTACAAGATACGCGTGCTGTAATTATTTATGGTCCAAAATAAATTTAACAGATACTGCACGGTCACATGCATGGAAGGTCACAAGTTCATAGATGGGACGACGGTGGCTAACATGCGCTGTGTTGGCGGCGAGTGGCAGCCGACCCGTGCGGACTTCTCGTCCATACCCGACTGCACACCGGAGTGCGACCCTCCCTGTCTCAACGGGGGGGTGTGCCTGTCGGTGAACACCTGCCAATGTTCCGCCGAGTACAGAGGACCTCAATGCCAATACTGTGAGCTGCGTGCGATTGAATACACCCATTCTCCCGCATTCCAGGGCGGTTCTCACCGCCCTCAGCCACCGACTAACTAAACACAGTCAACGGCCATCGGGGTCCGCACCGACCTCGATGGTCCGTAGGCGATATGTCATAATTAACGCACGCATGCGCATGAGTACATGCGCAGCCCTACCCACTGAGGAGGTCCTAAAACCGGCGGGTTCTGGCTAGCCCACCGGTTCTGCATTCAATGAAGCTTTAATAGTCTAAGGACTTAAATCGTAACATCGATTATACAAAAAAACACACATTTCTCTCTCTTTTCTCATTTACTCTTCTCTTTTGTCACTTGCCCTACGGCTAGCGGTTACAAAACTTAATATGGGAATAAGCTCGCTGTACGCATCATTTGTAAATTGTGTAACTCAGTAAACAAAATACGATAACTAAAGCAAAATAGAACCTATATATTAATACGTGAAGCAAAATCTTTATACCTTTTTTTTCAAAAGTTGTGCGGACGGAGGAGTATGAAATTTCCCACACTTATAGTTTATATAGAGAAGGAGTGCATAATGCTAATATTTTTTTAAAACATACATAAAAAATAGATTAAATCAATACAGAAAACAAGCGTATGTAACACTACAGAAATACACAAATACATGGTTCATTTTACACACACACACTCTTTTGTTTATTGTGTATTGTACTTGAGAATAGATTAATATTGTTCAATCTTATAATTAAACTAGGGAATTATGTTTAAATTTCGACCACTCGGCGTCCACTAGTATACTTAAATGCGCCTGTGTGAAGTCATCTTGAGTGCAATACTCTATACTAAATACACTACAAAACTCGATATATTTCTAAATATAGCTATCAAATATTGATTAAATTAGTGCATGAAAACCGATATCAACGCATGGGCAATATATTTCGAAGGGAAGACTACAACAGATCTTCTAGGCCGCAGTGTTCTTTGGGCCTTACTATCCAATCTCTTGTTGTGACAACGCTGTCGGTTCTTCAGCGGCGAGCGCCTGCGACATAAGGAAGCTCGCCTTCAACGGCGGATACAACTGTTCCGGGGACGGCGAGCAGTTCTCCTGCACTCTCAGTTGCCCAGCAGGCGCCGACTTCAGCACCCCACCCGCCTCCCTCTACACCTGCCTCTACTCGACCGGCGTGTTCATGCCGCAGCCGATACCGCATTGCGTTTTCAGTGAGTGCGATGAACTTCACTTGCTATGTTCTAAATGTGAAAACAAATGTCCTTCGTTCAATTTCATCTAATTCTCAATTCTTGTCAATGTTAAATACATATGTGCATAGTTAATTAAAGGCAAAACCTCTCTCCTCCTCCAAACTCTTAATCGGAACTCTTAATTGGTAAAGTGTCTTAGTTTGATATATGGAGAACGGAGTAAATATTATACTATTTTCAGACTTGCATTTATAAATGTTCAGAAACTGTACGAAATAGATAATTAGATTTAAAATGATTGAGCTCCTACCTCCTTGCAGATCAGGTGATCGTGATTACGCCTAGCAACCGACCTATCAGTAGCGTAAGTAAAACATTTCTGTTATAATGAACAATTAATACTTACATTATTCGATCAAGAAGGTTTTTGCTGTATTTTCAGTTGTACCCAAATAAACATACATTTTTAATTGATTTTTTCTTCGCTAACTATAACAGAGTTTAAAAAAAGTTATACCTAATACGTAAGGCAGTCTCGTATTGATATATAAAAAAAATATGCTCCAATACCAACAGACATTTTACGAAGTTCAAAACCTGCGGAACATTACTACAAGCGAAAGTGTTCACCTCACGCCGGAGTCGGCCACCTTCGGAGCAGGGAGCCACAAGCCGCCTTCGCACCAGGTCATCGTGGTGCAGGACTTCACGCCCAAGGGCGGTGCCTGCCTCACCTGGGCCGGAGTCCATTACAAGACCTTCGATGGCAAGATATACAGGTGACGTTATTCCCATCTACACTAAGCACTTCAAGGTTTAAAATAATGAAATTTTTGACAGTTCTATTAACATCAACTATTTAAAAACGAATGTAATTCGATAAAGTGCACATTTTTATTTTCATAAAACATTCGAAATTCAAAATTATTGATTTTGAATTTCGAATGAGATCCATTGAGATTCAAGTTTTCATTGTGTCACAGAACTTATGACCCGACTAGGTGTTATACGAAATCCACGGTAAAAGGGGGCTTCGCTTTCACTTGTTACAAATTGTTACGAGGGTCGCGCGAAGAAAAATTGTCAAAAATCTCCTTTATCCCCTCAGCTTCCAGTCGCCGTGCCAGCACATCCTGGTGCGTGATTCGCAAGAGCATAAGTACACCGTGGCCGTCAGGAACCCGGAGTGCCAACGCCATGACTATTGCCCGTCGGAACTTGTCGTATATCTAGACGACAAGATGTACGCTCTGAGCGTAGGAGGTTAGTGCTTTAAGAATCAATCAATAAGTGCTCAATCTTCATGATAACCGAGTGAAGTGGGGTGTCTCCAACGACAATAAATGTAACTGTTGCGAGGTCCAAGCTAATGGCCCATCTGCTGCAATGTCCGCTGTGTCCCTTCTCCTGTCCCTACGAAGACGTATTTGAAGCCAATTCTGTAGCGGTGGATGTGGCACAATACTGGTCGAAAGAACTTGACTCGAAAGGAAGGAGAAGACAGAATCTTCTTAGGCGTTCTTAACTTCTAGAAATGATTATCAATTTCAAAATTCTTTAAGCTCCAATCAAAGTTATTTATTATTAGAATAATGTTGTATTTTCGTGAATCCTATATTAACTTTAATTTATATTTTTATATTTAAACATGTAATGTCGTCAATGTTTTAGAGGATGGAGCCGTACTATTCCGTAACACAAAACGGCTGATTCCTATCCCGGCCTCTCTGCCTGGCATCCGTGTATCCATGCCAAGTGACCAAGTATTTGTCAACTTAGATGCCTTGGGGGTCACAATCAAATGGGACACAAACGTGAGTACAATATTTTCTACTTTCAGGATGACACTAGTTTCAACTATGTGTACGAAATATTTATAAGACTTGAAAAAACGTTCAACATGTACTTTATTTATATGTTAATAAAATACACTTAGTATAATAAGTGAGTTTCTTAAACGTAGAAATGTGTTTGCTACAAGACTTACATAGTAATAGTAATTTGTCTTTACTCGCATTTAATCGATAAAAGTGTTAATAGAAGAATATTTCTTTCAGAATATTATTGTAGTAGAGGGTACACTGTTATTGTGGAATAAGACCGAAGGTCTTTGCGGTACATTGGACGGAAATCCGGAGAATGATTTCAGGATCAAAGATGGCACCGTAGCAAAAACTAAATCGGTGATGGTGGCCTCGTGGCAAGTGAATAAGATCGGAGGTATGCACTAAATTCAACAGATTAAAAAAATATTTTTTTTAATTTTGTTTAAGTCATTACTTACCATCATACATTCATCTTTATACATACGCTTCTGTTTTATTCTATAGATATATGCGACAGCAGAACCGCTGAGAATAGCGCTTGTGCCTCTAAAAGTGACGAGGACATGAAAAAAGCGTTGCAGTTCTGCACGAAAGTCTTCAGCAAGGACAAATTCCGCAAATGCTCTAAGGTGAAAACTTTGATTATTAACGATGAATTTTGAAATGTACACAAGGAACTGTTGACGAATTTATGTCATTTCAGGTAATGGATGTCTCCCTACTGTTGGAAGCTTGTCAGTGGGACTATTGCGCGTGCACCACAAGTTTAAGTGAGTAATAAATATATTTATTATTTCTTTAACAAGGTAAAACAAAAAAAAATATTCTAGTACTATGATAATGTCACTTTCTTCATATCTTTTGAAGAATAAAATCGTATGAAGTCACGATTACTAACATTTCCATTAGGCCCTGAAGAGTGCGCCTGCAAAACGGTATCCGTCTACGCGAAAGAATGTCTTCGGCATGGCGTCGAAGAAATGAAGACATGGCGTGACTCAGACACGTGTCGTAAGTAATAAGAGAATTCAAAAAGCATTTAAAACAACTTTGTAGCACGATATGGACTAATTATTTTTCGACATTCATTTTCTACAGCAATGCAGTGTCCAGATGGTAAAATTTATCGGTCATGCGGTACCGACACACAGCCCAGCTGCGCATTTCCCTTGGCGACGAAATCTGACAATAGTTCATGCGTGGAAGGCTGTTTCTGCCCTGACGGTCTATTTTTGGAAGGTGGAAGGTGCATTCCTAAGGTCGAATGCCCCTGCCGCGTCAGAAATCAAAGCTTCCCACCAGGAACCGTCTTAAAAAAGAGCTGCAACACATGGTAAATGATACATTTTTTTACTGTTAATGTTATGTTAATATAAAACACTTTCACCGTTTTATTGTTGTGTATGTTTGGTATAATCTATTAATCTTATCCGAGCGTAGCTAGGACGCAAAGCGGAATATATAGGAAGCAAAACAATGAATTAAAACCAAAATAGTACACGGAATTGTTTTTAAATCCCGACGTGAAACAGGGGAGTTATAAGTTTGACGTGTCTGTCTATGTGTCTGTGTGTCATACTGTGGCATCGTAGCATCTAAACGAATGGATTGCTTTTTTTTTGTTTGAAAGCTGACGTGATCGAGATTTTTCCTTCTTTGCTATAATTTCAGTTTTTTTTTTTTTGTCAGGGAGTAACTTAAAATTTATAAGTTGATGTTATGTTATCACTGAAATTGAGGCACTCAAATTATCAAAATGTCTAGTCTATAGATGTATACTCAAACTAGACCAATAGACTACACATCTCTTTCCGTATCATACGTTCTATATCATCTGTCACATTCACTTATGTATGTCATATAACGTAAATCGGAACAATATTAAACGCCACGTAGTATGGACATGCGTCATCTATATCATTAAACATCATTGTATGTTACTGATTATTTTAAACAATATCTTGTATATTTGACAGCACTTGTCAAGCCGGAGAGTGGATTTGTACGCAAGTGCCGTGCGGCGCCAGATGTAGCGCTGTGGGGGATCCCCACTACACGACATTCGATGGCCTGCGCTACGACTTCATGGGCGCCTGCACTTACACCCTTCTGCAAACTGAAAACGTCACCGTTGAAGTCGAAAATGTTGCCTGCTCTGGAAGTATTACCGAGGTAGGCTATATACCTTAGAGTATTTTTTGTTTTGTCTACAATAATTGATTTTCAGCTCACTTCCGAGCACTTGCTTTTACTTCAATATACTCGAGCAAAATGTCTCAACTTCAAGTGCCGGTGCCGGCACTTGAAGTTGAGACATTTCCAATGAAATTTTTAATTTTAAGTGCTGAGTTATGAAGTGCTTATTGGTGAAGGAAAACATATTTCGAAAAAAAATATGTCGAAGACATGTGAACGTAGCTGACCAATCCACGGCGTGGTCGCTAGGCCGCCGAAATGTAAAAGATGTAACTAAAAAGATATTGTTATAAATTGTTCGATTACTCGGTTGGTGCAATTGCTAAGCTGTTGGTTTCAGCGCCATAAGATATGGGTTCCATTTCCAGTCTGGACAAGTGTTTGGGTAAAAAAAATTGTTCCGGATGTGGGTGTTTGTCACAGTTAAAGTGATTGATGAAGCTGAAATGAAGCTTTAATAGTCTAAGGACTGAAAGCGTAACATCAGTTATACAAATACAAATTAATATGAACCTACATTTAGACTGTTTTTGTGATTGATGTGTTTTTCTTCACATGAAAGAATCTCATATCTGTTTTTGCAAAGGCAATGAACCTAGCACCGTACAAGGGCGAAGGGAAGCCGTCCTGCACGAAGGCAGTCAACGTCTTGTTCCACGGGGCACACATACACATGAAGCAGGGCGGGTTCATCCTCGTCAATGGGAAAGAAGTCTCCTCTCTGCCGGTCAACGTCGGGGACATAAGGATACGCGCAGCCTCCTCTCTATTCATAATCGGTAATTATTTCAACTAAAGGCAATGAGGTCTAATTTCACGTCCATACGTACCACGTTTAAATCTACGAGAAATGAAAAAAAAAACGCTAGACTGGTATGAAAGAGAAATATGATCCAGTTAAAAATTTAATTGGCTTTATCATTGCGTATATTACAGTTGTAAGAAACTTATTTTCCCATGACAATAACCCTTAGTCATTTGACGCATCTCTACTACAATTAGGTCTATTATGATTCAATATACTGATATTACTCTGCTAAATTTACTACGTACTTTAAATTTGCTCCATTACCTACATGATTAAATTTTTTTACAATGCTTTTTAAACTTGTCCTGGTAGGTCATAAAGAGATGACAGTTTTATTCATAACAAAATATGAAATTTTTTTTAAAGCATTATAATTCTGTGTTTCTCAGTTCAACTGCCAATCAAAGTAGACCTGTGGTGGGATGGAAATACCCGAGTTTTTGTCGATGTCCCTCCGGAATTCCATCAAAGTACAAAGGTTTGAACTTATATTTTAATTGAAATGATTTCTACTTAATTTAAAGTCTGTATGTTTGTGAAAATAAATTCAAATTATCCATACCAAGAAGCTAACGCAGTCACAAAAACTTAATTTTTAACGTTTAAACGTTAAGCTAGAATCTTTGTTCTTTATATATATTTTTATATTAATAAGAGAGCTTAACTTCCTTTACAGGGTCTTTGTGGAACTTTTAATCTGAATCAAAAGGACGATTTCCTCACCCCCGAGGGTGACGTGGAACAGTCCGCTTTCGCATTTGCCAACAAATGGAAGACCAGGGAGTTCTGCAACGACGTCGCTATAAAGGAACCAGAACACCCATGCAAAGCCAACATCGAAAACAAAGAAGCAGCTGAAAAGTATTGCAGTGTTTTAAAGAGTGCTCTATTTGAATGTGAGTAAAGAGATTTTTGTTGATTTTAAATTTAATTAACAGCTGAACAGATTTCATGATACGTTATACGTTTTCCTATTATTGGAATCCCGCAAACAATTGTTGTATTCTCGAAATCTGAACTGAAAATAAAGAAAGTTGCCTATGGTCTTATATATTTAGGTAGAAATGATATGTAAGTCTATCAACGTCAACTTAAAGCCAGAAGTGAGAAGTGTATCAGACATTAATCAAACGACATTCCAAGAAAGACATCACCACACCTAAACAAGTGGACCCGGTCTAATATTTCTGTCGTTTTAGTTGTTTAGTTGGAATTAACACTTTCGCAAGTACCCAATCTACGAACCACCATGCTTGAGATTTATCATTACTCCCGACGCTGCTGTACTACTTTATATTACTTGGACTTAGTGTTTACTCGTGTGCGCTGTTCCTTAGCCTGCCATTGGTACGTGGACGTGCAGCCTTACTATGAGAACTGCCTGTACGACATGTGCGCTTGCGATGGCGACGCTTCTCGCTGCTTATGCCCCATTCTTGGGGACTACGCGATGGCGTGCGCTGCCAGCGGCGTTTACGTGCAGTGGCGGTACAACGTCAAGGAGTGTGGTATGTCTAATGTCACATAGCTATAAATCCTTCTCGAGATATATCCTTAAAGACTGGCCTAGATGCGAATTTACTGTGTTAAGTGTTTACAATTTTATCACCATTTAGCATAGGTATGTTAAGCAAAAGACACATCATGATAAAAAACACATTACAAACGTAACTTACAATAAACCTCTATCTAGAATTAGCCGCACTTATAACTCCCTGGTTCTGGAACATCCTGAGCTGTTCATATTTAAACGGATATTGCAAGCAGCCTTAAATGCTTCACGATCTTGTTCTTTATTACACTTTTTTAGTTAGTTCATTAGTTATATTAGTTTTAAGTATGTTTGTTCACAAATATTTATTATTTTTCACTTTTCTAGTATACACTATCAGTCAATGTTTTTGTTGTTCTTATATGACTTCGGTCTTCTCTACTGTCGTCGCATAATTAGAATGTCAACTGACTGTTATAATAATATCTTTGTATTAATATTTAAATAAGTCGTCATTCTGCTTTGTGATGCTATGAATAAATGAATAAATAAATCACACGCCCTAACGACTTCAGCTGCTGACAAGACCTAATGAATATATTTTGCTAGGGAACTGATATTAACCAAGGTTGACGCTTTGGATTACTTCCAGAAATATCGTGTAGCGGTGGTCAAGAGTACACTGTGTGTGCGGACAGCTGCCTTAGGACTTGTTCAGATGTGGCATTGGCTTCGAAGCTCTCCTGCAAATCCTCCTGCGTCGAAGGCTGCGCTTGCCCACCAGGACAGGTTGGTTCAAGAATGTTGTGGATTCGTTCGGACGTTAGTGTCGAAGAATACAAGCCTATTAATATTGTACAATAATTAGTGAATTTTTATAATATACATATACAGCGTGTCGTTACCATCGCGACAATAAATCAACACACATATAGGGGATAACTTTTTAAAGTTGTATTAAACATTTAAATTCTTTAAACATCAATATTTACAGAGTTATTAAATTTTCCAAACAAAGAATTTTAGAACACCCTCACCTATAAAAGCGTAACGTATAGTTCATTTGTAAAGGTCACAAAGCATATGAATGGGTCGAATGAATTTAAAAGAGACAAAACATACTGTTAGAAGGAGAGGCTTGTAATACGACGCTGTGGCGCGATGGATAGGATGTTACAAATTTTGTTTCTTTTTTACTTAATTAGTTTGTTTGAAAAATATTTTTTTTAAGTTATGGATTTTGTTTAAGGTTAATATTTTTTTATGGTTATTGGCACGTAGTGTTTTTTTTTTTTTTTTTTTTTTTTTATGCGAAAAGTTTTTAAAACCTGTTTTGAAAAGGTTTACCTGATGTTAAGTAAATACCGCCGCCCATGGACATCTGCCACACCCGAGGGTTACAGATGCGTTGACAACCTTTTGAAAATTGGGCTCCGGCTACCTCACTCACCAGACGAAACGCGAAAGTATTTGTCATACTGTCACTTTACGCTGGTCTTCTGTGAGGTTGTGGTACTTACCCGGACGGGCCTGCCCATTCGTGCAACAGCCGAGGCTGCTGCGTGGCCCTACCACCGTAAAAACCGTACACCGTACACCGTAGTGTTAGACGTGTGTTCATTTATTGTCGCGATGGTAACGCCACGCTGTATATGACATGATGTATGATGATTTATTGAATGCTTGATGTCTTGAAACTTTATACTCTTCCGTTGGGCTAACAGCAAACTATCGCGGATTAATACTCGTACCAATGTGAACGACAGTTTACAAAAGTGCTTATAGCCCAAATTATTTTAGTCATATTTTTTTTGGGAAAAAAGCAGCAAACGAGCAGGAGGCTCACCTGATGGTAAGTGATCACCGCCGCCCATGGACATCTGCAACACCCAAGGGCTAACAAATGCGTTGCCGGACTTTTAGGAAAGAGTACGCTCTCTTCTTGAAGGTTCCCAGGTCGTAACAGCTATATGTCTACTATAATTTGGCTTTTAAGAAGAAATCACGCAAATCTATCCGAAATCTATTTTACAAAAATCAGATACAATTTCTGACAAAATAATTCCCATCAATTTATCGTGAACTAAATTATAAAACTACACGATTTAAAGTCACGACCAGAACTCTCGCTCCCGCGTCCGACTCTACGTATAGATTATATATGATTCTTCTTTTTTTATATTCCCGGTCTTGGGAAGCTTGGATTCGGTAATATAAGTTTATTAAAAAATCGATAATTTAGACTTTTGAAAAATCAGGTTTTGGATAGCAGCAACGTGTGCGTGCCGGTCGCCCTGTGCCCATGCTTCCATAAAGGCATGCAGTTCAACCCCGGCTACAAGGAAGTGAGGGCTGGAGCTCGAGAGCGTGAGCTATGGTAAGTTCATATAAAACAGGCAAAGTGTATGTAGCTCGGGACTTTATAATTTCTTTGCAATAGACAAAAACGGATGATGATGACATTTCTTGGGTTAGGCAACAAACGTTTAGATTACTGGCAAACTGCTCTTCACTGAAAATTTACACTTAGCACTTAGGTAGCAGGGAACCATTTTAGATAACTAGTTGCATTATATCTTAATCACCGACACCAACGTACTTGAAAATAAATAGTAATAGTAGTTCTCTTGATCTTTAACAAATAGGTTATATATCTCTAATTTAAATGTTAGTTTAGTAAATAAATTGTTGAAAAATGTATCGTTGCTGCGGGATCAAGCATATTTATCATACCTTTAGATTAGAGGAACCAAGCATTGTTAGAAATGCAAAATGAAGAAGTAGATAACTGTAGAAATTTTCGCGTAGCGATGGCATCGGCCGTTTAGCGCCTAGAGTTGGGTTTCATCCCTACTACTGGAAAAAATCGTATGATGAAAATAGTGTGTTTCTCGTGTTTGAGTCTTTATATATCTATGATATGTATTTATTTGCAGAAGAAAAGTACACTTTTATATGTTTGCCAGTTATCTAGTATCCATAGTTCAAGCTTTGCTTAGTATGGGACTAGATATTGTTGTGTAAAATGTACTGAAATATTTATGTTATTTATATTTATATTAAATTGGCTTGTGTATTACGAAATGATTGGATATTACCAGCACTTGCGTGGGCGCCCGTTGGGACTGCGAGCCAGCTACCCCGGACGAGATAGCCCGCTACCCGCCCGCTGAGGACCTTCGCAGCAACTGCAGTGCCGCCAACCACAGGGAGTTCACCACCTGCGAGGTCGCTGAGCCGCTCACCTGCAAGGTACTGTTCTTCGCTGGACAAGTCTTTTATTTCCACAATCGCTTTCATTTTTAGGGTACCGTACCCAAAGGGTAAAACGCGACCGTATAACTCCGCACTAAGACTCCGCTGTCTGTCTGTCTCTCACCAGGCTGTATCTCATGAACCGTGATAGTAAGACAGTTGACATTTTCATAGATGATATATATCTGTTGCCGCTATAATAACAAATACTAAAAAATAGAATAAAAAATATTTAAGTAGGGCTCCCATACAACAGACATGATGTTTTTTGTCGTTTTATAGATAATGGTACGGAAGCCTTCGTGCGCAAGTCCGACGGTTCATGAGATACGGTCTGGTGACAGACGGACAGACAGACAGACAGAAAGCAGACGAATAGCGAAGTCTTAGTAATAGTTCTTTTATACGTATTTTTGTAGAACATGCATCTGGCGCGAACTGCGACGACAAGCGAGTGCCGGCCAGGGTGCCAGTGCAAGAAGGGCTACGTGCTGGACACGGGCTCTGGCGAGTGCATACTGCCGACCCAGTGCCCCTGCCACCACGGCGGCAGGAGCTACGCGGACGGCGAGAGCATGCAGGAGGAGTGCAACACTTGGTGAGTGTTGAACGACACCGTTGTGTCGCACATTTTACGGCGGTAACAGTCTTCGCTGTTGCACGAATGGGCAGGTCCGTCCGCGGAAGTAACACGATCTCACAGACGACCGGCGTCAAGTAGAAGTGTTGTACTTCTGCGTTTCGTCTGGTGAGTGAGGTAGCCGGGGCCCACTTAATTTAAAGGCGGCAACGCTTCTGCAACCTGTAGGGTATTGCAAATACCACTTAACATCAGATGAAGCGCCAGCTCGTTTGCCAAATGACAAAAAAGAATGACACCATTCTTTTTTATCATAACCGCCCAAACCACTACATCAGATCTGATGACCCAAAAATCCTCGCAAAAGAACCTTCCAAGGACGATCCTGGAGACTATCGAAATAAAGATACATCCTAATTTCAACAGAGAAGATGCCTGGGGCTTATCGTCTGCTTGGGGTCCCATAATTTATAAAATTAAATCCAAGCATACCAACGGGAATTGTAAAAATCTAAATTAAAACATGATAAAATCCGTAAACAAGTTTCATTTAATATTAATATATATTAAAATATTCGCGTAAATTCAAGAAATCAAGAAGTCAATATGACACAATTGTGTTACACATCATATATGTGGACTCCGTGGCGCAGTTGGCAAGATAATGGCTTCGGCGTCGGGGGTCGTGGGTTCGATTCCCACATGGGAAAACTATTTGTGTGACCCACAGACAAATCTTTCGCATCTGGGTGTTTCTCCACATGGAATTTATTTTGTAAAACGTCCTCACAACACAGGATAATGTTATCCTAAAGTAAGGGCAATGTTTTTAAAAAAATAACTAATAATAAAAAAAATTGTATACGTTAATTTTCTTTTGTAGTCGATGACAGAATAAAATTAACTTTTTACAAAATGATTAGAACCTGTTTAAGATTCTCTCTAAGGTGTTTTATTGTTCAGGCGAGATCACTGAATCAAAGTATTTTTTTTTAATTCTCATCAAGGCCTACCACTAATTAGAATTCAAAGAAAATTTGGAATAGAAGTGCTAAAACTAATGACTGTTTTGAATCAAATATTGATGCATTCGTAAACATAACTGCAGTCATGGGATTTGACACAAGTAGAATAGTTTTTATTAGTATTAATGTTTATGAAAACTTCTTAATTCACTGAAATATTATTTTACTCGGAATGATTCAGTGATTTAAATTATTTGGCGAAAATCTTTATTCTGTGCAACTGTTTGACAGCAGATTATAATTCGTATTTATCAATTATATTAAATACAAATGAGAGGCAGAGAGACTGTAATCACTATGTTTAATTGATATGAGGTAGACATGAAATTAGAGCACCGAAACGCACCGAAAAACGCTCAAACTACGCCAATTGGTGTAATTACATTTCATACGTTTCTATATATTATGATCTATCACATTCACTTGTGTATGTCATATACTGTAAAGCGGAACAGTTTTTAAACACCGTGCAATATGGAGTGAAACATTGTTATTTATTGTAGTTATGAATGTAAACAATGAATGCTTTATTTTATATAATTCATAAGGCAAAAAAGTGTAATATTGTATATATATATATATATATATATATATATATGTACAATATTACACTTTTATATATATATATATATATATATATTTGTCTACATTAAAGTTTCTGCTTTACGTATGATATACACATATAAACCTTAATCCTCACCAAAAATTAAAAAAATTAAAAAATTATTAAAATATCAATTATCGTTATCAAGAAAAAACAGTTTACTATCAAGTTTTAACTGCATATACTGTGATTTTTGCTGTTATTAAAAAAAAAGAGAATCATTCATAAAAATTGACAAAAAAGTACTGGAGGCGCCGGGTATCGATCCCGGTACCTCTCGCATGCTAAGCGAGCGCTCTACCATCTGAGCTACGCCCCCTGTGTACTCTACTGATGAATAAACGCATTATATTATACAGTCAAAACGAGTATTGCGTTTTATACGCAATTTAGTGAGTTACATTGACCAATATTAAGCTACACTTCGTGTCACGCAGATTTATACGCAATGTAAGCAAAAATAAACCGTATTATGTTACATTGAAATAGTTTTATGGCACATTGTAGACTTATAAAATTTATTAAATACCTATATCACTAATTATTAATTTCTCTCTTTGAAACGGTTGGATTATTACAAAGAAATCGATGATTGTGAACCATATCTTATGTATGTATACATATACGTAGGTACATAACAATATGTTGATTTATATCTTTATCATTGGTGTTTTCATAAATAATTGTGGAAAAACGGACGTTATTATTTTCGTTACAACAGACTCGATAGGATATGCTAGTAAGACATAATAATGATAAAACTCAGTGTCCAGGTGGAATAATATTCCACCTGGACACTGAGTTATACCGGCATAAGGAGTTATATTGTCGTATGGTCACGCAACAGTCTTCGCTGTTGCACGAATGGGAAGGTCCGTCCGGGCAAGTACCAGTACCTCACAGAAGACAGGCGTGAAGTGAAAGTGTTATACTTCTGCGTTTTGTCTGGTGAGTGAGTAACCGGGGCCCACTTACTTAAAAGGTGGCAAAGCATTTACAATCCTACGTGCTTTAAATGTTCATGGGTGGCTGTCATCACTCAATATATTGTGAACCGCCAGCTCACTTGCCATCTTATTACATCAAAAAAATATGTGTACAGATAATTGTTCCGAATGTGGCTGTTTGGCTTTGTTTATTATACTTTTGTAAATCGCCTCTTAAACACAGGATTATTCTATCCTTCATCAGGGGTAGGCCATTACCTACCCCTGATGAAGGATAGAATAATGTTTTCTTTAAGTCATTACTTAAAGAAAACATTAAGTAAAAAAAGATAAATATATTCATCACAAAGTGCGAGGGTAAATCGGGCTTAATGGCATCATGTCGATAAACTATAATTTTTCGAAATTTAAATTTTCATAGTGCTAATCTCTGCACTTAAGATAAACATTAAATTTTTGTAGAAAAAAGGAACGAAAAGCTTCTTCCGTTAAGCTCAGTGGCTAGAGCGTCAGGGCGCTAAAACCGAAGACGTGGGTTCGATCCCCACGGAGGCGAGAGACTTTTGGTTCGTTTTTACTACAAAAAAGTTGAAGCTATGATTTGTTACAGCGAGTGCCGCAGTGGCGTGTGGGAGTGCAGCGGCCGCCCTTGCGTCGGCGTGTGCGCGGCGTGGGGTGACTCCCATCTGTCCACCTTCGACGGTGTCCATTACGACTTCGAGGGCGTCTGCAGCTACCTTCTCGCCAAGGGCGCCATGGACGACCGCGACGGCTTCTCCGTGGAGATCCAGGTTCGGTGCTCCGTTCGTTTTTATACGTGCGCGCGGGAATCCTAATAATTTCTAATTTACAGCGAAGAAATTTCACTTATTGTATAGCTTAAACCTAAATCTTGATTTTGAACATAGTCTTCATAAGCTTTCCTGATCTGATATGCCAGTTTCGTGTGACCGTATAGATATGGACGACAATAGCCTTTCGATTTAATTATTTTATTTATACAAGTATAATATAAGTATTGATCTAAGAACATAGAAACAATATCCACTAATTCAGCAAACTGAAGAATTAGAATTATTTACAGTGTTCTCTATAATTTTTAAAGCGATTCTTTTGTATGACGTTATTTGTAATACAGCAGAGAGTAACAGTACCGCAACATTTCTAAATTTTCCAAAATTTTATTCAGAACGTCCCATGTGGAACGACTGGAGCGACCTGCTCCAAGTCCGTGACCCTGAAGGTGTCTAACGCCGATGGTACCGAGGAGTCGGCCTCGCTGGCACAAGGAGCCCCGTTACCTGACCTCTCCGGTTTGAAGAGGTGGGTAGGAACGAATGAGGAACGGTATTTTGCTATGGCATTACGTGTGTATACTGCATATAATGGCTTTAAAAGTGATCGTCAGAAATTAAGGTCGTAAGTTTCGATTACATTTTCTCATAAAGTTTTGTTAGTAGTTATCCTTATTTATAGTAGTAATATTATCTTTGTTTGGTAGTAGATATCTTATTTTCTTTACCCAAAAACCGGTTAATCCTTTACTACTATCTCGCCTTATGTAATTTTATGTCTGCGTAGAGGGGTGAAAATTGAGGATTGTATGTATTTTTGTATGTTGTATCATAAAAAAATAGAAATTAAAAATTTTGTCTAAAAAATAAAAAAAAAATTTTGGGGTGGACTACGCCTAACATTTAGGGGGATGAAAAATAGATGTTGGCCGTTGTTCTCATAGATACCGGATAAGCTCAAAAAATTTCATCAAAATTGGTCAAGCCGTTTCGGAGGAGTATGGCAACGAAAACTGTGACACGAGAATTTTATATATTAATTATTAAGATGTAATTTTATATTGCTATGTAACACTTCATTCATTCTTGTGTTTAAGACCTAAGAATGAATAAGCGAAGACGTTAGAATTCTATTCAAGCTAAAAGACGTTAATTCGTCAAACTTAATGCAACGTTGTATAATGCAATTTTGATCTCTGGTATGTAGGAAATTTATGTTTGTTACTTACATTAAATATGAATCTTCAATTATGATCTCCACCCTAGAATTAAACTGCGCATCGCTGGTGCGTACGTGTTCTTGGACGTGCCAAGCTTGGCTATGAGCCTCCAATGGGACCGTGAGCTGAGAGTCTATATTAAATTAGACTCCATCTGGAAGAATAGGGTAAGCAGACGCCTTGGCTTGCTTGGTACATTTACTGAAATAACGGAACGTAGGTTAGGACCTTGAAGTAAAGAAATTATATTTGTGGTTACAACTAGGTATATTATTTTAATGAATCCTCTATATGTTGGTGTGTCGTAATCAATCAATGTGTTTATATAATTCGAGAATTGAGTCATTAAATATTCTAACCAGCGTTTGATCATAATTAGACTAGTATTATTTATACCTTATTATAAATAATAATGTTAAACTAAAAGTGTTACTTTTTTGTCATGTCGGAATTCAAACTATACTAATTTATGAAACAAATTTAGGTCAAAGGTCTATGCGGTAACTACAACTCGGACATGCGAGACGACTTCCAAACTCCGTCAGGGGGCGGCTTTGCCGAGACCTCCGCCCTCATATTCGCCGACTCCTGGAAACTGAAGCCCACCTGCCCGAAGCCACAAGAAGTTCCTGTAAGATGTTTATCTTTTATTGTATCTTTCAATAAGGAGTGTTATACTCACTTATTTAAAGCCAAAATACTACCACCAATTTGGAAGAGAAAATCCACTGACCCGACAAGAACCGTCGAAAGAAACTATTTACTATTTTTTGACAGCGCGAACATGCCTTACGTTGTGTGACGTGAATACGTTAAAAACGATATAGAAAGTCCGATTGGCTACTTAATTAATAGCCACTACGCAACGCTGTCACTAGTCTCTTTACTGCAGAGATTGGCACTACAAAGTAAAAAAAAATCTAAAGGCTCCGTCCGTCCGCCGCAGGACCACTGCCAGCAGCGGCCGCAGCGAAAACAGTGGGCGGAGGGCGTGTGCGGCGCGCTGAAGCGGTTCCCCTTCACGCTGTGCCACTCGGAGGTGGCGGTGGGCGCGCACGTGCGCGCCTGCGAGGCGGACGCGTGCGCGTGCGACGCGGGCGACGACTGCCGCTGCGCGTGCGCCGCCATCGCCCACTACGCGCACGCGTGCGCCGCCCGCGGCGTCACCTTCCAGTGGCGCTCGCAGGAGCTGTGCCGTGAGTTGCTTCACCGCTACTTTCCTAGCTATAGTTTGAGAAAAGAAACTCCTAAAAACCCCCTCTGATTTCTAACTCGCCACTTTTTCCGCGACGCGCTGTCTTCTTCCAGTGGCGCTCGCAGGAGCTGTGCCGTGAGTTGCTTCACCGCTACTTTCCTAGCTACAGTTTGAGAAAAGACTCCCTAAAATACCTGTCCTATTTCTAAATCAGCACTTCTTCCGTGACGCACGGTATCACGTTCAATTGACGCTGGCACGAGCTGTGCCGTGAGTTACTTAACCGCTACTTTGAGAAAAGACTCCAAACACCTTTCCTTGCTGATTTCTAAATCACCTTTCTGATTTCTAACTCGGCACTACATCCGCGACGCACAGTGTCACATTCGGGTGGCGCTCGCAGGAGCTGTGCCTTGAGTTTGTTCTTCCCGAAAGTCCCCTCTGATTTCTAACCTCCACCGAGGACTTTAAAAATCCTTTTGGTAGATCCAGTGGCTGCGCCATAAATTGCTTCACTGCTACTTTCCTAACTGCAATCCGAGTAACACTTTCTCTCTTTTCTCCTTTGATTTCCAACTTAGCACTACTTTGAAGACCGTTGAACTATACCGTAACATCCCTTCTAATGTTTCTTTCCAAGCTGCAATCCGAGAGAACACTTCCTCTCTTTTCTCCTCTGATTTCCAACTTAGCACTTCTTCCGCGACGCGCAGTGTCATCTTCCAGTGGTGCTCGTGGGAGCTATGCCGTAACTTCCTTCACCGGTCTTTTCCTAGTTGCAGTTCGTTGAAAGACATTCCTAAGTCCCCCCTCTGATTTCTAACTTGGCACTTGTGCGAAATTTAAGGATCCTTTCGGAAGACTTCAGAATACGATTTTACTGCAATTTGTGCCTATCCGTGCAGGAACTCCGGGAAAGTACCTCCGGCCTCACAGAGCGTGAAGTGGAAGTACTTAACTTGTCTACTTTTTTAAAGGTCGTCAACGCATCCGAAAGCCCTCGGATCGGCGGTCAATACAATAAATTTATACTGATGCTCATAAAGATATGTGTACAAAATAAATTAATTTATTCAAATTGTATTAGTTGGAAATAAATTAAAACGTTTTAAAAGCGAATATAACAACATTAAACTCTCCTTGATTCGAAAGATGATCCTATCGATTATTTTAATCTTTGTTTATCAATACAAATCTTTTATCCACCTACAATTTATTCAATTCTTTTTAAGCTATGCAATGTGACGGCGAATGTTCCAACTACAATTCGTGCATGTCGCCGTGCCCACCCGAGACTTGCGACAACACGCTTGACTACGCACAGTTGAAGACTGTCTGCGAAAAAGAAACGTGTATTGAAGGTAAGAACTCTTTCTCAAGTCCACCTGTCAAAAGAAAATATGTTCACGGAATCACGTGCAAATCGGTTGTCAAAATTGTAAAGAAGTCTGTAAAGTAGAGATTTTACACATTCGGTTGCTAATAATAAACTTTTTCTCCAAAGGTTGCAAGCCAAATAAGACATGTCCAAAAGGTGCGGTGTACTCGAACAGTTCACTGACCGAGTGCGTCCCGCGCTCCAAATGCCGTCCAGTTTGCATGATCCTCGAGGACGGAAAGGAGGTATTCGAAGGTGAGGTCATCGAGGAAGACGACTGCCACACCTGCCGGTGCTCCAAGAAGACCAAAGTCTGCACTGGGCAGCCTTGTTCCACGACCGCGGTAAGTTGCGTGAAAGCATTAAATGTTTCTCCTGTTTTAGGCGTTATTTACAAAAAGTAAGATTTCTTAAGAATTTTGACTACAGAAACAATTATTTCATAAAGTATTATACTTGGACTAAATAAATTTACGTTGATTTTCCGAGATATTTTTTTTACATTTAAATTGTTTATAGTGCTAATCTTTGCACTCAAGATTGAACATTAAAATATGTAGAAAAAGTGCGAAAAGATTGTCGCCGCTGTGGGAATCGAACCCACGTCTCCGGCATTGGCGGCCTGACGCTCTAGCCACTGAGCTAAACGGCTGATTGCCACACCACACAATGAATTGAGTGGTTAATATGTATCAAGAGATAAGAAAAACATTTAACCCGTGAAGACCTAAGATGGAGAATTCTATGATTCATTCTCCGTTGATTCAGACGAGCCCCGCGTCACCGACGTCGCCACGGTCCCAGGACGAGGCGCTGAAGTGCGTGGGCGGCTGGACGCCGTGGCTGAACCGCGGCCCCCCGGAGATAGGCGCCGAAGGGGCCTCCATCGAAAACGAACCGCTGCCCCGCTCCAACGAGCTGGTGAGCAACCCTCAAGTTTCTCTATCTCTTCTCCAAGTTCTGACAGGCTGCCAAACTGCAGCTAATCTGAGCTACAGGTCGACAGCCAATTCGCACGAAAAGCGGAACGGCTTACCCACTTGTGTTTAAAACCTTATTTCGATATTCAATTTGATTGACCTTACACTTAAAAATACAGACTCAGCTGGTTTCAGTTCGAAACATCAGCGGCAAAGACTGCCCTGTAGATTATATCCATCGTATTTCTTATATTAAGACATTAAGTTGTTTTTTAATTGAAGATGAATGGAACTAAAAAACTACTACCGCTTCAGGTGATTGGATCTCCGATGTGCAAGTCGGACATGATGAAGAAGATCGAATGCCGCACCGTGGGTGACCACAAGACCGCAAAGGAGACTGGGCTCAACGTCGAATGCAGCCTGGAGCACGGGCTAGTGTGCCGCGAGCAAGAGTCCACCTGCCCAGACTTTGAGATACGGGTCTTCTGCGATTGTGAAGGTACCTGCGGCCAATTGTGAATGACTCCCGATCAAAATAGAACATGTTATTGTGTATAACAGATTTTTTTTAGTAAATCATGTATTTTGGAAATAAAAAATTAAAAAATAAAGAAAATGATCTGGTATAGAAAAAAAAGTAAAAGAAATGTGTAAATGATCGTGATACGAACCGCGGCCTTCTGTTTCGGGGCCGCCCGATTACCAATCGAGCTATTATAACATTTTTTTGCGGCGAAATTTACTGTCATATTCGAATGATATTTTTCTATCCCTGAAAACAGGGATAATAGGACATTTTCTAAAAATGAAACGATAGCTAGATCGATTTTTCACCCCCGAATCTACGCACATACTAAATTTCATGAAAATCGCGTGCACGTATCTCTCATTTTTTATGGAGAAAAGGGGCACACGAGCAGTGATTACCACCGCCCATGAACACCTGCAACACCCGAGGGCTTTGTTGCATAGTTGTTCAAATTTACCTGTGGTAGGGCCACGCAACAGTTCGCTGTTGCACGAATGAGCAGGTCCGTCCGGGTAAGTACCACGACCTCATAGAAGTCCGGCGTGAAATTGAAGTGTTATACTTCTGCGTTTCGTCTAATAAGTGTGATAGCCCTGCCCACTTTGTTAAAAGGCAGCAACCCAGCTGCAACCCTACCGGTTTTCGTCCATCGGCGGCGGTTATCACTTACGAGGTGAACTGCCAGTTCGATTTCCACATTCGCACATAAAAAAATCCCGATCGCCCCACGAGCGTAACCGTCTGCCCCCGCAGAGACATTCCAGTGCCTGGACTCGACCCACCCCAACCACCCGCATCCAACGGACTGCCGCAAGTTCTACGAGTGCACGCCGGAACCCGGGAACCTGCCGGGGCAGAAGCACGCCGTGGTCAAGGAGTGCGATGCCGGTCTGCTCTACAACCCCGTCGCTATGGTGTGCGACTGGCCCGCATCGGTGATCGCCCTGCGACCGGAGTGCGGCACCACCACCACCACGGGTGAGGCATTTGACCGTAACTTCCTCAAAGCTTGCGGAAAAAATTGACGAGAAGTTGTTCGCAAACATTCGCGTTCATACCGCGCTTTAACAGCTAAGCTGTACGGCCGAATGCCGCTCCGACGAGAATCTTAACACGCTTTAACTACATTTTTGAAGTGAAACTTCTAATGCGACTTCCAACAAGGTTGCGTTAAAACGTTCAACGCTCCTGGGGAGGGGGAATAGAAAGAGACAGAGCGAGAGTGAATGCGTGGCACTCGAAGTTTCACTTCTTCCGCGCGGGGGGACTTCTCTTTATAATTTTTTTTTCGTTCATTTTAAACATTGTTGCATCTATTGTTATCACATTTACAGCAGACAAACAGTTTCAAATATCGTCATACAACAATCAATCGTTCGAATTATCGTTGTCGTGTTTAATCTTAAGCAGAGATTAGCGCTAAAAAAATACACACAAATAGACAGTCACGACTATTATACAACATTTGTCAAAGTAAAAAATGTCGCGAAAGAGAACCAACTACTTCTAAGGATGATTCGTTAACATGTTCAAATAAAAAAGGGTTCTAATTTCAATATTGCTCCAATAAATCTTAAAATTAGCACACTGATACTGTACGATTGTAAGGTCGGACAAACGCAATAAATTCGTGTGTCCACTTATACAATTTATTTCCTTTATTTAATTTTGCTTGTCGACTCAAAGTTTTTAGTAGTCAGTTAAAATAATTCATTAATTTATTGATAAAAGCAAGGATAGTTAATATCCTTTAAAGGAATCCGAATGATAAAAGAATTTTCAAAGAAATATACAACTCTTTTCAGGATTCCAAGAGACAACTCCGCTGGATATAACTGCTACACAAAAACCAGGAGGTCAGAATTATACTGTTATACCTATATAAAAAATTGCAAAATTTTTAATTTGTCGTACCTGTACATATAAACTCAGTCATTAAATGGCGTTGTCGTAGATTTACTTCCACTCAGAACAGTACAGAGGGTATAATCCACCATGCGACTCCAAAGCGGTTTGGTAATTCATATATCTTCGAAATGTTTTTTATCATTATTTCGAAAATATTCTGGTTTCCTCACGATGTTTGACTTCACCGCTGATCACGTGATAAGTCAGCACTTAAAATTGCAATTACCAATTTCATTGGCGCCGGCACGTGGATTTGAACTCACATTGCACGCATCCATTGTTTTAAAAGCGTGCACTCGGACACTGAGCTATCACAGGGCCTTTTAATTTTCTTAGTCCAAGGAAAGTTTATTCAGAGTAACGAATTAGTGATTTGTTCTTCGCAATTTGGTGACAAAATTATAATTTCGCTTATTGGCGATGAACTTTTAATTACAGCATTTAATTTTCTTCCTCTTTGCTTTAGAGCCGAGACTCATGACATCGGAATCGTCTATTGGCACTATCAAGTCCACAGCAGGTAAGATCCTCGAAATCAGCGATGTGCAAAACTAATAACTCCATTTCCATTAAGCTGTCTGTGATATAGTTTTTGATATAAATTAATAAATTGCCCTGACACTAAACATTTAATATGTATAGTACCTATAATAGTTACTTACCCCTACTAGGCATGAATTTCCATCGTAATACTTAAACATTATTTTATTCTGGAGTACATATATAAACCTGATTTAATTCACAAAAAAAAAACATGCAAGGAATGAGTAAGTAATATTTAAAAAAAACAGCAACGTCTACCAGAGGCAAAATTGAATAGATTGGATTAATCTATAGTCTATATGGCCGAAAGAATGCTCTCTCAGCACATTTTAGATCCTTTGTTGATGCAAAAAACGTTCATGAAAATTCGTGCTTTTTTTCTACTTTTAATGTTTCATCTTAAGTGCAGAGATTAGCACTATAAAAATTTAATTTACTCTCATAAATCATACTTAGAAAGCGTAAATTAAATTATGTGAAAGATTCGGTTGTAAACTGAGTTACTATATGGTCGAAAATCCGTTGCAGCCACGACCCCTCTTCCGACTACTAGCGAACAGTGCCCTCCTGGCCAGGTCTACTCGCCGTGCGCATACCCTTGCGACAATCTCTGCGACCATTTCCTGCAGACGCTGCTGGAGAAAGACCAATGCATGCCTGGACAGGTACAGAGATCAATACAACTCTAAAGAACCGATCTAGGGAACTTGTTTTTGCCAAGCCTTAAAGCATGTGAAAGTGTAATTCTTCCGAGCCCCCATCTTCTGTGAATACTTACCGTGGTACGTCTCCGGTCAAACCTCGCCACTCGTACAACATCAGAAGGTAATACGTAGCCCTATTACGGATAAATTTTACCATGGTGGGGCCAGCAACAGCCTTCACTGTTGCACGATTGGGCAGATCCATCCGGGGGGGTATCACGACCTCGCAGAAGACGGGCGTGAAGTGGAAGTGTTACACTTCTAAGTTGCGTCTTGCGAGTGAGGTAGCCGGGGCCCACTATATTACAAGATGGCAATGGATCTGAAACTTGTCCGTTGGGCAGCGGTTATCACTTAACATCACGCCGGCTCGTTTGGCACCTTCTCACGTAAAGCAAAAAAATAATTTTAGTTCCCTTTTTAGACAATTGACAAGCACTTCCTCATATTTAAAGTTTAGTTAAATGATTGATTTAAACAATTAACTTCCACTCAGGTTCTTTAGTTAAATGATTGATTTAAACCATAGAAGTTGTGATGTATACCAATAAAACTTTGCACATCGTTACCTCACTCACCGGACTCAAAACAATAAAGAATACATCCGCTTTACATCGTTCTTCTGTGAAGTCTTGACACCATTACCGTCCCTTCGTGCTACAGTAGAAGCCAGTGTGTGGCCCTTCCATTGTAAAAAATATTCAGATTTCCGTTCATTCAGTATGTTAACAAGTTCTAACGTCTGCAGAAATGCGTGAAGGCGTGCATCGATGAATCGGTAGCGAGCGTCAAGTGCGAGTTTGGCTCTAAGTGGCGCGACGAGAAAACCTGCGTGCCGATCAAAGATTGCACTTGCTACGACGAAGGGCAGATCGTTAAGGTACGCTAAAAAATACGTCAATATAATTGTTTTCAGTGTTGCTCTACGGCCGGTTTCAATATTCTGTCTACAGATAGATTTAGTTACTAGCGACAGATATTTGATCTTAGCTCCTTAATACTTACGTCAAAAATTTAACTGGTTATAGAAAAATTAATCTCTAGAATCTAGATCTTTATCTAGAAAAAGAAAAATATCTCTAGAATGTAGAAACCGGCCGTTAGATGAGCATACACGGATTAGCTTTTTCAATCGACTTTATAGAAGGATGAGGTTCTCAATCCTAATCCATAAATAATAAATAAATAAATATCAATTTCGGTATTAGATCTTAAGCTCAGGAGATACATCAGGTAACTCCTCAAAATCAAATATAAAATTTATAATGAGTGAGATATTTAAGGTCAGTTTTGTTTTTTGTTAATGAAAATTTACTTGTACTCTACCATCATCACCGTGCTATATAATTCTACTCTCATATAAATTCTTTGCAAAGTACCAGAGACACATGAGCTAAAAGTATTAGATTTTCAAAATACTAAATTTCAATTTAATACGTTTCTACTGTAGCCCGGCGGCGTTGTGGTGCGCGGCTGCGAGAAGTGCCAGTGCTTAGACAACGCCCTCCATTGCGACACCAGCGACTGCGTCTCCATCTTCACTTCAGCGGGTCCTACGCACATGTCGTACATCATCAAACCGCAGAGCACCACCCCCATAGTCACCACCACCATCGCTCCCACCAAGCCGGTTCTAGTTACGATCTCGTCCACGTGGACGCCCGCTCAGACCACGACGGCCGTACCACAATCTTCAGCAAACACCACAGTGTTCTCATACACTACGCAACCCACCATCGAGCTCACCACGGAACAGACGAGCACGGCGACCACTCTGACGACCCAGCCGCCCCTCATCATCAAGTCCACGACCACGCCGCCACCGAAATGTAATCCGGATAAGTAAGTCAAGTTGCCAACTATACCAACAGCATTTCAACTTTTGAACTGACATTTGAGTCATGTTTTATAATTAACTAGCTATTGCCCGCGGCATTGCTTGCGTGGGTCTTATTCGAAAAGCGTTTACTCCCGTAAAAACTTTCAACAACTATATCTGTTCTATAAAATTCGAATATTCTGAACCACGGCATTAGTAGATCTAATTCCAGTTTTGAAGTTCCTACCTTTAAAAACAATTTTCTATACTTACAAACTATTAAACACCCTTTCCCCACAGAAAAAATATGAATAACTCGTACAAACTTTTTTTAAGTCAAATATATTCCGAATTTCAGATTTCTAGACTTGTGGCTTGCATTGAAAATCAATCGGGACAAACGAATTTATAAACATGAAAGATTAATCAATCTCTTTTAAATTCTTCCATACACTTATCAAATATTATAATTTCACGTGGGATCCGTAGACGACTGTGGATGCAAACAAATCACATGATATTAGCAAGCATCACTATAAAATATGGTTTCAGTTACAAGTACCTGCTGTGGAGCGACGAGCCGCTACCGAATTCCGCCTTCACTGCCAGCTCAGTTGAGAGCGCACTCTACGAGCCGCAGTTCGCCGAGCTCAACGCCCACCCCCTGGACATAAGCGGTACGTGCACATTCATCTAAAGAATGTGTTTCTTTTGCGAGCGCGATGGTTTTTTAGGCTATTTTATTTTTGATATTGATACGTTTTTATTCTGTTTATTAGTATTTGTCGTTATAGCGGCAACATAAGTACATCAAGTGTGAAATTTCAACTGTCTTAATATCACGACGGCTCATGAGATACAGCCCGGTGGCATACGGACAGCCAGCGGAGTCTTAGTAATAGGGTCCGTTTTACCGTTTGGTTTCAAAACCCTACAAACTTAGGCTATTTCTATGCTAACAGCATATGAGGCGATAATTCTTCACGGACTTTTTACTATATCCCATTTTTATCAACATGACAGTATTTTGTCTTAATGCAGTGGTTGTTCTAAATAAGTCTCCAAATAATTATCACATGAGTCACATTATGAAGCCAAACAAAAAAGCTAAACAATAGTGGTAAACTTTTAGCCGGCAGTTGGACTCCGAAGACGATGGACGCGAACCAGTACATCCAAGTGGAGTTGCCACGCCGTGAACCGATATACGGTGTGATAATGCAGGGTAGCCCCCTGTACGATGAGTATGTCACCAGCTACGAAGTTATGTACGGCGACGATGGCCACGTCTTCTCGACAGTCGACGGCCCCGACGGCAACCCTAAGGTATTTTGATCGCGCCGCGTTTAAATAATGTTAATTTTTATATGAGACGGCAAACGAGTTGGCGGTTTACCAAACGCTAAGTAAAAAACGCCGCCCATTGACATTTGCAACACCCGAGGGCTTTTAGATGCTTTGACAACCTTTAGACTGAGCCCCGGCTCAGCCTCACTCAACAGACGCAAACGCAGAAGTATACTCTCACTGTCACTGTGGTACTTACCCGGACGGTGCTGCCCATGCGTGCAACAGTCTTGGCTGTTGCGTGGCTTTACCAATACCCATTAAACGAAAGCATGACCATTTGAAGCTGAAAAATAGCTCGTGTTCATATCTGATATATGGAGAAAGAATCAGTCATCATGGGACGGTAAAAAGTGGACATTAGCCGTCCTTCTTAAGGTTTTAATTCAAACCCTCATGATTATAATCCAACGTTTATTTTAATGTAAAAAGTTGTCAAACGAGCAGTTCAACTGATGTTAAGTGAAAACTTCCACCCATGGACAGCTATAACACCCGAGGGCTTGCAGATATGTTGATAACCTTTAAAAGAACCCCGCTCACCTCACCACAAATAAGAAGTTCATAAAAATAATCAATTTTGAGGCGAGGCTCTATCGCTCTAGCAGTTTTTAGCAAAAATCCTGCATAGATTCGTCCCTCCACAGGTGTTCCGCGGCCCGGTCGACAACAGCAACCCCGTCCAGCAGATGATCGAGCCGCCAATCGAGGCTAAGTTCGTCCGGATCCGTCCGCTCACCTGGAAGGAGAAGATCGCTGTCCGCTTCGACGTCATCGGCTGCGAGGAGCCTACCACCACCACGCCACAGCCGACCACCACCGCCGTCACAACGGTCAGTACACGTTACCGTCCTGTCACAATGGTCATCTGAAGTTTACTGAGGGATACTGACTGACGACTAGTCGCGCAGTTGCTAAGCTATTGACTATGGCACCGGGATTCGTGGGATCGAATCTGTTCACAGAGTTGGATTGGATCACGGTGGATTCACGTTTTGTGCCAATTCATTATTTTTTTGCGTAAAACCATTAACTTTTCCTATCCACCTTGCACTGAAATATTTTGAACGTGATATTGACGTTGTTAAATTGTTCCCCAGCCCGAGCAGTTGCAGTGCACGGAACCGCTGGGCTTGGGGGCCGACCTTCCGCTCGAGAGCATCGAAGTGTCCTCGAACAACGACGCCAGGCCCTTCCTGAAACTGGACAGCGAGAGGGGCTGGAGGCCGACGTACAGCACGCCGAGGGAGTGGATAATGGTTGGTAACACGATACGATGATGTTTAATAACATGGATGACGCACGTTCATACTGCGAGGTGTTTGAAAATTGTTCAGAGCCACACTAAAATATTTTTTATGGCGGCAACAGAAATACATCATCTGTGAAAATTTCAACTGTCTAACTACCACCGTTCATGAGATACAGCCTGGTGACAGATGGACAGAAAGACAGAAGGATAGACAGACAGTGAAGTGTTAGGTATAAGCTCCCATTTTACCCTTTGGGTACTGGATCCTAAAAAGTTTCTTAAAATATTTCCGTAGAGTTCTATCTAAGATCGGGTGTATATCGCGCAAAAATTCAACGTATCACCGCGATGATTTCAGAAGCACGAGACTAAAAATTCTCATTATATACATAATTTACATCAAGCTGAGCCGTGATAGCTCAGTGTCCGGGCGCTCGCCTTTAATTCAATGTACTCTAGCAACCTGAGTTCGATCCCCGGTGCCGGAACCAATGAAGTTTTTAACTTTAAGTGCTGACTTATCACGTGCTCCGCGGTGAAGGAAAACATCGTGAGGAAACCTGCATATTTTCAAAATAATAACAAAAAATATATTTCGAAAATATGTGAAGTCCGCCAATCCGCAGTGGGGTCGCGTGGTGGACTATGATACCCTCTGTATAGAGGCCTTTGCCCAGCAGTGGGATATGTATAGGCTGTTACTTTACTTTACTTTTACATCAAGTAATTAAAAAGTATAGCGATCAATTATACAACTTGCAGTAAGAACTTATGCAGTAATTTTATCACTATCCTTTTCTAGTTTTGTCAAGTCGTGTAAAATATTCAAGTTTCAACCGACGCGACACGTCTTAAACCAGATTGGAGTCTTATATTAATAGACTAGTATTAATTATCCGTTCACCCATTCCAGTTCGACTTCATGTCGCCGCGGAACATCACCGGCATAAAGACCAAGGGCGGCGCCAACGGGTGGGTGACGGCCTACAACGTCACGTACTCCTCCAACCTGTCGCTGCCGTTCAGCCCCGTGGTGGACAGCAACGGCGCCAATCAGCTGTTCCCCGCGAACTTCGACGCGGACACTGTAGTGTTCTTGCAGTTCCGGCCCCCCATCAGGGCGCGATACCTCAAGCTGCTGCCGATCAAGTGGTCCGGCAACTTGGAGATGAGGGCTGAGCCCGTCGGGTGCTTCGAGCCCTATCGTGAGTGCTGTTTCATAAGTGACTCTTCTTTTGTGTCTATTCGAACAGAAACAGTATAGTGTCCAATAATACAACTTACTAACTGAGACTTAAGAACTTTACGAGTTATGCAGTAATTTTAACTGTATAACTACTAAAGTTCTTACACCTTAGGGCCACGCAATAATACCGAGTAAGTACCACGACCTCACAGAAGACCGCCGTCAAATGGAAACGTTATAATTCTGCGTTTCATCTGGTAGGTGAGATAGGGCCCACTTTATTATAAGGAATGAAATGTTACGATATCCACTGTCTTCCGTTTGATACCTATATAGTTATAGAGTCAACTTCAAAATCATGTAAGAATGACTTCTGATTTACAATACCTACACTAGCTACCACAATCGCCCCCACACCCACGTCTTCGCCCAACGCATCTGAGCCCAGCTGCGAGCTTTGCCCCGGCATCCCCCCCTCCACCTGCAACTGCTCGGCGCCCACGCGCTACTTCGACGGCACCGGCTGCGTTTCGCGGGACCAGTGCCCATGCGTCGAGGGCTTTATAACGTGAGTCATCACTTCTAAGAAGCCGTGATAACTTAATACCCGGGCGCTCGATTTTAATTCGAATTACTCGGGAAACCTGAGTTCAAATCCCGGGGACGCAAAAGAAATCGTAAATTTTATGTGCTGAATTGTCACATGCGTTTTGATGTTTTTTTTTTTTTTTTTAAATAAACAAATGCGGCCAGTTTTATGTGTACAATTAAAATGAAAACGCAGGTACGGAGTGGGCTCCGCTTTCCGCGGCACCAACTGCGACGAGTGCATGTGCAAGTTGGGCGGCATCACCGACTGCAAGCCGGTCAAGGAATGCAACTGTGAGCCGGTCAGTTTAGTAGATATTTGTATTCATTTAAGTAGTTTGAGACAAAAAATCGTTTGACCAATTAAGGTGGTATGAAATACAATAAAATCGTAGAAAGCTTTTGAGATTTGGCTAAAAGCTTGTTGGTACATAGTTATAAGAGAAAACAGTAACTATGACGATTTTGATGATTCCGTGGCGCAGTTGCCAAGGTTTTGGCTTCGGCGTTGACAGGGGTTCGATTCCCACACGAGACAACTGTCTGTGTGACCCACAGATAATTGATTCGGATCTGGGAGTTTGTCCGGGTGAATTTTATGTATGTAAACCTTACAACACAGGTTAATGTTATGCTACAGTAATGGGGCAAATTTTTCGAAGGGAAGACTACAGTAGACCTTCCAGGTCGACGTAGGACTCACTACCGAACCCTTCCACAAAAAACGCAATTGGCTCCGGTCAGGACCTGGTGCCGAAGCTGCCCACAATAGATCTTATAGGTAGCAGTGGGGCTCACTGCCGAACCCCATCCACAAAAAACGCAATTGGCTCTGGTCAGGACCTGGTGCCGAAGCTGCCCACAATAGATCTTATAGGTAGCAGTGGGGCTCACTGCCGAACCCTTCCACAAAAAACGCAATTGGCTCCGGTCAGGACCTGGTGCCGAAGCTGTCCCCGGACACGTGCGAGTGCACGTGCGAGCCGTGCCCCGAGGGGTCCCGGCTGTGCCCCAGCAGCAAGCTGTGCCTGCCGCTGGAGCGCTGGTGCGACGGCCTCCAGGACTGCGGCGACGACGAGCGCCTCTGCAGCACCTCCGCCAGCCCCCGGCCGGCCGTCACCGAGCCCACGGTGGTCACCACCGTGGTGCCCACCGCGGCCGCCGCGCCCCCCACCACCACCGCCGCGCCGAAGCGTGAGTATGGCGCGTTACACCAGACTGGAATGTGGCTAACGGCAGATATTAGAACAGATAGAATTCTTTACGGTGACCCAATCGGCGTAGTGTGTATTGATAGTTGTGGGTTCTACTGGAAACTACTGGAAAAATATTGCACGATGAGCATGGTGTTTTTCTAGTGTCTGAGTATTTAAAAAAAATTAAGTAAATTAAAAGCCTGTATAAGTCCCGCTGCTGGGCGGAGGCCTTCTCTATACAGAGGATATTGTGGCATAGTGCAGCACGCGACCCCATTACGGATTGGTAGACTTCAATATTTTCGAAATTCGACTTCAATATTTCGGCGTACAGCAACATTATTGCAATTTCGCCATGAACTTTTAACACTTATTTTTATCTTATATTATAGGCAAACACGTGAAAAGATCCCAAATCACTTTTCATGCTAGTCATATAGTAGCTAAGTCAAGAATATTGTCATATATTGCCAAAATATTACATGTGGCTCTAATATTTTTGAGTGGTCCTACAAATCGTACAAGTAATTAAAAAACCTTCAGAATTTAGATTTCGGGATTTTAATGACCTTGCAAAATTCGCGAAATTAATTCATATTTATTGTTATAAGTAATAAAAGTTTATCAACGACACATACAAATATTTCATTTAGGCCTTAAAAAGCAAAGACCATAGAACATTAACAATTGACGACGGTTCTGAATTGGCAAATAAAAAAAAAACAAAAAATTAAATACGAGCTTGTCTTCGACAGGCAGTGACTGGAACCGCTCCTCAAAGAGTAGCGTTTTGAAATCATATAGAATGCGAAGTCATCAATTGAGATTAGTAGAGAGTGAGGAAAATAGATTGCCAGAAATTAAAAAAGAAACTAAAAGAAAATTGATTAGAGCTAATGGTAAGCATAATGATACAATGGATGTTTGATCACACCCTTAATAGCAATATTAGACAAAAATTAATTACATAATTTGCTATAATTAGTTTATTTAACATGGCCTTTCAAATATAATATACTATTTAAATATAACCTTTTTAATTATATCGATTTTATATAAGTCTTAATAAGTAAATTATGATTCAATAATGTTATTTTATTATTATACAACAAAACAGTTAACCACTTATTATATTCGCTTAAAAACAAGAAACTAATTATGCTTAAGTCATTGACAACTTCAATCTTTATTTATATTTCATCTAGCTTGCCGGCGCATTTTGTTTTTTAATTTCTTATAGGGGTTTATTTTCAATCAATCTAATTTTTATCGTATAGATTTTAATTAAATCATGCCCTAAAACTAAATGCAACAAAATCCATAAATTAAATTATAATTATTATTATAGATACGTTATTATTTATATATATATATATATATATATATATATATATATATATATATAACATACGTTATATATGTATATATATAGATATTTATTAGATAATTGTTGATCGTTTACGTGTGCAGTATTTGTGGAAATACAAGAAATAAACATAATTTTATATAATCATTTTTACCAGCATGAAAATTTTAATTATCACTTCCCTTCCACCACTATCCATGTGTGAGTTTGCTTTTAAAATACAAGCGCGCAAACATTTAAAATAGGAAGTATGTATAAATATCACAGGAACAAAAAAAAAGTTATGTTAATTCTTATGACTTGATTCATATGGGATTACAATGCCTATTTATTCACTTTGCTTTTTTCAGCTCTGGAATGTCCCAAGGTTGAATGCCCGCATGGTTACTTCGTCCAATATACTTCCAAGTCGCGGCCCGGCCACTCGAGACCATCTACTTCTGAATTTCCTCAACCCAGGCAGAGATATTCGTACCAGAGGTATTATAGGGGTGGCTACAGTAAAGGCGGCTTTGCAAAGGGTGGTTTCTCCAAGACCAGCTATTCCAAGGGAGGATTTTCTAAAGGCGGTTCTTACGGTGAGTTGTTTGAATTTATATTTTATTTCATACGGGCTTATGGTAATCGTACACTTTACTTTTTTTATAAACAAGACGCACATGCACCTAGATATCTCTCGACCACCCAAAGGTTGACTGGTAGATAATGCTGATGACATTAAATTCGCCTTTGTTCATTATTTGTCTGCAAAACGAATATCTCAAATCACGAACGACCACGACCACTCAAAATACTTTATGAACCCGAAACAATTTCAATTAAACAAGATCGTCGATACCAGGTCAGGCGAAGCCGCCCCAACAGAACCAAGTGTTCTTGCTGGATAAGCCCAATTTGAGCCAAAGCGCAACGCCGTCTAAGGAGGAATGCGCGCAGTTTAAGTGCATCCCGAAACTGCCGCCGCCCCCAAGACCGGGCTCTACACCGGCACCGGTTATCTGCTCTGCCCCCGCGTGTCCACCACACTACACCCTTAAATTGGAAGCGGCCACCGATTTCAACAAGTGCCCGCTGTGAGTATGACTCCCCAACTTTTGAGATTGATGCAAGCAATCAATCATCAGTCCTTTGAAAGGAAAGCACTAAAAAAAATACTTCATGTATTAAAGACACAGTTATGCAAGATTTACCGTTAAAATTCTAACGCCGATCGCTGACTTCTCGCATAAGTAATACTTTGCATTGAGCCAATGGATTTGAAAGTGGAGTCTTCCTTAGCGTTTATATTATTTATACATATCTATGCTGACAAAATAACACTGCCTACTTCATCCAACACAAAAGTTAATTAGAAGTCATCCACTTAATTATATCTATTTTTCTGTCTGAGGCTAGACTAAAGAGGCTTTAAAAGAATTAACCCCTAAATGGTTCTTACCATTAACTTGTATCATTCTTCCATTCATATCAGTAAGTAATAAACTACCTAAATAATTAAAATAATGCTCCAAATTACACTTAAAGGCTCCCAATGTTTAATGCTAGCTGTAAGTACATATTAAATCGGAATAGAAATCAAGTGAGATTATTAATAACTTCGCGTGACCTCCAGGTACGTGTGTGTGCCTCCCGTGGAGAGGCCAGTGTACTGCAACGTCACTGGACGCACCTTCACCACCTTCGACGGCGCCGAGTACAAGTACGACGTCTGCTTCCACATCCTCGCCAGGGAGAATCGCTTCAACTCCTGGACAGTTCTAGGTAATCAGGCCACAATAATTCTTATAAACACATCTGCTAGTGAGTTTTACTTTGATAACGAGCCTGTTCTAAGAAGAGAGTCCTTACTCGATGGAACTTAGATTAAAAATATTGCTAAGTTGCTAGATTGCGACCCTTCTCACATAAAAAACAAAAAAAAAACAAACATTATCTAAAACTGAATCCAGGCAGCAGAAATTAGTAAATGTAGAAATTTCGAAGACATATAAAAATAACTAGATGTTTACTTACTTCACAGTCCGCAAGAAGTGCCGCCCCGAAGGCTGCGTGAACCAGTTGATGGTGCATCAAGACGATCAGCTTATCCTCGTGAAACCGAACCTCATGATCGAGTACGATAACTACGAGTACACAGTGGAGCAGACCAGCAAGATCTGCTTCCAGAAGAACAGCTTCGATGTCGACCGCCTCGGCAACGGCGTCTCCATAAAGTCCAGGAAATATAACTTCATCGTCCTGTACACGACCGACGGCGATGTCATTTTTTTTTATGCGAAAAGTAAACGGCAGACGGTTCACCTGATGTTAAGTGAATACCGCCGCCCATGGACATCTGCCACACTCGAAGGTTACATTCGTAAATTCGATCGTAGAAAAAATAAACAGCGATGCGGTTTAAGCTTTTTGTAATAAGGCCTTCAAAACTTTAATTATTGTCGACTAATTCGAATAACGAACAACGAACTAAGTCGAGTCGAATATAAAGGACGTTGGCTATTGCATTATGTTTTCACCGCAACATTGTATATATATATGACTGTGTGTTGTAGTTTCTTTCTTTTGAAACTGAAATTTTTGAACGTGACAATTTCTCACTTTAGAACATAAAATGTGAATTGAAACTCAATTTTGCACGCAGGCTTTCAAAACTCACATGGGCCATGTAGACGGTCTGTGCGGCGCATACGACGGCGACGCCAGCAACGACAGGCAGTTGCCGAGCGGGCGACTGGCGACCAGCATCGACCAATTCGGCCGCGCCTGGGCCAAGCCCGGCCTCAAGCCCGACACGTGCCAGCCCAAGCTCATACCGCCCAAAGAACAGAAGAAGTGCTGGGACATGTGCAAAGTTATCACGTGAGTGTGCTGGCTTTATCACGTGCCCCGCCAAGTTGGGCTGACCTATTTGATGAGTGCCGAATCTAAATTTATAGTCATTCAAGTGGTATAGATGAATGTGCGGTTTTAGTAATCTTTAATCTGTGCACAGTTATTGGCACTTCTCCTTTCTTCTATGTAGGATCGGCACATCTAAATCATATTGTTAGTGGTATTGGCTAGGTTTTTACGACCTCCAAATGCGTTGGGAGCAAACACCTAGATCAAGTACAATTATTTGTGCGGGAACACAAAAACTCCTTACGTTTGGGTCGAACCCACGAACCCCCGACATTGAAGCCAATCGCTTAATAAATAAATCGCAAAATAATAAGTAATGCTACATCGCAGTACTTTTCAATTATCTTTAAATGATATGGAAAAACGAAATCTTAACTTTAAGAAATGCATACCATATTTGTTTGAGAAACAATTTTCTCATTTATTCCAAAGGGAAGAGCCGATCTCTCAATGCGGTAAAGTGCTTAACCTGAACAAGTGGCGCACCATCTGCTTGGAGAAGATATGCGAGTGCGCTGAGCAAGTGGTGAACGGCACCAAGCGAACCGATGAGGAGTGCAGATGCTTGCTAATGGAACAGCTGGTGGCGGAATGCTTGGCCGCCGACAAAAACTTGGACATCCAGAGTTGGAGGATGCAGATGAATTGTCGTATGCTATTTTTCATATTCCATATATTCGCGTTCGTATGCTAACGGCTTCACTCAAAAGAACATATAGAAATTGCGGATAATCACATTCCAGTATTGCCAATCTATAGTTTCCAAGAATGCAAGCATATGAATACGAGGTACATTATATATATTACTAAAATTTTGACCTATAGTTGCTTATTGTTTATTCTTTATTATTTTTATTAACTGTAAATTCTTTCCATCGGTCTTTCTTCACTTCCCATCCAATTTTATTTTTATCATGTTTAAATTTTTTTGACTGTGAACGTAAAAGTGCTATTCTTCTAATGATTTCTATTCATTCTCATCATGTCTAAGTACTTTTTACTGAGACCGTAAACGTACTATCCTTTTACTGATTTCTATCCACCTTTACCGTCTCCAATTACTTATGACTGTAAACGTACTACTGTAAATCCGGAATCATCTATTAATCCTCATCATGACTACGTATCACTTATGACTGTGAACGTACTACTATAAAATTGGAATCTTCTGTTCGTGTCATTCGGAATCTTCCATTCATCCTCATCACGCCTACTAATTACTTACGACTGTGTCTATTCATCTCCATCGCGTCTAAATACTTTTGACCGCGATTTGTGCCGTAAACTCGTGATCAGCGGCGGAGTGCCCTGCCCCGCTGGTGCACTACGACTGCTACCGGCGCCGCTGCGAGCCCACTTGCGCGTCCGCCGGCTCCACGAGGCGCTCCTGCCCGCCCGAGGACGGCGTCTGCTTCCCCGGCTGCTACTGCCCCGAGGGCCTCCTTAGAAAGGGCGACCAGTGCGTCGCCCCGCTCGACTGCCTCGACTGTGAGTGCAACTCGTATGCTAAGTTGCGCGCTGCAAATGTTTTTAACAGTGGTGGGGCCACGCAACAGTCTTCGGTGTTGCACTAATGGGCGGGTCCGTCCGGGGAAGTACCACGACCTCGCAGAAGATCGGCGTCAAGTGGAAGTTTTACACGTCCGCGTTTCGTCTGGTGACTGAAGGGCCCACTTTATTAAAAGTTGGCAACTCATCTAAAACCCTACGGATGTCGCAAATGTCAAAGAAAGGTCGTTATCACTTAACATTAGGCGAACCACCGGCTCGCTTTCCACCTTCTCACATAAAAAAAAATTTATATATACTATATATACTTCAATGTTTTCTCTCGTTAGTGAAAGTACCAAATGTACTACATACGTACCTACATACCCGTATACCTACATACCTAGCGGTTGGCGACATCTACCGTGCCAGAGGACTAGCGGGTGTCCATTAATCAATAACATTGATGAGAACAGCTTGCTCATTCGCCATCTTTGTAAAATATTAGCTCTATTTAATCTAATCAACAGCTGTATATCTAATAAGTAATCATTGTAAAATATCACGATATTTTCTACTACTATACTAAATTATACTTATTATAAATTATATATTAACTATGTTTATTATAATCTCATTCTTCATTGTTTTCTTCACACTTACAGCGTTGTTTAGGCCCAATTTTAGTTGAAGCCCATTCATTGAACAGACGTAACTTTATTCAGAGAAAAACTAACATGCATTTGATGTAAAAGGTGCTTGCCACGGCGCGGGTACTCCAGCAAATTACGCAACGTTCGAGGAAGATGACCTGCCCTTCCTGGGAAAATGCACTTACCTTGCATCGAGAGACAGGAACGAGACTGGAATACATAAATATCAGGTAAATGACAATCACATCATGAACTGGTGTAAAGATCGCCTCCACCACAACAGCCACTTGGGACAAATAGATTGGATTGAAAGTCCCAAAATAGTTAACAGCCCCTTGGTTCAAACTTTTCTGACGTCTTTTCTTGAGATTTTGAATTTATTGATAATCCTCCCAAACAAACTAAACAATTTAATTTATAGATACAGCTAGGTTATGAAACGGTGGCGCAGACAAAGCTGTTAACTTCGGTATCGAAGGTCATGGGTTCGATTACCGCTAGGAAAAAGTATTTTTGCCACCCACGTACAATTATTCCAATCCCCTGATTTTATTCCGAAAGAGGGGACCTGCCTGGCGTCATTCATGAGCCGGTCGTAAACTTAGACATTAACGATATAATTGACGTAAATTGCTGACCGTACATCAGTAAGTAGAACTGATTACAACTAACGCGATATTTTTATACTTAAAACAGGTTTACGCGACGAACGAGCCGTGCAGTGACAACAGTAGCGTCGTGTGCACGAGAACAGTACATGTGATATACGAAAAGGACGTGATCCGTATCACTAAGGAGCCAGTCACAAACATGGTAAGCAGACTACTAGTTTACTACCAGTCAAAGAGATGAAAGAGAGTATTTTCTTTACTACTAGTCAAATATACCTGTTCTTAGCTTGATTTGAAAGTATAATTCCTAATGCAAACGCTTTCTTGTCTAGATCCAGACATTCGTTAACGGCGGGCCGGTGTTCAAGTATCCCAGAAAGACCGACTGGGGCGAGATAACTAAAGTTAACGGCAAGGACGTGACCGTACTCTTGCAGGACGCTCACGTGGAGGTATGTATTATATAATAGTAAAGTAAAATATCAGATTCTTTTCGTATGGTGGACCATATCCTATATACAATACATGCTGCGATATCATTAAATTGTAAATTTTAAAACAAAGGCCGATTGGCGTAGTGGGTATCTTCCTCTTGCGCCTGAGACTGTGGCTTCAATCCCCACTACTAGGAAAATGTTGTGTGATGAACATGATGGTCTGGGTGTTTATATATTTATAATATGTATTTTCTTACGAAAGAAAAGTATGTCTAAATATTTAATTTTATCAGTTCTCTAGTACCCATATTACAAGTGCTGCTTGGTTTGGGGTCTTCTTTCGGTTTGAGTCTTTGGGTTTGGTAGAGAACGTTGTGTAAAAATGTGTCCCAAATATTTTTTTGTTTAATAAATATTTTTTTCATTCAGTTATTAAATAGTAACTAAACACAAAAAAGAAAATGAAGACAGAAAAAAATGTCTTTGCACGTATCGAAGTGTTCGTTCCGGTGCAGGTGACGGTGGGGCAGGGGAAAATGGAGTTCGGCGTGAGGGTGCCGTCCTTCCTGTACGCCAACCAGACGGAGGGCATGTGCGGCGTGTGCATGGGCTACCGCGAGCAGCTGCTCACCAGCAACGGCACCGCCACCGACGACTTCGAACTGGTGACCTACGTTCGCTTCTCTTAGATAGGTTTTCGACAGGGCCGAGACGAAAGCTGATACAAGTCTACGTTAGAAGTGACATTAGAGCGCAATACAGTTCAGTATTTAAAGTGTCTGTGATGTGTCCTTAGCTTTAGATATTGAGAATTAAACTAAAAAGTAAGAAATCTTTTGGTTTCAAATTTGTGAAACGCCACGTTGTACTCTAATTACAATTCAGCCGCGTCTTGAAATAAAACGAAAAAGTTGCTTCAGAATTCAACCACTTCCAGAAATCCGAAATTAAGAATATAATACTTTTTCATAAGAGTTTCTTATATTTACGCGTACAGCAAATTGAGAAAAGAAACTATTTAACGGATTTTATCGCGTTTAATACCTTAAAAACGCCTTGAAAAATTTCAGCGCCTTGAAAACGTCACAGTTGTACCAGCTTCGATTACAGAGGGTATTTAGAAAAAGTTTACACGAGCTAAATAACTAAATATCTGATAATAATAACTAGGTCTCTGTTTACTGTTATTTCAATAAAATATTCTGATCTTTAACCTTAGTAGTTCTTTAAATTTCTCTTAGTTTTATTAAAATTTTATTTTTTTCATTACCATCATGTAGTTTCAGTAATTACAAATAATTTAGGCACTCATTCTGAATTTGCCTCTGTAAGCCCTACTGTGCATATTGTACTACAACGAACCAGCATTTCAAAATCAAAAACTACTCATTAAATACTAGTTTCCGGATTGCACATTTCTGACCATTGCACAGTACGGCAAGAGCTGGCAGGCGGACGTGGACACGCTGACGCAGCTAGGCGAGTCGATGCTGGCGCAGTGCGGCGATTTGCCACCAGAGCCAGAGTGCGTGCCGCCACCACAGGACCACAACCCCTGCCTCGTGCTGCGCGACGTACAGAAGTTCGGAGCGGTAAGATTAAGTTAAATGTGGTAGAGCCACAACAGATTCGACTGTTGCATGAATGGGCAGGTCCGTCCAGGTAAGTACCGCGACCTCACAGAAGACCGGCGTGAAGTGGAAGTCATACTTCTGCCTTATCTGGTGAGTGAGTAACTATCACGGCTCATGAGATACAGCCTAGTGACAGACAAACAGACAGCGGAGTCTTAGTAATAGGGTTTTACCCTTAGGATACGGAACTCTAAAAATAGCAACTGTTGCATTTCTTACCGTTCCCTTCTCATCAGAAACTGGCTTCCAAACCGGCGTTAACCTTACGAACTGTGTATCATTACATAAAATTCCACAAGAACGCGCAAGCGTCTATTTGAATTAAGACATCAATTATAATCTGTGCCCGCAGTGCCACGCCCTCGTCGACCCGGACGTCCACATCGAGTTGTGCGAAGCCGACCTGTGCGCGTTCAACACCACGGATGCCTGTCCCTCGCTGGAGCGGTACGCGGACGAGTGCCGCCGCGAGGGCGTCTGCCTGGACTGGAGGGGAGACCTCTGCCCCTACCCCTGGTACCAAACTTCACATACTTACACATTGGGCAGTTAAATCCCGGGAGATCAAACTTCTATATACCCGTTGGGCTGTTAAAGCATGGTGAGACCAAACTTCTATATACCCACTGGGCTGTTAAAGCCCGGTGAGACTAAACTTCTATATACCCATTGGGCTTTTAAAGCCCGGTAAGACCAAACTGCTATATACCCATTGGGCTGTTAAAGGCTGGTGAGACTAAACTTCAGCACAGGTTAAAGTAAAGTGGCATCCTATTTATGTCCTACTGCTAGGCAAAGGCCTCCTCTGTACAGAGGTTATCAGGGCATAGTCCACCACGCGACCCCACTGCAGATTGGCGGACTTGCCTTCGAAAATTTTTTTTTTTTATTATTTGGAAGTATAACAGGTTCCCTCACCGCTGAGCACGTGATAAATCTGCACTTAAAATCGACAATTCAATTGGTGCCGGCACCGGTGATCGAACTCAGGTTGTTCGAGTATATTGAATTAAAAGCGAGCTCCCGGACAAGTAGGTATTAGGCAATTAGGTATCACGGCTTATTAGGCAGTTGCGGCTCGTTAAATCTATAGACGATGTTTTACTGAGAAAGTAACTCAGCCATCACACCCGCTTGTGATGAAATTTGTAACTTGTCATATACGTGGCTAATTTTATAAAAATTTGTGCTTTGTCGACGTGGTTTCGGCCAAATTTAGGCTCCCAACTTCTTTGGCTCGATCGTAGAGGAAATAAGTTGTTGCACTTACTGTGCTTTGTTTGATCTAAGTGTTTGTTTGTGGGTAGTTGTTGGAAGCCTCAACATAGCATAATGTTGCCCTACAATGGTTATCTTAAATAAATAAAATCTTTACGACTGGGCTATAAGCGACTCTTACTGATTTCCATTACATCGGATAAAATTTTTATCCCACAAATAAATGCGATGCACTCGTAGTAAAACGAAAATAATTAGTCAAAGGTATTATGACCTAAGCCGAAATGATATGATCGCGTCGATGATAAGCAGTGATATTGCTTTGGCTGAGAAACCGTATTTGATCGAAAGGGAGTATTAGTAGTAGATAGTTTACGGTGGTAGGGCCACGCAGCAGCCTCGGCTGTTGCACGAATGGGCTGGCCCGTCCGGGTAAGTACCACGACCTCACAGAAGACCAGCGTAAAGTGGAAGTATAATATTTTCGCGTTTCGTCTGGTGAGTGTGGTGGCCGGAGGCCAATTTTCAAAAGGTTGTCAACGCATCTGTAACCCTCTGGTGTGGCAGATGTCCATGGGCGACGGTATTCACTTAACATCAGGTGAACCGTCTGCTCGTTTGACAACTTTTCGCATAAAAAAAAAAAAAAAAAAAAGGGAAAAGTATCAAATATTTTAACGTTAAACATTTTAACTATTTTTAATCATAAGTATTAATATATTCTCAAACTTAATCTACTGTTAAGATCTGCCTTAAAAATACATGAGACTGATCCTGGACTGAGTATCTTCTTGTTTCACAGCGAAAGCCCGTTAGTGTATAGAAATTGCGTCGACTGCGAAAGGACTTGCGAGAATAATGAGGAGCTCGAAAGTAATCCAAATAAGTGCAAAAAACTGCCAGTGGAAGGCTGTTTCTGTCCAGAAGGAAAGGTGGGTTTTAATTTTCATTAAATTTTGATATAACTAAAGAGTACTTACGCTTTAGGTAATCTACAGTAAGGGTACTAGTTCATCGTAACTATTTTTGTGATATAAGTGTTTTGTATCATAATTTGATACGAACTGGAGTACCAGCTACTAGTATTAGACAAATATTCATATTGTTTATCTCTTCCAGGTACGAGTCAACAACACGTGCATAGAGCCAACTAAATGCTTCCCATGTGATGCGAATAAAGAACACTACGCTGGCGACGAATGGCAGGTGAGTATTCGACCAACGAAAAATCTACATCTACTTACTACATAAAGCAATTTTCAAGGCTCCATGACAACTGCGCCATGGAGCCTTGAAAATTGTTTTTTTTTTATGTGAGAAAGTGGCAAACAAGCTGGTGGTTCACCTGATGTTAAGTGATAACCGCCTACCTATGGACATTTGCAACACCCTTAGGGTTGCAGATGCGTTGCCACCTCGTAATAATGTGGGCCCGGCTACCTCACTCACCAACAGAGTGCAACATTTGTGCTTTACGCCGGTCTTCTGTAATTTCGTGGTACTAACCCGAACGGACCTGCCCATTCGTGCAACAGCGAACACTGCTGCGTGGTCCTACCACCGTTTATTCATCACACAATATTTTTCCAGTAGTAGGGATCGTACCCACAAACTGGTGCGAGAGGAGGGTTCACTCCCAACGCGTCGTCACAGACAAATTAAAACGTCCCACTGCATTTGTTGCAGGAGGACGCGTGCACGAAATGCGCGTGCAGCAAGCTGGCGGGCACCAACGAGGCCCACGTGGCCTGCACCAAGCAGACGTGCGCCGCGCCCGTCTGCGGAGAGGACGACCACCTAGTAACCGAGCCCCCCGCCCCGGGCAAATGCTGCCCCACTTACATGTGCGGTGAGTTTTTCGACCCACTTCAGGCACTCTGCCCCGCTAGAAGATATAACTTCGCACCCTTGACGTCATAGCGGAGAAAACCGACATGTCTCGTTGTGCTCTGAGTGAATTCACAAGAGTTGCAAGTGTACTATCTGTTACGATATTATGTGTATTTAGTTTAAAGCTATGCAAGCCATCGGGTGTTGTATACGTCCATGGGCGGCGGGCGGTATTCACTTAACATCGGGTGAACTGCCTGCTCGCTTTGACAAACAGCAATTGGCTACAATTAGGTCATTTCGTTTGTGAACTTCAGCTTTAAACATTTAGCAATAAAGTTCCCTTGGTACATAATGCTGAATGGTATTGGTTGAAATATACCTCCCCGGTTTTCAAACTGTAATAGGCTTTAAGATATGCGCTTAACATATATAATAAATGGAAATTTCTTGATATTGTGACAAAGGAATGACTTTTTAAATGGAGAAATAATCCAGAGTTTGGAACTAATTAATTATTAATTTTATCATATTCTCATCGGTGATAACTTCGTTTCGTTTTCAGTTCCCAAGCCTCAAGAGAAGCATTGCGATGAGCCGAAGAAGATGGAATGCGGATTTGGCCAGGTCCTTAAACAGAAGACCACTGCGAATAACTGCAAGGAGTTCTCGTGCGGTAGGCAATAAATTATCTCAGCTACGTCGGTCTATTCGTATTCTGATAAATCAACAATTACTAGTGTTGGCATTAATTACTTTATACACAAACACTATTTTGCAACATATTTCTTCGCAGTTATATATTAATATTTATTTCTTCGAGTTGCCACGCTGTATCGTGCGGCTGATTCGGCCAAAATACGAGCCAGCTCTTGGCTCACCAGAAACGGTAACCAGGCACGAGCACATATCTTTGTACAAACGTTTCGCGTCTGTTCCCGTAAACGCCACAAATATACAGCGTGTCGTTACCATCGCGACAATAAATGAACACACGTCTAACGATACTTGCCAATAATCATAAAAAAATGTTAACGTTAAACAAAATCCATAATTAAAAAAAAATATTTTTCAAAAACAAACTAATTAAGTAAAAAAGAAACAAAATTTGTAACATCCTATACAACTCGCGCCACAGCGTCGTATTACAAGCCTCTCCTTCTAACAGTATGTTTTGTCTCTTTTAAATTCATTCAACCCATTCATATGCTTTGTGACCTTTACAAATGAACTTTACGTTACGCTTTTATAGGTAAGGGTGTTCTAAAATTCTTTGTTTTGAAAAATTTAATAACTCTGTAAATATTGATGTTTAAAGAATTTAGATGTTTAATACAACTTTAAAAAGTTATCCCCTATATGTGTGAGAAAAAATATTCACTTCTTTCTTTTCTTTTCTTTAAAAACATGGCCCTTTGGTACTTTAGGATAACATTATCCTGTGTTGTAAGAGCATTTACACAAATAAATTTCACGGGGACAAATACCCAGATCCCAGTCAATCTGCGGGTCACACAAATAGTTGACATAGACATCTGCTACACCCGTGGGTTACAGATGCGTTAACAACCTTTTGAAAATTGGGCTCCGGCCACCCCACTCACGACACGAAACGCGAAAGTATTATACTTCCACTTTACGCCGGTCTTCTGTGAGGTCGTGGTACTTACCCGGACGAGCCTGCCCATTCGTGCAACAGCCGAGGCTGCTGCGTGGCCTGCCACCGTAAATAAAAACATCAATAATCTGTGTGCGAGCAGAGTGCAAGCCGGCGAGCGAGTGCGAGCCGATCCCGCCTGACAGCGAGGTGGAGATCATGGAGCCGGGCATGCAGCGCCTGGTGGACAGCAGCGGCTGCTGCCCGCGCGCCCAGATGGTGTGCCGCCCGGAGAGCTGCCCCACGCCGCCGCAGTGCGGGAACTTCGAGACGCTCAACCGGCGCAACGACTCCGCGCGCTGCTGCCCTTCGTACGAGTGCGGTAAGCCAACGGAACTTACGCCTCTACGTATGTATCTATTGCGGTAAGCCAGGACTTCAATCTCCCAGCCCTCTTCCACCCCCACCTGCCCCCCGATCGTGTCCCCTGGCCTTTCTTAGCCTGTCGAAATAGTCGATTTACAGTTATCTTTTGTACATTCCGCTTGTGTTCCTTGGCCTCCCTTAGTCTCACCTAGTCTGACCATCTGCCACTCTGACTTCACTATTTACATTAGCTGACTATCGACACAATTGTCCAAAAACAATTGATTGCGTAAATGTAACATACTTGCATTCATAAAGCAAAATATTTTTTTTTATTTGTGATAACGTGGTATTTCTAGCAAGTTCTCCCCCAGCCTCATCTGAATACGAAAGACTCTTATTTTATGTTATATTTATTACATCGAAAACAAGTATTCTTTTCTAAATTAAAATCTATTATCATCAATTTGTAAGCGGATCGAAATATGAACGTCACGAAAACTAATGTTACAGAACTACCAAAGGACAAATGTGTTGTGACTTTGGAGTGGGAGGCGGCTCCAAAGGGAGGAGAAAAGTTACGCAGCGAACCCCAAACGATCCTGAAAAATGTAAGCATAAATGGGCGACAACTTGTTATATTTTACAATTAAGAAATTAATTTGCACATTGTGCCTCAGAGCACGAAATCCAGATCGCGTCCTAATAAGTTTAAAAAATACTAATTGGCTTCGGAACTGAGAGTCGTGGTTTCCATTCCCACACGGGACAAATATTTTTGTGACCCACAGTACAGATAGTTATTTCGGACCTGAGTGTTTATCGACGTAAGATTTATGTATCAAAAACGCCCTAACCATACAGGATAATGTTATCCTACAGTGTTTTAAGAGAATAAAGAAGAACAATCTGTTCTATTCGGACTGCATCTTACTGTATCTGAATCTGGGCAATGGGTTAATATTATCGAAGAGTTTGCAGTGCTCTTTGGGACTCACTTTCCAACCACTTCCACAGAAAATACAACGCGGATCTGGAACTATATCTGGGCAATTACCAAACTCTTTCCACACAAAATACAACGCTGTATCTAGATCTGGATCTATACCTGGGCAATTTACTACCCAAACCCCTGCCACACAAAATACACATGCCGTATCCGAATCCGGATATGTATCTGGGCAGTTTACTTCCCAAGCCCTTCCACATAAAATACACACTGTGTATCTGGATCAGGTTCTATACCTGGGCAATTTACTACCCAACCCCTCCCACACGAAATACACATGTCGTGCCTGGATTTGGATCTGGGTTATTTACCATCCACACAAAACACAATGGCGTATCTGTACCTATGCGACGGTGCAGGTGGACGAGGTGTGGCTGGACGGGCCGTGCCGCTCGTGCCGCTGCGTGGGCGGCGGCAGGGGCGCGGCGGCCCAGTGCGGCGTCACCGAGTGCCCGCCGCTGCCCGTCAGCGAGCAGTTCGTGCTGGAGCCGAGGCCGGTGCCCTTCAGCTGCTGCCCGCAGCCGGTGCACGTCGCCTGCCGCCACGGCGACAGCGTCTACAAGGTAACACCGCCTTCTCCGTTTTCCACTCTTGTTCTTTTTGCTAAGGGGACATAAAGAAATATGTTGCTAAGAGGACATAAAGAATCTCAAGGGCTGGTGACAGCGTGTAAAAGGTAACAGCACCGTCTCCGTTTTCCACTCTTCTTTTTGCTAAGGGCACATAAAGAAATATGTTGCTAAGAGGACATAAAGAATCTCAAGGGCTGGTGACAGGGTGTAGAAGGTAACAGCACCGTCTCCGTTTTCCACTCTTCTTTTTGCTAAGGGCACATAAAGAAATATGTTGCTAAGAGGACATAAAGAATCTCAAGGGCTGGTGACAGGGTGTAGAAGGTGTCAGCACCTTCTCCGTTTTGTACTCTATTTATTGCTAAGGGGACATAAAGAATCTCAAGAGCTGGTGACAGCGTCAAGGTAACATCACCTTCTCCGTTTTCCCCTCTATTTTAAGGGACATAAAGAATCTCAAGGGCTGTTGACAGCATGTAGAACAGCACCGTCTCCGTTTTCTACTCGATTTTTGGTAAGGATAAAGAAGGAAGAAGGATAAAGAATCTCAAAAAATTTAGCATAACTATTACTACGATATACGAGCAAATGCAGCTAGCGTTCTTGGCACCATGCCGCGTGGACTTATTAGATAACGTGTAATTACTTTGTGTTTAATATTATATTATAATAGTAAATTTTTTTTTTTTAATATTGAAAATTGTTTATGAAATATTCTCTTCTCTGGACTGATTTGAATTTGGTCCATTTTGAACCGATCAATATTGTTATATAAGCCATCTTGTTCTATTGGTATAACGAGATGATTTTGACTTCGACTAAACCATTCTGATGCAAAATAATAACTTTTTATAAATGGTTGAACTTCGTAAAGGTCAACGAGACGTGGTCGTCGCCTTCGAACCCCTGCGAGTCGTACAAGTGCGTGCGCGTCGACGACAGCCAACTCGACATGGTCACCACAGTACAGGATTGCGATCGGGACTGCCAACCAGTAAGTTGTCGCAAGTAACTTTATGGCCAACTTTGATAATAACTTTCATCCTATTTTTCACTTCAAAAGAAATAAAAAATTACATTTATACTTAACGCCCATATAAATTAAAAAAAGTCGAACAGCATCTTGAAGGCTTGTCTGAGAAGTTGCTACGACTTTCTTCTTATTATACGATTATTTTACGAAGTTTTGCGTTGAGCTGGTCATTTTATTGTACCTTTTGTGTTTTATACAATTGAAATAATTAGTGGAGAATGCGAAAGATGTTATAATAGGTAATATGTGATCTATTTACCTATTCACTGGAGATTGTTGGAGTATTGTAATGGGCCAATATTTTTTTCCTTAACGTGGGGTTTATCCGTTACGGATACCTGGCTCTTCGGATAGAGAAAAACGAAATTACGTCGAATTCACATCGAGTAAGAGCTCACGGTGGTCACCATGTGCTCTGATGAGGCATCACGGGGATCTCCATTCGGAACACTACCGCGGCGCCTCCTTAAGCTCCCGTTCGGAGGCAGTATTACGCATGTTTTTGAGACTTAGTAAATATACTATTTTATCAGTATATATAGCTATTAGTAAATTATAGCCCTGTTGTTAAAATAATAGGATCTGTCAGTGGATTATTTTTTGACCTAATCTACCAGGGTTGGGAGTACGTGCCGGCCGAGGAGAGCAGCGGCCAGTGCTGCGGCAAGTGTAAGCCGGTGGCGTGCGTCTGCGAGGACAAGATGCACCCCATCGGCGAGACGTGGACCTCGGCGGACTTCTGCGCCAACTACACCTGCGTCGACCTCAACGGGACCGTAAGTTTATGCACTTAGGCCGGGGCTTCTCAGACTTTTGGCTCCACGAACTGCCGTTGAAGTTTCCAGATGACGGAGAACCTTTCAAATTAGTAATTTAATCCCCAACCCCAAAAGGAAATAATGAAAGTAACTGTTGAAGAAAATAAAGATTTTATTTCAATGAAATGTGAAAAAATTAGGAAATCACCGTTTTGCGTGAGAGCTCAGCATAGCCACCAGTACGTAAATCTTGTCGCAATTCCCTACCGTTCGTACCGTAAAGTTTATCAGTGATAGTTAGTCTAGTTTTCATTATATCTTAAAATAACAGTTCTGAAGAGATAATGATAATGATCAAGATAATGAAAATATCCATGATCTGAGAAAACCGAAAAAATTATTAAACTTTGTGTTTTAAATGTTTGTAGTCCTTAGTTGCCACATCATCATCCTCCCTCATCCCATCTAGGCGGCGTCGGCACAACATGTGGATTAAGTTGTTCGTGGTATTGCCTCAACCTTCACGTAAACCCACGCAAATACTTGTCTCTTTGTAAAATCGATAGCAACGGTTGCGACATAGATTTTTCAATAGCGGATTGATTCGATGGATACATTGTCAACAAAACGGATGGACAACGGTAAATGATCTGAATTGTAATATCCTCACCAGCTTCAAGTGCAAAGCTCGAACGAGACGTGCCCGAAGGTGTCGGAGAAGATGCAGAAGCAGTTCGTGCTCACAGAGGAGAAGATCCCGGGCAAATGTTGTCCGAAAGTCGAACCCGTCGCCTGTCGCGTTGACGACAAAATCTACCAGGTAGAATACAGCGCTTCCTCTATATTTTAGTTGTGTTAATATTTTACATTTATTATTGTCTTCTTCCTATAAGTGTCCTTCGCTGTGGCCTTCTAAGAGGGAGAGCTATGTTCAACAGTTGACGTCTTACGGCTGATGATTGTAATGATGGTTATTGTATAACTATTAACTAATAGTGTATTCGCCTGAAATCCATGACTGACGTTGCCCATCGATTTGGACGCAACGAAGACTATACCAAATATTTCCACATGATTGCAGTACTGATAAAAAAATTTACTGTGGTAGAACCACGCAACAGTCTTCGCTGTTGCACGAATGGGCAGGTCCGTCAGTACCTATCAGAAGTACGACCTAACAGAAGACCGGCGTGAAGTGGAAGAGTCTACTTCCGCGTTTTGTCTGGTGACTGAGGTAGCCGGGGCCCATTTAATTAAAAGGTGGCAACGCAGTCTGCAGTAATATCCGGCTCGGTTGTCATCTTCTCACATAGAAACATGTTCCTTTATTTTTGAAGGAGATTGAGATTTTGATCGGCAGTGAGTCGGAACTAGTTCATAAAAAATCTATATTTTTTTGTTCAATCCTTACGATTCTCTCTCATCTCTTAAGATCAACGAGACGTGGAAGTCGGCTACTGATGCGTGCGAGTCCTACCAGTGCTCCCAAGTTGAGGACAAATTGGAGAAGGTCACCACCGTTCAGAACTGCGATACGGACTGCCAACCGGTGAGTGGCGTTTGAAATACTGTAAACAGTTGTGTGTTTGATATGCAAGAGTCTTGTTAGGTATAAGACATTAAATTTTTTAGAAAAAAGGAACGAAAAATTTTTCGCCGCTGTGGTAATTGAACCTATGTGTTCGGGATTCGCGCCCTGACGTTCTAGCCACTAAGCTAAACGGCTGATTGCTACACCGACGAATTTCTCAACGTCCTTATCTACATTGTTTTTTTAGCATTTGTAGCATTTGAAGGTATAAGACATTTTTAATTAGTAAAAGTTACGATATTTATGTGGGTGCAAAGCTTGTATCAGAAAAATATCTTGTGATATTTGACAGCTGCTCCAATCAATCTATCGAAGTATGTCAAGATGTGACGAAACTCATTGTCGACTAAACGGGCGAAAAGGTTTTCGCCGCCGCGGGAATCAAACACACGTCTTCGTGATTTGCGCTCAGGTGCTGTAACCACTGAACTAAACGGCTGATTACCACACCGGCGATAATCTCATCGTATTTTATCTAGATTGCTTTTTTGCATTTTAAGCAATGTTTCTGTAAAGAGCCGTGATAGTTCAGTATCCGGGCGGCCTTTAATTCATTATACTCGAGCAACCTGAGTGCGACCAACGAAATTGTTAATTTTAAGTGCTGACTTTACCACGTGCTCAACGGTGAAGAATGAGGAAATTTGCATATTTTCGAAATAACAAAAAATATATTTCGAAGATATGTGAAGTCCGTCAATCCGCAGTAGGGCCGCGTGTTGGTCTATGCCCTGATACCCTCTGTATAGAGGAGGCCTTTGCCCAGCAGTGGGACATGTATAGGCTGTTACTTTACTTTTTTTTTACTTTAAGCAATATCTGGCGTGTCTACTTTTATGAAAAGTTATTTCGTCCATTTTTACTACAAATTCTAATGTTTCATCTTGAGTGCGGAGATTAGTAGTATTGGTGACTATAAAAAAAAAATCTAAAAAAATCTCTAAGTACTCGTAAAGCCTGACAGGGATTACAAAGTGTCAGAGTTTCGGGACGAGTTTCTGGAATTTTCCTCACATCAGGGCTGGGAGTACGTGCCGTCCGCGAACAAGGGCGAGCAGTGCTGCGGCAAATGCAAGCCGGTCGCGTGCGTCGGCGAGGGCAAGCTGCACCCCATCGGGGAGGTGTGGACCTCCACCGACTTCTGCACTAACTACACGTGCGTCGACCTCAACGGCACTGTAAGTCGTATTCTTTGATCCTGTCACGACATAAACATTCAAAATATCTTTATTCACATAGACGCTTGCGAAATGAAACGTAAAATTTTACATGAAAATTAATACGTTCCTAAGTTACCACCGGTTCGGAAAGCAGTTTCTGTTGAGAAGAAACCGGCAAGAAACTCAACAGTTGCTCCTTTTTAAAACGATTAGTTTACAATATAATAGAACGAGTATGTCATTTTAGCCTACGTGAGTATCAACAGTATTAACCCCACACCTTGGCGTCGTCAACATATTCCACAATGGTATAATATGCCTTAGCCATAAGTTTCCTTTTAATTTTGCGTTTAAATTGATCAAGTGGCATATCCCAACGACGTAGAAGTTTAGGCTAGCACCTTCCCTTATACGTGTCACCAGAAAATCAAGGAACTTTAAGTGGTACCTAAAAGTTGTTACCTGTTGCACGAATGGGCAGGTCCGTCCGGGGAAGTACCACGACCTCACAGAAGACCGGCGTGAAGTGGAAGTGTTACACTTCTGCGTTTCGTCTGGTGAGTGAGGTAGCCGGGGCCCACTATTAAAAGGTGGCATCGCTGCAACCCAACGGGCGTTGCGAATATCCATGGGCGACGGTCATCACTTAACATCAAATGAACCGTCATCTCGCTCGCCACCTTTACACATGAGTTTACAGAATATATATAATACTAATTTTCAATCACAAACCCTGACCTAATCCACTTCAAAATACAGCGTGTCGTTACCATCGCGACCATAAATGAACACACGTCTAACGCTACGGGCCACTAATCATAAAAAAATATTAACGTTAAACAAAATCCATAATAAAACAAAAAATATTTTTCAAACGAACTAATTAAGCAAAAAAGAAACAAAATTTGTAACATCCTATACAAATCGCGCCACAGCTTCACATTACAAGCCTCTCCTTCTAACAGTATGTTTTGTCTCTTTTAAATTCATTCAACCCATTCATATGCTTTGTGACCTTTACAAATGAACTTTACGTTACAGTTTTATACGTGAGGGTGTTCTAAAATTGTTTGTTTTGGAAAATTTAATGACTCTGTAAATATTGATGTTTAAAGAATGTAAATGTTTAATACAATTTTAAAAAGTTATCCTCTATATGTGTGTTCATTTATTGTCGCGGTGGTAACGACACGCTGTATATACGGTTTTTAGTTATCTAAACAGAATTCAAATGATATTCATCATCAACAGCTGCAAATTCAAAGCTCCAACGAGACGTGCCCCAAGCCCAGCGAGGCGATGAAGAAGCAGTTTGTGCTGAAGGAGCAGCAGGTCGAAGGGAAGTGCTGCCCCGTGATCGAGCCTGTCGCCTGTCGCGTCGGCGACAACGTCTACCAGGTGCGACAACTCCCAGCAGTTGCTATGGCCTTTTCTCAATAAATTAAGCAAGTAAAAGTAACCTAAGTAGCATTGTGAATATACGAAAGATTTGGCAGTCATCAGAAGTATTGTAAGTTATATAAGTGGTTAAATGTGATGATCTCTAAAAAAAACAGAAACAAGTAAATAAGATTAATACTTGACAATTGTTTAAAAATTTTAAGTATAATAAAGTCCTTCTTCATAGTTGAGCACGGGAAAAATGAGCGCTCAACATTGCATTTCCTTCACACAGAGGTATATTTGAAATCTCCTAAGGGGCTGATGATATTGTTCATTTTAAGCGCGGAATTATCAGGTGCTCAGCGGTGAAGGAAATCATCATCAATCAGGATCGTGAGGAAACCTGCATATTTTCGAAATAATAACCAAAAAAATATTTCAAAGATATGTGAAGTCGCCAATCCGCAGTGAGATCGCGTGGTTGACTTTGCCCTAATACCTTCTGCATAGGGGAGGTCTTTGCCCAGCAAAGGGTGGCTTTACTACAGGTGCCCAAATTCACACAGGAGGTTCAGATTCGGTAGTATAATCGTTTATTGAAATAAAAACAAACCTTTTTTTTTTTCAAAAAAAAATGCCATTCCATTCCTTAGAAAACAGAACTTGTTGACAATGCGGTAGTCATTCATAACTGCGTCGTATACTTTTTGAAACGATTTGTTTGCGTGTTAGTTATGAATGATGATCGCGCGTAAAATAAATGAGTTGCCCATATATCACGCACTTTTTGAGATAAGTTCAAATGAATGTGTTTAATTTATTACGAGTGATTTTAATATTTATCATTTTTATATAACATTATTTATGTCTAGAATTAATAAAAAAATAGGATACACTTAAAAAAGCCTCCCTGTATAGGCTGTTACTTCACATTACTAACATGTTCAGTTGATTGCTATACTCTTTCCTTTTATTACTTTTTATATTTTTTTTAATTTACAAGGGGCTGATTGAAAAAAGGGAATAGTAGACATTAGTTCATAAATGTTACAAAGGGACTTTCTGATTTCGGTCCGAGGATTTGACTGGACTTTAAGGTTAGAGGGCTAAGTTAGAGGAACGCACGAAAGGTTTCGTACAATTATCTATGAAAACGGCAAAAAATCATGTCTGTTTTATGGGAGTCCTTCTTAAATATATTTTTATTGTATTTTAGTCGTTATAGCGGCAACCGAAATATCATCAATCATCTGTGAAAATTTCAACTCTCTAACTAAAACGGTTCATGAGACAGCCTGCTGACAGACAGACAGACAGACTGCGGAGTCTTAATAATAGGCTCCCGTTGTACCCTTTGGGTACGGAACCCTAAAAATGACTATCGATAGATGTATTGTATAGTTCTCACTTCGATGAATAAACCATTTGATTCGTAACGCCGCAGGTGGGCGAGAACTGGACATCGCCGGTGGACGCTTGCGAGTCGTACGAATGCGCGCCCGCCGAGGACGGCAAGCTGCACAGGGTCACCACCCTGCAGGCGTGCGACGACGACTGCCAGCCGGTGAGTGGCAGCCACAAGGTCAGGGAAACACGTCATACAGCCGCTGACCCGATTGCTGTAGCGGGTAGTAAACGCCTTAAGCCAGGAGTGGGTTCGATCCCCACTACTGGAACGATACTGTGTGATGGACATGGTGTTTTTTCCAGTGTCCGGGTGTTTATACAGCGTGTCGTTACAACCGCGACAATATATGAACACACATATAGAGAATAACTTTTTAAAATTGTATTAAGCATTTACATTATTTAAACATCAACGTGGTAGGGCCACGCAGCAGCCTCGGCTGTTGCACGAAAGGGTAGGCCCGTCCGGGTAAGTACCACGACCTCACAGAAGATCGGCGTAAAGTGGAAGTATGACAAATACTTTCGCGTTTCGTCTGGTGAGTGAGGTAGCCGGAGCCCAATTTTCAAAAGGTTGTCAACGCATCTGTAACCCTCGGGTGTGGCAGATGCCCATGGGCGGCGGTATTGACTTAACATCAGGTGAACCGTCTGGTCGTTTGACAACTTTTCGCATAAAAAAAAATCAATATTTACCGAGTTATAAAATTTTCCAAAACAAACAATTTTGGAACACCCTTACGTATAAAACGGTAACCTAAAGTTCATTTGTAAAGGTCACAAAGCATATGATGGGTTGAATGAATTTTGGGTTGAAAGAGATAAAACATACTGGTAGAAGGTGAGACTTGTAATACGACGTTGTGGCAACGAATTAAAAAATCTCTGAATGTATGAATCAGTCAGCTGTAGTCGTTTAGGGTGTTACAAATTTTGTTTCTTTTTTATTTAATTAGTATGTTCAAAAATATATTTTTTTAACTATGGATTTTTAACGTTTTATATTTTTTATGATTATTGGCAAGTAGCGTTAGACGTGTGTTGATTTATTGTCGCGGTTGTAACGACACGCTGTTTATGTTGCAACCCTGACGCAAAAAAAAAACATATCGATCCCGTCAGCTTTCAAACAAAAAAATACCGCACCATACTCGGTCCATTCGTTTAGAACAAGGGTTCTCAAAGAGGGTGGTACCGCCCCTAAGTGGGCGCTGAATCTATCTGAGAGGGTGATTGAATATTTAAATAATATTGGGAACGCTAAATAACAATCAGTGGGCTGTTAAGTGTAACGTTACGATGAAAATTGGCACATACAGACACACAAATACCCAGACAGACACGACAAACTTACAACTCCCGTATTTATATGTAGCGGGTGAAAAACAGTAACATAAACCGTTATATTTGTTTTCTAACAACACTAAATCTCTCATCATTTCCTTCGCAGTCGCAATGATTAAAAAAAATGATGTCCAGGGCTTATATAATATTATGGACTGCAAATCATCTTCCGGGCCGCTACATGATATTACGGGCTTGCTTCGAAACCATCTGTTGCGTGTTCTCAGGGTTGGGAGTACGAGCCTTCCGCCAACCAGAGCGAGCAGTGCTGCGGCAAGTGCAAGCCGGTGGCGTGCGTCTGCGAGGGCAAACTGCACCCCATAGGGGAGGTGTGGACCTCGGCGGACTTCTGCACCAACTACACGTGCGTCGACCTCAACGGAACCGTGAGTACTGGCAATATTTTTTTTAATTCGAAACTGGCCAGCGCTTGATTGCTATCACACCTGATATGGTAAGAGGCGATTCGGCCGTTGGTGGTAGGCGCGCTAGCTCAGTAAAAACCTATTCACAGTTGCCTTGAATATAATATAAATAATAAGTCTCGTATGCATCATAGTATGACACAATTCACACAATTGAAGTATACTGGATCCGACTATAGGACAACATGTGTTGTGGCGAAACTAGGCTCTAAAACATAATTACACCCCTGATTATATAAATTATAATAAAGATGTAGTGGAACAGAAACAAGAAACCATGTCGCTTTTTGTGGGTCGGTGTGCACGCTCATGGTAAGAATTTTACTCTCATTTTTCTTCCAAACGCGCCAAAAGAGGGATGACTTCAAAAGTTTATTTTAGAATGCTATAAATTTTAATTCTAGCTCAATGAGATGATGAAGCGGAACTGGTTTACATCAACTTATCCGTTGCAGCTGCAAGTGCAAAGCTCCAACGAGACCTGCCCAGAAGTGACCAAGGCCATGCTGAAACAGTTCGTCTACTCGGAGGAGAAGATAGCGGGCAAATGCTGTCCGAAGCGCGAGCCGACAGCCTGTCGCGTCGGCAATGAAATTTATCAGGTCAGATTTAAATATTCTAGTTCTATGAACACCATCAGATCGCAGACGCAATGCTTGTAAAGTGTATTTTCACGCTAACAATAAATAAAAAAGGTCAACGTTGTTTTTTGCACCAGTTAGAGACGAGATGTTTAATAGATTTCGGTTCAACGTCCATACGAGAATCGGGAAGTATGGAATGGCATTTTACGACCACCAGCTCGCTTGCCGCCTTCTCACATAGCGAAACCGCAGGAGGGCCAGAGCTGGCGGACGGCCGACCCATGCGCGAACGTGACGTGCGCGCGCGACCCCACCGGCGCCCTCGCGCACAAGGAGAGCGCCGAGAGCTGCGTGCGCGAGTGCCCGCGCGGCTGGCACTACGCGGAGCCGCCGCCCGGCCGCTGCTGCGGCCGCTGCGACCAGCACGCCTGCCTCGTCGACGACGCGCTGCGCGCGGCCGGTGAGTGGCGCCGCGCGCGTACAACTCGCACACGTGCTACCAATACGCGCACACGCGTGCAACGCGCGCGCACGACCGACACGCGCGCGTACAACTCGCACACGTGCTACCAATACGCGCACACGCGTGCAGCGCGCGCGCACGACCGACACGCGCGCGTACAACTCGCACACGTGCTACCAATACGCGCACACGCGTGCAACGCGCGCGCACGACCGACACGCGCGCGTACAACTCGCACACGTGCTACCAATACGCGCACACGCGTGCAGCGCGCGCGCACGACCGACACGCGCGCGTACAACTCGCACACGTGCTACCAATACGCGCACACGCGTGCAACGCGCGCATACGACCGACACGCGCGCGTACAACTCGCACACGTGCTACCAATACGCACACACGCGTGCAACGCGCGCGTACGACCGACACGCGCGCGTACAACTCGCACTCGTACGACAAACACGGATACACACACACACGCGCACACATCACGCACAAGTACGGCTAATTTGGAACAATGCTCATCTTTAATGACCCCCAGACTTTAACCAAATTAAGCTATTACAAGTAGGCTAGAATTAAAAAGTAAAAATAACCTGACTACAATTTTTGTAACACCTTATGTAGTACAACAAAGCAACAAATTTATTTGTTTTATAACAATGTTACATTAAAATTTATTTGCCATATAATGGCGTCTTATCTTCACCATATTGATTACGCCCATGGCTTTAGACTTTAGAGACTCGTATAATTAAGACAATTCGATAACCGAAAGAATCTTAAAATGGGCGTACACATTTGATCTTCGAACGCAATTCGCACCACAAATAATCACACTTTGAAACATACATTATGTTGATAAACATATAACCCTCCTTTGCATCGCACAGGAGGGTAAAAATAGCAGCCGAAATATTTTTGGTTGTAGGACATTAAATCACCATAACCTACATTTATGTTAAGATTTTAAAGGACTCAATATGGCTTGTCTATCTACATGTCCTGTCATAAACACATAAACAACCTCGTTGTTTCCTCGAAATACTCGTCGTAGCCAAATATTGAAACCAAATATTTAGAACCAATTTTTTTTATTGCAATATTTATCAAAATTTGAGTGCCTTTAAAGCCGTGAGTTTAAATTTCTAAATACCCTGTAACAGTTTGAGTCCACTGCTGAACATACGCCTCCCCACAGACTGCCAAGCACGATCCTGAGCCACCCGCATCCATCGACTTCCCGCACACTTGCACAAGTTGTCACTCCATCTAGTGGGAGGTCGTCTTTGTGATAAATATGTACAAACACGATTTGGCCCCCAGGCGAAACCTGGCAGTCGGCCGACAACTGCACTACGTACTCCTGCGAGCGTGACGGCAACGAATTCTTCACGACCTCCTCGAGGAGGCCCTGCCCCGATGTATCCGACTGTGCACCAGAAAACCTGGTGAACGAAACCTGCTGCCAGGTCTGCAAGCTCCAGCCGTCTCCGTTGAGTGAGTAAACTGTTATTCGAAGTTTTATTTGGCTCAAAAAAAATTAATTAATTCATTCATTCGTTTTAAAATTACGAAAATCACCTAAACCTTCGTACACCAGCAAATTATGTGAATATATCGGACTTTATATAACAGATAAGGTAATTGCAAATAAATATGCATCGTTACAGACTGGCAAAGAAAAATAATTATTAATTTCTTTTTATGTCAAATCTTACAAGTGAGCGGGGGTCCACCTGATTGCGTGATAACCGCCGCCCATGGCTTTACCAGATATGATGCTTATACTTTACGAAGCTTTAAACACTGTGGGCCCCGGCTACCTCACTCACCAGACGAAACGCTAAAGTATAACACTCCCACTTCACGCCGATACAAGAACGCATATATAAGAAAACGGAAAGAGATAACATTCAATAGAATTGCATTCTAATTATACCGATTGGCGTAATTTGACCGGTTCAATTTCGGTACTCCGTCAGTGTCATATCTAACAAGTGTTCGTATATAATATCATTGGTAGCCACGGTTCCGCCGTGAAGTCTACCCGAACGCGCCGAAAGGGGTACAACTTCAAGAGGGATCTTGAAGTAGTAACCCTTAAGGGCCGGCCGTTAATCACGTGAAGCTCGAAAGGGGAGGAGCGGGCTAGGCAAAAGTCACGGAATATCACAAGGGGGAGGGGCGGTGTGGTAAGATATCACGTGTATTCATTTTTTCGTCAACGAGCGATTTCTAAAACGGAAAAGCGGCGTATAGTGACGTGTGACCTTGACTCGCCGTTGCATTTTTATAATGGTCATTAATTTCGGAATAAAACTAGATAGACTATACTTTATACCTGTAGTTAAAGATAGCATTCAAAAAATTTTGAGACACTTTGTGGGTACTAATAAATGCACGTGATTTTGGGTGGGGGTGGGGGGGTAGTCTTAAACCTCACCACTTATAACCAAGGGGCAGGAGGGCGGTTAAAAATGCTAAAAAAAACATCACGTGATTAATGGACGACCCCTTGCAACTTCAAGAGGGCTATTGAAGTTGTACCCGTTACAACTTCAAGATTGACCCCTTTCGGCTTGTGGATGAAGGCGGTTGTGCAAGAGGTTTGCATTTGCAGGCACGTGCGTGCCGACGACGGTGCCAGCCGCTGAGACGGTGGGGCTGGTGCGCTTGCCGACGGGCCCCCACGGGCTGTGCGTCAACCGGCTGCCCATCACCGGCTTCAAGGAGTGCCACGGCAGCTGCGACTCCGGCACCGTCTACAACAACCGTTAGTGCAGTGTTGCCAGCTGTTCAGAAATAAAACTCGCTAAAGCAATTCATGAACCCACTAAAATTCACTACATTCACCTATTCACCTATATGTCCCACTGCTGGGCAAAGGCCTCCGCTGTACAAGGGGTGAGAGCCGTGATAGCTCAGTGCCCGTTCGCTCGCCTTTTATTACATTTACTCGAGCAACCAGACACTGACTCCTACCCTCAACCCTGCATTCTACAATCCACAACACTCATCACAGATTTGTTCATCTCCTCCACCCTTTCACAGGGTTGTTCATCTCCACCCTGTTTGTCTTCGCTTAGTGTCTCTCCCACTGTAGTTGGATTACTGATATGATTTGTTCCAGTGTGCAACAGTCGTCAAACAGCATTACTGTATGCCGACGGGTTTTGGCTGTGTCGAAATATTATGCATTTGTCTTATTTGTCGCAGATGTTCTGGTTTCCTCGAGATATTTTCACTAGTCATGCATCGGCAATTACCCGTATAGCCTAAAAATCGTAACAGAAATGTATGAATCACGAATGAACTGTGTAATGACAAATTAGAAAACTAAAATACCCTGAAGACCACAATCGAAATATGCAGACACTGCCCGTACAATCCCAATGCATTTTAACCCTCTGATTGTACTGCAACAGTCGAAAATTCTCATTTTACGTTGCCTTATTATTATTCTATATCTTTACAATACGTGGAACAAAAACCTTTGTACACCGTTTTACGAAAATTGCGCGGACGTGGAATTATGTAATTTCCCACACTTATAGTTTATATAGACAAGGAGTGCAGGACAATACTATTTTTAAAACTATGCACACACTGCAATGTATAATTATGTTCGAATTTCGACCGCTAGGCGGCCACATGTTTAATAATAATAATATAATAATAATAATATTTATTTGTAATCAAAAACACATCTGCACATTACAATAATAAAATAAAAATAGGTATTATACAAACAAAATAAAATAAAATATTAAAAAGTGACAGATATATTAGGACTTTTTTTTTACTACTACGTACGTTTTACGTTTTACGTTTTACGTTTTACGTTTACGTACGTTTTACGACTACGTTTATTATAAACTCGTTAATTTGGGCGCGGACCGTTCGCGCAGAGACGGGCGCGCACGACACCAGGTGCGAGTGCTGCGCCGCGGTGAAGTACGAGCGCGTCCTGGTGGGGCTCGTCTGCGAGGACGGCACGCAGCGGTTCCACACCGTGGCGTCGCCGAAGCGGTGCGCCTGCGTCGGCTGCGGCGCCCACAACCGCGCCGCGTCCAAAACCGGTGCGAACACCACGAACCACTAGTCGCTACCAACCCCATCTATCACTAACACCAACCAATCATAAAGCCATAACATCTATAAAATTGGATTCATAAGGTTACGGAACCCCCATCTATCACTAACATTAACCACCACCTCCATACATAAAGCTACGGACGGCTAATAATATTTATAAAATTGGATACATAAAGTAAAGGAACCCCCATCTATCACTAACATTAACCACCACCTCCATACATAAAGCTACGGACGGCTAATAATATTTATAAAATTGGATACATAAAGTAAAGGAACCCCCATCTATCACGAACATCAACCACTACCTCCAATAAAAAAAAATTAAATTGTTTTTTTTTTAAATAATTACACTACGTTCTCGAGGTCCGTGCCCTTACTTATGTTTACTGGTCTTATCTTTAAATGTTATGTGTGTACTTACTGGTCTTATCTTTAAATGTTATGTGTGTACACTACAACCGAACATCTTCTTTCTTCATGTCATACTGAAGTCTTGCTCCAAAGTTACAAAACTTTTCTATCGCTTCGAGTATTATTTAGGCACTAAAATTATGTTGAGGTGGAAGAAATTATGCCATGAGTATTTACTTTTGTGATACAATTTGTTGTGAAGCATTCACTTTGCCTACTTCCAATGCTCTTTTGGATAAAAGGATTCTTTAGGATAGTTTAAAAAAAAATATATCCAATTATTTCTTTTACCTACACGAATGCTGCACGTGTTTATGAACACGATTTATAGATTTCTATCGCGTTGCATGCGAAATCCGATGTTGAATGTGCCGACACCGTAGGTTAACTTTGCCTAGAGCACATTTTTATAACAGAATCACTGCGATTTCAGGTTACAAGGGGCACAGGTACAGTTCCCCGCCCCCCTACGAACGCACCATCAAGGACGAGGACTACAACATACCAGAGATGTTTGCGCGCTACGGCGAGACTTCGCCCAGACCGCGACTATAAAAAAATTACGTTTTCAGACTTAACCGTCGACGTCCACTGGGGCAATCGATTTTATGACCTCTGTGCTGGACGCTGGAATACACATGCTATTAAAACAGCATAAAATAAGTATTATTATTTATAGCGCGCTCTAGAAATCTTAGCGTTTTTTACTTACACATTAAGAGCACAATTCTTTTTTCAGAACTATTAATAAAGTAGCATACCTGAAAATGCTCAGACTTGCTATTGACCATGCCCGCCCATCCGCGCCTTAGTTCGTCTATAAATCGAAAGAGTATTCGACTTCCAAAGCATGCTTTTTCACAAGCATAATTGTTTATCAACATGCTAAATATGGGCGGCTAGGTTACACGTGTTGTAAGCACACTTTTGAACGATTAAATAGCATGTGTGTACCAGATTTAAACTGGCAGGTATCTCTAATCGCCGATATGATAATTTTATACCAAAGAAATGTGAACTTATTGAAACAATCTTTGTAAATATACGTAATGAATCAAATGCTTGTATCATTTCTTGAACTGTTATTGGCACATTTCTAAACTGCTATGTCGAATTCTTGAGAGTTAAAGCCCTGTTCAATAATATAATTAACATTTTCAAAACGTATAAAAGGTGTTAATTTTTAGGTGACAGTAACCTGCCAATGGATAAAAAGATCTCGATTTTGATCTCAGGGTACTACAATCAATATGTTATTTTTATGAATCGCGTTTAAGAAAACTTTTTAAGTTTTAGTCATTGCCATTTGAGCCACTGGATAGTGGATTCTTTAAGTAGATGGTGCTGAATCCACGCGTACATCGCGTACCATCGTAAAAATTATACAAATATGCCTTCTGAATTGTCTCACTCACATCAATCCGCCAAGTCATTTGGAGGTTATAATGTTAACTTAAAGATAAAATTGTTGACGAGTTTCAATATATGTTGTCATCAACACAATGGCCGATTTATTTTTCAGAGTGCAATTACTTCAGATGTCTTTGGGAATTGTTGAAATAAAGCCACAAAACTCACTAATAATACAAACTTAAACAGTTTTTATTTCCATAACACCGAATAAATAATCAAATGCCAGATCTTGCGCGAGTAACAGTTTGTCCGTTCCAAATAATTTACCCAACATGCCTTTGGCAGCAATCGCCACGAGAATATTGTAGCAGAGCCGTGTTCTTTCATCTTTACGAGACCTCTCCGTCTTCTGGAACCTTCTGTGCCTCGTCGGCGCTCTCCATCAACGCCTCCCTCTGTTCCTCTTCTTCTTTCTGCTTCTGCTTTCTCACAACCTCCGATAAGTACTTACACCTCTGCATGCATTCCTCCTGTAAGAGTGACAAAACGTATAGCAGTTACGCAATCTGAAATTCGTTTAACTGGGAGGATGTATTATCATCATGGAGCGATTTCACTAAGAATGGAAGTGAAAATATGGCTTTTATGGACTTCAACCGTCTTTGTCTTCTTTCTCCTGTCTTTATCGCACCTAGTGGGGTCGGCACACCAAATGAATCATGTTGTTAATGGTATTGGCATTTTAATACCGGCTAGGCTGGGTTTTTAAAATATCCTAATCCGGAACAATTATTATATATGAGTCACGTGTGGGAATCGTACCATTGATACCGATGCAAATAGCTTAACAACTGCGCTGCTGATCCAACCGCCTTACATACGGTTCAAATTACTTTTTCCGTCATTTGTCGTATTTACATTTATTACATTTTGTATTTATTTACATCGTATTTTAAAAAATACGAATATTTACGAATATTTTTTTTTTTTTTGGTAAAACTATAACCGAATAAGACAAGCATCTACATCTCTGAATAAGTATTTGTAGCTCGTAAAAAAGACTTTCCTTAGAATAAAACACGAAACTAAACTATGATTGTTGTAGGTTGTCATTGGTTTAGCTTTGTAACTCAGATCTATTTTTCTATTTTTCTATTTAGTTTTTTGCGCAACTTTAACTTGTATAAATAAATTGTCAACTTGGCAAACTTGTACCAATAGAAGAAGTAACAGGTACTAGGCGAGAAAAATATTTCCGGGCAACGAGATTTCGTTACGAAAACCGCGCAGTCGTGCATGAAGATCAATGATTGGGGACTTTCTATTGAAAGTCAACGAAACGTATTATACAACTCCGCGATAAATATTGCTTCAGAGAGAGACATACAACTAATTTCTTAAAGCGTTAATACTAATGTAAACTGTCCAGTCATACATACGTCTTTCAGTCGGACAGATTTTGATGTCTCCAAGGCTAGCCGAAATAGACCAATTGGCTATTTCGTTTTTTACCTAAGAGTAGTGATGCAATGGAACTCTGTTTCACTTACGTACTGTTCTGTCCGGGATCCGTTTAAGCTTATGTTTCCGAAAATTTAAACGAAAATATTATAAAGGGGCGAAGCGCGGCGCGTTGGTTTAGGGTATAATTATTTATGTAGAACACTCCGTGAAGCTTTCTGGATACAGAAGTGGCCAGAAAAATCACATAAAACGTAACATTCGCCTCCGTTAATAGGGGCTCATTTTATTTAATGGTGGCAACGGCGGCTATCACTTAACATCGGGTGTGCCGCCAGCTCGTTTGACATAAAAAAGACGATGACTCAGTGGCCAAGGTATCAGCTTCGACGTCGGGGGTCGTGGGTTCGATTCCCACACGGGACAACTACTTGTGTTACTCACAAATGATTGTTTCGCATGTGGGTGTTTGTCCACGTGAAATTTATTCAAAAGTCAATTTTTATTAACGAAAAACAAAACCGACTTGAAATATATCGCTCTGTTATCATTTTACTATCGAGTCTTCTAAGTATAAGATCCAATATCAATGAAATTAATATGGGACCACATGGGGGTCACCAGCTTTAAAATAAAAAAAAAGAATAATCAAAATCGGCTCACTCGGTCGAAAGTTCTGAGGTAACAAACGTAAAAAAAATATACAGTCGAATTGAGAACTCCCTCCGCTATTGAAGTCGCTTGAAAACGTCCTTACAGCGTTGTCCTAAAGTAAGGGCAATGTTTAAAAAAAAACTGGGGGGGAAAAAAAGGACCCACCTTGGTCTTCCCGGGCACGGAGCTGGCTATCTTCTGCCAGCGGTCGCCTACTCCACCCTTGGGGTATTTCGCCAGCGCCAGCTCGAGCGCCTTCTGCTGCGACTGGGACCAGTTGCCGCCGCTCACCTCCTCGGTCTTGCGCGTTTTAACCTGCTCCGCGAGATTGTATTCGTTAAATGAATTTAAGTACAGACATTTCAGGACACATTTTTTACGCAGCGCTCTCTAGACCCCAACTAAGCAACTCTTGTAAGTACTATGGGTACTAGAAAACTGATAAACATACTTAAACATACTTTTCTTTTGTAAATAAATACATATTATACATATAAAAACACCCAGACACTAGAAAAACAATATGATCACACCACACAATATGAGGCAGTCACCCCTTTGGGTCGTCAATTGTATTTGTTTTTATTACTGTTAATTTCGTCATCTATAGACCTCTCCATGTTCCACTGAAAATCAGTGATAGCGATTTTCGTAATGCCGACTGGTTTTGTGTGTGCCTTTTTGGGGCGTCGATTGCTAAATTTGTCATTTTAAGAGTTTTTTTCATCCAATAAATAAACATTTCTGTTTCTTTCTCTGAAATCAGTCAATTAAGTCTATTGAAGGTGTGGACAATAAGTTGTGTTCTGCGATTGAGCACAGACGGGGGCGGGAGGGTAGCCTGAGTCAGAAGAACGGCGTGTTAATTTGAGCTATGTAATTATACTATTGCGTTTTATGACTGACGTTGCCTATATCAGTCGAAACGAAATAATAACATCAATAATCTTCAAGTGACATCACTAATGAGCCACTAATGAATATTGTGTTATCTCAGTATTAATCCAATTAACACGTGGCTACAATTTATAAATGCCAAAGTATTCAAATACGTCGGTGTAAGGAAATCTCACAGATTCTGTATAAAAAATCTATAACGCAACAGAGTTATCAACTTCAACAATAAACAATGCAACCCTACGGGTGTTGCAAATGTCAATGGGCGGCGGTTATCACTTAACATCAGGTGAACCGCCAGCTCGTCTGCCACATTCGGGTAGCCACTGCCTGTTTCTCCGATGGTAGGGCCACGCAGCAGCCTCGGCTGTTGCACGAATGGGCCGGCTCGTCCAGGTAAGTACCACGACCTCACAGAAGACCGGCGTAAAGTGGAAGTATAATACTTTCGCGTTTCGTCTGGCGAGTGGGGTGGCCGGAGCCCAATTTTCAGAAGGTTCTCAACGCATCTCGCATGACAACTTTTCACATAAAAAAAAACTCACCTTCTTGGGGGGTTCCGGGGCCGTCTCCTCCGGCGCCTCCTGGCCGGGTATTTTGTAGCAGTTGTCCTTCAGCCGGGCGGCCACGTGCGTGACCTCGGCCACGCTGCGGCCCATCGCCTCGGCGATCCGCTCCCACCGCTCCGCGCTGCCTCCCGGGTACTTCTTCACCAGGCGCACCAGCTCGGCGAGGTCGTCGTCCGTCCACAGCCCGCCCGTGATCACGGGGGGCGGCTGCCGTCCGACGACAGTAATAACAAATAAAAAAAAACATTTCGAAGACACGTAAAGTCCGCCAATCCACTATGATACCCTCTGTACAGAGGTCTTTCCAGCAGTGGGACTTTTATATGTTGTTACTTTACTTTTTTTGTAGTTAAACATACTTTTTCATTTGTAAATAAATAAATGTTATATAATATAATAAAATAATAAATGTCGAACACATTTTTACCCAAAGTTCTCTAGTCCCAAACTAACCAACGCTTGTACTATGGGTACTAGAAAACTGATAAACACATACTTTTACGAAATACATTTGTATATAAATACATATATACACTGGAAAAGCACTGGAAAAGCACTGTGTTCTTCACATAATATTTCTCAAGTAGTGGAGATCGAACCCTCTGGCGCAAGAAGCAGGTGTGCACTAGGAAATCGCATTCTTAATATTAAGCATTGTCGCAGAGCATACACAGCGGCTACATTTCGCGGGCTTTTATTGACAAATGTATGTTTGGCCTATCCTATCTTCGGATCCTGACTCTCACGTATTGTCAACGTTTTATTTGCTTACGGAGACTAAGTTGGGAGCAGTTTTGCCCACAACATGTTACAGTTTTTCGTCTCAGCTTGTTTTCAATTTCTCAATAATATTTATTAAGTATCAAACTATCATATAAATGTGTATCAAAAAATACGTTCGCTTGCCGTTTCTTCTATAGCCTCGTCAAGTTAACGATTTTGTAGCAAGAAGTAACTTTCTAAAAAAACTCCGGAAAGCGAAATCTCATCGGTGTGTGCCAATCATTCGTAACCACGACCTAGATTGAGGCCGCAAGGCGGTACGAGTGTCCTAACCACTCGGACAGTCATCTATGGTCTAAATAAAAGTTAAAACCGGCCAAGTGTGGGTCGGACTCGCGCACGAAGTTTTCCGTGCCAATATCTATAATAACGGCAATATCTATAACAATCATCTCTGTTGTATGGGAGCCCCTTAAATATTTTTTTATTCTGTTTTTTTAAACAGAAATACATCATCTGTGAAAATTTCACCTGTCTCACTATCACTATGAGATACATCCTGGTGACAAACAGACAGCGGAGTCTTAGTAATAGGGTCCGGGTTTACCTTTTGGGTACGGAACCCTAAAAATGTGATAGTACAGAAATAGAATAAGGCTCTGAACCTCAGAACTTCGTAATATATCAAAAGCGACGATTTATAATTATTACAGTTCCATGTCTTGGGATTCCTTCATACAGCCTCTTCATCACCAGTTATAGGCCACCATTTCTGTCACACACGAGGTAAAATAAAATGTCCAACGTGGTAGGGTCACGCAAGTCTACGCTTATGCACGAAAGGCCAAAGTCCTAACAGAAGACCGAGCGCGAAGCGGAAGTGTTATTACCGCGTTTAGTCTGGTGAGCGAGGTAGCCGGAGTACGCTTTATCAAAAGCTGCCAACGCATCTGCAACCCTAAGGGTGTTGCAAATGTCTTTACATTACTTTGCACATATCTTCAGATAAACCGCCAGCTCATTTACTTTTTTCTCTTTTTTTCCGTTCCTTGTGTTCAGTGAAAAATCCATAATGGATTTTTGTCACTGAAAAAAAAAAGAGAACGGATTGGGGGAGTGGCAGGTGAATGTGGGAGTCCCGGAGACGGGTACCCACTAAAAAACAACGTTACACCTGTCTCTGTCGCATCGGCCGGGGACACGGGAACACCTAGACGAAATCTTCCGCGGCCCCGGCGCGGCTATGGCCTTTTTGGGCCTCCTCTTCTAACGGGGTTTATGCCAGTGCAACTGACACAACACCCCTCATGAGCCCAATATTGAGCGACAGACACCCCCCTCACACTCACCCTCGCTGTCAACCGTAGCACGAACCACGGCCGGCAGCGAGAGCTCATTTACCACCTTCTCACATAAAAAAATGTCGACTCACCGCTTTGGCGGGCTCGAGCGCGGGCGCGGGCGCGTGCGGCTCGTCGGCCGCGTCGAGCAGGCAGCCGTCGCGCGCGGGCGGCACGAAGCCCCTACGCCGCCGCGCGCCGCCGGCCGCCGCCCGCGCCTCCGCTGCGGTTGCCTCGCGCTCTGCCCTCGCCCGCTCCTCCTCCTCCCTGAACACCCCCGCGTGCGTAGAACGTGTTATATATATATATATATATATATATGTTATAACATATATATATATATATAACATTCCGGCAGGCCTCCCGACAGATTCGAGCTCTGAACTCGATTGATTTGACTCGAATTCACGACAGTTCCACTGAATCTGACGCCAGCGCACAATGAAGGGGTGGCTCTAAATAATTTTTCGAAAAAAATTAAACAGTTAAAGTTTTATCTAAGAAAAGTATGTAAGCGTAAACATGGAACATTTTGTCTGTGATGTAATAGGCCGGATACAGTTATCGGATTTGATTTTGTACGATCTTGTTTCTAGTTTCAATTCGGTCCGGGAGTAAACTTTTCAAATCGAGTTCGGACCAAGAGTGAGTTCGAGTCGAAAACAAAAACAAATTCGAATCAAATTTGGGGAGTAAGGCGGCTGACGCATATAGGCAAATTCAAGAATGAACTGGCATATCAAACTCAAACTAACCCAAAATTTACATAATCTTTAGATTAACTGCTTTATAATGTCATTGTACCATAATATACACAGTATATTGATTGGACACAATACAAATGATTTCGATTTTAGAGTAAAAAAATATAGTTCCTGTTATAAAATGTATACATACTTCTTCTTTTGTCGCTTTGCCTCTTCTTCTTTCTCCTTCATTTGCCTTTTCATCTCCACAATACTTTGAGGTATGGCAGTTACAGACCACCATAGAAACCTTGGTATTTGAAATGGAAGTGTATCTTTTATACTTGGCTTTGGGAGCTGATCTAAAATCTCTGCTAATCCTGTGTCAAAACCTGACTTCTTTTGTTTCTTCCCCCTGCTATTTAATATTTGTTCCTGGGAATTAACATTATTTAAGCTAAACATTAGATTAATTTTCGTACCAAAAGTTGTGTGTATGTTACAAAGAACTGGTTACTTAAAAAATATTTAAATACAATATGAATTAGGATATACTCACAGCTGTAAACCTCTTTTCAGCGTAAGCGGCCCAGCTAACTGCATACTGACAAAATGTGATAATTATGAAAAGGATTACTGAGCCCTCTGCTAAGCCCATTTTTCTCACATGTCGATAGTAATACACGGCAGAACGCCAGTTAGGAAGACCATTTTTAAGAACTTCATTGTATCTGAAGAGAAAGACAACATTGTAGTATTAACCAATTTTCTAACAAGAATTTAAATACAACAATTATGATATCAGCCAGAAATCTTAACCCAAAGCTTTAGCTCAAATTAAGGTTACAAATGTGATGCATAATAATAAAATAATTATTATTAAAACACCTTATGTTCATTTAAAATTAATGCAACTATCGAGCTCTGAATTATGAAAACTGAGGTAATCACAGTCACAATTGCTTCAGAAATAACATTTTATTATATTTGCAAGTATTGCCCTCCTTTAATCTATATTACTTTAACACACTAGAGACAAAAATTTGGACAACTGTATACTTTTCTCTTTTTCCTGGATCCTTAAGAATGTTGTGCACAGACACCAAGTTTCTAAACTGTACATCAGCATCAGGGGCATTATTTTTATCAGGATGCAACTTCAAAGTAAGCTTTTTAAATGCAGTCTTTATCTCTAATTGTGATGCTTCCTGAAAGAAAGGTATGTAATTTAATTGATAATTAAATTTTAGAACTACATGGCACTCATTTAAATAATAAGCTTATATCCCCAACTCATGTAAATGATTGTTAGTATCATGTTTTTCTGATCAATGTGGCATTGCTACTTGTTAATGTGGCATTTTAATGCAATAGTTCTAAATCATGAAATAATTGAATAGTAACCAAAATAACTGCGTCATACTAGTTGAAAGCATACTTATTTGTTTATTTGGCTGAACTTATAGAGTCGTAAGGGTCTTAAATTTAGTAGTTAATGTGTTAACTATTCATTTAAAAATCATTTGTATAGTGCTATTCTCTATTCAATTAACATTTTTTTCAGCAAGAAACCTTGAATGTAATTAGTAATAAGTGAATTAAACGTTAAAATCGTTAATTTACCTGCGTTACACCTAGAAGTTCATAAAAATTCTGGTTTACTTCTTCCACCACGTCAAACACTTCAAAATCATCATCGTCCCATGCAGCTGCACTTATAATGAAAGCCAAAAAAATTATGACAATGAAACGCATGTTTTATTATCATATATTGCTATCATATAATATATAATATTTTATAATTTATTATTTCTTATTCTTTAGAACATTTTAATTTACGTACTGCCAACTGTCACTTTCACGTCAGTGTCACCGCTTGTGTCCGTGTGGCGTAATGTCAGTGATAAATGATAACGATAATGATAACATAATAGGTAGAAAACATTAATTAAATAATCTTCTTTTCTCGCTCAAAGGTTAAGCATACTATTCTTCTTGTCTGTTCTTTTTTTCGAATTTTAAATAGATTTAATGTTGTAAAAAATGTTGGATAAATAAATAGGTAGACGTAAATAATTATTTCATAATGATAAAATTTTTTAGGAAGTAATAAGGTCAATTTGCAATTTAATCATGAGATATAAATCGGATTACTCAATTAATCGCTTATGAAAATTAACTAATTTCAGTTTATGAATATTAATTTAATCGCTTCAATTTAGTTTATGAATCAAATACTGACATTAAACCTTAAAAAAAATTACATTAACTATGACTTATTGCTTACGAAAGCAAAATAATTCCTAATAATTTACGCTACAAATGAACAGTCGCATGAAGACTCACTATTAAATAATGATACTAACTCGAACGTTAGCAGTTCAAAAGTACTCAGCCACACAAGGAATTCGTATGTAGGTTGAAACTCGGGCACTTCACATTCGCCAGCGTAAATGCTGGGGCATGAGTGTCGTTAACTTGTTTGGGTTCGTGTCCCTTGAGGTGACATCCTGTTGGATACTGATAGAATAATCAAGTTACTCATTGCGCACGCTTATAACGTCCTCATAATAATTTTGTGGCGTATTACAAGTTTGTGCAAGAACTGTTCTTAACCCAAAAGAATTATTATAAGTTGTCAGTGTTGCCAAGAAATGGGCTAAAAGGAACGACCTATATCGCTTCTGGTGGAATAAGGTATGCAGGATCCGATGCGGTCGTGGATTTAAACATGCATTCTTATAGTTTTTTTTTTAGTTTAAAAAAAAGTTTTTTGTTCTCTTTTTGTATATAATTGGGACCTTTGCAAATAAATCATTCTACACTACAAGGAGTCAAGATCATTTTCTTCTCAAGATTTCCTCCTGTAAAATTTAACAGGTTAATAGATCGGTATTATACGTAAGTAAGTTATGGTGCAGGAGATATACGAAAACCAGCCACCGAACTTGTTGCTTTCTTCATGATTCTTTCTCGGTCGTTGATCCTTTTGTAGTATCTTATTCACTCTTCTTTACAGAAGGTGAGATGGCGACGAAAATAGCTTAGATATAATCTCGTAAAGCGAAGTCGTGGGTTCCAATACCAGTGGCATGTTAGTAATTTTTCATCAACCGACTTCAAAAAAGGCGGAGGTTCACAGTTCCAGTTTTTTTTTTTTTGTTACCTCAGAACTTACGACCGAGTGAACCGAATTTGATGATTCTTTTTTCATTTGAAAGCTGGTGCTTCCCATGCGGTCTCATATTAATTTACTTGGTATTGCAACTTAGGCTCCGGAGATGTTAAAGAAACTCCTGAAAAACATTTATAAAATGATTACAGAGCGAGATGTTTGAAGTCGGTTTTGTTTTTTTGATAAAAAATGGACTTGTTTTCCGAATACTCACGATTAAGACTCGAAAGTGGCCTTTCATTATTGATACTTTGGATAGTTGAAATCTTCGCCATTTTATAATCACACAAAATTAGTAATGTTTATTATAAAATGTGTATATGTGCATATAACACTATACTAATTATTATCTTAATTAAATACTCTTATAAATTTAGTTCATCTTATTATCTTAAATATGTGCCACAAGTAATAAACAATGAAAGATTAAGCTCTTATATTATTATATATTTTCGGCACATCTAACACAAATAATTATTCGTCGTTGCGGTTTTTAAGGGTGTTTACTCGTACTTATTGCTTTTTGGTAAGCGTTGGTTAGTGGCTTACGTTACTCACTAATAATACGTTATGATAAACGACTGAAAAAGTATATTTTAATTTTGATAAACATATCTATTAGTACATTATTATTATATTCTATAGACCTAATTACAACATATAAAATACTTCACACGTTCAAAGCCAAACAACTGCAGTTAACTAACCTAAATAATTATTGCCGTAACGTTTCTAAGCTTCTGAAGTTTCGTTTCGTTTCTAAGCGAAACTAGACAATAAACTAAAGAAAGTCGTGACGTAAAACAATGATTGCTTGTTAGCATACTGAGGATTCCTCAGGGTCTGGCTATTTTAAGGGCTTGATTACTGGATAGGCACATACATGGCTACGATCTGTGGGGAGGTGGAGGAGATCCAATACATATGTCTTATTTTCAGTATATATGTCTTATCTATGGGGAGATCATTTTATAATGGTTTCTCAAATCTATGAGTACGTTTGGCGCACGCCCGTTCAGTACCGCGCTGCCCCGCGGGGCGGATAGTTCGCGCGGGGATGTTTTTCCTGATATAAATTTCACTAAAGGTCTTGTCGCAGGGTGCACATGCACTTTGCATCCAGTTTTTAGTATCTAAACATGTGAGCCATATAGATGTCGTGTCCGACATCGCTTGTGACAGTCACCATGATTTTCGCTTTTCTTATAGTGTCGTTAGTAGGAGTTATCTTTGACCGACCGACCGTAAGTTATTGAATATCGATTATTGTCCCTTTTCGTTCTTTTTAATGTCACAGTTCTTGTCGAATATTTTTGATAATTCATATTGCAATTATTATGATTAATCGTGTATGTGTGTTAAATTAAGTGTAATGAATAACTTCTCTTTTATTTTTGTCTTTGTTATTTGAATCGGCCTTTATGAGTTTACCATATCTAATGGAATGGAAAACATAAACTATAAATATAGTTATCATTTATGTATTGTATTACACTTTATATTAATAAATAATAACAAAACTCCATAATAAAATCGAAAGCAAACAGATTTTCTAGCTAGCGCTTGGTTTAACAGAGCGATCGATCCAGCGAAACATGCGCCGTGCAGTCGGCGTTTTACCGCGAAAAATCTATTCATTTCAGTTCGTACCTATAACATCTCTATTGTTGACGTAAATATAATGATTATTAAGTTTTCTTTAGTCTGTCGTCTATAAACTCTTGGGTTACTTCCTCTTAGGAAATCTTTGGTAAATTAGGAAGATGTACCAAAAATAATGTATCTTTGAATATTTCACAGAAATATTCTGCAAGACCTGCTTTTTATATTGAAACTGTCATTTTAACAACTTTTTGTTTGTTTTAAGTTTCTCTTAAAATTGTAAATTCCCCAGTAAAGGCCTAAACACAATAATTTTAACATTCGTCTACTACCAATTACAATAAAAAATAGAGAACACATTGCAACCTAATATCAATTGTTTCCATTTTGGAAACAATTGATATTTTTCATTAGAATATCTTTAACTTTTGCTACAAAATCGTCGTCTGGGGAAATACCTCGGTTTTGCGACCGTATACCTACGTAGTACTTTTTCTTTTCAACATTTTGCAACAAGCAATTATTCGGATATTGCCCATGTCTAAGAGTAGTGGCATCAAAAAGAATCGCTCGCTGGCGTTACAATAATTTAACACCCTATTTTATCAATGTACCACCATGGATCAATCATATTTACAAAAAAAATTATTGTGTTTATCTATTAAAACATATGAAACTTACTAAACAACCTCAACACTATCATACAAAGTTTAATTTCCAAAAAATTAATTCGTACGTTCCAAAGAAATAATCACATAGGCTCCGAGCAACTTTGACGTTGTCGTTTTTTTTTTTTCGTCAGTGCGCCACGGAAAACGCATGCGAGGACGGTCGCGTGTGCCCGGCGCACTGGCTGTGCTGCGAGCACGGCTGCTGCGCGCCGGCCACCGCGCCGCCACGCCAAGAGCCCGACGACGACGCCTTCAAAGAGATATTCACCTACCCGTGGTACACGCAGTGGTGGGTTGGACATTCACATTTATAGACAAACCAGCGGACCAGCCAGACGTTTTCTTGTACACACGTCATAAATTTAAAATTTAAAACATTTTTTGAATAGCTTTGTGCATCTAAACCATTCTCGAATCTACCTGAAAACACACAAAAACTTCATTATAATCGGTCCAGCCGTTTAGGAGGAGTTCAGTGACAAACACACGTACAGAAGAATAATATATATAAAGATCATATTAAATTAACTACCTACCCGTCCGAAATCTGCGCAAGCAAGAGTAGTGAGACTAAATATCCGTCTTACTTGTAAAAAACCATTACAACTTTCATGTAAAGATACTGTCAATAGAAGTCAATATCGTACATTCCTTATCATAAGTTTTGGTATTAAGGACTAAGTTACTATTCAATATTAGTTCCTTGATGAAAAGAATTGAAGACAATTAAAAGATAAGTTAGCATGCTCATTTTATAACAACAAATCAAGAATGTTCACAATTAACCTTCATCATCAAGCCCAGGTTGCTACGAAGCACGATCCACGCCCTCCCCCCTAAGATTCTCGCACAATTGTACTGGTCCTCACCCCACCTAGTGGAGAGTCCTAATCGATCTTACATAATAAATTAGTTTATTCGACCCCCGCGTCCTGCGGGATATCAAGAGTTCAATGATATCGCAAATACCACTGGGCGTTAGCGGCGAGGGTAAGCCATTCATAAACTCCAGGTTACAGAAAGTTTTCTTTCAAATTGCAGGCAAATACTGTTCCTCCTGGGCTGCCTTTTGGGTATTCTGGTCTGCTGCACGTGGTGCCTGTTCTTCAGGCGACCACACGGCGTATATATGTTTTCACTGTCCTGTTGCGTGCGTCGGCCAACTTCCGAACACGACTCGGCAGGCTCCGTGTATCCGCCACCCCGGTACAGCCGCTGCGGCTCTTTCCACCAGGCCCCGCCACCCTATTCGGAAGTGAGTTTGAAATTGGAACAGATTAAAGGCTTACGGGTTGCCATATGCTTTAAATATTGTTAAATACCTTGTTTTTTTGTCACTTATACTTTAGTGATGATGATATTAGTGACAAAGTCCTCATATTTTTTTTTATCTTTAATATCTTTTTTATATTTAGAACGGTTACAGATTTGTCTTTATTATTTATTAAAAATGTAGAGTGCCTAACTGTACATTTGTAAATATTGTGCATTATATTAAGCTTTATTACAAAACTTTCTGTTTCAGGTCACATCGAAGCCAGATCTTTATCCCCTCGTAATCACGTGCGCTGAAGGTGACGGGAAAAACGGTACAGGCGGGAACTACCTTATGGTTCAATACTTTAGAAATTACGTTATTCGTGCTCCTGGTAAGCAATTCAATCAGTTCAGATGTCAGGGAGCTTTTTTTTATTAAATTTATGTTTAAATATAAATCTGTACAATACAAAAACCATGCCATTTGGCTCCCTTTCTTTTAAATTCTAAATTCAAATGACCTTTTTATTGGAAATTTGATATGATATACATTAATAACTCTACTTACGCTACCCCGACTTAAGCAAACCCAGATTTACGTGATTTTCAAATCTCGTCCATTCTTCTTCCGACTATCAAACATCTTTTTGGCAACGCAAATGGCATTTGAAAAGCCATTTGACAGCTGATTAGTTGACATCTACGATGATCAGTATTTCAGAAACCGGGCGTTAATGTTGTAAATAATGGATATAGTAAAATATTATAGAATAAAAGTTTTACATAAAAAAAATTCTTTGTGCGATTTTGGTTTCTGTTATCCAAGAAATACATTGCATTCATCAGTGAAATTATACACGGACATTCGACTTACGCGGTTATCACTTTTAAAAAACCGAGAGAATATTATAGTTCGCACATAATACATTTGTTGCATTTTTGTCAAATTTTTCATTTTCAGGTTCTCTATCTGCAACAAGTACTGTAGACTCGCTGAGCTCAAGTTTTATTTGTAACGCGGCAAATGAGGTAATTTTATCATAAGAAAGGTGGTCTTTTTTATCCTTTTGATTATCTTTACATGAAACCATTTATAGATGTATATAAATTTTTATGTATACGTATCTTTATACACTTGAATATTTAGACACAAAATAGTTTAATATTATTTTTATATATTAAAAACCCGGATGAAAATGTTTGCCGTTAAGTCTCTCGCCTAAATTATGCTATCTTGTATTAATTACCCTACAAAGTTAACGTCAAACAAAAGTCAAACAGTTTGTTAATGTAAAATACCTCCTTATGTCCATAACACGGAAAATGAATCTTTACGAAAAGTAAAAAAAAAAAACGAAAGTTCTTATATAACTTACGGTGATTTGACAATTAGCAGCGTTAAAAAATCCGCATATATTTTCTCAGGCGAACTCGATAATCCCACCACCCTACTCGTGTGCGAGCAATTACGAAGAGTGTGGCTCGGGGAGGACGAGTGCGCCCCCGCCGCACCCGCCCTTCCCCCGCCGCGCAGAGCGCCGTGACACCGCCACCGCCTTCCGCGAGAACCTCATCACTTCACCCGTGCAGCCACTGGTGAGCTTATAGCCGATAAATGTACAACCATCTCCAACTTCGACTTAGGAGAGCTACAGTAGCTCTCCTATCGCCATCAGTTCCATAGTTGAACCTCCGAGTTTCTGAGTGAGGTAACCGGAGCAAAGGCGAAGTAAGAAAATAGGTTAGTTTGACATGTGTGACGACAAGATAACAAGACCAAAATATTTTCTGTACCTATCTATTTATTGGCAAATAAAGCAACTTGAAAGAAATGTGCCCCTTTAAAGGTAGCAAAGGTTCAAAACCCTCAATTACTTCGATTCAACTTGTTCCCGTAGGTAGCAATTATAAGCTACCATTGACATAAAAAGTTGGGCGCTCTTTGAGAATTAAGATAAGTCATTCCTAAGATCGTGATAAATTGTATATCATGAATTTAAACGATTTATAGTGATCCCCATGTTATTGAAGAAAAATCTTATAAATTTGCCCCAATGGCGAAGAACCTGACACACAGATATCGCTAAACTATACATGGTCCTGACTATAATAAAATATATTGAAGATATTACATCTATAAATATATGTACATATTAATTGATTATCATGCAGACTGATTATCTTATTGTTTATTTCACTCAACAGGATGCTGCGTTCGATCTGGAGTTGGAATTGATCGACTGCGAGATGTATTGTGACGGGGGTTGCAAGCCCCGTTTGGGTTCCTCTCCTCCGGCTCATCGCTCCCAGTCCAACGTAACGGACGCTATCTACGACCAAGAAGCCTACAGACTGCGGCATCTCTTCTCATGTCCTTCCCACGAAAACGCCGGTGCCTGCGAATCGCCCCCGCAACCTACAAGCCCCACTCAAACATCTGGGGAGTCCACACTCCATAGACCAACCGAAGAGAGATTTGATAGGAGGACCAGACGTTTGGATAACGTCAGAAAAACTCTTAAAGCGAGGAAATCAAGTCTCTACATGCCGCTGTCGATGGCCCACCCTGGAAGGCAATCGCGGGTGTCGCCAGGTACAAGAGTTTCTTCGCGATCCGCTCCGGCGACCCCATGCGGTGCTCTCGTCCCTAACATCCTCATTTTCTCGCAACGCGTCTCAGCATCCAGGCATAGTTCGAGATCCTCGCGACTCGAAGAAGAGAACGATCCACTACTGGCGGACGTTGAGAACGCGCGAACCGACCATAAGTTTTAAATACTCCAAGGCTGCTTAATTTTATCCAAACCCAGCCAACAATGTGATCCCATAGAGAAATAGATATAATTGTAATTTACAGTGTAAGGGCCTAGTGCGGTGAACCCCGGCGGAACCTCAATATCCCTATTTTCAATGTTGTGATTGTATTATCCGCGCTCATGAATAAAGCGTTTGCCGCAACGTAGCTAGTTAAATGTTATTCAATTATTGTGTTTAGATGTAAGGAAAGAGCTTGTTGGACCATTGTTCACTTGCGTTCTTATAAGATATTATATGTCTCAATAAAAAACTGCGTTTAATATTTCGCCTTGCCTCCGATAATTTGGTATTCAATTTCCCAAAAACCGATAACAAAAGTAATCAATTAAATTATTTCGTTATCCCATAATTAAAACGCAGTAAAACACAGCCCATACCTACCTAGAATTAGTTCCACTGCTGGACATAGGATGCTCTTGGTAGGTGATGAGACTTCATGGTTTAATTGATTACCCTTTTAACTGCAAGTCATGTTTTCGATTTCAATCCCCTTTAACCCCTTGAAACCGCTCTGATTCAAGTACTTCAAATTCGATTTTTTCTTCTCGCAACCGCGGCGCCCCATGATATTTGCGGAATGCCAAATTTTATCATAACGTAAAGGTACTCTGTTAAATTATCATCTTTCAGCACCTACAAAAGCATTGCTTATACGAAATACGAACAAACAATGTAGACAAAATACGTTACATTTTCATCGGTGTGGCAATCAACCGTATAGCTGTAACGAAACACGAAACGAACGAAAACGTAAAAGCTAGTACTTAAAAGTCTGGACGCGATTTCCGTTTGGGTTTGATTCTCGCAGCGGAGAAAAAATTTTAGACCATTAATTTTTCTTCAACGTTTCATTTTAAGTGAACAGATTAGCCAGTGCCGGATTAACCACATTGTAAGAGTAGCGATTCCTATGGGCCCCGCGCCAAAGGGGGCGCCGCATATTTAAACTCACTCAACTTGAAACTTATTAAATAAGAAAGAGTATTGAATAATTGTATAAATTAATTAAAAAGAACAAAAGTTAATTCTTTTTATTCGTTTATTAATTTCGTAAATCTAAAAATAATTTAATCTTCATAAAATAATTATTTCCGTTATTCAATTTTTGTAATAGACCTTTCGACGTTATTATGTCTAATTACTTCCTCTGTTTAGATTCCACTATCGATGATAATCCAAACCGAGCCTCCAATCCGAGGGGCTTTCTCTCTGGCAATCTTGTTAATCCGAATCGTTCTCTCATCTCTGTATATTACTTCTTTTGCTTTTTTTTGTCAGTACGCCACAACGTCCATAATTCGGCGCGGGGTCATCGCTTAATGGTCGTGCATCTGCTCTGCTACATTGTTTTCCTGAGTCGTCTCCATAAAATAAAGTCATACTACGAAAATGTGTCTCTTCGGCGTGCGGACCTCTTCCGAATTTCCTGTCAAAACTAGCTAATAACACAAAAATTAGGTAGTTAGGGATGCCCACAATCCTAAATATGTATGTTAGACCGTCGGCATTCTTGGCAGCAGTAGAACTGATTCTTGATTAAAATCTGCCACTGTCAACTAGGGATGGGTCGTATCGCTTTTTCTGAGTACCGTATCTGAATCCGATATCGATTTCAAACATCTGATTTCGAAACTATCTATTTTAATATCTAGATATTTTACGGTTTCCTATCCACATTGATTAATTGAATTCTAAAAAAAAAAAAAAAAAAAATTTGTATACTTTAAGGGAGTGGATATAAGATGAATGAAATAACTTCCCTTCATACTTTTTCCAGGCTTAGGACTGGCTGCAATATTTCATACTTATTATAAATATAAAATTGTCAAATTCACGTTTAGGAACGTAAGCTCTCTGACTTTATTCGTCGTAAGTCTTGTTCGACGATCATTAATAATTAACCCTGTCTTACTAAAAATGCGTTTTTTTTAATTGTTAAATTAAAAATTTCATTAAAAATATAAATTGAAGTAATATAAAAATGATTATTTTAACAGAGATTTATTTTAACATCTTATATACCGCTTAATAATTGACTTTAACATATTTTTAGAACACGCAATCGAGTGGCAATATTTTTATTATTTGTGTAACAAATAATACATTCAGTATTATAGCTTAGGGCGGAAGAATTTAAAATATACACACAAGGCACATAAGCCTTGGTCTGATTTCCACCAAAGCAGTACAGCACTATTAAATTATATTTTTCTTTTTGTGTACTTTTATTTTTTTCAAAAAATATGAATAAAATTTAACTAATAAAGATATTCACAAAAAATTTACCTCCTAAAAAATTTCCATTGTATATTTTTCTTCCTTAATTTAGGCAGAAAATTCTTAGTAGTAAGTTGGCATCCCTTACTATTACGTGCTAGGTACCAATGCAATCCAACTCAAGGCTAAACAAAATTTAAAGACATCGTTAATACCGTAATTCGTATTTAAATGCAACAGAGTTTTTTTCCATGCTGTTAAGATTCAAAATTACTTAACTACGCGCTTTGTCGCCCGTTACGTCTCAAGGCTAAACAAAACAATAAAAATATAATAATATCGTTGTAGTAATCGCTGATACCAAGATTAGTATTTAAATGAAACGGATCTTATTTGCATCGTGTTAAGATTCAAAATTACTTAACTTATTCATAATATCTGTTTAAAAATCTGATATCGTGCATTGCTTGCCGTCCCACTCTAACTAGTAAGTGTTTATATCTCACGCGCTTTGTCGCTCGATATCTGATATCGTGCATTGCTTGCCGTCCCACTCTAACTAGTAAGTATTTATATCTCACGCGCTTTGTCGCTCGATATCTGATATCGTGCATTGCTTGCCGTCCCACTCTAACTAGTAAGTATTTATATCTCACGCGCTTTGTCGCTCGATATCTGATATCGTGCATTGCTTGCCGTCCCACTCTAACTAGTAAGTATTTATATCTCACGCGCTTTGTCGCTCGATATCTGATATCGTGCATTGCTTGCCGTCCCGCTCTAACTAGTGAGTATTTGTATCTCACGCGCTTTGTCTCTCGAAATCTGTTTAAAAATCAGATATTGTGGCAAACGCGTATGATATCGCCGTATCGCGATTCGTGTTGGTATAGCGAGCGAGCACGGTACATCAGATTTCGGAAATATCAGATATTGTAAAATACATAGATATTGAACGAGCCAGTAAGCGATATTGGGATATTGTACTAGTATCTAGTTTTCATATCTGATACGATTTGTATCGCCCACTTCTACTGTCAACTGTCAACTGGTGTCAATGTCATTGTCGTAAGTGAGCGGCTGTGTAGAAATTATCATTTTTGTAAATTTTCTCCCATTTACTTCTTCTATGTAATTACGACTGTAAAAAATCAATATTGAAAAGCATTGAAAACATACATTCTAATTGTTACCCAAAATTGAGACACAAATGTCAACACAAACAGATTTTGGCCCCGATTCAGGTGGAAGGGTGAAGGTACATGTTTTATTTATATTAAAATGATATTAAGTATTAAAATAAATGATGTGTAAATATACATATATATATCCTCTGCGCTATCTCTTTATGCATGAGATAATAATATGGAAAAGTACAAGTAGTCAAGATATTTTTAAACAAATTATTCAATACTACCTTAAAATAAAAAAGTTGTTTTATATGGAATCACAAGTAGTTTTTAAAGTATTAAAATGAAACAATACAAAATTTAAAATAAATATACAATTCATTGTATTGATTTAAAAAATTGACATATGAATAATCACCTGATTTAATAAAAATAGTATTAGACTTAGATTGAATGTTTTGATTTTCAGTTACGATATTGCAAGATGTAATAAAGTCACTATAAATCACTCTGCACTTTTTTAAAGTTCTGTTACAATTGCAAATATGTGAACACGATTTTGTAAGGATAAAAATATGGTATTTTTTTCCATTTGCACTGGGTGTTTTTCTACTTAACAAAAATTTTATTTGCTAAAAAATCGATAATGAAATAATCAACAAGCAGAATTTGGTGGTTATAATAGTTTCGAGAAAAATTAATTAACATTAAATTAAATAAATGGTGGATTTCTTTAGTGAAAATAACAAGTTTTAAATATTTTTTTAAAAGTATAAGCAACTGTCGAATTCTGCTTTTTGATTATTTAATTAGTTATTTTTCATTACCAAATAAAAATTTTTTAGATCGAAAAACACCCAGCACTAATGGAAAATTTTACCCTATAAGATTTGTGACATGTAGCCATAGATACATGCCACAAAAATTTGTGTATAAAAAATATCATACTAAATATTCCTTTTTTTCAGGGTTTAGTAATTGTAAAACCAGTAGTATATGGTAACATAGCCAGATACTTTGGAAAGAAAAGGGAAGAAGATGGTCACACTCATCAATGGACGGTCTATGTTAAGCCATATGCAAACGAAGACATGTCCGTGTATATAAAAAAGGTGCATTTTAAATTGCATGAGAGCTATGCAAATCCAAATAGGATTGTGACAAAACCACCTTATGAATTAACGGAAACTGGATGGGGAGAGTTTGAGATTGTTATCAAAATTTATTTTCATGATCCTAATGAAAGACCAGTAAGTTTATAGTTTTCATTAAGGTATAGACCTCTATAATATCATTTAAGGTATAATCACTTTAGTCAGTCAACAGTTAAGATATAGTGTGTTATTCATGAATTAATAATAATATTAAATCATTAATATCACCATGCCCAACTAGTAATGCATTGCAAAAACAATGTACTGATATCTCATTCCTTTCCTAAAAAAAAAACAAAACTTGTTACTAAAGATCATGGGTTATTCAATGTGTTATCATTATCATTGCATCAGGAAATCCTTATTTATGACTGTAGAGTGCTTACATGTAATAATCATAAAATTATTTTGATTGTCTCTCGCTTTTTATTGCAACATTAAAATAAAATTGCTTCTTTTGGCTTGGTTGGAAAAATTACACTGATAGACAAAAATGACCTTAATGAAAGTTAAATGTAATTGAATGAGTTATTTTGTATCTACAACTATTTTGTAACAAATCTGCATTTTTAGAAAATTTTGATCACCCTCAGTTTTTTTGCAACAGCAATTAATCTTTTTTTAATTAAAACGTTAAAAAATGTTTCAAATGAAGAAAAAATAAGTAATATTTATGTTTATTTAGGATTTTCGGGAATATTTGGCGTCAGGTACATCCCTTTTGAGTGTCCAGCAGTAGGCAGTGAACATGTTTGGACTCCACTTGCGGCTTACGGCTTCCAAATTTTGAGGAAAAAAATCCAAATGCGAGTCTAAAAACTGAATCTTGAGCGACATATTGCATCCCATGTCCTTGTAAGCCGCTAAGAGGTTGTTGACTAACTCTTCATAGTTTTCGGCCCTATGGTTTCCAAGAAAATTACGAACAATATTTCGAAAACATGTCATGCGGATTTTTCGATCGGATTAAGTTTTTGTTCAAACTCTTCATCAGCCAGTAGGTCTCTAAATAAAAGAAGGAATATTTGTGGCCCTACAAATATTCCTTCTTTTATTTTGGCATCAATGATTTTTGGGAATATTTGTTTCAAGTAACAATACTATAACTTTTAAGGTGTATACATACACAAGTATAAGTACACACATTAATTAACTTTTTTTTTCTTATCTTTACATATATATAATTCTTCTGTATGAATGATCTATCTATCTGATCGTAATGTCACTGAACTCCTCCTAAAACGCTGGACCGATTTTAATGAATTTTTTTGTGTCTTCAGGAGAATGGTTTAGATTCACAATTCGTTTTGTTTTTGTTTTTTTTTTTATTTATAAGACAACGTCTGTTGGGTCCGCTAGTCGTGTACAAACTTTCTCCTGAACTATCGCTAATCTGTTTACTATCCGTAATCTATCCTTAGCTATATGAATATTATGAGTACCTATACATTATTTTTATGTCTTATCCCTAAACTGTTTCTAGGTGACACTGTACCACATATTAAAGCTGTTCCAATCTCCGATAAACGAAAGTACACCCCCCACAACAGGCCGGGCCCTTGTCAGCGAGTCGTACGAGGAGATTGTGTTCCAGGAGCCCACGCAGCTGATGCAGCATATGCTTAGCAATGTGAAACCAATCACCAATGGACCGTGGAATCACGACACTAACTGTAAGGGAGCACTAGACTAGAATGCTAAGAAAACAATGTGGAAGAATGCGTTAAGATTTTCGTCGGTGTGGCAATCAGCCGTTTAGCTCAGTGGCTAGAGCGTCAGGCCGCGAATGCCGAAGACGTGGGTTCGATTCCCACAGCGGCGACAATCTTTTCGCACTTTTTCTACATATTTTAATGAAAAAGTTAATTGAAGCGATCTTCAATAACATTTTCATGCACTTAAAAAAATTAGACAGGAAACTATTCAAGACTAACCGAAAATCCATAATGCTATGAAAACCTATATTGAATATGTGTGACGTGATTTTTTATTAAAGTCAAAATTTCTTCATTTAAGCTCTTATTGAACGTCAACAAAAACTACCACCGGTTCACTAAACTGGACCAGAACAGTTAAGAAGAACCAGTAAGAAACTCTGCGGTCTTCTGGTCGATCGATTTCATTGTTCATTTTAATCTTGCAGTCGAAGAGAAGAAAGAGAAAACCCTCGAGAGGATAATAGCGGCGCAGGCGAAGGTCAGGAACGAGATTTCCGATCTGAAGGAGAAGCTGCAGCTGGCGAAGGAAACCATATCCAGGTTCAAGGAGGAGATAGCGAAAGTGCAGAACAACCCGGTGTCCAACATCCTGTCGGCTGTGTGAAATGGACCCACGCCTGTGCAATTGTGATATTCGAGGTTTCATCGTGTAGAGTCATGATGTATGACTGAGAACGGCGTTTCCCAAACTTTCTCTGCAACGGATTGGAGTGCGTAAATTTTGAAACGCAGAATTTAATTGCAATATTTTAGATGAGACGAATCGTGTTAGGAAACGTATGTAAATCGTCGCGTTTATCCATTAAACCTCAATGGAACAATGAAGTTGCACATAACGTAGTTTGGGAAGCACTGGCTAATAAGTAGCTTATAGAAACGGCGACCTAATTTCTCATTTGGAAAACTTAGATTATAAGCGAAATTTTTGACAAGTTACACAATTTTTTTGTGTAATAAGTATAGAGATTTGTAATAAATATTTATAAGCAATGCTTGTTTGATTTATCTTCATCTTCTCGCACGATGTCGTGCGGGGTAGGTTATTTGTAATGCAATAACACAATCTTTATTCTATCTAGTTTATTCCTTTATTCATTTAACTCCGTGGCACAGTTGCCAAGATATTGGCAGGTCGTTGGTTCGATTCCCACACGGGACAATTACATATTTGTGTGACCCACAAATAGTTGTTTCGCATTTGGGTGTTTGTCCGCGTGAAATTTATGCTTGTAAAACGTCCTTACAACACTGGATAATGTTATCCTAAAGTAAGGCAATATTTTTAAAGAATAAAAAAAATTCTATTCCCGATTCCTTCCTCATGAATGTACACCTCATGTATTTTGGACTAATACCTAAACCGTGCAGCAGCTAGTTTTTATAAGTTGAAGGGATCCTAAGGTAATAATAGTCACAGTTACATAAGGTAATAATCACCATCAGGTGAAACACTTGACGGAACTCTGCTAAGAATACGCCGACGTCACAGAGTAATCGACAATTACCGTCCGACGTAAAATATTACACTCACTATTGTCAGAGCCCACTAACACAAGTTTACTCTGAACAGAAGCTCTAAGCTTGTCACCATAAACTAAAAATTAATATAACGTTAGTTCTATGATTCGGCAACGGCCAAATGTGACGCATAGAGTAATTAGACGCGAAGAGCATCGCTTGTTTTTAACCGACTTCAAAAGGAGGAGGTTCTCAATTCGACTTTAATTTTTTTTATATTTGTCTCCTCAGAACTTTTGTCTGATTGAACCGATTTTGATGATTCTTTTTTATTTAAAAGCTGGAACTTCCCATGTGGTCTCATATTAATTTCATTGGTATCGATTGGATCTTGGGCTCCGGAGATACTTGGGGAACTCCTGAAAATCAATTATAAAATGAATACAGAGCGAGATATTTCAAGTGGGTTTTGTTTTTCGTTAGTAAAAAAATGGTTATTCATTACATGCGCGAAGTAATTTCAGTCGTCAACAAAGTAGAACTGGGTCGTGTAAAGAGTGCAGCCAGTATAAGCGATTAACAGATAGCGTGAGCCCGTCCGAACGATGCACGATGTCCAATATTAAAGGCGACAGCGCATTTAATGCAGGACAATTAATCGATGAATGAAAATAAAAACAATAGCCGAACTAAAACCGTTATTATGTACGTATCGGAGGGAACATTCTAAATTTACTTTAAGTTTGTCAATGACTCAACAGTAATTTATGTACTTTAAGTTTGTTAATGACTCAATAGTGCTATCCGTGCCTCAATAGGCATTGACAACACTAATTTTCCTAAATAAATTCACAGTAAGTTCTGCATTTCGTTTTGGAATCCATAAAGAAAATACATATTTAACGTTATCCTTATAGACATATAGATTTATTTCAATATCCTTAATATATAGTGGCCGATTATAATAAAATGGATAACCGATTTCCTGTATTTACTTACTTAAAAATACGTCATCCTATCAAAGTGCTCAAAGTTAGTTTACAAACCGACTTCAAAAAATGTAGGCATTCGGCTGTAGGTACCTACTATACATTGTTAATAAATCGTGGACTGCGCATATGTATCAGGAAATCCATGTATAGCGATTGACATGTTTGAAGTCGCTTATATATATGCTACAGTTTAAATTCAACGAAAATGAAAAAAAAATACTAAGTATTGTAGGCCATGACATCCTCAAAACTACTTGCAATAGACATATGTACATTGCTAAGAAATTTTGGGTAGTTCGGTTCGCATTTAATCAGTATCTGAATAAACTTCTCGTAGAAATTTCAAGCATGGCAGCCTCTATGAGAGAGACACATTCACTTCCAAATCGTCGCGAAGTTCCTTTTATTCTAAGTATGCAAGTAAAATTCATTCATCAACACTTTTAAGCTCGGGTCCTGACAAGGGAAGCAATAGATGAACCGTCTTAGAAACGTCTCTGGGTTCGTAATAATTCTAAATCGGTCAAAATTCACACCTGTTGACCGATCAGGCCAAGGTCAAGAAGTTCTTCCTTCAACATGTTAATATTACCGCATATTTATAAACCAATAACAAATCACAGATCTACATTAGGCCGCTTATTATATAAATTTTCACATAACGGTAACATATAGCGTCCTAAATTTAATAAAATATTATTTGTTATAGTAGCGTGTAATTCGCATAAGTTTCCATTTGAAGGAAATGATTAAATTAGATTTTAATGAAAATGACTCTCTATCAAATATATTGTTTTAATTCACAGCACATAAAACATTCAAATGAAAAATATTAAAATATAACTCACTTTTATTGAGAACACACGAAAACTTTGAGCAACACGATAAATATCTCTTTTACATTTTATTTAACACTTAATATTTTAAAAATATTTCACATGTTAGCATAATTATGCTACAAAGTCTTTGTAGCTAAACTTCAGATCAAAAACCAAGTTTAACTTATTCTATAGCTAAAACCAACTGTTTTCTTTTTTCATTTGGTCTCTGTGCCGACCGTTCATGTCGAGCCTTTGAAAAATCTCGGACAACTTGTTTATCTTCCGCGCGGGGCTTTGGGGTAAGTCTTGCAGCTTGCAGGGTAAATTGTCCTCAAAGGATATGGTAATCTTTTCCCTCTCTCTCATGCTCAATAGCTTACCCGTTTCTGGCATCGAAGTTAGTTTGGCGACACGCATAGCCGCTCTTTTGAATCTCGACTTCGGGGATATCGTTAGCTGATCATTTGCGCCGTCGCCGGATTTCAACATGTACCGCGAATCGTTCCTTTTCGTCGAGTTCAAATAAATCGGTTCTATCACATCGTAAGTGTTCTCCCTCAACAGCCGGTGCTCTCTACTCCGCAAGCATTCGGATGAATCCTTCCTCTTGAATCCGTGGATGCTCAGCGGTGTGAGAGGCTTGAGAACCTCTTGAAGTTTCAGCGCCTGACTCTCGATCGTGTTTTCGCCCCTATTTAAATCGAAAACGATAACCTTGGCCTTCGGCGGGGTCTTCTGGCCGATGGCGGGAAGGGGACGGAACGGTTGTGCCGCACTCTTCACTGGCAGACCGCACTCTGGCATTCTGTTCTGGGCCGTGCGGTTCTTGCGCGATTTCTGCTTGCGCGGCGCATAGATGGTGGTGAGAGCGCGCGCTTTGCGCGACTCCAGGGACGCAAGTGGTCCGGGCGGCATGGGGCGGGTGGAGGCACGCGACTCCGCGCCCCGACGGCTGGCGACCTTGGGCGGCGTGGTCACCCCACCCCCGCCGGCAGTGTAATCGAACGGCTCACGCGCGGTAACGGACAACCGGTCGCCGAAAGCGGTATCGACGCGTGACGACGTGACAGAAGATGGTATCGCGCGGGCACTCGAACGATAAACACTTTTGACTGCGTCACCGTTGTCTTTATTTTTAATTTCAATATGAACTAAAACCTCCACTGTAGCCATTAGTTCATTAAAATTTATACACATAATTATTTTTCTAAAAATTAAAACATCAAATAATTAAAGTAATCACGATGTCAATATATTCTCAGGATTTCTTTTTATTTGTTATATTTATATTTGTAATACTTTATAATAAAAACTTATTTTTTACTACTTCTATTATTATACATAATAAATTGTCTGTATTACAGAACTCTTAATCTTGTTGTTGGAAATATTGATACTTTTTGTTGGGTATATGATGCACTACTGTAATCAATGACGATACCTGTCTGCGACTTCGGCTATAAAATAATTAAATCAAGTACCTTTACGCGTACATCATCATTAGCTTGCAGGAGTCTACTTTTAGACATAGGCCTTTCCTACGACACTTATCTAGATCTAGATTTGCAATTCCGTTCTCACCTAACACCTTGCGCAGCGTTGGGCAGATCGTTTGGGATTATGAATAAAATATTAATAAATATTAATTGGAACATAGTTTCCCAAAACAAACAATCCAGTGTAAAACTTACCGAAAAGTTAAATCATCATCAATCCTTTGTGTTTTTATTGCATTTAAGCAATTCTTCGAACCATCCTAATGTTTTAAACAAAGTCACATCCCAAAGTTTGCCTAGCCACTTTCTCAAATATCGTTTTACAATGAATATTTAAAAACTAGAGAGAAGTCGCTTTTTTTTAATCTGCATTTAGGATGAAAATTCAAAAGTGTAGATAAATTGTCGAAAAAATTTTCGCCACTGTCGGGATTCAAACCTACGTCTTCTGGGTAACGCGCCCAAGCACTATAACCACTAAGCTAAGCGGTGTATATACCCACCTCGTGAAAATCTCGACGTGCTAACAACCTTGTTTTTATTTCATTTTTAGAAATTCTTGGGAACATCTAGCCAATCATCAATACAATAGCTAACATTTGCTTGAAAAAAGGATATTATGTTTTAATTTTTTGCACATTTCTATTTTTGACTGTTATTACAGATTATATTTGTAAAATGTAGTGCTAGCAGCGGTTTATATTATTACTTTAGTACGCAGTACCAGTCAGTATGATTAATTTTTTGTCCACTAAAAACGGAACAAAGGCCATAAAGTAGTGGAAAACAAGCGTTATTATACAGCCAATCGATTTCGATGACCTTCGCTCGAAGGAGCTGTAATACTATTTGTCACCGATGCGTGCCGAAACTATCGGAAATTTACGTGAAAAATAAAGTCACGTGTTTTTGGTTGTCAGGTTTTTCAGAGGCGTTGAGGTCAATTTACTATTCTCTTGCTTGATTGTTTTTATTATGTGCATAATTGGCGACAATGCGGTTTATAATACCTTCTAATTCTATAACACCTTCTTACCTACCTACCTTCCTACCCAATTCGATAATACCTTCAGTTCACGCAGTTTTCTGTGAGGCCGTGGTACCGCCCCGGACAAACCTATCCATCCAAGCAACAGCGGAAGCTGCTACGTGACCCCAATGCTTTTTGCTGTCACCTGATTCAGAATATATGCTATTAAAGCCGAGATGGGTATACATACAGGTAAATAAAATTGGAGTGTCTGTTTGTAATATTAAAATAACCGCCTTTTACTAAATGCTTAAGGATGTATACAAGGTACATATGCCAAAATAACATTTTTTATAATTTTCTCTGTCTGCCTGTCTGTCTGTTTGTTCCGGCTAATCTCTGAAGCGGCTGGACCATTTTTGACGGGAATTTCACTGGCAGATAGATGATGTAATAAGGTGTAACTTAGGCCACTTTTATTTTAGACATTTTTTTTATTTCACGCAGACAAAGTCGCGGGCACAGCTAGTTGTAAATAATTATCGAAAACTATATACCTACCTATTTATTAAAGTTCACCCGATCCTGTTTTTACGATCATAGCAAAATTAATGCGAACTGGTTGTGACTGACCTTCTGTCCTAGAACTAGCGTGAAACTGAACCTTATAAATAGGTAAATGAAATTGACCGTTGCAAATATCAAGGTCTTGTATGGGAAAGCATGGCCTGTGTCATGTTATGTCATAAGTAGATAATGATGTACATACGTAGGCGGAAATTGTGGAAATTTCCTCATGCATGCAAGTCATGTTAAAGATAAATAGTCATTTAAATATAAATATATAAATAAAATACACTAAATAGATATAAAAAAATCAAATATCGTATCAAATAGATATAACAAAAAAGATACCACAAAATCTTAATATATCTGGTATGAATTAAGGCATTTATAAAAAGTATACTGCCCTCTCAACATAAGCGTAAATTAAAAAAAAAAAGTATCAGTTATATACACATTGTGACTGAAACTTATTTTTCTTATTCATTATTCATGCAGGTCGATCTTGTCCAATAACAAGTAATAATCGTTGTTTAGCGAAGGAAAGTTTGAATTTTCGTAAAGGCGATAGAAAAATTTAACATAGCGTATAATATAAATGAAACTAATTTTACGGATTTATCGCGTTTATTTTTAATTTTAATTCCCGACGTTTCGAACCCTTTACAGCGTTCATGGTCACGGGACAGACTGAGGTGTTAGACGTCTGATTGTCATAGTTAACCCAGGCTACCGTCAGTTTTTGAATTATTAATATTGTGTCCGATCTATGCAGAGGGAGCTAATTGTATCTTGTCTTGCAGTAGTGGTTCGTTTGGGCCTAGATTTAATTTTATTGATGACAGGATCCCAAGCTGATGGTAGTACCCAACCTTATATAGCGTATAATACTGGACCGGTGCTTCAGTTGCTAAAGCATTGATTTCGACGACAAACATTTTTTTGCGACCAGGTTTTCGAGGTTTGTTCCCGAGAAGGGTGGACATCAGGCCAGCGGCTGGTCGTAAAAAAGCCTAGACAATACTATTAACAACATGATTCACGTGCTGTGCCGACCCGGCCTAGGTGAGATAAGGGCAGGAGAAGAAAGATATAAAGCGAAGAACACAACAGATACAGCAACACCCTTTCGAAGTTATTGTGATTTTTTACCTACATTAAGTAAATTTATGTGAACACTATAGTCTTTAGACGAACTCTTTCCTATTCTGATATTATTAAAACAATTACGTAACTCTTAATAAATTAGTCGATTAGCCACCGGTACTGGTTATTATTCCAAAAAAATACAAGTTCATACAAGTCAAGGCTACATTTCAAGGGCACCGTTAATGTAGGGAACAATAAACCATTTTCCGCTAAGAAACTACTTTAAAAACGTGTAAATTAAGTAATTATTTTATTCATTAAGGCGCACATATTTTTTAGCGATTTCTCTATTCCTTATTCCTAATAATCTGTTTTTTTTTTTATAAATTATGTAATTTGTAGACTTAGAGGTAACGTGAAATAAAATTTTCAAAACCCTTAGAGCTCACAATTAAACGTACTTGCTTCCAAACACCCTGGATATATTTTGCAATGTCTTAATGAGAGAAATTATTACTTATAGTAATGAATGAAATGATGACCAAAGCCAAAGCTGACGTGTTTTTTCAACGGTCCAGAGCCCTAATTTTCCACTAAGTTGGTTGACCTCGTTCAAGTTCAAATGTCAAGTTCATTACCAATCAATTCTAGTGTCATCAGAGTAAAAGCAGTACAAAAAGTCGAATAGATTTTTGTTTAAACATTTATGTGTTACTTTGACGTTATTTCAACAAATGCACTTAATTAAGTGTAACATTTTTTTCTCAATACAATGTTAGTAATTAAAGCATAGCTCCGCTTTATTGGAAAAACCTGCGTCCACATTCAAAGTCACAGTACCAATGAAATATTTTTTAAGATGTACTAAGAGATATATGTATATACATATCTAATATATATAAAATTCTCGTGTTACGGTGTTTGTAATTGAACTCCTCCGAAACGGCTCGACCGAATTTCGTCAAATATTATGTGCATATCGACCAGGGTGGAGAATCGGACAACATCTATTTTTCAGCCCCCTAAATGCATTTTTAACTTATATGGCAAAACAACGTTTGCCGGGTCAGCTATTATACCATAAATATGTGTCTATCTCTATATAACATAAATACGAGTAGTCTATATTGTATGGAAAATCCTACTCTACATTTTTGAAACCTACATATTTTCGGGGTCACGTGGTGGACTATGCCCTGATACCCTTTGTAGGGAGGCATTTTCCCAGCTGTGGGGCCAATATAGATTATTGAATACAATTACAATTATACTATGTAAAGAATAACACTAATAAATTTCTTCATATGAAAAAACCTCAGCGGCACGGTATTATAAACATGAAGAAGACGCGATCAGTATTTTAATAATTTATTATATGTCAGACGGCAAGGTTGTTTTATAAGCGCAAAGTGTATTTGAAAGTTATAAATTATTTAATATAACTTTATTTTTATTTCTTATTTCGAGACGCCATTTATCATTACTTATTTTTATTACGTTTCGTGTTGAAAGATATGTTCTTGCATTACCTAGCAACGCACAATATGTTAGAAACATTTGTAGTGCCGATATGGCACATATAGTATCTTTGACGGTGTGAATAAAACATAAAGTATTAGTAATCGCGTAAACAGTTTCAAAATAGACCATATATTATTTTTTCTAGATTTATTTTCAAGAGTACTTTAGTGAACATTTTTAAAAGGAGATGGTCTTTAGAGTCGATACTTATTTTGTTATTTTATTAATGATGTTAAGTTTATTAATGGTAAGTTAACAATATTATTTGCAGTTTTCAACCGACTTCAAGAAAGGAGGAGTTTCTCGATTCGACTATTTTTTTTATATTTGTAGAACTTTTTATTTTTTTTTTATTCTTGTTTTTTATATTACTAGAACTTTCGACTGATTTTGATGATTCTTTTTTTTAAAGCTTGTGCTTCCCATGTGGTCCCATATTACCTTGAATCTTGTGCTCCGGAGATATTACAGAGTTCCCTACTCCTAAAAATCAATTATAAAATGAATACAGAGCGAGATAATTGAAGTCGGTTTTTGTTTTTCCTTAATAAAAAAATTGTTTATTAAATGACATTTCTTAACAGCATCGTTCGTCTTTTACTTATAACTTGATAAAGACATTAAACTTGACTTATAGACGCAAAAATAAATAAATTTTAAACGCTATAAACTATTATACGTGTTTATGAGGATTGAGTGCTCCTCTCTTCAACCCTTACAAAAATCGAGAAGGGTCTAATAAAAAACTATTAAAAACCAAAAGTAATTTAAATAGAATTGAAGTCCAATAAAAAAATCACTTCATTTGTATGACCACAAAATACAACATAACTACATCGGCCGGGGCGGCATCGGAGACAGCTGAAGTAAGTAAATGGCGCAAATATGAGTCTTTATGTTTAGATTATGTATTTGTGCCATTTGCTGTTGAAACTTTAGGCCCGTGGGGTCCCCGCACATCATAATTTTCTAAAAGTGAGCAAGAGAGCTGGTTCTTTTCTCGCTCAAAGGTTAAGCATAATTATTCAGGGAGGAAATGCAGCTAGCATTCTTGGCACCATGCCGCTAGGTTTGTTAGATAATATGTAATTTTGGATAGATTTAATCTTGTAAATATTAGATCAATAAACATAACTGCCATTACAATATATATATTATGAGATTTTTGACAGTGTTCGAAACAATATTTATGTTATAGGAGGAATGAAAACATTTGATTTCATTTATTTTAAAGTACTGTATCGGGTACTCCTTACTTCATTTTGTATATTAAGGGTCAAAGAAATGAAATCATATTATCTGCTTTAAAAATATAACTATATTCTTTTTGACATTTTTTTTGCTACACCGTGAGATGTATATTAATATAAGGATGAAAGTCTACAGTATGTAAAGTTATGATCGACTATAGACTCCCGCTTTCGCAAAGTAACATTTTTAGGTTCTTTTTGTGTTCGGAAAAGAATTGAGTCGTAATCATTTGCCTGTCGAGTTCAGTTATACACCAAGGCAGCTGACACTATTCACCTGGGAACCTGTAAAATTTATTTTTCCATTTGAATAATTTAAGAATAAGAAAAATATATACTCTAGTGGAGTACTGGGTGTACAACCCACGGTCCTAGATACAATTTTGTATTCTTAGATAGTTTTCTGTTAAATACCTAACGCTATTTCAGCGGAGCTCTTAAATAAAAGATGGACTTCGTGATCGGCGGGCTGGCGGGTGCGGGGGCGACTATATTCACAAACCCAATGGATGTGGTGAAAACCCGATTCCAGCTGCAGGGTGAGCTTCGGGCCAGGAACGAACACACTCCACGCTACAAGGGTATTTTTAACGCTTTGTACGTGATAGCGAAGAACGATGGTGTGCTGGCGCTACAGAAGGGTCTAGCGACCGCCATCCTGTTTGGATTCACGATGAACTCAGTTAGGTATATTTTTGTTACATCCCTATTCAGTTCAATTATTACAAATAGTAGTCAATTTAAGTACAGCTGTAAAAATAGGTGTATAATTATATAAAACATTCCGCTACACCGTCTATCGGATTTACTGAATTTTGCCTTTTTGTTTTATATTCTTCAACTTCATCTTCGCCCGTAAAAATAAAACTCTGATAGAGAAATAAATAGCATCTGAAAATTATGGGTACCATTTCAACTACTTTCACATCATAATTTGATGAACCATCACCGAGGATAAAAGATATCTGATATATTTTTTACTCAGGGTTGCCGTTTCATTTTTTAGGTTAGGAATTTATCACATAGCAAATGTGCAGGGCTGGACAAAGTCGAAGAACGGCGACATCAGTATAAAAAAGACCATCTTCTGCTCGAGCATGAGTGGTATAATGAGTGGCGTGGCTTCCAATCCTGCGTCCGTGCTCAAGACCAGGATCCAAGCTGCGGCGCACCCCAGTATCGCTGTTGGGCGACAATTTCGATATAATGGTAACAAAACGCCGACATTTCCCTAATAGTATTTCCATAATAGTAGCATGTCTTAACCTACGATTTTCCTAATGAAAGTTTAAGTGTAAGGCCGTGGGTTGTGATTGAGATGATTAGTGGGTTCATGATTGTAACCATGTAAGATAATCTTCTCCTTGATATAATCTGACCCTCGATTCCGGTAAGAAATCCAATATCCCAAATCATTATCGCCCTATATCCATTTTGCCTTTCCTATCAAAAACAAGCGAAACAGTGTGGTGTGGTGATTATTGACTTCTCAAACGCTTTTAATACAGTCGGTCAAGGTATACTCCTTGCCATCCTTGCTGATGATTTCAATATACCGAAATCAGCATGTGAAAGCGTAATAAAAATCAATATGTTCTTGTTCTAAATCTTAAGTTCCTTAGAATATTCAGTTAATAATGGGAGCATTAAATCTATTATTATTCGGATGCCATGTTTTATCTTCCTTCAGTAGTTTTTCACCTTAGGTATGGTGGATGGGTTCCTAACGATCTACAAGAATGAAGGTATACGGGGTCTGTATGCTGGGGTGAATGCGGCATGCTTAAGATTGTCAATAAGCAGTGCCGCTCAACTAACCACGTTTTCAACGTAAGTATGCAAGTTATTTTTCTATATGAGAATTCATTTCGCTTTATAAAAACGAAAAAAGAATCAATTATACAGCTTACAATAGAAAATAGTGATGACTCCGTGGCGCAGTTGCCAAGATATTGGCTTCGGCGTCTGTGGTCGTAGGTTCGATCCCCACACGGGACAGATACTTGTGTAACCCACAGACATGTTGATTCGCATCTGCGTGTTTATCCATGTCAAATTTATGTTTGTAAAAACGACTTTACAACACAGGATAATATTATCCTGAAGTAAGCCTTAAGTAAGCAATACAAAAAAATAAATGACACATTTTTAGGAAAAAGTTGTAAGTAACTAGCAGTGCCACAACACAAGGTGCTACAGAAATATCTTAATGCCGTTTACAGCGGACGAGATGGTGACCTATTCACACAGCAGTAGAAGCCACTGTATAGCGCCTCTGTTAATCTATTCTCTTACAGTTACGGCAAAATAACCTGTTCTATGTCCGCAGTGCCAAGGAAGTGTTGTACTCGTACGGAATTTGCCAAAAGTCGCCGCTCGGTCTCGCGTTCTCCGCGAGTGCCCTCAGCGGCGTCATGGTCGCCATAGCCATCTGCCCCTTTGACATCACAGCAGTCCGCCTGTACAATCAGGGTAGGAACGACTAACGAAATTCCGGTATCACCTACCAATTTCATTTCGGTAAAAAGTAAAGCAACAGCCTATAAATGTCCTACTGCCGGGCAAAGGCCTCCTCTGTAAAGAGGGTATCAGACCATAGTCCACCACACGACCCCACTGCGGATTAGCGGACATCACATATTTTGGAATTTCTTTTTTTGTTATTTCGAAAATATATTCTTCACGATGTTTTCCTTCACCGCCGAGCACGTGATAATTCAGGACTTAAAATTAACAATTTCATTGGTGCTGGCACCGGGTTCCAACTCGGGTTGCTCGAGTATATTGAATTAAAGGCGAGCGTCCGTACACTGAGCTATCACGGCAATATCAATCATTTCAGTGCCTTCTGACAATTTCTATTTTTGCGCTTTTTGTCGAATCGCCCCTTGACGGTGTAAAAGCACGACCTTATAATAAGCGTAATTTATGTGGCAAAACACGGTTCCATATACTTTGCCGGTTAGGAAGAGAATTATCTGTGAGATTTATTTCGTAAAGACAGTCTTGTCGACTATGTGTCCGCAATATTTAGCCTTATTAGTCAGAATATAAATAATATTCAACCAAAATATAAATTTCTTTTCTATTTATTTGTTTTAGCTAGGCTCTACTTAAAATGTCGAATCAACAGGCCATTAAAAAAAGTGAGTGTAGTTATGAACGCACTTAAGACATTAAATACAATAATGTAAATAATTAAAGACATAACATAACATGTCTTAACTTATTAGAGGTAATGAGTTGTTATTTATTGCCTTGGTAATGCGGCATGCTTGGTTGCCACAAAGCATGATGAATGGCTACCAAGCATGTCGCTTTTTGAGGGTGGGTTTGGGCGCGCATCGTAAAAATGTTACTCTCATAATATTTTCAAAAACGTCCATTCATATGTACATGTACCAAGCAAAATGAAACAGAGCATGTTGATTATTGTTATTAGTGGAAATATGTAATAATACTGAACAGCCAAGTATTGAAAGTATCACAGTGACGTCACAGTGCCTCAATCATTAAAAACCAGTGCTCCATTTAATTGCATTTAATTTACAGGCCCTGCGTCCAACGGTAAGCTTCTCTACAACGGTGTGTTCGACTGCCTAAGAAAGATTTATACAACTGAAGGTTTTCACGGCCTATACAAGGGCCTTGGACCTCTCTATTTAAGAATTGCACCACATACAACTCTATCTCTGGTTATATGGGATATGCTGAATAACCTATTCGATAACAATAATAAGCGTCGACACTAAATTTATTCATTAGTTTTTAATTAAATCATTAAGGCACAATAAACAAGAAAACAAACTAAAAAAGTATTGACAGTCATTTCTTTAGTGTATAAGTATTGAGTTAAGTGGTGACAACGTTAAAGATAATAATTAAAAAATATATTTATCTTTAATTTAGTTTTCAGTACATATTTATATATTATACTAGCGACCCGCCCCGGCTTCGCACGGTTTTAATGTATCCATATAAACTTTCCTCTTGAATCACTCTATCCAGTAAAAAAACCGCATACAGATCCGTTGCATAGTTTTAAATATCTAAGCATACATACGGCAGACAGCGTGCCGATTTTGTTTTATACTATGTAGTGACTAGCTGATTCGGGAAACTTTGTTTGCTATATAAATTATTTCTAAGGACTGAAGGCTAGAATAAAATTAGGAGTATGAGAAATACCCCTAATTTTATTCCCCTAATTTATGAGAAATACCCCTAATTTTATTCTACCTACTAAATATACATATAAAATGACATAAAAATCGAATAGCATAAAAGTCGCCGTTTCGGAGGAGTATGGCAACTAACATTGTAACACGAGAATTTTATGTAAATAGATATACCCATTTATATTAAATGCTATTTAGTATATATTTCTTCTTTTTAGGGTTCCATACCCAAAAGGTAAAACGGGACTAAGACTCCGCTGTCTGTCTCAAAGAGAATGTAATCACTACGTTGGTCTGTCTGTCCATCTGTCACCAGACTGTATCGCATGAACCGTAATAGTTAGATAGTTGAAATTTTCACAGATGATGTATTTCTGTTGTGGACGTAATGCTATAACAAAAAATAGATTGAAAATATTTTAATGGGGCGCTCATACAACAAACATGATTTTTTGCAGTTTTATAGATAATGGTACGCATCCCTTCGTTCGCGAGTCCGCCTCGCACTTGGCCGGTTTTTACTTATTTTTATATTTATTCTCATTATTTAATTTTTTTTACTGTTGCATCTTTTGCTGCACCCAACATAAACTCACCACGTCATCCTAGATTGACTGGTAGAGAATGCATTTGGACATTAATATATAAATATAAATTATAATTACATAAAATCCGTAAGAGTTTTTAATCAGTACAGCAAAAGCAAGAAGAGCTCTGAGACAACCCAGTATCAAGGTTATTTTTCACGTGCAACCGCGTAGTAACTAGGTAACCTGTTATGTTATAAATAGGCTTTACGTAATGCCACAGCGTTAAATGAGTTGAATAATCTAAAGAAAGTCATTCAAGTAAACTATAAACGAAAATAGTCTCGAAATAGTTTCACTCGTTTCTATTAAAGTTCAAAGAGCACATCTTTATTTGTCTTCATTATGTTTATAATTACCATGCCAAAACACGTGGGCGTTACGTGAACAGTGTTATGCAGTGTGCAGTATTTGGGCATCGTTTCTATTTTTATTTTATGTTTAACATTATTAATATTTAGTATATTTGATATTACACATTTTCATTGTAAATTAAATAACGCTTGTACTATGGATGTACACACTTTTCGTTTGTGACTTACACAATTTTTTATTTTTTAGTTTATATTAGACACCAAAAATCATACATTTTTTTATGTACCATGTTAATGCGAAAAAATGATTATTATTATTTATTTGTTGTAGATGTTATTTATTTGGATTTTATATAATTTTGTTATTTTTTTCTTTTTTTTTTTTGCTAAAGGGAAATAAGATCGAGGAATACAAATTTTAACTTGAACAATTGTTATTATATTTCAAATCTATTTTTTTATTTAATGTAAAACCAACCTTAGTTTACTCTATTTTTCTGTACGGAGCTGAAACCTGGAGCATCAAAAGTCGAGATGTAAGCAAAATAAGTGTTTTGGAAATGTGGTGCTGGAGACGAATGCTAAAGATACCATGGACAGCCATGAAGACAAACTCGTCAGTTTTAAAAGAGATCCGCATAAAAAATCGACTTCCCTTTATATGCCGAGAACGTCAGCTAAGCTTCTTCGGACATACAGCGTGTCTTTACAATCACGACAATAAATGAACACACATATAGGGGATAACTTTTTAAAATTGTATTAAACATTTATATTCTTTAAACATCAATACATACAGAGTTATTAAATTTTCCAAAACAAAGAATTTTAGAACAGCCCTTACCTATAAAACTATAACGTAAAGTTCATTTGTAAAGGTCACAAAGCATATGAATGGGTTGAATGAATTTAAATAAGACAAAACATACTGTTAGAAGGAGAGGCTTGTAATACGACGATGTGGCGCGAGTTGTATAGGATGTTACAAATTTTGTTTCTTTTTTACTTAATTAGTTTGTTTGAAAAATATTTTTTTTAATTATGGATTTTGTTTAACGTTAATATTTTTTTTATGATTATTGACAAGTAGCGTTAGACGTGTGTTCATTTATTGTCGCGATGGTAACGACACGATGTATAATGCGATCACAAATACTGGAGAAGCAGTTGATCGTGGGACAGATGCAAGGGAAGCGCTCAGGGGCCTAATTCCAACACGATGGAGTTAAATTATTGTAGAGGCAACAACAGAAACTCTATAACGATCCATTGAACTGTCACAGGACAGAAGCAAATGGCGACAGGTTATATATGGTCACGATCCTCATTAGTGACGGAATGAAGAAGAAGAGGAAAACGAACAGTCCTCAAAATACTTTGCGTTCAAAATACATTGGCGTTCTTGTTTTTCAAAGGCTGTTTAATGTAAAATGCGGTAGGGCTAGGACGTTTGAACTGTATGAGACATGTCGAACATACTAAAATTACTGTAGAAAAATCACACTGTGAAGTCTACCCTACGTCGACACAGTCACTTTCTCAGTACTTCCTATAATACGTTCGCAGTATAATATTTAGTTTGCTATTTAATTATTAACTTGAATATTATTTAACTTATTCAATTTTATTTGTCGAGCCCTCATGTATCATATTAGTCTAGTCATCATTTTATTTTTCAATTCTTAAATTGAAAAATCAATTTATAAGTAAATAAATAAAATATTTTTTTGTAATAAACGCTTATTATTAAATAATAATGAATTCATTAAAGCATAATTTCGACAATGTATACTCTTGCATAATCATATTCAGCAACATACGTCATTTTAGAAGTAGAAGTTACACCTATACGCAGATACCGGAGGGGATAGTATCTTTAATGATGTGAATGAAGCATGTCGTATTTTATAATAACACCAATAGTTCCACTGGGACAACAAACTATATATTGTTTCCTTTTTATTCTTTTAAGTGGACTGTATTGACTTTGTTTATCACGTGAAATTTTAAGTGTCAATATTATTAGTGTTATAATTATTGCTTTATGGTGAGTTGACAAAATATCCGTCGATATTTGATAAGGAAATAAGAGCATACCTAGTTCGCGTTTAATTTTTGACCTTGCACGTACATTTTACAATCAAAAGATACCATCGAAAAATTTCTTGTTTCTAATTATTAATGAGTATATTATGAAATCGATGATTTTAAATTGTCCAAGCTAATTTCTGCTTCTATATTTTGAATAGGAAAATTTTAAAAATAATTATCTTTACCTACGTCACAACAACTATGTATAAGGCCGTACACAAGTTTAAAAGAGCAAAACACCATAGTAGTAATAAAAAGCATGGTCGTAGAGTTAGAATCCTTACTAATATTACAGTACAATATAATTATGTCTCATCCTACCCTTGTGCCACCTAGGTGAGGTCGGCTAAACACGTGAATCATTTTGTTAGTGGTTTTGGCTATGTTTTTTACGCCCGGCCGCCTGCCTGACGTCTACCTTCCTTGTGAACAAACACACAGACACACAAATACTTATTCCTTATGGGAATCGAATCCACGACCCCCGGCGCCGAAGCCAATAGCTTAGCAACTGTGCCACCGAGCAAAAGCATATAAATATGCTACGAAATAATTTACTTACTCCAGGAAGGTCCATTTACGTTAATGTAATTTTACGAAATTCTTTGAAACTGCATTCTTAAATTTAAATTTGAAATCCTGGTTCTATTATAATCGCTTTAGTCAAATAATAAATCATTTACAAGAAATTGTAAAAAAGTTAAAAATTACAACTGAGCATCCATATAAACCGTTTTCAATTCCGTATTTCGCTATAAATTAATAAAATAAATTTACCTTGACAACCTTGCCTTGATTAGCATTTTCATGACCGCGATTCCGTTGTTATCACGCATTCATGTTATTATATTTGTACAGCTTGCAATTCCATTGTTATCACGCGTTTTTATATTTTTATGGCTTGACTAGCTTTAGTAGTCCTAAAATTACTAGTCAGAGGCTTAATGATAAGACATATCAATGATATATTTGTAGTAAACAAACAGACTCGTGATATGAATGATACAAGTAAAGTACTTTTAATATTTTCATCCGAAAGCCGCATATGTTAAATTGTAAATCGTAAGATGTTCATTTTTTTAATATAAATATGAAAGGTGCAACAAACAGTAGACAGAAGTTAAGACCGACTAGTTCTTTTATGTAAAAGTTGTCATGCGGGCAGGTTGTGTCACCTGTGGTTAGGTGATTACCACTGCTCATGAAGATATATTTGATGGATTGCAATTAAGAGTATTACTTCCACTTCACGCTGGTTTTGGAAAAAAAAATTAAAACAAAGCACTATAATATAAGTATTCACATATATAGTTCATTTAAAATCGCTCTTTATAACGAGACACTGGCAATAATGGCGCTCATAGAGTTTAATACTATATTCAGACTATTATCCACAAGGCTAAAATGGTAATACAGGCTTATCACGTGTGAAGTACATTAAATATCTCATCTTTAAGCACTTCATACATACATTATAAGGAACTATTTGGCATTAGGAACACGTTTCATTCAAAGTTTCACACAACCACACGCGAAGATGTTGATTTGATTTTACACCAACGGAGTAAATAAATGGCTAATGCTACACTCAATCCATTTTTGTTCTTTCAATTAATCTAAAACATGACAGGTGGTAAAACTTTTCTTAGGACAGTTCCTTTTAATAAGTAACTAGCGAAACCGCACGGGCTTCGCACGGGTGCAATGTATTATACATATAAACCTTGCTTTTGAATCACAATATCTAGTAAAAAAACAAGATCAAAAACAAGCATCAACTATTGCGTAGTTTTAAAGATCTAAGCATACTTATGGCCAGATAGAGAGCGGGACAACTTTGTTTTATACTACGTGTGTAAGTAATAAAGTCAGAAATCATAGTAAAGAAAAGTAAAGTAAAAGCAAAGTAACAACAACATATTTCCCACTTCTAGGCAAAGGCCTCATCTATACAGACAGTATTAGTGCATAGTGCATGGTGTTTTTCTTCACCGTTGAGCTCGTGATAAGTCAGCACTTAAAATTAACAATTTCATTAGTGCCCGCACCGAGGATCGAACTCAGGTTGCTCGAGCATATTGAATTAAAAGCGAGCGCTAGGACAATAATGAGCTATCACTATCATAAGAACAGAAAAATATTTGGGACTCACCGCTGACTCAAACTACGATCTAAAGACTGACTTTACCACCCGGTGCTGTCTATATATCCGGTAAACACCAAATTACAGCGGGGCATTTGAACTAAACATGGACTTCGTGATCGGCGGCCTAGCGGGTGCGGGGGCGACTATATTCACCAATCCAATGGACGTGGTGAAGACCCGATTCCAGCTGCAGGGTGAGCTCCGGGCCAGGAACGAGCACACTCCACGCTACAGGGGAATATTTCACGCGTTGTACGTGATCGCGAGGAACGATGGTGTGCTGGCGCTACAGAAGGGTCTGGCACCCGCCATGCTGCTGGGATTTACGATGAACTCAGTGAGGTGAATATTTTTTGCTCCGTATCCGTTGTTATCATAAATAGTGATGTTATATTGCTCAAATCAAACATTAACAGTCTTTTTATCGCAGTAGAGATGAAAATTATCAAGGACTGTGATGAATCGTTATGTATTTATTTTTTATTTCAGCGATGGAATTTATTTGGGTATACCACGAATTGATGCTATTTTTGGCTTCAATTAGCTTCATAATTTCTTGTATATACGCGATTGTAAATTATAAAAGAAACTATTTTTACGAATTGATCGCGTTTATTTTAATTCCCGACGTTTCGATCCTCTACAGCGTTCATGATCACGGGACAGACTCACACGGTGGGTTTGTCGCGTAAACAATAAACGCGATAAATCGGTAAAAATAGTTTCTAGATGTAGCTAATGCCATTTATATGTATGCCTCTTGGTAATTTCTAAAAAAAAAAATATACAGACTACACCAATTCTTTTTCAGGCTAGGAATGTACCACATTGCAGAGGTGCAGGGTATGACAAAGTCGAAGAACGGTGACATCAGTATTAACAAGACCATCTTCTGGTCGAGTATGAGCGGTGTGTTGAGTGGCGTGGCTGCCAACCCTGCCTCCGTACTCAAGACCAGGATACAAGCTGCAGCGCACCCTAGTATCGCTGTTGGGCGACAATATCGCTACAATGGTAGAAAAAAAGTTTATATCGTATGTCAAAAACATGTAATAACAATAAAGACCGAACTCTGAACAATATTTAATTATGAAAATTTGTAGAAATATCTAATTATTTATAAAAATCGTAAATAGCGATTTGAAGTTAAGGCTGTAGTTTTAACTTTACCATTATAAATATAGAGAAAAAATTTGAAGTGATATTTAAAAAAAAAGATTATTGTTTATTGTATTAAAAAACAGTATTTATTTATGTATCAAACTTTAACACGAGTCAATTCACTTTAGGTGGACTAGTATTAACTGTTATATCTAAAATTTCAGCGATGAATAGGAACAGTAATTGAATTATTCGTATTTCGTAAAAGGTATGGCGGATGGCTTCATAACGATCTACAAGAATGAGGGCATAAGGGGTTTCTTTGCGGGGGTTAACGCAACATGCGCAAGATTGGCAGTAGGCAGTGCCGCTCAACTAACCACGTTTTCCACGTAAGTTTTCAAGTTATTGTTCAATATAAATTCCAAAAAAAACTACAAAACAACCTGAAATTTTAATTACCCAGGATACTTTGAACATAATTCTAGATTATGAAACGGTTTTAAAAAATTTAGGGCGCGAAAAGAGCGGTTCCTTCGATGGTAAATAATCACCACAGTCACAGACATCCCGTAACAACAGATGCTGTAATAAATTAAACTAGACAACAGATTTAGAAATATCCCCCTTAACGTCTGACATGCCGTAGAAGAAGGTGTGTGACGCCTCACCCAAAGTCCTAAAGACCTTTCCTATGTCTGCAGTGCCAAAGAAGTGTTGCACTCGTACGGTATTTGCCAACGATCGCCGCTCGGCCTCGCGTTCTCCGCGAGTGCCCTCAGCGGCGTCATGGTCGCCATAGCTATCTGCCCCTTTGACGTCACAGCAGTTCGCCTGTACAACCAGGGTAGGAACAAGAGAATTCACGCAAACACCATTGAACCGCGTTGACACCTCGTAGTAATTTAGAGCGATTTCCATTTCAAGTGCCTCGATTTAGCTATCTGTAATGTGCGTCCGTTTATTACAGAGTGAAAGCGAAGATTCTAGAACTCGGCTTCTGCGAAAGCTCGCCCGCGACGCTCGCTTTCGCCGCGAGCCTTGTGTGCGGAGTGTTGTGTGTGCTTGTCGAAACGCCTTTGGACGTTGTGAATACACGACTTTACAATCAGGGTAATTTGTGCGTCTGCCGATGTTTATTTGCTTCGCCGGTTAGGTAGCGGGTTTTGTGAGCTTTTTTTGCGTAAAGGTAACGCTGTCTGGGAATGTGAATTAGTAATATTTACTCTGAATCAGCAAATTCTAGACAAATATACTTTACTGAAAACCGCACAATTGACACAATAAAAAAATGTTCGTGACATAAATATCACTAGTAAATGGCAAAACTATTAAACTTTTTAATTTTTGCTTCATATCCAGTGCATAAATAATTTACCACAATTCTTATAAGAGTGTTACTGAAATAACTACTTCTTAATAAATGTAAAAATCTCTCACCGTGCCAAACCTTATATATACAATGAACAATTTTTATTAACAACTGCCATTAAATGCTAACATACCCAGTCAGTCACACTGCCCCTTTTATAGACTTCACTTGTTCTTATTACTACGCTTCTTTATAACTGGCTTCGATATGTGTTTATATATATTCTATGTATGCTTGGATATGTATATCGCGACTAATTTTGTAATTTAAAAAAAATTTACGCAACGTCATACAAGTGCAAAACCCGATAAGGATTCCAAATCTCATATTGCATTTATGGATTTTCTAATAATCGTAAGAGGTTTGAGTTTTTTTTTTGTGTTGAGACTAAGAATAGGGTATGCTCAATGCGGTTCCAAGAAATTATCTAGTATAAATGTTTTAATATATTTGTACAAAATGTCATTGTTCAGTAAGTATATCAGATCAATGTGGCGCCGTTTCTAAGCTATGGGCTTCGGCGTCGGGAGGCGTGGGTTCGATTCCCACACGGGACAAATATTTGTGTGTCCCACAGATAATTGTTCCGGATCTGTTTGTTTCCCATGAAGGGTTGGCATCAGGTAGGAGGCCGGTCGTAAAACCATAGCCAAAACCGCTTACAACACGGTTCACACGTTGTGCCCAACCCACCTAGGTGGGAGAAGGGCAGGAGGATGATGACGATCATTATTCAGTATACTTAGTGCGTTTTCAAAATGTGTTGGTTTTATAGGCATATAGGCAAAATGGTTTTTTTTTATTTGAAAAGTTGCCAAGCGAGCAGATGGTTCACCTGATGTTAAGTGAACACTTGCCATCAGGTGAACCATCCCATGAACATCTGCTACACCCGAGGGTTGCAGATGCGTTGACAACCATTTGAAAACTGGGCTCCGGCCACCGCACTCGCCAGACGAAATGCGAAAGTATTATACTACCACTTTACGCCGGTCTTCTGCGAGGTCGTGGTACTTACCCCGACGAGCCTGCCCATTCGTGCAAAAGCCGAGGTTGCTGCGTGGCCCTACCACCGGAACGTTTTTAGGGGTCCGTATCCAAAGGGTAAAACGGGACCCTATTACTAAGTCTCCGCTGTCTGTCTGTCTGTCTGTCCGCCTGTTCGTCTGTCATCAGGCTGTAACTCATGAACCATGATATTTAGACAGTTGAAACTTTCACAAAAAACAGAATAAAAAAAATATTTAAGTGGGCTAACATACAATAGACATGATTCTTTTTGCCGTTTTTATGGATAATGGATGGCTTGGCCGGTTTTTTTATTCCTTTGTTGTCTTGTATTGTCAATCATATGATAGAGTGGCACTAGAAATTGCAATAAACAATTTATTTGTTGCCGATGTCAATATATGTTACGAAATGCTGCGAACATGTTACTGACTACGCTGCATTTAATTTACAGGTCCTGCATCCAAAGGTGAGGTCCTGTACAAGGGCGTGTTCGACTGCCTAAGAAAGATTTACATCACTGAAGGCTTTCACGGCCTGTATAAAGGCCTTGGGCCTCTCTATTTAAGAATTGCTCCGCATACGACTCTGTCCCTGGTCATATGGGATATGCTGAATAACCTATTCGATAAAAATAAAAAGAGTTGACATTAAAAAATCGTTAGTATTTAATTAAAATCCATTTTTTAAATAGTTTGAACAACACTGTAAAAATAACTAGGTGGAACAGTATTTAGGCGGCGTGAATTGAATCTCCCAATCAATTTCTGACGAGGTACAACTTGAACTCACGTCATTTTCAGAACAGGAGCAACTGTCTAAGAGTATATCTTGATTGTTTTCATGAAGATTAGATGGTTCGTCGTAAGAGTTCGGTAAGCCAACAGCCTGTTTATAAGCCTCTAAGCAAACATTATTGCAGGCTTTAGGGTCATAAGAGTCGGGCAAAATGTCTTTAACGGCTCTTCTAGCCAACCTCCTCGTAATTCGATCTTTCTTTCTTTTTCTATCTTCGTTATCTGCCTTGGCAATTCTATATATCACTGGAGAGTATCGTTCGGTAGTAGCATCGTTACCTTCCGCCATCGCCTGCATCTGGATTCTATATTCCCCGTCTTTCTTGCTTATTATCAGAGTCGGTTTATGTCCGTATCGTTTTTTGGTTCTCTTTGTTTGTTTCATTTCTTCTACAACGGATTTCGACCGCTTAGCTTCGTTCAGTTTCTTCAAAAGTCGTTTCGAAATCGCACCAGGCTTCCAACCATTTAATACCTAAGCAAAATAAAAATATTAGATTCATGAAAAGCTTACTAAATAAATAAAAAAACTAATAATAATAAAAAAAAACTTACTGCCATGCCTTGAAGTAACAGTTGAAAAAAACGAGGAAAAAAAAAAGCAGCCTCGAATAAATATTTATTTTTTCCTTACAGTTAAATAACGTTACAAATTTTTCTTACATACCAAAACAGAAAAAAATCTACATTTACCTACATAATAATGAACAATTCGACACAATACCCAAAATCAAGCTACACAGAATGCAATAGAAATTGAGACCCAGTAGATTTCTACTTTCAAGCTTTACGAGCGGCTTGTTTAGCTGCGCGTGCCTTAAGCCTTTCTCTCTGCTGTTTCTTCATATATTCGGAACTGATGAAGGAGTGGAAACATGGTACGTGGAAAGAGCTCAAGCTAATGCCTTGCTTAACCAAATTTGCCATTCTCTGCTTTGGGCGTCTATTTTGGTGACGCCTCAGCCGGAAATACGTCTTGTTTCCAAATTCGTCGACTGCCTCTACTCCCTTGTCTGATGGTGTGGTATGTGAACATTTACCCCTAGTTGTTGTTCCCAAGCTTTGAGCACCGATATTCTTGCGTTTCTTTGAAACTGTTACTCCAGGATACAGTTGCGGTATTTTAACCGGATCGCCTTGTGCGAGCATTGCCTGCAATCTTGTTAAAAGCAGTTTTCTATCAGCCCCGTGACCAGTGATGCCCATTTCGGACAATTTTTTAGGGCTCACCTCACCAAAACAACTCCACGTGGAATCGGATTTCTTTAAGTTATGTTCTTTTTTAAAGGCGTTGACTTTCCTCTGGTAACTTTTTTGTGGTTTATTTTGACTCATTACACTCTTTGACTTAGGGTAAAAATGCCATTTTCCCTGTAGGTCCACATATCCGTCTACACCTACAGTTAGCCATTTGCCATTTTGTGCCTGAAACTTTCCTGTCTCGGCATCGACAGTTTCTCCATTTGGTCCAGTAAATATATTGGGAGCCCAGCGTTCATCAGGCCCTATGAAACCATCTACATTAATTTCCAACCACTTATTATCCGGACTCCAAAACCCACCTAAATCACTACATTGTTGCTTACCATCGGGGCCTTTAAAGAATCTAGGTACGGGCTTACCGTACCTGTCGAGTAACTTCACACGGAAATCTAAATACGTATACTGCGAATATTTATCGACTTTCGACACCTTTTTGCTTTTGAAATTTGGATCAAAGGTGGCATTAGGTGGAGTAAATTCGACGATCCATTCATCGGAGTCCGTGTCGGAGCTTATATAACACGAATCCTCTGAGCATGAACAAGAAACGTTCAAGTTTGTTTTGTCGGGACCTGGCTCCGCCGGGTAACATGGACACTTGGGATCCTCAGCATCGGGTAGGATGCCTAAAGCTTGCTGGTAAGTTTTGAGACAAATCTCTTGGCACATATCGCGAAACGCGCTTTGAATGAAAATTCGTTGAGCCCTTTCCAGACGCCGTTGTTCCCTTTCCTTCTTCTTTTGTCTGGCGCGATTTTCTTCTTCAGTCCTGCCAATGGTGTAAGTAAGTACCGGTTTATCTTCATACGGATGTTGGTTTATTTGTCTAGGCTTTGTGTAATTCTTCATGGTTTCCATAGTGACAGTGTATTCGCCATTCTTTTTGGAAACCACTAATAATGGTCTTTTAAGAGGGCGCTTTTTCTTACCAGTGTCCCTTCTCTTCCTTGTTGCAACTGCCTTATCTGGATTTTTTGCAATTTTCAATAATCTGTACACAAATTTGTGTATGGCTCCAGGTTTCCATTGAGGGTTAAACTAGGAAAACAAAATTAAAAAAATATAAAAAATATCCTTGCAACGGAAAAAAAAACTAAAAATACAGAAATCGACCAAATCGCATAGCAATATCATAATCTTTAAGATTGAATGCTTTTTCTTCAAACTTTTCTACAGATCTGTTGTATTTATGAGAAAAAATACAAACTTTTGATATATTAGTGTAGAAAATACCTTTACTCCAGACTGATCTTGCGCAGTCCATAACCAACCCATACGTTTGGGAACTACACCCAATGTTCCACTGCAGGGCATTGCGCAATGGCTGTGTCCAATTTGTGGAGCTAAAAGTCAAATGTTACCGTATGTTGATTTATTTCCAAAACTACGCTATTACGAAAAAATTAAAAAAAAAATTATTTAATACGTACGTATACCTTTGTAACCATAATTAAATTTGAATCTGTCGTCTTTAATCTTTTTGGGGTTTTTTTTTCTGTCTTTTTCGGATCCGCTTTTCTTTTCAATAACCGACCGCTTGTCGGACGAAGTACCAGATTTCGAAGCCGTCTTCACAGTTTTCAATCCAGGCGAATCTCTCTTCCTTGAGCTATCGCTCCCAGACGTACTCAACACTTTCATCTTGTTTTTATCGAAAGTTTTATGAAAAATTGGACAGGCGACAGGCAATTCAAGCTTCGGCTTGTGCGCTAAATCCTCGCCAATTTTTCGTAGCCACCGCAAACGCCACAATAAGTAGTTTTCTTCGTGAAACCAAAAGTACATTCACATGTGCAAAAGCAAGGTTCACTGCCGAACTGCATCTTAGCCTTTACGCCACCTACAACCTCTTCAATTTTCTCGTTGACTGCACAACACTCACTGTACATGTTGTCTAAATTAAGCAAAACTTGAGGTTCGCGTGGCGCTGGCACATCCCTGTGTGTCCTGTTCTCACATTCAATCTGTTTACATTGACTTACTTTAACTTCGTTAGGTGAATTAAAAGCGCAAATGCTTTCCGAGCTATTCGCTTTTTCAGATTTATCATGTGATGCACCAACATCATTTTTTTCCGATTCGACAGTAAAATAACCCACGTAATACACTTGCTTTTTATGAGGACCATTTCCACAACCAAAGATATAATTTAACATATTTAAATGTTTCGACGCTTCTATATTGGGGCTTGATTTTGCTCTGATTACAGGTATATGTCTATTGGTATACAATTCTGTGGTACTTTTTACCAAAGAGTTCAATGCCTCGTTATTCCTAATGAAATGACTCTCAACCAATTTTTCTTTTTTTGACACTTCTTGTGATTCCTCCGATTGCAACGTTTTGTAATTTGCTTTAATATGTTTAACTGTACCAAAGTGTCTAACCATACTCAATTTCACAGAGGCTTTAAAAGAAGCAACTTTTTGTTTTGTTTTCTCATTGAATATTATAATGTCTTTTGTTGTTTTAAGTTCAGAAACCATTCTTTTATCAAAAATAATTTTTCTTACAAAATCAAGATACGGTTTTCCCCAAAAAAATTCTGTAAAACCGAACTGTTTTGCTCTTGTCATTGACCGTTTTCGAAGAGATATTATCATAGGAAAACTCTCCATCTTTAATATTAAATTACTTGTATCACACGAAAACAATATATGCTGAGCCGCCTGTAATTTTTGTTTCACATCTTTCCGATTAGCTAAACTTCTCACTGTAGACTTCGGTATTAACTTTGTCCCCTCTTTTTTCCTTGGGTCTTTTATGTTTAAAATAAAAACATCACAGAATGTACACTCTATATTGAACTCTTTGCATTTTATAAAACTTATGAATTCTTCAATACTAACTTCAATTGAAAATGTTGAATCCGAAGAAGACATTTTTTAATGAATCAATTTATAAGTAAAACAATTATTATTTTTATTAATTGAAATTGCACTTGTAATTTGAAAATTTTCCAAAAGTGATCTGTCATTATTACTTTTTCTGGGTTTACTTCACTAATAAAAACAGCCAGATAATTTTTTCTATAATATTTATATTTATTTCGTTTTTTCTCTGAATATTCTAAGACTCTTCTTAATCCGATTGATATCCTAAGCCACCAACGAGTAGAAGTAAAAATATTTCCTATAGAGATTGAGATCTGATTCCACAAATGCACTATCAAACTTTCGAAAGGATGTACCCAGGTTGTAAATGTAGGCGGCAAGATCAGTATATACGTATCATTTATAGGCAGGAGCAATGATGTATTTAATAAAGATGACGCATGTTCATACTGCGCGACGTTTAAAAATTGTTCGCTTTACTTTATTATATGACATATATCTATAAGCGACTGTAACAGATGATATAGAACGTATGATATGGAAAAAGATTGCAGTCTATAGTTGATGAGTTGCATTTGACATCAGCCAGCCATAGAATCCGACGGAAGAAGAGAAATTACCCTAACTGTCGTAATATGTGTGCCACAGTTGTGACACGCTAGTGTCACGTCTACTTCGTATTTCTATATAATAGCATTGTTCAGAACTAATTCAACAGATTAGGTGAACAACACATCAGCGCTGCTCCATTGCCACAGACAAAAAAATACTTTAAAAGTACATAATTTTAGTGCGAATATATGTATTATTTAAGGGGGTGCTTTTGAATAAGCCGTACATTTTGACTTTATCATCACAGTTCCACATTACATACCTACCTGATTAGACTTTTTGCTGAGTCATGTTTAACATAAGCTGAAACGTGAAGTTAAGGTTACTTATACACTATAAAACAGAAAAAGATCACAAAATGTTAAGGTTTATGAATAGTTAACTACTATATAGCCTTTGGCAATCTCTTATGAATTTAATAGTTAAGAATTATTATTCATGATAAATCGTAGCTCGTTGTCGTACAAACTAATTTATAGATACTTATTTTCGGAAGTCATCGTTACACACACCGATATCTCAAACGATAAAGGCCCACCATTTATCAAGTTGGTTGCTTAACAAATCGGTTAAAACATCCACTTAAGATATATTACAAAAGTGTCAAATTAATAAAATGTGTTCGTGGTCTCTTCATCAGTTTATTTTTTTCGTAAAGTAGCTTATTTCTGTTGTACATTGCAAAATTTTTAAAACAAAAAACACACCNTAATCCCACTGCGTCGTCGTACATTTGATTCATTATTTCTTGATATTTCTCCAATCTGTCCTGATCCACATTTTGCGTTATGATATTTTGCTCAAGCTTTTGATTGTTAAATTGGGCAACAGAAACACTCATTATTAGGGGATTGTTTGTTTTTGGGGAACTAAATCCAACTTTGCTTACTTTTGCATTAGCGGTTTTCGTGTTAGCTGGCCGGAGAGCGTTTTGGTCTTTATTCTCTTTTACTTTACAAGATGCAGATTTTTTACAGTCACCGTAAGAATTTTCTTTTACTCGTGCTTTATCGGTTTTAATTTGTTTAGAATCTCCCGTTGCAGCTGATGATACAGTTTTTCGATTTCACGCTTTTTGGTAATTTTTTTGTACAATACCAAGCCCATTTACCATCTTTATCTATGTAGCCATCTACTCCAATCTTTAAAGTTCGACCAGTGTTATCAGTAAAAACGCCTTCTTCTGCCGAGTAATACATACCATCGGGGCCTGTAAAATTCATAGGTACCCATCTATTATCAGGGCCTATGTACCCATCTTTATTAATCTCCATCCAAACATGGCTTGGGCTCCAAAACCCACCAAGATCACTGCATTCTTGTTTCCCATCAGGACCTTTAAAGAATCTAGGCACAGGGTTACCAGATTTATCAAGCAGCTTAACTTTGAAATCCAAGTAATTATACTGGCATTCATTGTCAGCCAAAACTGGCGAATGTTTCGCTTTTGGATCCCATCGGGCCAAGGGAGGAGTAAATTCAATTATCCAATCATCATTATCTGTATCGCTGCTCGATATTATTTCCTCCTCAGAACAGGAACATGAATCGATAGGAGGGCTCAGATTTTTCACTGAATCAGTATAACATGGGCATTCAGGCTGATTTGGATCTGGCAAAGGCAGTAAACCAATGGCTTGGTTATACGCTTTCAGACAAATTTCTTGACATTTATTACGAAATGTAGACTGTAACAGGCGACACTTTCTTCTTGTTTCTCTACGCTCTTTACGTTCCCTCTGTTTCTGAATCTTTACTTTCTCTTCTTCGGTTTTTCCGATAGTATAAATCAACGGAGGTTTTTCGTCATATGGGTATTGAAAAATCATCCGCTCGTTGGAATATTTCTTAAAAACTTCCATTTGCACAGTATAATCGCCATTTTTCTTTTTCACAACCAAAGTTGGTTTCATTTCCAACTTTTTCTTTCGCTGCAGTAGGGCTCGTTTCTTTTTTGCTATGATGTCAACGCCTTCCCTAATGGCTCTGTATCGTCGTACTAATATTTTATTCGCTGCACCGGGCTTCCATTTTGGTCGAAACTGCAAAAAGTATAAAGTATTAAAAAGCTAATAAAACAAAATATTACATATGAAAATGTTGCAAATGCAAATAAAACACAGTTTAGGCTGTTAGTTTTATTGAAAGTCGTTTTCATGGTACATGGTGCTAGTTGTTTTCGCTGAAAATTACATTAATTAAATACAAAATTTAACTGATCCGCCACAATAATTATGTTCTACACGTTGCCCTGAAACAAACACAAATATTATTTAAATTGAATTGGTTTCGAAAGAATGGAAGAATTTATTACTACTATAATAAGACTATATCTATTTTATTTCCTTAAATGAAAAAAAAGTAAAAATAAATGTAGTCTTACCATAAAAAAAAATAAAAACATCACATAAAACGATCTATTTAACAACCGAATTCGATGGAAAAAAAGAAATAAAGTACACACTAACGAAACCAACGAAGACGACAGGAGATAGCGGGGTGTTAAGGAAAAATCCAGTTTCCATTTTTAATATTTCTAAAATTAGTAAAAAAAACTATTATAAATGTGCCTCCTACGACGACGGAGTCATTCTACAAATTGAAAACTTCTCTTATCAAACTTTTCAGATTAGTTTGTGAAAAAAAAAACATAAATACGTCACGTAATTGTATCCTTCTGCCTAAAGCATTTTTAATAATATCAATATAAACTTGAGAACACATGTAGAAATTGAATTTTTAATACTTTTTTTTAATACTTTAAAAACATGTTGTATAAATATTTTATTCCAATAATTGCGTTTGATTTCGGAATTATCCAACCAAATTACGATGATAAATTAATCTTAAAGGATTGATCTGTTAATAGTTATAATAGTAAAAAATAGTTATAATAGTATACTTCAATAATAAATAGTATTCATAAAAATAACATTTTATGCAGTTATATCATCATCATCATTTTAGCTTGTGGAGGAGGAGGCATTTGGTGGAGGGCTAAACATAGGCCTCCACCATAAACTGCAAGCGAAGCACGATCCTGAGCCACAACGTGCTTGCACCGACTTCACATTTGTATTTGTATTTGCACTCCATCATTTATAATACGGTTAATTAACCGTATTATAAATGATGGAGTGACGCTCCACGGTTACGTAAAAACCTGCAGTGTTCATTTGCAAAATATTTAACTTTAAACAATTCTATTACACCTTCAGGCCTGGAATATCTTCAGCAGTCCAAAGCCAACCCATGTTTTTTGGAACTGCGGGATACGGGTACTTTGGTTGTGGCATTTTTGTAGCTACCGCTGTGGCTGAAAAATATAAAAAATATAATTTGTTATAACATAATCTTACAATTGAGTGGTTTTAATCAATAATTTCCTAATTGTAATTAATCACTGCGCATCGTACTTAATATTATTTAGGTACAGAATTTAATTTGATACTTAAATATACCTTAATTATCATAGGATTCAGTTTATCGAGTTTCCTGAATATAGAATTTGCTCACTGAAAAACGTACTCACCAATTTTTTCAACTTTAGAAACTATTGGTTTTGTTTCTTTCTTTTGTTTCGTTTGCCTTTGGACTTTTCGTGCGCTCATATCTTTGTGCTCGGACCGATCGGATCTTCGATCGTGCAAGCGCCTCTCGGATATTGATTTGACGGAACGAGTCGATTTTCTCTCAGACATCTTCGAACTTTTGGCGCTTGCGCTATCCGGTTGTTTCTGTGGCGCTACCACTTCTTCTTGTGGCCAGGGACTTTGCACCTTTATGTACTTTTTGTCATACAGTTTGTTGTATACGGGGCAAGGGTATGGTTTCGCATGATCGGGCATGTCCTTCAAATCGTCCCCAAGGCATTCATAGCCGCCGCAGACTGCGCAATAGGTGGTTTTATTCGAAAATTTAAAAGTGCATTCGCAGTCGCAATAGCACGGATCCTCGCTGTCGTCCACCTTGCTTTCTCTATTTATCCCTTGGACTATGAAATCTTTCACCGTCTCGACGACGTTACAAGATTTAACACAACACGGATTATAGATATCATCGAAGTTGATGACAATATCGCTATCGTCCGGGCTCGGGCCTCTCTGAATATTCTAAGACTCTTCTTAATCCGATTGATATCCTAAGCCACCAACGAGTAGAAGTAAAAATATTTCCTATAGAGATTGAGATCTGATTCCACAAATGCACTATCAAACTTTCGAAAGGATGTACCCAGGTTGTAAATGTAGGCGGCAAGATCAGTATATACGTATCATTTATAGGCAGGAGCAGTGATGTATTTAATAAAGATGACGCATGTTCATACTGCGCGACGTTTAAAAATTGTTCGCTTTACATTATTATATGACACATATCTATAAGCGACTGTAACAGATGATATAGAACGTATTATATGGAAAGAGATTGCAGTCTATAGTTGATGAGTTGCATTTGACATCAGCCAGCCATAGATAGAATCCGACGGAAGAAGAGAAATTACCCTAATTGTCGTAATGTGTGCCACAGTTGTGACACGCTAGTGTCACGTCTACTTCGTATTTCCATATAATAGCATTGTTCAGAACTAATTCAACAGATTAGGTGAACAACACATCAGCGCTGCTCCATTGCCACAGACAAAAAAATACTTTAAAAGTACATAATTTTAGTGCGAATATATGTATTATTTAAGGGGGTGCTTTTGAATACGCCGTACATTTTGACCTTATCATCACAGTTCCACATTACATACCTACCTGATTAGACTTTTTGCTGAGTCATGTTTAACATAAGCTGAAACGTGAAGTTAAGGTTACTTATACACTATAAAACAGAAAAAGATCACAAAATGTTAAGGTTAATGAATAGTTAACTACTATATAGCCTTTGGCAATCTCTTATGAATTTAATAGTTAAGAATTATTATTCATAATAAATCGTAGCTCTTTGTCGTACAAACTAATTTATAGATACTTATTTTCGGAAGTCATCGTTACACACACCGATATCTCAAACGATAAAGGCCCACCATTTATCAAGTTGGTTGCTTAACAAATCGGTTAAAACATCCACTTAAGATATATTACAAAAGTGTCAAATTAATAAAATGTGTTCGTGGTCTCTTCATCAGTTTATTTTTTTCGTAAAGTAGCTTATTTCTGTTGTACATTGCAAAATTTTTAAAACAAAAAACACACCAAATAAAGTGAATGTGCAATCGACTTATTTCAAGCTATTTCAGATCCAGGCGAGACACTGCTACCAATGGCATTTGATTTGACTGAACTCCACTTTTCCCATTTTTTTTGCGCTGTAAAAGGTGTAATTCTTTTTCGTGCGGTGTTAGAAGCTCTGTTAGTTTTTGTTAGCAACTTTAATCCCACTGCGTCGTCGTACATTTGATTCATTATTTCTTGATATTTCTCCAATCTGTCCTGATCCACATTTTGCGTTATGATATTTTGCTCAAGCTTTTGATTGTTAAATTGGGCAACAGAAACACTCATTATTAGGGGATTGTTTGTTTTTGGGGAACTAAATCCAACTTTGCTTACTTTTGCATTAGCGGTTTTCGTGTTAGCTGGCCGGAGAGCGTTTTGGTCTTTATTCTCTTTTACTTTACAAGATGCAGATTTTTTACAGTCACCGTAAGAATTTTCTTTTACTCGTGCTTTATCGGTTTTAATTTGTTTAGAATCTCCCGTTGCAGCTGATGATACAGTTTTCGATTTCACGCTTTTTGGTAATTTTTTTGTACAATACCAAGCCCATTTACCATCTTTATCTATGTAGCCATCTACTCCAATCTTTAAAGTTCGACCAGTGTTATCAGTAAAAACGCCTTCTTCTGCCGAGTAATACATACCATCGGGGCCTGTAAAATTCATAGGTACCCATCTATTATCAGGGCCTATGTACCCATCTTTATTAATCTCCATCCAAACATGGCTTGGGCTCCAAAACCCACCAAGATCACTGCATTCTTGTTTCCCATCAGGACCTTTAAAGAATCTAGGCACAGGGTTACCAGATTTATCAAGCAGCTTAACTTTGAAATCCAAGTAATTATACTGGCATTCATTGTCAGCCAAAACTGGCGAATGTTTCGCTTTTGGATCCCATCGGGCCAAGGGAGGAGTAAATTCAATTATCCAATCATCATTATCTGTATCGCTGCTCGATATTATTTCCTCCTCAGAACAGGAACATGAATCGATAGGAGGGCTCAGATTTTTCACTGAATCAGTATAACATGGGCATTCAGGCTGATTTGGATCTGGCAAAGGCAGTAAACCAATGGCTTGGTTATACGCTTTCAGACAAATTTCTTGACATTTATTACGAAATGTAGACTGTAACAGGCGACACTTTCTTCTTGTTTCTCTACGCTCTTTACGTTCCCTCTGTTTCTGAATCTTTACTTTCTCTTCTTCGGTTTTTCCGATAGTATAAATCAACGGAGGTTTTTCGTCATATGGGTATTGAAAAATCATCCGCTCGTTGGAATATTTCTTAAAAACTTCCATTTGCACAGTATAATCGCCATTTTTCTTTTTCACAACCAAAGTTGGTTTCATTTCCAACTTTTTCTTTCGCTGCAGTAGGGCTCGTTTCTTTTTTGCTATGATGTCAACGCCTTCCCTAATGGCTCTGTATCGTCGTACTAATATTTTATTCGCTGCACCGGGCTTCCATTTTGGTCGAAACTGCAAAAAGTATAAAGTATTAAAAAGCTAATAAAACAAAATATTACATATGAAAATGTTGCAAATGCAAATAAAACACAGTTTAGGCTGTTAGTTTTATTGAAAGTCGTTTTCATGGTACATGGTGCTAGTTGTTTTCGCTGAAAATTACATTAATTAAATACAAAATTTAACTGATCCGCCACAATAATTATGTTCTACACGTTGCCCTGAAACAAACACAAATATTATTTAAATTGAATTGGTTTCGAAAGAATGGAAGAATTTATTACTACTATAACAAGACTATATCTATTTTATTTCCTTAAATGAAAAAAAAGTAAAAATAAATGTAGTCTTACCATAAAAAAAAATAAAAACATCACATAAAACGATCTATTTAACAACCGAATTCGATGGAAAAAAAGAAATAAAGTACACACTAACGAAACCAACGAAGACGACAGGAGATAGCGGGGTGTTAAGGAAAAATCCAGTTTCCATTTTTAATATTTCTAAAATTAGTAAAAAAAACTATTATAAATGTGCCTCCTACGACGACGGAGTCATTCTACAAATTGAAAACTTCTCTTATCAGACTTTTCCGATTAGTTTGTGAAAAAAAAACATAAATACGTCACGTAATTGTATCCTTCTGCCTAAAGCATTTTTAATAATATCAATATAAACTTGAGAACACATGTAGAAATTGAATTTTTAATACTTTTTTTTAATACTTTAAAAACATGTTGTATAAATATTTTATTCCAATAATTGCGTTTGATTTCGGAATTATCCAACCAAATTACGATGATAAATTAATCTTAAAGGATTGATCTGTTAATAGTTATAATAGTAAAAAATAGTTATAATAGTATACTTCAATAATAAATAGTATTCATAAAAATAACATTTTATGCAGTTATATCATCATCATCATTTTAGCTTGTGGAGGAGGAGGCATTTGGTGGAGGGCTAAACATAGGCCTCCACCATAAACTGCAAGCGAAGCACGATCCTGAGCCACAACGTGCTTGCACCGACTTCACATTTGTATTTGTATTTGCACTCCATCATTTATAATACGGTTAATTAACCGTATTATAAATGATGGAGTGACGCTCCACGGTTACGTAAAAACCTGCAGTGTTCATTTGCAAAATATTTAACTTTAAACAATTCTATTACACCTTCAGGCCTGGAATATCTTCAGCAGTCCAAAGCCAACCCATGTTTTTTGGAACTGCGGGATACGGGTACTTTGGTTGTGGCATTTTTGTAGCTACCGCTGTGGCTGAAAAATATAAAAAATATAATTTGTTATAACATAATCTTACAATTGAGTGGTTTTAATCAATAATTTCCTAATTGTAATTAATCACTGCGCATCGTACTTAATATTATTTAGGTACAGAATTTAATTTGATACTTAAATATACCTTAATTATCATAGGATTCAGTTTATCGAGTTTCCTGAATATAGAATTTGCTCACTGAAAAACGTACTCACCAATTTTTTCAACTTTAGAAACTATTGGTTTTGTTTCTTTCTTTTGTTTCGTTTGCCTTTGGACTTTTCGTGCGCTCATATCTTTGTGCTCGGACCGATCGGATCTTCGATCGTGCAAGCGCCTCTCGGATATTGATTTGACGGAACGAGTCGATTTTCTCTCAGACATCTTCGAACTTTTGGCGCTTGCGCTATCCGGTTGTTTCTGTGGCGCTACCACTTCTTCTTGTGGCCAGGGACTTTGCACCTTTATGTACTTTTTGTCATACAGTTTGTTGTATACGGGGCAAGGGTATGGTTTCGCATGATCGGGCATGTCCTTCAAATCGTCCCCAAGGCATTCATAGCCGCCGCAGACTGCGCAATAGGTGGTTTTATTCGAAAATTTAAAAGTGCATTCGCAGTCGCAATAGCACGGATCCTCGCTGTCGTCCACCTTGCTTTCTCTATTTATCCCTTGGACTATGAAATCTTTCACCGTCTCGACGACGTTACAAGATTTAACACAACACGGATTATAGATATCATCGAAGTTGATGACAATATCGCTATCGTCCGGGCTCGGGCCGTTGATCCGGTCTGGCAAATTTTCATTTTGGATTTCGCGATTGAGCCCACCGTCTTTTGTGTTAGTTGAAAATGAACACGCGCTCTTCGAGCAGTATGTCTTCTCCAATGTCCTCGCGCTGGGACAATTCGACGCACAGTATCGATAGTTAGAAGATTTAATACTATCACTAGGGGACTTTGTAGACTTATTGTCTAGGTCATATTGCACGAAGAAATAAAAAACGTTATAAACTTGATTCGGTTGAACGTTTTCCCCGAATGGGCAACCTTTTTTTCCACAGTGACTTTTCTCACTATCACTGGATTCAGAAGAAGAAGTAGTCCCACTGGAGGTATCATCAGATTTATTTTTCTTCATGGATTCTTGCATTTGCTGTATGCACGCGCATTGAGTAGAGAGACCTTCTAATGTGTTTGTCCCATTGAATACTCCCTCTCGGCGCAGGAATTGCTGTATCTTTTCTGCTAACGTGCACTCTTTGCTCCCGCACGGGCCGATTATGTCATCTATACTTATTTCCTCGTTGTCCTCCGCAACAAGATTTTCTATGTAGGCTCTGATATGGCGAGCTATCTTGCAATCGTGTCTGCCGCAAGGCCCTCTTATGTTAGCAAGATCAAATGTTGTAACGTTTGTAATTGGTTGCCCAGGCTTTTCTTCAGCGGTCGTACATAACGGACATGGCTCGCTTTGCACCTCCTTCTTTAATCTCTGCGAAATTTCGTTATCTGGCCACTTGGTTTCTTTGCAATAGCATAGCCTGTCGATGTCCGTTGCTTTGATTCTCGGCTTGATGGTCGGTCGAGGCGTTAACATTCTCATGTTGTCATTACATGATGTTATTATTTTGCGCACATATTCTATTATAAAATCTATGTCAGGGCATGTTTCAGGTGATTTGTAAACGTTGCTTGGTGGTTTGTCGGCGTTATTCATGCAACAATAATCTCCTTCGTTGAATATGTTGTACTTAGCACCAGGTGCATTCTTATAGTCGGCGTAAACTACTTTCATCGGTTTCGGTTTGTCTATAATGTAATTGTTTTCGATCTTGTTGCAGTTCTCCTCGAAAACTTCGTCGGTCGTTTTCATAGTGCACATATAAGATGTGGTTTTAGAGTTCATACCAGTGTATAAAACCTTTTTTATTACCGGATCCTCCGAGAGAGTTCGAAAAGCTGCCGTGACTTTTTCCCCTAAGTACGAAAGTTTAACTTGAATTCCAACCTTCGCTATTAATTTTGCTGTTCCTTCTTCGAATATATTATACTCTTCGTTCAAAGTAACAGGCGGTGTTTCCTGACATGTGTAAAGTGCCTCTAAGTATTTGAAAAAAATTGGATCCCACGGGATTGACGTGGAACCAATAAAAACCATGTTATCTTCTTTATTCCACAGAGATATTTCCATGGGGAACTTTTTCATGTTCTGTGTGAGGAGCTCAGCGCTACTGGTGAATAATACGGACTGTCCTGATTGTATAACTGGTTCAGGGGGTGGTGCTTGCAATTCACCTTTTTTCTTTTTTCCTTCTTTCTTCGGTTTTGCCTTTTTTTTCTTTCCTGGTGGCTCAGGGGGTAACGGGAGTGGTTCTGGCATTACTATGTGCATCTGTTTAGGATCTTTTAATTCTAACGAAAATATATCGGCAAAGTCACTCCTAATCACCAAATTTGTAGTTCGAATCATGCTGTTGACACTTTGAACCACTACTTCGAAAATGTACATAGCATTCGTCACAGCCATTTTTCTTTACTAATATATATTGGTTTAAATGAATCTTTAGTGGCTTGACAAAAATTATCTTTACATTTAAAATTAAGCGATATTTTTAAAACTTTAAATTTTGATATGTTAAACTGACTTTTGCACTTGACAGTGACTTTGCAATATGTTTGCTCGTTATTTTTTTTAAAGTGCTTAAACCATTACTTTTTGTAAATTCGTTATCATTCTATTACGTTTAACATTTTTCCATTCATAGTGTTTTTATATATAATTTTGATTGTGACATTTACCCTCTAAAATAAGTCGTGTAATTTAAAACACTACATATATTTGGACTCATAATAAAATTATCTGAAGTAACACCAGAAGTTTAGTACTTCTAATATGACACATAGATATTAGATTGGTTCAGCATTTAGTTTACAGCTCTTGCATTATCTAGAGGTTGGTCTAGATAAACAAATATTTAGAATTATTTATTTATTAATATTATTAAAATCTCCGCATCGGATATTCCCTGGCGTCATTCAAATTTTTTTTTCATAAAGTCCTAAAAGCCGACCAGGTTCCTGACCTTATCATACCAGAGAGACTTAGTAGCCGTGGCTTGAGGACCAAAACCAAAAATTCCATAAAATTACGATAAGATAGCATGCTTTATTTAAAACTAGCGACCCACCCCGGCTTCGCACGGGTGTAATGTTTACTATCTACGATTCCGTAGTACATTAATTTGATCTATCTCGTAAGGTTTAGCCAGCGTTTGCAATGTAAATGCACAAAAATATGTTTGTTACTACATCACATTAAAAACTTTAAATTTCTCTACTATAATATGCATAAATATACTACGTATAAACCTTCCTCTTTAACCACTCTGTCTATTGCTGAAACCTAACTGCGTGGAAATACGTTGCGTAGTTTAAATGCTCTAAGCGTACAAACAGCGTGTCCGACTTTGTTTTATACGGTTTAAAGATAATTATAATATTTGTGTTATAATTATGGTCGGAAACTATGCTAATATTTTCATGAATAGTTTAAAAAAAAATAAAAGGTTCCAAGCTTTTGCGAGCTCTCTCTTCAACCGGGTTCCCGCCTTGTTGTAGCGGAAAACCACGTTGCGCTGTCTTGGTTCTTCACAGGCCAAGAAGTTTCGCAACACTGGGCTGACCTGAGAAGGCCGCCTCTAGTGAGAACGTTGAGTCCACTTTAAATGCTTGTGAGGACGGTGCAAGGGCTAGTTAATGGTGGTAGAGATAAACTCTTCCACCACTCTTCTTGTGTTTATAAACTACTCTACTATAAGCGTACTCAGGAGAGAACGAAGGAAGAGTTTATCTTCCTTCGTTATTTATCCGTATTATCCGTAAATACATCGAACGATTGGTTACGAAATAAATCAAGGAAACCATCAGTTAAAGGGAATTAATAATTCACGAGAACAAATGATTCATGAAAATAATCAATTGACGGAAACAATAAGGTTTTGGAAATAAAAAAATTCGAATGTATGCGGACTCATTTTAAAATATCAATATCAAAACGATGTATGCGACTCAATAGCAGCCTGTGTGGGCGTATCGTGCCTGTGAATCAGGGATGTTACACTCACCAAAGAGTGCGCTGAGCCCTGTGTGTATTTATTAACGTACGTGATGCGTGTTACGCTAGGTGTGGGTGGGGGGACATCGGTAGACATTAACGCGTTCGGACCTCAATCACCTTCTTTTAGAGGTGGTGGCAGTGGGATAGCATTAAATATTAATAAAAATTATTTATCGTCCGTATTGTCTATATTATCCGCGTATCATTCATAAATCAGTATAATCTGGTGTCATCCTCGAATCATACATCCGAATGCATGGTTCAAGTGGGTGCATGATAAATGACTAAAGCATGAACAAACGGACCCCATTTGGTATTGATTCTTTTGAAATGTCTTTTAAATGTTTCTTTTTTTTCTGTTAGAAAGTAAGCAAACGAGCTGGCGGCTCACCTGATGTTAAGTGATAACCGCCTGCCCATGGACATTTGCAACACTCGTAGGGTTGAACATTATTAAGAGGACCTCTTAATAAACCGGCTACCTCACTCACCAGACGAAACGTAGAAATACTAGTCTTCTGTGAGGTCGTGGTACTAACCCGGACGGACCTGCCCATTCGTGCAACAGTGAACACTGCGTGGCCCTACCGCAGTAAACCGTTCTTGAAAGAATATTTCTTATTTTAAGGTTGCAATGCTATATACCACGTAGCGCTGGTTGATTAACTAGGTGTACTTGCTTGCTAGAAACCGCTTAGAAACTGCTTTTGGATAATTTAAAGCAAGTCAAGCCTTTACTTACAATGCGTTATTGGCCATATTGCAATAATGTTCTTGAATAGGACTTTTTGATCTAGCATTACGCCTAGATATTTGCCCGTGGTTTCCCACAGAATGAATTTTCTCATTCAAAGGTAGCTCGAGTGACAATGAAACATAATATCCGCGCTTTTGAATCGCTATGTCGTATTGGTATTGTTATTTTAATAGCGAGTCTGTATCCTATCGTCTAGTTGCTAGTTCATAAATCATACCTAATTAAATATGGGACTTAATATTTTCGTAAACATAACAGCTTTTGTAAATTGATAATTTTCTAACGTAAATAGAAAAAATTCGCAGCATATGATAGAATAGAATGTAACCCAAGAAAAAAAATCGTCACATATCAACTATGTATTTGACAGTTGACACTTACGTCATGCTTATTAACACTTACGTCAAGGTTTTTTGACGTAATGTAACGTGATAAATGGAATGGAAAATGTTACGAAATAGTTTTAAATAAATTTTCCTCGTTACTGTTTACCATACGAAGATATGGACCAGGCAAAGATTAAGATGTGTAACATGAAACGTTGATGAAGAAGTCAAAAGCTTTGTAGAATGGTTAGTAAAAGTTTGAATATTAAACTTCTTTTGATTTTAAACTTTAAATTAAGTATCGAAATATTGTTTACTTAAAATGTTCATGTAATTCGTTCTCTATAACATTATATACATGTTATGTACATGAGTTGTTCGGGGTTATGTTATAATATACATATAAGACATAACTTTAAACCTCTCCTGATCTTACTGATACTCTTTAGCGTATGCATATTAAGTGCTAACAATTGATAGCGTTTGTTACGAGAGCAATTATTTCAATGTTTTAATAAGCTAAACAGGGTATAACATCGAGAACATTTTATAGCGACATGGACTTCCTTGTGGGAGGCCTTGCCGGTGTGGGCGCAGGGTTTTTTAGTAATCCGTTTGATGTGGTGAAAACGCGTATGCAGTTGCAAGGTGAACTCCGATCCCGTGGACAACATAATGTGTATTATAAAAATATACCACATGCAATGTACACCATTGTTAAACATGATGGAATTTCTGCTTTACAAAAAGGATTAGTGCCAGCACTTTGGTTTCAGTTAGTTGTGAATGGAGTAAGGTAAGCTGCTACCCTTCAAACAATTTATGCAACCTTGTTAATAAAATCTTTTGGATAAATAAGCTCAACATCATAAGTTCTGTCAAATAAAACTAATTTCTAGATTTTATAGTGGTAAATTTCACTTCCATCCCCAACATTTTCGAACACTTCGAAATCCATTGTTACTGAACAGACAGTCTCAAAATTAGTTTTATTTAGCAATGTCGTATCTGTGCATAAAAATGTTAAGGACATTGATAATGATCAAATATTTTGTTTGATGAAAATTCTATTATTCCATAATGAATTATATTTTCAGGTTAGGTATATATCAACATGCTGACGATTATGGCTTATTAAGAGATGACAGGAATAACACCAAATTTTTAAACAGCATGTTTTTTGGATGCTTCGCTGGCATGGTAGGTGCTTTCTTTGGGAGTCCATTGCAATTGGTGAAAACACAGTTAATGTCTTACTCGTCTGAAAAAATTGCTGTTGGAACTCAACATGCACATAGAGGCATGACATATGCTATAACAATGATTTATAGAAAAAATGGTGTATGTGGACTATGGAGGGGTGCACATGGCATGATGGTCCGAAACTCAATGGGTTCAGCATCGCAGATAGCTTCATATTCAGTGTATGTATTGATTAATGCATTTAAAAAAACTTCAAACATTTTAAAAATAAATCTTATGAGAAATGTCATCTATTATACACTTTTACAGAAATACTTTTTAAAAGAAATTCTGTTAAAGGACTTTTTCACTGAACCAATTTTATTGAGAATGAAGCTTGATCCCAGAATTAAAACATGCAATTAAAAAGATTCAATATTCAAAGCATACAAAAACGTTATATGTTTTATTAAACTGCATTTCAAAAACATCCAAGCAATTGTTGAAATGCATTTTATTGCCCCATGATGATACCCAGACGAACAGATGATAGAATATCTAGTCACTCTTAAGAACTAGATTTTACATCAACTGTTCATCAAAAACCATTATTTGTCTCATAGATTTACTGATACTGTGACATATATAATTATTCATTTCCAGATGTAAGGAGTGGATGGACAACAATAACATGTTTCAACAATCTAAATATCTCTCGGCGTTTGTAGCTAGTAATATAGGTGCTATTACAAAGACCATAACCCTTACACCCATGGATGTAATTATGACTCGCCTATACAATCAAGGTTGGTGTTAAGAAAATGTCTCAAATTATAATACTATGGTTTCCCTTAAGGTTTCTAAATATAATAAATTAGGGATACTTAAAAGTTACTTTCCTTTACAGCCGTAGATGCCAATGGTCGGGGTTTACTTTACTCTGGAATTCTGGATTGTGCTCAAAAGATTACAAAAACAGAAGGACTCTGGGCGTTTTATAAAGGAATAGGACCCTCATACCTGAGACAAGCACCGCACACAGTGTTACTTCTAATCTTCTGGGATATGCTAAAGGATATCCAGAAATCTCTGGAGATGAAATAAAGGAAACTTTAAAATGTCTAGTAATCTCAAAAAGCTAAACTGAGATAATAAATAGTCAATGCAATGTTTTACCGAGTTGTTAGGTCCTTGATGTGTATTTAAATTGAATAACTCAAAAAGTGATATATAGTTTTCCTTATAGAACAATAATTGCAACTTGTGTAGTGCCATATTACTTATTAGTTGTTAGTTTTTATTGTATATCACCAAATAATAATCAAATTTGTTAAACCATAGATTATGGTTACATACTCTCTGTTATAATATTGAAACAGAAACTGCAAGTTCCTAAACAACAGTATTACTGAGTTGGAAATGAAAGTATCAATGGAAATTTTTGTAAGAAATGTAAAAATTGCCTTTTAAATATGGCAAACAGATAAAATGATTCTTAAGGTCAAATCTATGCTCTTTATGTTGACAATATTTATACTAATAACTTATTAATATAATCTAATCTGAAATCATAAAATGATGTAACCATAGACATTATTATATCCTTGAATCTGATATCTTATCGTTATTCATATTTGAATTTCTCACAAAATATATTTATTTATATGAATTAGATAAAACTGTTCTGTAATAAAAAAAAACATACCTAGTGACTGATCATAATCACTATAACTTTGGAAGTTACCTTGAATAATGGAATCAAACATCTAGTCTTATCTATAAATTGTTATTTAATATTTAGCAATGGATAAAATTAATTATTGTTTGCTTTTAATGTTTTGGCTATATATTCGCTGTTTTTATGAAACCCTAGTTTTGACAGTTGTTGAAGTGAATGTAAAATGTGATATGAAATAAGTAAATAAAAAATTTTGATACACACACTAAGCATTTTATTTTAGTTTACTCCATGTAAAGTTTGCTATTTGCTTGTTAATTATTTTTATTTTCTAGTCATTATTTTAGTCGAAATTCATAATTATGTTGAAAAGTATGGGGAAGTATGAATCATGATTAATCACATGTTCAGAAAGTGTTCACTCAATAACAAAAACATACATTCATGTCAGTTACATAACATTCATCTAATGTAACATTATTCTATACAAAGAAAAGAAAAACGTAATAAAAAAAATATGACTGCACAGTTAATCGCAAAATATACTTATTTATTCCAGATCGTTAAATAAGGGAAGGCATTTAAGATGGCGAAAAGTAGAAAAGATGGTATCGGACGTGACGTCACGGACATGTCGATGGGCGGCGTATCGGCAATGTTCGCGACCCTATTCACCAATCCAATCGAAGTTGTGAAGACTCGCCTCCAACTGCAAGGCGAGCTCGCGGCTCGGGGACAGCATGCCGTGTTTTATCGCAACGTGCCCCATGGGCTGTTCGTCATTGCCAGGACAGAGGGGCTGAGGGCGTTGCAGAGTGGATTACCCGCGATGCTCGGATTTCAATTCTTCCTAAACACATTCCGGTAAGTTAATTTGATCTACATTACAAAAATACAGTGCTATGTAACACATTGCGTTATGTTCGTCGATTTACTTTTTCTATGTCATGTCTTAAACATCTTAATAATTCTGTGCCCCTATGTATATAACGCATTGCGATGTGTCCCACGTTATGACTTCTTTAGGAATTTCAAGGGAGGACTCTTAATTGAATTTAGTCAATATTGGGGAAAAAAAATTAAGTTTTGTACGCACATAAGAATTTATACTTTAGCGTAACAAAAGAAAAAAAATGTCAAATGTGCCAGTACTCTTTGTTTGTAATAAAAAAAGGATTAAACGTAATCGATAACGGTTTAATTAAATAACTTGGAGATAAGCTATAAAGCTAAATGTCAAAAAGCTGTTATTTGTTGTTAACACCATGAAGTGGCTGTCGCTTTTATGTCGCGCACCGTAAAAATTTACCCGCGTCGTTTTTCCCGAATGCGCCAAAAGAGGTTATAAATTCAAAATGTCATTTTCAGCCTAGGTGTGTACCGTATAACGGAACGTCGCGGCTTCATAACAGGGCCCGACGGACGTGTTTCCGCGGCGAAGGGTGCACTGGCCGCTGCCGCTGGGGGCGCGCTGGGGTCGGTGGCGGGGACGCCCTTCTTCCTCGTGAAGACCAGGCTGCAGGCGCAAGCGGCCAAGGCCATAGCGGTCGGCCACCAGCACCGACACAGCGGCACGCTCAGTGCCCTAGTCGGTATATACAGGAGCGAGGGAGTCAAAGGTTCGAATCCAGTTTATCGCTTCGTACTTTTGACTATCCAGCGTAGTGTTTAGTGAACCTGTCTCTTGCAAAGGAGTTTGGGTTCGATCCCCACTGAAATACATCGTGGTTGGACATGGGGTTTTTCTAGCGTCTACGTGTTTATTTATCGATATTCGATATTCTTTTACAAAATGAAAGTATGAGTTTGATGACTCCGTGGCGCAGTTGTCAAGGTATTGGCTTCGGCGTCGGGGGTCGTGGGTTCGATTCGCACACGGGACACCTATTTGTGCGACCCACCAGATAGTTGTTTCGCATCTGGGTGTTGGTCCACGTGAAATTTATGTTTGTAAAAACGTCCTTACAACACAGGATAATGTTATATTAAAGTGAGGGCAATGTAAAAAAAAATATTTAAACAGTTAAGTTAAATTTTTAAGTTTGTTTATCAGTTACCTAGTACCCATAGCGCAACCTTTACTTTTTACGACGGAATAAATCAACGCTATGTCCCGTAATAATGCTGTTGTGCTCGTGGAGCACCACGCAAGCGAGGCTTTAAAGCTCGTTCCGGTACTCGTACCCAGGTCTGTTCCGGGGCGTGCACCCGCAGATACCGCGCGGGGCGGTCGGCAGCAGCTCGCAGATGGTCAGCTTCGCCTACGCCAAGCAGCGTCTACTGGACCGCGGGGTTTTTGCGGACTCGCCGCTGATGCTGTCGTTCCTCGGCGCCAACCTCGGCGGCGTCGCGATGACCGTCTGCCTCAATCCGTTCGACGTGATCGCGACGAGGCTGTCGAATCAGCGTAAGTGTGAGGGTTCTCCATGTTATTGCTCCACGTTAAAGCCTCGTCGGACGCAGAACCGGTGGGCTGGCCGGAACCCACGGGTTCGAGGCCCCCCTCAGTGGGTAGGGCCGCAGTTAGCTAAGGAGTGTCGCCTACGGGCTATCGAACTGATCCGTAATGGCTCAGTGTCCGGGCGCTCGCTTATAATTCGATATGCTCGCACAACCTGATTTCAAATCACGGTACTGCCACCATTGAGATTTTCAATTTCAAGGGAAACATCGTTAGGAAAGCTGTATATTTTCAATATTTTTTTATGTTATGCGAGAATGTGGCAAACGCGCTGGCAATTCATCTGATGTTAAACGATAACCGCCGCCGTGGACGTTTGCAACACTCGCAGGGTATCAGATGCTTTGACTTTTAATAAAGTGGGCCCGGCTAGGTGAGGTCACACAACGGACGGAACGCAGAAGTTCTTCCACTTCTGCGTTCCGTCCGGTTTTCTGTGAGGCCGTGGTACTTCCCGCTTTTCTTTTTTTGCGATGTAATGCTGAGTGGTGACCTTTTTGGTACATTGATTTCAAGTTGTGATTTCTAAATTTAAATTGTTATTTTTATTTTGTTTTTATTTTATGTTTTGTATGTTATGTACCAAATAAATATTTCTTTCTTTCTTCTCTCTTTCTTTCTTTCTTTCTTTAACCGAACGGACTTGTCCATTCGTGCAAAGCAAACTGTTGCGTGGCCCTACCACAATTGTACCTATGATAAAAATAATATTTCGAAGGCATGAGAAGCCAGTGCCAATCCACAGTAGGGTCGCGTGGTGGACTATGTCCTATTACTCCCTGTACAGAGGAGGCCTTTGTCCAGTGGTGCGACGTATATAGGTCCATTCTTTTATTAATTAATGATAAATAGTCTGCAACTGTAATGGTGTTGCCGGTTGTATACCCAACTAGAAAGCGCCCGTGTTTTAGGCTCAACGTGCATATTTTAGCTAGCCGCCTGAAAAGAAGTAGTTTTATGTCGAAGAAGTGTAGGTCGAATAAAATACATTATCCGATGAACGCGAATAAATAACAGATCAAAACGCCTTTATCGGTTGTATATGACAAGCAAACATCTTGAAAAGTGGTTTAGAATGTTCGGTAGTCGATTTTTAGGTCCCTATAGGGACTAAAGGGATTATTCACCGTCAGGGAATATCGTATACTATAAGACTATTAATTAAAACATTCTATTATATGATATGACCTGTTATAAATAAATTATCGCTGTATACGAGTTTACACAACTGCTACGTGCTTATATAAAAGAAAGTCGAAGCATAAAGCCCTTCTATTTTCTGTGCCTTAATCAAATTTTCGCATATTATTATTTTTAATTTAAATTTATTCGTTAATTGATTCATTTGACTTTCAGCCGTCGACAGCAATAATAAGGGCACGTTATATCGCGGCATGGTCGACTGCTTCTTGAAGATGCTCAGGTCAGAAGGAGCCGGTGCATTTTACAAGGGTTTGGGGGCCAATTATCTGCGTTTGGGTCCTCACACGGTCTTATTGCTGGTCTGCTGGGACCAACTCAAAATTTTCGAAGAATACTTAAGAAGATGACGAGAAACCATAGGTGTTTTGAAATTATTAATAACTATATTAAGTTTTAATAATCTGTACGCCTATAGCACAGTTTACACTAGCATAGGCTTCAGAGTTTCCACACAATTATAAAAAAAATTATAAACAAAAATATACATATATTTAGAATAAAGAAATTATTATTTATGTATGTATAACAATAAAGTTGTTAAAATAATTTATCACTACATCTATTTTTAACTAATTCGATTACTTCAATATTTTTATATTGAAAATTAAAAGGGCTGTTTTTATCTAATATACAAAATTTTCGTGTCACGGTGCTTGTAATTTAACTCCCCCGAAACGGCTCGACCGATTTTCATGAAATTTTGTGTGCATATCGGCCAGGGTGGAGAATCGGACAACATCTATTTTTCATCCCCCTCAATGTTAAGGGTGGTTCACCGCAAAATTTTTTTTTGCCCTACAATTAATTTAGCTGGTCAGCTAGTTTACTATAAATTGTAATTTGTGTGTATCATACTGTATTTTTAAACAGTTTTTACTCTTTCTTTTAAAAAGACCCATATTGTGTACAAAAGTAGTCTGTATTTCAACTTGATGATTATACTTTTAGCAAATTGAATGACCTTTAATGTCTTGCTTGATGACTGGTTGAAGCCTACGGTAGGCAACTTTTGCGTAAATTACACTACTATGGATATCAATTTTTGTATAAAACAATTTTTTTTGCACTGAAACATAAAAGCAATGGATGTCGAGAGCGTACGCAGGGCAGTTTGTGATAAATTATTTGTGGATATTCAATATGGAGATTCATATGTTCAATGATTGATTTTTTTATTTAATTACATACAAATAGTGAATCTAAAACTGATAATGCCTTTAAGGTTGTGAAACCGATATTTAGAAGTTCTAACATGTTATAAAGGTTATAAAATTTAAAGAATTAAAGAAATAAAAATTGTGTCTTATTAATGAATAGCGTAAACATTCCGCCTCCGCCCATGTAATTAATTATACCAAAGCCTATTTTTTTCCTAACATTCTAAATGTTCAAAATAATTTTAGAATTATTATATTTAAACATATAAATAAAATGTTTATGAATATTTGTTAGCATTAGTAACCTTTGTGATGTTATTTTTTTACTTTCCTCTGACAAAGTATTTAATTATTTATACACAATTCTATTTTAGTCAATCTTAATTATTTTAGGAGAATTATCCATTGAACTATGTATATCCTTTGTTGATGATTGTTAAAAATCTATATAAATTGTTATCTACTTTAAAATTTATTACGTGAATGTAAACATTTATGTTACCAAGATGTTATTTGATTGTTTTTCATATAAAAGTGAAATTTCCCATGCATTGGCAGGTTTTAAATAAATCTTATGTCTACATTAATGATACCAATTTCTTCTTGATTTTCATTTCGCTCCTTATTTGTCCCCATTTCGTTGAGCATCGCTCTTTACGAGAAACACAATTACTGTTATAAAAATCATTTACATATTACGACAATATTAATTAGTAATGTTTTAATTGTATCTTTTCCAACTATATTTCCGTATCAGCTATTTAATGCGAAGCTGCTTATATTATACCAAAGAATCCAAGTTCTACGCAAATGATGAAAGTTTTATCTGGGGTCTGGTTCAAGTCTCTTTAAGTCGGTCTCTATATTTGTTTATGTTGTATTTATTAGTTAAAAGTATTTATTTATATTGTTGAAAAAAGAACCCAGCGTCGTTTAAGAAATATAGTATTATTTTTATATTAAGGCGACAATTCTGTGACCCAGTATTCTGAGGAAACACGACCATTTTTATAAATGTCATCTACTTTGTATAAGTATATACAGTGATTACCAAGTACATTCCATATTATATTTAATTATTCCGTTATAAATATAAAACGACAAAACCTTTCAAGTGTGGCGTAACGTTATTTTTATTTATATTTCTGTAGACAAATTTTTAACTAATGTTTTAATCAATATATTTCGGACAAATTTTTATAGAACATTGTCTAATTGTAACATATTTAAACATACTTTTCTTTTTGTAAATAAATATATAAACACCCAGACACTGGAAAAAAACTATGTTCATCACACAATATTTTTTCCAGTAGTGAACCCACACCCTCTGGTGTAAGAGGCGGTACTACTCACGCCAATGAGGTCGTCAAATAGATGGCGCTGTTCCGAAATTGCTGTGATCTCGATCACGCTATTAAAAGACCTTGTCGCAACATACTAGTTTGCTTTGTAAATTACTCATCGGTACTCTGGTTTCCCTTCAAAACGTATAAATCTTTCGCCTTTTACTAAAGATTTCCGTGGAGGGGAACACTCAAATGAGTCTTATTACTTTTTGAAGCCTTGTCTTCGGACAAGGTATATTATATCAATGAAATCTCAAGAAAGAAACTTTCAGATTACTACATTCTTATTCGTATCGAGTGAATGAGTGAGTGAGCATAAATTACTCATAGACTCATAGGTGAGAGTGGTATATATTAACATTTAACATAAGGTTGGTCCACCTAGGCGCCTACTCACATGCCAACTTTCCCATAATAATAATGCCGATGATTTGCAACTCTGCCTACAGACGAGTGTTTATTTACTGTTACCTGCAATGCAGTGGACATGATTTTCATAGACGACCAGATGAGAAGGATTGGTCATATTTGTAAATAAAAGAGAAAGTGTCTCGGAATTGGAGATAGTCCAGCTATGTACCAAACTGGTATAAAGCTTTATTTTAACCCCCTAATACTTGTCTCGAATTATCTAAGGGCAAAAGTAGAAAAAATAATTTTGCACATTATTTGCATATAACTCATTTCGTATGGGTTTTATGCTATTCGTATTTATTTTAAATATTATAAAGGATTAAATTCTTTTCTTCGATTAAAGCTTTTGTTTTTGGAAACTATTTTGTTTATTTCTTGAACCGTTTCCGAAATAGAGGGCAGAGAATGTGCAGTGTTTAGCTATTAGCAGGACTGATCTCAATTCTTCATTTCGGAAACAAATCACCGATGAAAATGACTGCGATCTGAAAGCATTTAATATCATCTCAGGCTGTATCCCTACATAAAGAGGCAGGCGTCGTCGTCTACAAATAGGGTAAGTACTAAATCTTTTAAAACCCGGCATGTGGTTTGTAGAGAGCTATAGCGTGAAAAAATCTGGGCCCAACGCCTACCCTTAAGACACCGGCTAGCATGGGGTACACAAAAGATCAATATATCGTCCACAAATCAAACTAGTACATATATAAAGTGTATCTCAAAAGTGTGATTTAGAAAACATTACCCCATGTAACAACGTCATCTAGTCTCATACAATTCATTTTGAATGTAACCTAACTTTTGATGGACGCATCAGCAAGGCTTAAAAGTTATTGATATTGTAAATAACAAATACAAGTATTAAATAATTGTTTATTGCAAGTATCAAAAAGTATAAAAAAAAACATGATTGAGCATTAAAAAAAATTTTGGTAACTATAAACAAACACGATTATGCATTACAGGTTCTAATTCACCAATATTCATATTGAGACCTAATTACAAGATGGTACCAATAAATACTAAAAACTTTAAACAGTTAAAATTTAAAATACGTCGCAAAATTTGTTTCATTACACTAGTTTACTGCAAAAACGTGCAATTATACTTAAGTAAACAGTACAAAAAAAACTACCTGTCCATCTTCCGACCAGTAAAACCATCATTATTCAAGTGATTTAAGTACATTTTTATACTAATGATCATTTAGTACATACTATTTTAATCTTTGACAATACAAAATTTTTGTGGAAGACTAAAAAAGTTGGCACTGGTCACATCACATAATTTCTATTATGTTATCGGCGTTGAAAGTTTGTGCGATCTTGACATTTTTAAGTCTTACATATAGATATTTAGCATTTAACGCATTTTTAATGGTTATTTGTCGTAAAAAACTAAATAAACATATGATATTGTTAAATACTTTCTGCATGTTATGTTCACAATGTGAGCTAAAAATAAACATATTTGATACACATACATTATGAAAGTTTTATGAAAAAAGTCATAAATTTAACCACACCACATGTTCAAAATGCATTAAAAAACACATACACACATGTTATTAGTCATTAGTTATTTACTTTATAAGTACTTTTTATTAATAACGACATTGAGGTTACAAAACAAATAGACATCATCGCTATTAGTAAATGACCGACCATCGCAACCCCACCCAACTTTTTGCTAAGATGTACGATATTTCATGATATAAATACTAGAGAATATCGAAGAAATCTAGAAATTTCTGGGAGCCAGCCAAGTTATCACATGGACGAAGTGATTGGATTTGGACGACATCGAAATCGTGGAATAAGCGTGTGTAAGCCCAACACCCTAGTAAGCCCAACAAACATGGCTCGAAGCTTGTGTGGATAGCTGAATCTAATCTCTGAATCTAGTACAAAGCGACGAGCAATACTATGCCTCGTATGGCAACAAGCAAGAAATCAGCTCTAATAAACTCCTAAATTTTAGAAACTTTAAATAAGTATTAAGTTGTAAAATTTATGAATGGTTAGTAATAAAGATAATTTCTTATAATTACGCGATTGCACATTATAAATGAAACTATTTTTTTACGGATTTATCGCGTTTATTTTTAATTTTAATTCCTCAGTCTGTCCAGTGACCCTGAACGCTGTAAAGGGTTCGAAACGACAAATCCGTAAAAATTAGTTTCGGTTAGTAATAATGTTACACCTAATTAGGATTACTGATCTAGTGAAGGAAAATATCGAGAGGAAACCTGCATATTTTCTAAATTATAAAGAAAGCATATAAAATCCGCCAATGCGCAGTGGGGTCGCGTGGTGTTCTTTACCCTAACACCCTCTATGCAGAGGCCTCTGCCCGGCAGAGGGACATTTATAGGCTGTTACTTTACTACACACATCAAATTGTATGCTAAATTAAATATCTCGTTCTCAAAACCTGGACCACATTAGTATTTTGGATGGAATTTTAATTTGTTAATTTCGCACATTTAAAACCGACGCCATATTTTAAGAGCATACTATCGTAGCCTTGAATCTCATACAAAAACTTCTCTTTAAAATGGCAGTGTATACACGATGATAATTTAAAAATAAAACCATTTCAATAAAGTTCACTATTTCTGCCACATTGCGTAAATTATTGTGTAATTCGTCTGTTTTTGAAGTTGTGGCTGTGATGGTTTACATTTAAGTTATTATTTTTTTATGAAAAAGGCGGGTAGGCCGCATGATGGTAAATGATTTATAAAATAAAAATGAGTCCCAATAACCGATGTTATGAAAATAAAGTAAGTTAGTTAGAAATTTTTGTTTAAAAATAATTAAATATTTTAGGACATATTTTTACATGTCATATAGTCCCAAACTAAGCTAAGCTTGTACTATGGGTACTAGGTAAAAAATAAAAATACTTAAACATATAAAAATACTTAAACATATTTATTTTTTGTAAACAAATACATAATATAAATGTATAAACACCCGGACGTCCATGTGAAACGAATGTATGTAAAATGTCCTTATCTAGCAGGATAAATTATCCAACTGTAAGGGGAATGTTTTAAAAAAGTAATAATAATAAAATAATGCAAATATGACTGAGGTAAGAACCATTTCATGTAAATCTTGAAAGGTTTTGTTTGAAATTATAAAGTTATTACTCTCTCGTGAAAGCTAAGTGTTTTAAAACCATTGCTAATGTTTACAATTAAGGCTGCGGTTAGACGTGGCGGGTTTCTGACTTACAGTCTAACTTACAAATAAAGCTACAAACTCACTCGGTGATTCTAAGAACGCGGAAGTTGGCACGCACTGAATGCAATTTAACAAACGCTGCAGTACTCTGATCCTGTACAGGCCTATTGCCAGGAGTATGGCAAGCGCAGCTAATTGTGCGGTAAGGCTACGGACACACCTGGCGAAGGAATTTGTCTTAACCCTTATAACCGATGCTAAGATAAATCTATATGCTCTATGGAGTTTTTCTTTGTGTAAGTTAGGCTACGACCAGACTTCGAGGAACGCAGCGCGGATAAGGCCGTAGTCACACGCGGCGGCGATAAGGCTGCGGTCAGACGCGCGGCGCGGCGCGGCCGGCCCGCGAGCGGAGCCCCCGCGCGCACTGCTGCCACACCTGCGACGGGGAGCTGCCCCGCGTTTCCGGCAAGTAGCTCCTGGAAGGGAGAACGAAAGAACCCCATTATGTAAAGTGAAATAAATTAACAGCCTATCTATGTCCCACTGCTGGGCAAGGGCCTCCTCTGCACAGAGGATATTAGGGCATAGACCACCAAGCGACTCCACTGCGGATTAGTGGACTACACATATCTTCAAAATATTTTTTTATTCTTTTGAAAATATACAGGTTTGCCTCACGATGTTTTCCTTCACCGATAAATTAGCAATTTCATTGGTGCCGCACCGAGAATCGAAATCAGGTTGCTCGAGTATACTGAGTTAAAAACGAGCGCCCGGACAATGAGCTGATTATGATCAGTCGGTTAATAGTATCGGACCCTTCAATGATAATTAGTATTTGGCCAAATGTGAAATGCCAGTCATTGTGGCGAGTTTAGGAGCTTCACTTGAAGATCCTTTGCTGTCATACATGCGTTTCAAACGAGAATGTGCGCGTCAATGACCCAGATCTGTCAAATATCACTAAAAAGGTCACACACCAACTTTTTTTAGTCTTTTTTTTATGTGAAAAGTTGCCAAACGAGCAGACGGTTCACCTGATGGTAAGTGAATACCGCCGCCCATGGACATCTGCTACACCCGAGGGTTACAGATGCGTTGACAACCTTTTAAAAATTGGGCTCCGGCTTACCCCACTTACCAGACGAAACGCGAAAGTATTTTTCATACTTCCACTTTACACTGGTCTTCTGTGAGGTCGTGGTACTTACCCGGACGGGGCTGCCCATTCGTGCAAAAGCCGAGGCTGCTGCGTGTCCCTAACACCGTTAGTCGACAAAAATAATCTGCGTTATTATACAGTGTATAATATTATGCGTTTTTAATGAACAATAAGTATACATGTATACTAAAGTAGAGTAAAGGTGAGAAATTCAATATCTACATTGCACCCGTAGATGGTCGGGTCGCTAGTCTTTATTAAAACCCTGAGGCGGATATCGCATACCTGACGAATAGGAACAGGGCGCCCGTGATGGCGGAGAAGACGAGGAAGGAGTAGGGCCCGATGAGGCGGCGCATGGTGGGGAAGCACATGCCCACGAGGAAGTTGCCGCCCCAGTTGGCCAGCGAGCCCCACGCCATGGCGGCCGGCCGGGGGCCCACCTCGAACATTTCTGCGAAACGAGATGGTGGAGGTACTTTGGTAGGTTGTGTGAGTTCGTGTGTGTCGGGTGAAGATATAAAGTCAATACACTGTTCACAACATTTATTGTCTACACACATATACGAACACAAAAGAAAGTCAGAAGGAGTAAAAGATAGCACAAAACAATAACAAAAGAGGATAGCGAAAATAAGCAACTACAGCGGAACTATGACACCACGTAATATCTGATAAAGCGTAAGCGCAGCGGGGAGCAACAAGCGACTGGCGATAGAAGTTAATGTACCGCGCCTCGCGAGTGTCTTATGACGTCGCACGGGCTCGGACGGAATCGCTGTTGCCGGGCGCCCGATCGGTAAATTGTACATAAAAAACGTTAGGTGAGCCGCGTTGCGTCGCGGCACAGCTGACCGTTGACAACGATCGTAAACATTGCATTAATGCGCTCAATGTGGTTAATAATAAAATATGAGAAAATAATATATACTTAATATAAATATGAGAAACATATATCGAATTAGATTTAATAAATAAATATTATAAACAAATAAGATTTTTATTTTAAATATTTAGCCGCCACAGTACAATGCATTATAACTTTACACAAGCAATTATTGTTTTTTTATAACTTTTTTTTGTATTTAGACCCGGTTTTGCTTTTTTATGGTCAGTTTGAATATTCTATCTACAGATTCATTTGGTTACTAGCGATAGGTATTTGAAATTAGCTCCATAATACTTACTTCAAAATTCTATCTGCAGTAACCAAATCTACCTGTAGATTGAATATTGAAACTGGACAAAAGTACATTATTATAATCTATACAGGCGTCTCTCTTGAGAAAAGTTAAACAACACAGTTCTATTAAAAATGACAATATACATAGCACGACCCTGAGGTATTTGCAGTAATTGTATGTTAGCCTTCTTATACCTCAAAAGTTGCTGGGATGACAACACCATTGGATATTATCCCATTACAAATCACCATATTGAGTACATTATAAAAAAAACGATTGTACTCAAAAAAATAGTCACACGAGTCTGTCTGTGAAATCCCTAATAATGAAAGTATGTTTAGTATTAGTTTTCGCGAATATAAAAGAATAATATATGCATATACATACTATTGGGTTGATTTCCTACCAAGGAAAAGTATTTGTATAAAATACAGATTGTTCCAGATCTGGATGTTTGTAATTGTTTAATCTGTGTTTGTAGATTAGATTGCCTCAAAACACAAATTATGTTATTCTACATTATAATAATAATAATAATAAGCCTTTATTTCCCGAACTTTTTACATTTATGGCAAAAAAATAAATATAAAAAAAAATATAATTATGAAGTACAATTAAATACTAAGTCTACTCTCATATTTGTTTATATAATATCTCTTGGTTCGGTGTGCCTTACGGCAAAGGCCTCCTCCAGTTCTCTCCACTGCTCTCTATCTGCCGCTAGTCTTATCCAAAGGGGTCCTAAGGCCATCTTAAATTCATCCTCCCACCTTATTGCTTTGCGACCTCGGCTCCTAGCACCATCTCTTGGGTACCAAACTGTCACTTGTTTGCTCCATTTCTCCTTTTTGCAGCGGAGCATATGTCCAGTCCACCTCCATTTAAGTTGGTCAATATGTGATAGGATGTCTGTTAATTTCGTTTTGCGCCTGACGTCTATACTCCTAACCATAAGCCATATGTGATGCAGGGTAGGATACAAGTATAAAAAGTCTTTTTCTTGATCGTAATGCTTAGTTCCTTGCTTTTCATGATTTCTTTTAAGGCCCAATATTTTTTCCACCCAAAAGCAATTCTTTTATTTATCTCCTTGGCCATTTGATCATGGGGCGATATTATCTGGCCTAAGTATACGTATTCCTCATACTCAGAATCTCAGATGGCTCAGTCGCGATCCATTTATGTTTAATCCTAGATTCTATTCTATTCTATTCTACATTAGAGATGTTTAAAAAAATATTTTTAACTAACAGATAACACTTGACTTGTGTTAAATTCATCCGTTTTCATAATTGTTGAACGCAAATAAACATTGAAAGCCTTATTGTCGATGCAAAATGGCGTAACGAAAAACTATACCGTGACGGTGCGGGGCTTATAAACCGTACCGCGAGACTGTTTTATGGATTTAGACTTAGTTAAAGTAACAAATAAGTTAATTTTTGTTTGACGGCGTATGAGAACTGTCAGTGAGAGTTGTGGTGCTATTTATTAACAATCACTTGGATGAACGTACACATTTACATTAGCGTTCACTGGTTTTCATAGTTTAGATTTAAAACCTAGTAAATGAAACTTAAGTCGACAGATAGAGGAAGAACTTAATATAAGTTAGGCTCTAGACTCTGAGTGACAAATTTCTTAAAGGATTACAAGTAGTCATGAAAGAAAAGGAATTATAATTTTAATGTTAACACACACAAATAAATAAATGTACTTGCTAATGCGTAGTTAGTTTTTTTTTACCTGAGGCTATGAAGTAAGGTATGGGCCCAAGACCGAACCCATAGACTAGAACGTACAGGAGAACTGCTATCATACACATGTAGGGCATCCACGAAACTGTCTCCTGAAACAGAAAATGTACTGGTATCAGACTGGTGCAACAGTACATATAGGTTTCTGTTCATGTTTATGTAATGGAGATTATTAATTTAACTAGAAGAAATTAATAACACTAAAGGGATAATTTGTTTAAATATCAGGACTCGAAGTAAACTGTTGTTTCGCCACAGTATTATATGGATTTGTGCACAATTTACATTTTTCACACACCCTATTTAGATTCAAAAGAAAATTTAAATACGCAAATATTTTCAAACATAATGGAGATCGAAATATATGTGGACTAAACTTATAATGGGACAACTTCATGAATAAAGGGTGTCCCATAAGCCCATAAGTAAAGAGATAAAACTGAGTGTTCATATGGGTCAAGAAAAGGGTTTTCAAAAAAGAAAATAACTGTTGCAATGGTAACCACCGGCAACAAATCTGTCAAAATCGCGTGGTTTTGCAAATATTGTAGATGTTTTTCTAACATGAAGCGAACCGAACGAGAATCGTTTGCAAAAAGAGTAATTCAGTACTATCTGAATAATGGGAAATCAGAGGCAGTTCGTCATTTTTCGCGAGGGGCAATAAGAACAAGTATCTACAGAATAATTAAACGGTATGAAGAATCAGGAGAGACTGATTTTAAGAAGATTCCGGGAAGGCAACGTAGCATAGCAACTGATCGAAACATAGATAAGGTAAAAAAGGTTTTTAAAGAAGCACCTTCAACATCTGTGAGGACTGCGGCGGACATATTGAAAATATCTAAGTCAAGCATATCCAGAATTAAAGTTCAAGTTCTGGGTTTCTTTTGTGAAATTGTCCGCTCCAAAGTACGTGAAAGACCAAGAAGTGCGTGCTAAGCGAGTGTTGCCGTCGAGTTTACCAAAAAACTTTGAAAAAAATTGTCATAATTGATGATGAAATTTATCTACCGATTGACCCCTCTGATATTCCTGGGAAGCAATATTTCCACGCTACCAGTCCTGGTGAGGTGGATTACAGCGAAAAAGTTAAAACAAAGGCAAAAAAAAAATTTTTTTTTAAGAAGTATCTGGTTTGGCAAGCTATAGACGACAACGGCAATGTTTCTGAACCATTTATCTGTACAGGGTCTATGAACGCACAAATTTATCTTCGAGACAAGTATTATCAGAGGTTAAGACGTTGTATTCTGGCCGGATATGGCTTCGTGTCTTTACGAGTCTGAAGTCACTCAATATTTGCAACCTATGGGCGTCGAATTCATATCGAAACAAAACAATGCTTCAAATGTTCCTAAAGCTAGAGGTATGGAAATATTTCGGACTCTGTGTAAAAAGGAATACAAAAAGTATTCAGAAAAATCAAAAACGTTGACATCTTTCAAACAAAGATGGGCTAGATTGGCCAAACGGATGGCAACAACTTCTGGAAAAGCAGTCATGAGTGAGACATGTAAGCATTAATTAATTTGATAACCCGAGAGCCACGAGAGTACCAGGCGATCATAAATTCTCATTTGTCATAAGAGTTGGACATGAAGGCGCCCGCAGACTGGGTGTCCCAAGAGCCACGACAGTGATCGCTATCATAAACTCTCATTTGTCATAAGAGTTGGACATAAAGGCACACGCACACTGAATGACACAAGAGTACCAAGCGATCATGAATTCTCATTTACCATTAGAGTTGGACGTAAAGGTGAACGCACACTGGGGCATGCCGAGAGGCCTGAGAGTACTAGGCGATCATGAACTCTCATTTGGCTTAAAAGTTGGACATAAAGGAAAACACGTGCACACTGAATGACACGAAAGTACCGGCGCAATCATGAATTCTCATTTACTATAAGAGTTGGACATAAAGGAGAACGCACACTGGGGCGAGCCAAGAGGCCTGAGAAGAGAACTCTCATGTACCATAAGAGTTGGTAATTAAGGTGCCCGCGCACTGTGGTGACCCGAGACCCAAGGCACCAGGCGATCATGAACTCACGATGCAGGTCATGGCGCCGGCGAGGGCGGCCAGGCACACGGCGGCGCTGAGCGCCGAGCCGAGCAGCAGAGGGCGGCGGCCCTTGCGCGGCAGCAGGTACAGCATCAGCGCCGCCGTGCACACGTTGATGAAGCCGCAGCCGATGGTGGCGTACTGCGCGCTGCTCTCCGACAGCCCCGCCTGCTTGAATATCGTCTGCGAGTAGTAGAACACCTGCAAGGTAAGAGAGAACATGCATAAACGACCCCGGTCCGTACGGGCTGTGGTCGAAACTAGCTTGCTTCCCAGTGTTACATGAAACTTTACATGGACTTCGAATTGTAAGCAAAACTTCCGTACATACAACAACGACACTAGTCACCTAGTGTCATGTACATATATTATTTGTTTTTTTGCAAATGTAATTGTACCATGATATCTTGTATAATGGCAAATAAATAACTCCGTGGTGCAGTGGCCAAGGTATCGGTGGTCGTGGGTTCGATTCCCATACGGGACAACTATTTGTGTGACCTAGAGAAAGTTGTTTCGCATCTGGGTGTTTGTCCGCGTGAAATTTATGTTTGTAAAAAACGTCCTTACAACATACGTTATCCTAAAGTAAGTAATCATATCAGAAAAATCATGATTAGAAAAATCTTACCCTACAATTCGGAGGATAGCTCTGATGCGAATCATTAAAAAAAATCGGACGTACTAACTGTAAATTAAGACTACACAGACTATAAAGCTGAGACGGATTTTGAACTGTAATCAACTCTCTCACTATACTGAAGCTCAAACTGGTCTCTGAAATGTCGCTGTCCTCGGCGCTCAGCACATACGGGATCTCAGATCGCTCGTTAAGCTGATTCCGCTCGAAACTCAGAACGGCCATAGAATCAGGGCCGAGTGGCGCACCGCATTGATGCCGCTGGTCTGCTGGCCGGCCTGCATGCTGCAGACGAGCAGCAGCGGCAGGCGCAGGCGGGGCTCGGCCGCCACGCGTGCCATTCCCCAGCCGCCGTCAGCGCTGGCGGCCGTCTGCGCCGCCCGCCGCTCCTCGTGCAGCATCTCTAGCTCCTCGGACAGCACGCTGCACGAGGCGCCCCTCAGCCGGCTCAGCTCTGGAATCGGGATGTTTGACTCTCATCGAATTAAGACATTTTAAATGTCTTTTACTGCTTAGAAACGTCGCTTTCTATAGTTTTGTTATTTATTATTAATTTTTAAATTGTAATAAATTTTTTAATATTCGCGCCAATAACACCATTTATTAAATGTGTTAACGTTTTACTAACACTTTATTTTCAAAACAATTAATGAATTATATTATTCTTTTTCAGAAGTGATCATTTTCATTATGATCTGATCTACTCATTGTATTCATAGATTATTTTTCGACACAAAACATTACGCTTATATTTAGAAAGTCGTGCAAATGGTTTTAGCATTATTTTATTACATTATTAACTCTGTGATGGTTAATTAAGCCATTGTATAAACTGAATTGAAGAAATATATGTCCTACATAAACTCACCTTTAATAGAAGTAGATTCGTTGCTCTTAATGATAAACAGGTACTTTGGACTTTCTGGTAAAATAAACAATATGGGTAAACAAATAATGACTAGTAAAGCGTAGATGGATAGGAGGTAAGGCCAGTCGTCGACGCCGCCTGCAAAAGAAAATTCACACTGTCAGAGATGCATTTGGGATTCAGTGAAACAAGAATTTATGGGCTTTGATGACTTTTGCAAAATGCAGAGAATGTGTAAAATCTTTTGAACCGATGAACTAATATTAATTATTTCAAACAAATAATTTTGGAACCATATTTACATTTGTCTCTTTTGCCAAGTCAGCAGTGGACTCGAGAAGGCTGAAATGATAATGATGATGATGATGTGTATTTATTAACAACAAAAAATCAAAATAAACTGCTTAATTAAAAAAAAAACTTTGATTATTAAACAAAAATACTGAGTTCACATATAATACAGATTTATGTTCCGAGTGTGATATATCAAACTGCTCTCGCACGTTGTGTAAGCCTTTGTGAAACATTCACCTAACAAGAAGTTCAAGCCCATGAGCTGGCCGACGAGGACGCCCACGTTGACCCCCATGGGGCACGCCACCCCCATGGCGCCCGTCAGCCGCGGCGGCGACAGCTCCGTGAGGTACATCGGCACTATGCTCGTCGTCAGCCCTGGGGACATGTATTGTATAATGTACATGTATTATATGTAAGCGAAATGTATGTATGTATGTATGTATGTATGTATGTGATATGTATGTTGAGTGGATAGGGTTGGGTAGTAAGCCCCAAAGACCACTGCAAGCTAAAGATAAAATCTATTGTGGTCTTCCCTTCGAACTCCTTACTGTAGGATAAAATTTTCATGTGTAGGGACGTTTTACTTGCATAAACTTCACGTTGACAAACATATCCGGGAAAATTATCTTTAGAGCCACACAAATATTTGTCTCGTGTGGGAAATAACCCACGACCCCAGGCATCGAAGTCAATACCTTAGCAACTGCGAAACAAAAGTCTCGCAGTAAATTGGTAGAAACGTATATGAATGCTTCAGCGGCCCATACCAGAACTTCATTTGTGGGTGCCTTTAAAGGTTGAAGACGTTACTGCGAGCCCTCCGTTTTTTAGATTTAATGGAGAACGGAGTGTAAAGAAATACTTGATAAAAACACCGGATGTGGTTTTTAGTGTCTTCCAGCACTAAGTACTTTTATACTCTGTGTATAGTCGGTATAATTTAGAGCATTATAACCTTGCTGGACCAGCCACCTCCACCACAGTTTTACTGAGTTACCACACCTACAAGTTGCCACTATACTCACCACCGGCCAAACCGACCAGCAACCTGCCCAGGATCAGCATCTCCACAGAGTTAGCGGCACGGCACGTCAGGAACAGAGCCGCACCGGCGATGGACAAGGCACTTGTTGCGATTGTCGCCATCTTTCTGGAATACGGAGAGGCTGAATTTTTAATCAGCAGTATGGTCTATGGTACGCTAGCGATAAAAACAAATAGATCTGTATTGCGCGGTAACAATTATACTGCCCGGTCAAACATAGTCTGATGTAATACGAATGGTGGTTCTCTCTCTCTCTTAATCTGGTAAATGGCATTTCATTAACTTGTGAGGATGAGGATCCTCGGAAGGCCAGCTTAGTAAATTACGTCTCAGGACAGGAGTCGTTGGAATATTGACTTTAATAAGAAACTGCGGATGAATGTAACTTTTGCGTTTTTGTGCAGAATCATCGACAACCCCACAGGTGTTATAGATGCTTCATTTATTTATTGTCATCAACTTCATGTACCTATGTAATTTCATCCTCAAACAAGTTCAAATACCGATGCCAGCATCATGATATTGTTAATATCAATTTTAAATGCTGATTTATCACGTGCTTATCGTTGGAAAACATTGTAAGAAAACTTAAATATTTACGAAATAATATTAAAAAATATATTCCAAAGATCTGTGAAGCCTGGTTTTGAATTTTGGTTGTTATTTTATTTTAATACACTTTAATGTCATCATGATCATTTCAGCCTGTCAGAGTACACTGCTGAACATAGGCCTCCCCCATACACTGAAACGAAGCACGATCCTGAGATCAGTGCATCCATCGACTTTCCCTTAAGTATAGTTTAACGAGCAATTCAACGTAACTTATTTTTTTTTCTACCATTACGAATGCGCAATGTGATACGCTAACTATCACTCGACAGCTCGAGAGTACTGCTGCTCGTGTCAGGTCTACCAGAAAGGACGGTCAGGGCCCTCAATATGATCACCCGTAATATCCGTAATAGTGCTCATTTATTTTTAAGTTTTTATTTATTTATTCAAATAAAATGTTGAAATTAGGAGTGATTTTGCGAAATAACATTAGGCTATTACTGCTAGGCTGGCATCCGATAGTCAATACAATGTAAATGAGATAAAATGTTCAGAACAATACCTCCCAAGCCTGTCGGCCAGGACCGACCCCAGAATGGAACCGGTACATCCTCCGACTATAAATATGGAGACAATGGAAGACCAGAGAACGTTCAGCCACGTGTCGTTCAGAGGTAGATTGTAACGGCTTACAAAACTCTCATTGCAGAATGTCTTGATAACCTGGAAACAAATAACAAAACTTTAAACAATTTTTATTACATTTTTTCAAATTATGAAATTATATGATTGTGTCAAATTCAAATTTAACATCGCACAGCTGTACATAAATTGGGGTTCGGACGCTCGAATTACATCGACGTAGTACCTACATAAGAAAACTTTTTTGCTGTAACCGACACAAAGGGTAGTAATAATCACAGCCTATTCATTTTGCAGTGTTACACATATGCAAAGTATAGATAAGCGTAGAATATATAAGCGTGAATAAATATATAAATATTACATTGTAGTTTATAAAGTGACATCATATAGCGTAGTCTCACTTTAACTATCTATATTATATAGTAATCGATGACTATTGCGTCTTTTACAAAGCTGCATTATGTTGAGTTTACGAAATAACATACATAACAAATAACCCTGATCATTTTCATGCCTCAAACTAAATGTAAGGCCGACTGTTTGCGTCACCCGAAACCATACCTCCGCTGGTGTGTTCACCACACCGATGTTGTAGCCGACCGGCAGCGACGAGCCCACGGTGGTGACCACGCCGGCCAGCACCAGGTAGAACGACCATCCTGCCCTGTACTCGTGCGCCTGCGTGAGGTGCTGTTGTTCATTCGCTATCTGCAACAGATTATAAACGACAGGATGAATCGATTCATACATAATCCTTATTAATATTATAAAGTTTGTATTTATGGATGTTTGTTACTCTTTCACACGAATACTACTGAATGGATGGACTTTACAATAATATAGCTTATACATCAGAATAAGACATAGGCATTAATATACATATTTTTATGTATATCTGTCTTTCTGTCTGAATGTTACACTTTCAGCCTATTCTACGCAGACGTAGTCGCGGGCAGCAGCTAGTTTACAATAATTGTATGCGGAAAAAAAAAACTTAATAACAGCAAACAATAATTTCTATCTTCATTTAAAATTTTCAATCTTTATTATCGTCATCAAAGAGGCTTATCAATATCATCGGTAATACTAAGACGATCGGGAATATAACAAAGTTAACATAGTGATACATTGACCATCATTACTTCAAAATGCATGCATTCAAATAGTGGTGGTGAATATTTCTCTTAATTCATACATTACATTTATACTTGAATTTTTCCGAAATACTGAAACTTTTTACACGTTTATAAATGGACACAATAAGAGAACTTACAAAGAAACTGGCAGTGTATTCACTCGTATAATTTATTCATAATTTGTATTTATTTCAGATTAGATCCAGATTGCAGTTCCAATATCTATCCTATAACAATATTTAATCCTTAAAAGATCTCAAAGGGAGTAACTAAAATATAAAACTCACTTCCGTGGACATATCACGTCTAACACCATCAAATCGAGACGTTAGCTAACGGTGAATAAAACACGACTTGCTAACACAGAGTCATCTTTAATCCAAAAGAAAACACGTACACTACATGATACATCGAGAATGGCGAATGTATCATTACTGAACACTCAGAGATCATTGAATCATTAAACATCATATTTATTTATCATTAATCACTAAATGCGCCTCCGTTTCACCACAATAAAAAGTTATAGGTAGCGGCGGCTACATCCACTGTGGACGGCAGCAGCGAACAGATGATGAAGATTATCCAATACCAGTCGCAGTTCCAAGTGGCAAGTGTAAAATAGGATAGAGCTATGGAAGCTAGCCCATGACAACCGATAGCTGTTAGCATATTAAGGAGTAATATTGATATTAAAAATGTCTGTATCACATGGCTAATAGGATTTATTTTCGCGACGTAAATGCGCTGAAACAAACAATACTACTACTATACGATCGTTACAGCCAGATTATATTAAATGAAATTACATTTCGTTGTTAAACAATTTTATAAATTAGGTAATACTGTTTTCAATACATTAAATATTCTACGTTTAAAGTGATTCAAATTGTAAATTCATACAGATGGTGATACAGATCACGTATAGATGGCGGTAAAGATGTTTTACTTTAGTCGTACGGTCACACTCGTTTTTTTTTGTGTTGCTAAGGTTGAAATAATTAAACTTAATAAGAGCAATGGGAAAAGCATGGCATCAAGAACATACCAAGCATATAACCTGTTTTATAAGACTCCTTCTTGCAAATAGTTTTATCAATAAAAAACAAAACCGACTTCAAATATCTCAATCTACTTTTTCTCTTCTTTCTTTCTCTTTACAGTTTATTTATTTATTTATTTAATCTTTATTGCACTAAAAATTGTACAAAGGCGAGCTTAATGCTATATTGCATTCTCTACCAGCTAACTCTAGGTAGAACAGAGACATAATGACAAGGGCAGTAAAGTACTTGTGATCGTTACATAATCAAAAAAAAATTCATAAGGTTATAAATCTAAAAACTACCAACATATATAACATATACGTAGATGAGTTTTTATATATTATTTCATATACAGTAAATATACTTAACGTACGTCGGACGTCCTACGGCTGATATGATGATGATGATGATGAAATATACTTAAATATTCATATTACATATAACTAACCTAATAATATTTATATATGTATATATACCAGATGTTAGTACATAGTAAGCACTATTAAGGTAGCTAAGACTCAGCAAGGATATGCACATACAATTTTCTTTTGAAAATATTTTTTGTTTGCGATTGTCGCAGGTCAACAGGCAACCTGTTCCAAAGTGAGATAGAAGTGACAGTGAAAGAATTGGACATGAAACCGGAGAGATGAGAGGGTACAGACAGTAACGAATTCTGAAAAGAGCTAAGACTGAGGGAATGCGAGTCCCCGAGGAACTGAAATTTTTATTTTAGATAGGAAGGTGTGGAGGGGTCATAGAGGATTGAAAAGAGAGTAGACAAGATACGAAAGTCTTTGCGCTGGCGTATCGTCAACCACTTTAGTTGAGTACGGAAGTGTGACACGTGGTCATATTTGCGCAGCCCAAAGACAAATCGTATGCAGTTATTGAGTAATCTCTCCAACTTGTTTAGCAACTCCTGAGAAATGTTAGTAAGACAGACATCAGCATAGTCGAATAATGGAAAAATAAGGGACTGAACAAGAAGGAGCTTAGTGGAGGAAGGCAGAAAGGCTTTAAGACGATATATGGAACGAAGTATGCCTGTTACCCTGCGACAGATCTCAGTTATATGTAGTGACCAGGTGATGGATGGGTCAATAATTAAACCTAAATCTTTGAATCTACTACAGAAAGGCACAACGCAATCCTCATACTGGATAGGTGGTAAATTGGACAAGTTAAGTCGTGAGAGCAGTCAACGGCTACCGATGACAGTTTCTATTGGATTTCGAGGAGTTTGCTGATGTGTCCTCCCGAGTAGAGCTTCAATACCATTGAAATCAATTTGGGCCACGTAGGAGTTAAATCGAAACCCGTTGTAATAAAATCGGTTCACAGATACGGATTTCTAAAGTACTGAACATCGATGATAAATACAACCGAATTGAGAATCTAATCCTTTTTCTAAAGTCGGTTCAAATTCAACCACATAATGCTTCGTAGTCTCAAGTGTCGTGTTTGGTAGACAGTTGCATCATGACTCCTTAGAGCCTTGCTAAGCAGAAGTTCTTTATTTAAGTGTTCAAATCTAATCAAATAAGGTAATAATAAAAAAGGGAAGAATCAAGAATGCGATGACGATTCAACTCGCACGTTGTTTGTGCCGTGTAAATTTCTTGTACAAATATTTGAAACACTAAAATTCAATAACCGAGGACTTCGTAAAAAAAATTCCCAACACAATACGTCGTACGCATAACTACATCGGTTGACATCAGTAGTTAATACACCGTATTTTACTGACTATCCTCGATATCTATTAAAATAACTATACGCAATTCATCAGTATTTACGTAACTATACGCAATTCATCAGTTATTAAGTATCATGCATGATATGATACAATCATATAATATACAATATATTAGGCTGGGAAAAAACTTTTTTCGCAAATAGTATGTATGTACTTGTAATATAATCTCTTTGGCTATACCATTTGTATCTGGCTGGTTTTGGTAACATTAAAAAGTTTAAATTTTAAAAAAGATAATTCCAAATTCAAATTAGGAAAATGTGTGATTTTCATTTGTTTTTCTTACTTTTAAGATGAGTGATTCTAATGAAGAAATTCGATACATTTTAAAATTTCAGTACAAAAAAAAGGTAAAAATGCAACGCAAGCTGCGAAAAAAATTGTGATATTTATCTGGCACAAATTTGGTTCAAGCGTTTTCAATCCGGAAATTTTGATGTCAAAGATGCACCTCGCTCCGTGCGCCCTGTTACGCATAAAATGGATGGCATTTTTGAAAAAGTGGAGCAAGATCGGCATATCAGTATTTACGACGTAGCTGAAGAACTGGAAATTGACCACAAAACAGTTTTGGCGCATTTGATAAAAGCTGGGCACACAAAAAAGCTCGATATTTGGGTGCCTCATGAGCTCACTGAAACAAACGTAATGAACCGTGTACTTATTTGTGATTCTTTATTACGACGTAATGAAGCCGAACCATTTTTGAAAAACTTGATAATTGATAATGAAAAGTTGGATCACGTACAACAAGAAAGTGCGAAAAAGGTCGTGGTGGAAAAAGGCTGGTCAGGCTTCACAGACTCTGGCGAAACCCGGGTTATCTCTCAACAAGGTAATACTCTGTGTATGGTGGGATTGGAAGGGCATGATTCATTATGAGCTGTTACCCGCAGGCAGGACCATTGATTCTGAACTCTACTGCGAACTGATGAGATTAAAGCAAAAAGTTGAGAGAAAGCGGGCGGAATTAATCAACAGAAGGGGTGTGGTTTTTCATCATGATAACCCTAGACCTCGCACATCTGTAGCCACTCAGCAAAAATTAAGGCTGGGGGGATGTTAATGCATCCGCCGTATAGTCCTGACCCTTCAGATTTCTACTTGTTTCGGTCTCTTCAGAATTCTTTAGGCAGTGTCAGGTTAACATCACGAGAGGACTGCCAAAAACAATTTCTATAGCAATGGGATCATGTCCCTACCTACAAGATGGCAGTAAGTTATCGAAAAGCATCTACATACTTTAGTTAAATGTAAATAAAGTTTATTAAATTTTTTTTTGGAATTTTCATATAAAATGCGAAGAAACTTTTTCCCCAACCTATTGTTATTAGAGTACACCTGTGAGACAGGTGTACTGGTGCCAGTGGCGTAACAACAGGGTGGTGGTAGAACGAGTAAAACAATAAGACACAGAACTAGGTTCAGGTTAAAGACATTTAGGTTTTGGTTAGCAAAAGGATACATATCAGCGAGACGGATCCATAGAAGGAAGTCATACCCATGATGAAGATTATGATCTCGACTGTTATCAGAGCGATTGCCCAATAATGACCCATCGCCAACCTGAAAATATGTTAAAACTTCACTCCGTAAGACGTGGCTATTTACATATATTTTAAAAGTCAATCCTACTATACGCTATAACAACAACTTTACATAATTATAATAATAATAATATATAATTATGTTACTGGCTTCCACTAGCCACTACGCAACTAGCTGCTAGATCCCAATCCTTTCATTCTAAACGAAGTCAGTACCTATGTGTTACAAATTGCCGGTTTAGGCCTGCGTAATTTTTTACTGCTGTCCCTCGAGATCTACAACGTTTGCAATCCATCAGGTGTTGTCATTATGAAAGTGGACAACGATAACTCCACTCGCAAGACGATAAGTTTAATACTTCCACTCGAAGCCGGTCTTCTGTGAAGCTATGATACTTCCCCAGGCGAGCCTGCCTATCTGTGCATCAGCAAACTGTTGAGTGGTGCTACCACTAATATTACACAACTAGACAATAAAAACGTTGTCTTTTAAAAACGCCACTCAAACGTCTTTTCTGATCAATAGCGCTGTTGCATTCAATTTAAATAATAATAAAAATTTCCGAATTACCCCAAAATAAAATTATCAAGCAGAATAATTTTCCAACTTTATTTATATAAAAACAAAATTTCTCTTGTCAATTGTTTTGCATGGATCTTTGTTCAGAATCTTGATTATATTGACAAATGCAAGTTTTATCTATCGTAAAAATTCCGTTCACAAATATAAACGAAATGTCTGCTAACTTAAAATTTATCCTTAAAGCTCGCGTCACGTCTTCGCCGAGAGCTACACAGAGCATAAGGGAAATACTCCCAGATGTATTTAAAATATTGCAGAGATATTTCTGTTTCTACATAGGTAATATTTCAGAATTTTGTAAATACTTTGAGGTTTTATTTGAACACTGCTTTTGGATAACATTGTCCTGTGTTGTAAGGACTTTTTACAAACAGAAATTTCACATGGACAAAAACCCAGATTCGAAATAACTATCTATGGGTCGCACAAATAATTGTCCCGTGTGGGAATTGAACCCACGACCCCCGACGCTGAAGCCAATACCTTGGCAATTGCACCACGGAGTCATCACATCAAAAATCAAATAATAATATAAAGTAATATTCGCCCTTTTTGCAAAACTAATAACCAAGCTATACTCATACATTTAAAGTTACTATATTACGCAATTATGAACTATGGAAACTCTATAATAATCAAAGAACTTTTGGAAGATAAAAACTGACGCTACAAGGGTAAAATCAAACGACAAAAAAACATTTAATAGCAGCTTTGATATAAAATATCATTAACAGGGAATTTGTCCAAATGACAAGGCGCTATTTTTGGCAGCAACAAATCCTTGGCTTTGTGGCTAGGAACTAAGGCGGCTCTCCCTTTAGAAATAGGTCAGATTGGGTGATACACTCAGATTAAGCTCATTCGTAGCATAGATACATACGTAATTAGATTTGATTAAATTATCACAACATTGCTACGTAATCACGTTGGTTATAAAGAGGCTATTGTTGGTAACGAAATGAATTCAGATTCTTTGTTCGTTCTGATTCAAATAGCCCAATTGGGCACTGTTTCTAAATGGTTTCGATATTATAATATTATTATTGATTGACACTTTATATGTGAACTGCATAAAACTTAATATAACATTTAAGTTAATTTATTTAATTTACTTAATACAAATCATTATTCATAAACCTCTCCAGTTCACCTATTTCATAGCGTTATAAAATTGTTTTTCACCAATTATTCTAGGACTAACTCATACCTCGATAATTTTATGGCCTCGACAATATATATAACTTTAGCTTTCTCGATCCTAAACTCTAAATCGCTCGTACGTTTTTTTGAAACGTCGAGATTATATCCCACAAATGGTGAAAATGTTTTTAAAAATTTCGTTGACAGTTTTCACGAACTAAGAATTAAAGTAAGCCGTCACGTTAGCACCTGGAGGAAAAAAGTTTCTTGTTAATAAACCCCCTATGTTATTAGTTTTTATGCGTACGAGAAACGAAAAATAAACGTAGAGATTTTTGAATAAAGTTTTATTTTCCGTGGGTGTAGCGTCATTTGTCTAAAAACACTGATTGAATTCAGCTCTCTGAAAACTATGCTTAAGGTAGATCTAGAATCTTTTGAATGGAATAAAAACTTTTATAATGTCAGTCGCTAAGACAAGATGTTAATGTGATTACACGATAATTATATACTTTTACCTGTTAGAATAATGGGTCATCTGGAGAATTATTATTAACCGTGATTTTTTTCCACGATCGCTACTGCACAATTTGTACGCAATGAATTAACCACAGCAAAGTCCGATAATATAGTCTTATCACTAACTATAAACAAAGGGAAGAATTCATTGGATCGCATACCAAGTGAAATAGGTCGGATTTCAGTTAATTTACGAAATTTGATCGATGGTACATCGCGAACATACCTCCGTTAAACCAGGTCACTAATGACACTGAAAAAGATAAGATTATTCATAAAGCAAAATAATTCAAGAAGGCTTCACGCCAGTTAGTAAATTCCTTCAATTGAATCCTGCTGGAAGCCGAATAACATATCAAATGCATTTCGATTAAAGCCTGCAAAACAAGCATATAAAAAAGAGATAGATTATCTTCTCTATAACTATATAGAAGACAATAGGGCGATAAATAAGAGTAATTTGTAATACACAATATATCAATTAAGTATTAATCCGTCATGTAAAGATAGTGTGAGGGGGTATAATACAGATTATATTTATTGACTTTAATAAACCTTATCTAAGCAATAAACATCCGCAACAACCTTTAAATTACGCGATATTAAGTACGCATTATCATCTATTATAATTTTTAGTGCCCTATCAAATATTATGATTATGATATCAATGGGAGGGAAAGTTTACCTACATTTGTTTCTTACTCAACATTATCTGCATAAAATTCAGTAAATATTCAGTAATTTCGACTCTAAAACACTTTCGAATCGATACAATTACTTATTGTTAGATGGATTGAAAAGCGCGGGAAAAAAATATATATAAAAAATATGGTTTTCATCCTAAAGTTGTAAAAAAGTTGTAAAGTTCTTTTACCTTACTAAAATCAATCGGGTATCAATCATAAAAATCTTTAGTGTTACAAATTAGGGGTTAATTTTCCTGGAGAAAAGAGAAACTATTTTAGAACAGCGTGACAAGAACACTCCCGTCATCACTCTTCGGTATATTTATCAAATCCTGACATTTTATAATAAATGTAATTATTTTAAATAATTTATTGGAAATCCTGACAAGGTGGCTGTAAAAAATTAACTTATCTTTCTAGCTAGACACTTTATTACCGCCACCTAATAACTTTTATGTCCCCTCTTATCTAACTTACCTCAAAAAACGTACTTTACGCTGTCTAATCGTGAAGCCATGTTATTTCCTCTACCGAGTAAGATTATCCAAGGAACAGTATAACTGCGTGCTTTACCACAGCAAGCTCTCATTTACGTTTCTATCAGTGTCGTTAAATCTAGAGAATGTCGAACATTATGTAATGGCAATCATTTCCTCCATATATTTTTAAAATTAAAAACACAAAGAATCCGTATTACTGCGCGATTTTTATCTTGAAGTATATTGGATTTAAAGGAACTTTACATACAAAATTTGAGCCACTACATACAAAATTTGAGCCACTACAATGTAAGTGAGGCTAATGCATAATGCAATGACGGTGCGCAATAGAGTTGTATTTTATTTTATGTAAAACAGATAACCACTTATGCATTGAAGAATCAAAACGCACTCTCAAAGACAAAGGTAAACAATAATAGTTTTTACACGATATTAGCGTTTCGGGCTTGCGCCATAGAGACGTCGCAATGAAGTAGGTTATACGAGTTTAAATCACTAAATATGATTTGTTATCAGTATCTTGAAAAATATTCAATGAAAAACGCTAGCATCTGGTTGTATAGAACTTTTTATTGAGTTATACAATAAAAACATGCTTTTAAACATAGACAAAGTTTTGTTAGAAAATAAAACATGAAAACGTAATTGAGATCTGCGCGTGATTAAATTAATTTTCCACAAAGCAGCAGACAAAGAGGATTTGGTGCTGCGGTAAATCGATCAAAGGTCAAAGGATGTGATGGAATACAATTACACAGCTGGGTAAAAATACTTTTTAGTGTTCTCGTATAAGCGTGATACAGTGAATTTTGTCGGTTTTCAGTGTCAATAACGAAAATTTGCATAATTCATGCTCTGCACTATAAAATAGGTGAGATCAAACAGCGTCGCGAGTAAAAAAAAATTGGCATATTCACAAAATAGCGCGTACGCATTAACTGTATGGTTGTAATAGAAACAGTTGGTTGGTTAGCGCGAAAGCCGCGTGGAACGAATGCCGGTGCCGCCGATAGCGCAGAAAAACCAAACCTGTTTCTCCTTGGTGTCCATTTCGTGCGCGGGCAGAGGCGTGACACACGCGACCGCCGATCCGACCGGGCAACTGAACCAACAAGCCCGCAGACAAGAAGACACGGTAGCGGGCACAGGTCCAAACGTCGACTGGCGGTCGCGGCTTGTGAGACTATTATTATGGCGGTGGTGCGCGCGGAGGTATAGAATAGAACGCGTCAGTTCGCTTACGCATTCGTGGTTTTACCGTTACGCTTATATTTAAACGAATGGAACGCGTGGTGGACATTTAGGTGCGAGATTCAAGAAACGAAACTACTGATTTAAGTGCTCTGACGCCTAAACAACCCTAGTGGTTTTTACTTAAAAAAAAGAATAAACATAATGAAAAGTTCATTTTATTTAAAATATATGAAATGATTTGTTACAAAATATTAATTCGTCTGTAGCGTAAGATTGCCTTAAACAACGTGCTGTTAGCCAACAACACGTGGGACGTGGCGCTTTAATTTCGAAAAGAATTGATTGTAAATTCAATACAAACATCTATGAAACGTTTTATAAGTAAGAGTTCCCGCTGCAAATATATAAAACGAATGATATGTGCGAAACAATAATTATTATGAATTATCAAAGGTCGAATTAAGAATTAGCGTGATCGGTTTTCCTCCTTTACTGTTGAGTGGTGTTTGCATATCCGTAACCAGTGGGGTTCATTCCACAAGAGTAAATGATCTCCATTTGGTGCCATATGCGATTTCTACACATAATTTACTAAATACTCTACATAATTTCTTAATACTGTTACTTTACAATGTTATAATCTAACTCTATGTTAAGTAGCTATTGGGATAAACTCATCATCACTATTTAAGCATGACTCTCTGGCAATTGAAATCATTAATTCAACTGAAAAATAAAAACAATTTATATAATAATCTCTTGTATTTACACGATTACACATTACTAAATGAAAGTATGTTTACAGATTTATCACATTTATTTTGGTTTTAAATTTCATATTCATATATTTTTTAAGTTTCTTTGGACATCACAAAGGTCAAAGGTTGCTTTTGGTAAATAACTCTTACTATAATTCTTCATTGTAATAACATATTACATATTATTTCTGAATTATATTTTTGGAACAAAGTTCCTTATCGCGCGTTGTGAAAGGGGGCTAGACGGAAAAAATTCTCACGATGAGTTGTAACAACACTTTTTGCTATACTAAGATATTGTAAGCTTTGCGGCATGCGCATGTTTCTCTGTCTGTCTGTCTCACTATTACAAGCCAATTATTACTAAAATTGAGCCTACTGATTAAGTTTACATTACATTATATTTGTTAATAATAAAAAAATATTATTATAACTTAAAAAAAAAAAAATTATTACACTTCCTTCACTAATTAATCTAAAGGAACTTCGTTCCATCCGGTTCCATCCCTTGACACCTCTAGTTTTTTTTTCACCTACCTTGCTGTTATTTATAGTTAAATATTATAATATTCTTATATAAAAACATATATAAACATATTCATATATACTATATAAAACTTGCCAGGTATCTTGTGTATCTTTTATAGGCCACATTACTCACATTTCCAGTAACTGTTTCATCAAACATCTTCACCTTTACATTACATAGAACTTTTCAAGAGTGCTTATTAAACTTAAATGTAGAAAGATTATGTGACAAACAGTTGTGCAATGCATTACTTACAGTAATTATTTTTACATGTCTTAGAAAATTGAACTTTATCAGTATAAGTCTCGAATTATGTGGGACTTCTGAGGATTTTTAATCCACTGACTAAATGGGACATGCCTGGGCAGCAGGGCGAGTCACATCCCAGTGAGGTCAAGCTAGATATTTCAGAGTTATTCCTAATTACCTCCACTATATTATACATTATTCACTTACCTAGTAGAAACAGCAACAGTATGTCAGATCCATGGAACATTGCTTTTAACACAACACTAGAAGTCCTGTGTCCATTTAATCACTTCACTTATATTTATCTTTAAAGTTACTAAATGTTTGTTTAACTATAATTAATCTCCAATACACCATACACATCTTTGTATAATATGTTGTCTTATTTCAGCAAGTATGTTGTCATTTACTGCTGAGTATTTTACTTTATCAAATGCTATAGATATTCTTTCTTTTAGTTCCTTTACTGTTGTGACATCAGTAGAAAACACTTCATTTTTAATAGCTCTCCAAAGGAAGAAGTCTAATGGTGTGAGATCTGATGATCTTGGTGGCCACCTTGTGGGTCCATATCGTCCTATCCACTGTTCACCAAACATGTCATTGAGACGCTCCTTGACAGTACTCACTGAATGGGCAGGGTTTCCATCTAGCTGAAACCAGAGACCTCTGTTTTCATTTAAAGGCAGTTCTTCAATGTATTCAGACACTGGACCATCAAGTAGCTCCAGAAACTTAACCGCATTAAGGTTGCCTTTAATAAAAACTGGACCAATTATATGATTGCCATGAATTCCAGCCCAAACATTTAATTTTAAGTGGTTCTCATTAGATGTCTCGTAGACCAGATTCGGATTCTTACTACTCCAATATCGTAGGTTATTGCTATTATATGCACCATTACGTGTAAACGTACTCTCGCCAGTCCACATGATGTTTGAAAGGAATTCTGGGTCGTTTTCCACACTATTAAGTAGCCATCGGCAGTATTCTATTCTGACTGGCTTATCTCTACTTGCCAACTCATGTGCTTTCTTGAACTTGAATGGTTGTTTATCATTTTCCTTCAAAATGGTGTGGACCAGTTTAGTGTGAACGTTGAAATGGCGAGCAGCTGCTCGAAGACTGCACGTAGGGTTGCGTTCAAAATGGTCCAATATTTTTTCATCAAGGGCCACAGGTCTTCGCGGCCCTCGATAACCTTCTCCTATTTGTGGCACCACAGGTTGATTGTCGCGTAATCTTTGCACCGCCTTTAGAAAGACTCGGCTGTTCACAGGACATACACGGCTGGTGCCGTATCTTTCGCGGTATGTTCGTACCGCTAAAGCTGCGTTCTGGTGACATTCACCGTAAATTAGAATCATATCAGTATACTCCGTGGCTGTAAAACTGACTCGAGACATTATATAGTATTAATTAATTAACTCAAAAATATAAGATTTACAAAAATGACGTACCTACGGGACATACGGTTTCGCGTCAACAATAGTAGGGATGTCAAAAAATATCGATATTTTCCATTATACATATCGACATTTTCAGTCGATATATTAGGATCCAAGATATTCAATCAATAGCTAAATTTTCATCTCAATTTTTTTTTAAATCATACAGTTTATTGATCTTATTTTTATTTGTTGTTCGTCTTGAATATTTATAAGATTAAATCTACCTAAACATACATATTATCTAATAAATCTAATCCACGCGGGATGGTGCCAAGAACGCTAGCTTCATTTTCTCGTTGAATAGTTATGCTAAACTTTTGAGCAAGAAAAGAACCAGCTCTCTTGTCACCAGCTGCGGCGTTTAGCCTAGGACGAACTTTAAAAAAATTTGATATGCGAAAAATTTGTGGAACTCTTCGTGCATCCGACTCGCTGGACGGTTTTTTTAACTTTATATTAACTTCCAATGATCATCATTTTACAGACAATATCATATAGTTAGCCACAGTTTCTTTTGAGATACCTGATATATTTACCTATATCAGGTATCTCGAAATAGCAGGCTACACCTATTACTTAAATAACAGTTCCTGTTCCACATAAATTACGCCGTCGCAAGCTTTTCTTTATATATGCTTACGACTGTTACCTTAGATAGAAAGAAATAAAAACTTTTGTCACAGTTGTTACTGAACTGACTTTAAAATATCGGGAATAGAGATTTAATTTTTGAATACAAAGACGGTTATAATATTATGACAGCTATATGTATATAATACAAATGATTTTAATGATTGGTTTAGCCTGTACAAATAAATTAATTTTGAATGACTATTATTTAGCATGTACCAATCTGTTTATTTATTAAAAAAATCTTGAAGTTAGTTTTAAATTTGAGGAACTCTTCGTGCATGTTTTTTAACTTTATATAAACTTCCAATAATCATCATTTTCCAGACCATATTATATAGTTAGCTATAGTTTCTTTCGAGATACTTTATATATTTACCTATTACGATAGATACGCTATACTCCTACGTTTTATACAGACCTTGGAGCCGGCCGACGGCTGACTGACAATCAGCGTCACAATACAGGGGGTATATAATAGAGATTTCCCCCCCAAGTTTAGGGGGTAAACAAATGTATTGGGATTTTTTAAGGGCGGTATATTTTTAGACTTCCTAATTTTTTTTCTAACAATTACTGATTATTTTTTTATTAAGAAAAATAAAGGGCATCGAGTAACGCATTCTGCCCAATCACATCTATTTGTTGACCTAGCGACTTAGCGACAACCAGTACGGTTTCTCATTACTAAGCATGTGTAGTTAAATATGTAGAGTAGATACTGAGAACAGTATCTGTGTATTAGTGTCCGTAAAAACATTCAATTGCGGTAGTTTAGCGGCAAATTTTTTTTTTACATTCATTATGAATCTTATTTTTGGAATACCGATAAAATATTGGTCGGTAAAAATTTTCCAATGTAAAAGGGCAACTTTTTTATATAATTAGTTTCACCACAAGTTTTCTTTAAACATACTTTTAATGTTATTTTATTTTTTAGTTGTTTTGTAGTTTTTATTTTTTTATTAATCGGTGGTAGGGCCCCACAGCAGCTTAGGCTGTTGCACGAATTGGCAGGCTCGTCCGGGTAAGTACCACGACCTCACAGAAGACCGGCGTGAAGGGGAAGTACTTTCTTTCTTTTGTGTGGTGAGTGAGATAGTCGTGTTTTCTTCAATTTATTAGTACATTTCAATATCTCATATTAAAATTTATTTACCTAATATTTAAATTTGTGGAGGTTAGAAAGCAAAGAAAGAGGCAGAAAATAAATTTAATACGGGGATGAGAAAGATGGATGCACTCTTGACTTTGATGACACAAGCACATATAGTATGTCTATTAATTCCCCGGACGAGCTTGCCCATTCGTGCAACAGCCGAAGGTGCTACTCATAAAACCGAGCACCCGGACACTGAGCCTTACGAGGTACAGGCTAGGCGCCCTTAGCGCCCGGTCGCCTCAAGCCTGCTGTATCTGCAAAGACATACACAAGGCCAACAGTAGACGATCCAACCAAAAAAACTGAACTATCACGTGTCACTTTTAATTTATTATAGGTATTAAAATAATTATAATAAATAAATATTAAAAAATTATAGGTATTCGAGAAACTTGAGTTCAAATTCTATTTTGGTCGAATCCAACAAAAAAATAGATAAGAACCAAGATTGTAGGAAATTCGATATTAAGCAACTTCGCTTTTAACAATTTTGTTTATAAAATTTTTTTCGCGTAAATTGAAAAGAAAAAAATCGTTCAATTAA